AAGGATAGAGCAGGAAGCAGCTACAGCTATTCTTTCCGCTGGCAGTGTTTAGAGTCGTCCTCGCAGTATAGTATACGACGTTAACGCCAGAAGACGCGGCCCCAACAGGACGTACGAGCCGCGAATTAACGATCCGCGAAGAGGACTATTTGGAGCTCGTCGACGCTCTTAGAGACCCCAAATACGATCCAGCGTATAGGGAGCAGTTGTCTGAGCCTGGGAGCTTGCTGCGCAATATATCGGCGCAGGAGACTGACCTCTTCCTCTTCTTGTAGCGCGGACGTCACGAATTTTGCCGGTGTTCTCCTCGAAGCTGCAATATATCCTATCCGATACGCGGACTGAGGAGGTGGCAGCGCCCGCCTTCTTTGCGACATTATATAACAGCCCTGGAGGCGACGATAGACCCAGAATAGAGAGGCAACGTCGACAAACACGCCGCGCCTCTTCATCCACCAGGACATCCCCCATTCCATCGCTCCGCGCAAGCAATTCCATCTCACAACGATCCTGGTACCTCCCAGCCCCAGCCAGACGCCCAACTGGGCGGTTTCCTACAGCGCCCGCCCTTCATTCGGTGTGAGATCTTGGGCTGCTTTCGTCGTTGGGCTTTACTCAGTCCCTTGGGGGAAGATACACCTGCGGTTGGAGTTCAGTCCTTCCCTCCTTATATATCTTATACCCTCTTTCCTCAGTATAGATCTCAGACCCCCTTCCCTCCTTATATATTTTACACCCCCTTCTCTCCATATATATACACGCTCTCTTCCCGCCCGATGGCTGGCGGAGCGGGAGATGGCATGTCTTTGGCTTCCGCGGGTCGCTAGCAGCAGGGACATGGGCAGCTCACGTCGGATCCCTCCTTTGGTTCGCCGAAGTCGTGATGATCCACGGCGGCCCTGGTGCGACTAGCTCCGTAGAGCCGAGGACAGTGACGGTATGTATAGCTGAGGAGCAGGCTCTGGGAGGTTCACGGGTTGATGGCTGGTAGCAGGAAGTTTGCTCCGCCGCTTCGACTTCCTGCTTTATGGGCTGCACCGGCGATATCGTGAACGTGGATGTCCCGCGCTAGTCATCGAGTAGGTCGAGCTGATGCGGTGCGGGTCTGGGAGAGTGCTCTGGATTAATCACAGAGCGGATAGTGTTGTTTGGCTCGCTGAGGGCATTTTTCCCACGGCGGATATCATCGACTATTGGTTTGGAACGCAATCACCAGTCACTCCAGGAACGTAAGAGACTTGTATGACGAGCTGACATCCTTTTCCTCCCCAATTCTATATATATATACCGGCACATTCGTGCAACAATCAGCGAAGGCCCGGAGAGCAAGCATTGATAGCGTCGGCTCGAGCTGCTGCTCGTGGGCAACGCAACCTTCTCACCCCGGGTAAGGTCCCCCTAAATTCTCATCTAGAAACCTAACTAATGTGCCGAAAAGCAGGCCCGGCTTCCGCCTAGTTCATTGCACCAGTGGCCGACGCATACGTGCTCTGCGCCATGCCATGAAGCGTGGAGGAGTCTGGGGATGAATGAGCGGGAGGAATTCCGCAGGAGAAGACCTCGTCTGGCGGGAGGATTTTCCCGCCCTGCGAACTCCAGATGCTCCAGATGATCAAATCGCCTGCGCGCTTCGAGAAAAAGCAACGTCTTTCATACTGGTCACTCGCGATTTACAAATGAGGAGGAAAAGACAGCGGAAATTTGCTTCCTCGTATATGTACGCGCTCGACCTTACGGTGTACCGACGCCTCTGCTCGCTTCTCCTTCACCTCCCTCCCTATATTCCTAGGTTTCTCAGGCCTGCTGTAACGCCGAGATGTGGACTAAGGCCTTTCGAAGAAACAAGACGCCTGTACTGGGGTTACCTAGGTACCGAGCATTAATGGCCTCTCCATCTCCTCGAGCACCCGAGGCTTCTCGAGTTGGAGCGGCGGGCTGGGGCATTTAAGGGCGAGAAGGGCAAGAAGGGCAAGAAGGGCGAGGAGGGCGAGGAGGGCGAGGAGGGCGAGGAGGGCAAGGAGGGCAAGAATGGCCAGCTCTACCGTCTCCGTATGCGTCACCAAACGCTCTCTCCCCGCCCCCAATGTCTCCATCGACGTGGCTCTAGTCCCGCGACTTCCGCAAGAGCTAGAGCTGGGTTACTAGGCGAGGATTCCAACGGCAAACGATAATTTGCGCTCTCTATATACTCCTCGGCATCGGTCTTAAAATTCCTTACTGACTATACGCAACCAGACTATCTGACGCGAGACTAACGGGACAGCATACCTCCCTTCCTCAACATAAAAAGGCGCGAAAGAAGACCATCCGAGAAGACAGCCCGGAATCATTCAGAAACCACCCAACCTTGGCATCTATCCTCGCATCTCATACCTAGGTATACTACAGCTTCGCGATCCTATATATATCGGATCAGACCTTCCGAGAGCTGCGGTAAAGGTCAAAACTGTCTCCAACCTAGTCTACCTCCTATATAAGCCCCTACACCGAGCTGTCAGATGTTGTCAGGATGGGTTCCAGAACCTGCCGAGCATCTTGTATATAAGACCCTGGCGATACATAGGCGGACAGGCATTTCTCCGGCGCTACTATGCCGCCGTTATTGTATGTGATCCCATAGCACATTATCTCTAAAAAGGTCATAGTGCTAATAACATACAGGTGAGGTAGAGTCTTTGCACAGTTGGCAGCGTATTGCTAGCTAGGTTACATGCCGTTGCTGCTCTACCTCCTCTCCAGATTCAAGAGCTCTTGGATCCAGTCCTCTTTCCACTTCCTGATGTCAACGATGGCATCCTCATGGTCCGCGGTAGGTTACGCCCTCGTCATCGCGCCTGAGCCATTCTTTTCTGTCGACTCATGCCATCTCCCTGTGGTTCTGTAATACGCTCTTCTCTTCTCTTAATTTTGGCTTCTTTTAAGTCCTTTTACGCGGAGGCATAGTTAGCATAACCTCTATAGGTTGCTGACTCAAAACGAGAAAAATCAATCAGTCAGGGTGAGGTCGGGTTGCAGAGGCGCAGGGTCCGATCCATAGGCCACTCCGGATATTTATACAGCCATCCGACGACGGCTATACCTATGCTGAAACGGAGCGCAAATCCCTTCTAAACCGGCTATCACCTGAAGCAATCCACGGCCTGAAAGGGTATATAGACAACGCGAGTTTGTGGGGGAAGAGGTCGCAGATCGTTTCCACTCTGGCATTCGGAGAGGTATATATATTCAGCTCCACCGTCCCGTTCTCTGTTGGATTCCCCACTATAGTAAGTCCTTCATTCTTCATCATTGTCTCTGCGAGATGCGGCAAGTTTAACGAGGAGAAGCTGTCTTAGCTTGCAGTACGAGCTCGACATTAGTGCATACTCGATTCCAGCCGGTCGTCGCTATCCGGAACCACGTTAATCTATCCCTGCCTGAACGACTTGCACCGGCTACTCTCTACCGTCGTTCCCTACAATGAATACGGCCTCGGTTCTTGCGCGCCGTCGATCTCGCGGCTGGCATACTGGGCGCGTTGGTCTCCAGTACATATAATGCTTTGAGGTTCTACCAAAATATCGGCGACGGACGACGGACGACGCCAACTGCCCCAAAAACACTAGCGCCACTCCCTACATCCCGCAGGGGCAACGGTAACGGTAACTCACCAGCTACCAATGGAGCACCCAACCTTAAAGGGCGAACACGACACCGCTTCCTACGAGACAGCTGCTATCAACCTAGGCAAGCTCCGCCTCACTACCACCCCCGTGGCAACGCCGAAATCAAACTCGGGGAGCCCATGGAGCAATCCTTCTCCTCCATCGTCGAAGGCTCAGTGGAATATATATATACGTCATGACCATCTCGAGCCGTGCCCTGGTGTTCAAGGACACGAGTACGTAGGGCCCGCAGCTCTCATCGGCGGGCTTGTAGACGCAGCACGAACGGCGAAGTCGACGATTCAAGCTGCTATCCCGCCGAAGGTAATACCAATGTTTCCTCAAGGCCCAGCGATTCGTTTGCCAATGGCGTCTTGGATACGGAACTGCGGCGGCGAAGAACAAGGGACCACCTGCAGCCACAGAACACCACTAGAGTGGAAGAGCGGAATCAACCCAAAACGAGCAGCGGATGAGTCGAACGGGTTTGGAACGAGCCAAAATACGTGGCTGTCGCATTTTCCCCGCACGCCTGGAGTGCCGAAGACGATTCCTTGACAACAAAAGCGGTCTCAATAGTTCTCGCACCCGCACTCTATTCCTAGTGAGAAAGCCGGTCAGGCGCATCGGCCTGTGACACCAAAGAACGGGCGCCACATTCACGCCTCTTCCCTCATCAGACCTCGCGTGATGAAATATTCGCATCACCTCATCACCTCATCGAAGACGAACTCGGATCTTCACGCGCCTAGCTGAGATGCGCTGACCACATGACCAACGCTCGGAAGTCGGCCTCGCATTCAACGGCAGCTGGATGCGATCGCGCGCGATCCGAGATACCGGTTTTCGTATCATCTCGCGTAGATCCCCAGTGCCGAAAATAGATGGCCAATCGATGTACACGGCTCGTGTCGTTTAGCAAATGAGGCTCATCGGCAGAGGTGAACAATATATCGAAAGTCTTGGATGATATCGAGCTCGGGGTGTTTCCTTGGAAAGAGTTCGTACTACGTACGCTAAGTCATTGGTCCAAGGTATAAATGAGCGATGAGGCTTGCTGCTTAGCACCCATAGAGATCTAGATCATAGACACCAGAACCCTCAATATTCATACAGTTGCTCCAACACTCCTTCATCACGATGATCTTCAACTCGCTCACTCTTCTCTCCCTCATCGCCGGTGCCCAGGCTGTCGGCCGTGCCATCGTCACCAACCAGTGCGACGCCCCCATCTATCTCTGGTCTGTCGGCAGCGAGATCGGACCTCAAGTCACGCTCGGACTTGATCAGTCCTACAGCGAGCAGTTCCATCGCGATCCAAAGTCGGGTGGCATTGCCATCAAGATCACCTCCGTGGAGAACGGGCTCTTCCAGCCAAACGTCAGCCAAACGATATTCGCGTACAACCTGGATGGCCAGACGATCTGGTACGATATGAGCGATGTTTTCGGGGATGGATTCGCTGGAAGGACTATGATCGTTCAGCCCTCGGATACGTCCTGCCAGAGCATTGCGTGGGGCCAGGGTATCCCGCCGGCAGGCAGCCAGGTGAAGAGCTGCCAGGCTGAGACGGACCTGGAGCTGACCTTCTGCACTGGACATTGCTTGCCCTCGTGGAGTAAGTGGATTTATCCGCCAGTGTGATGAAGCTCGGATTGCTGACGTCTATAGGTCTTTGCGGCGATATGGCACCTGGAGATTATCGTCACTGCTGCACGCATTGCATTGGAAGCCATCACTGCGTCGCAGCGCAGGCAGGTTAAGTAGTACTTTGGGAGAAAGCTGCAAACCCTCGGAATTTATTTACTTCATCTTCCCAACGAAAATCACATTCATGCATAGGAGTGTTTGACACATTTCGAGATCAAGTTATCGTCGGTAGATCACCTTTCATCATTTCGCTTCCTAAGAGAGCAGTCCTTTTGTACTCGAGCGATTGCTTTGCAGTACCAATGATTAGGGCTTTTAATTAACCATTGTCAATGAAATTGTTACCTTAATTCACGCTTTCGAAGAGGGCCGCATTGGGTCTTTCTAACATCTAAAGATCGCAACACGCTGAAGTCTCCTACCTCGAACATCCGAAAGCTATCGATGCGATGAATAACTGAAGCCAACACGAACGCTTTCCAATATTTCAAAAGTTTACGCAAACTAATTATGCACCCTACCGGTCTCAGGCAATGTCTCATGATTTTATCAGTTGGACGTTGCAATTATTGATTGCTGTCGGATATGGTTACTACTATACGTGACCTTGGGTAGTATATATATGGACATTTCTCCCATAGTCTCATGCGTCAATACTTACCATCTGTCTAATAGTAAGGCATCTAATTCTGGCGCAATACCGAATAAATGTCGAAAACCAATCATCACTAGTTACTTTAAGATAGTGAAAGTTTTGGTTAAGATGAGTTCAATATACAGCCTTTCCAGTGTTAATGTGTCACGTGAGGTTGCAATTCACTCTTCGAAACGTCGGGCCAAGGGGCACTGTCCATATCTAGAAGAGCTTGGCAGACGCAGAATATAGCGCACTAGTAGTCCTCCGCTCGGAGGGGTGACGTCATTAGCACGTGACTCCCGAGTGAGGAGCTCTGGTCATCTTTTAGTGTTTCACGACAGCGATTTTAATTTCTTCTACGAACTCTCCGCCGAACTATCGCGCGCAGCAGCAGCAGCAGCCTATTCGGCCCGTTCGTCAAGAAATCGCGTCATCCATCTGTCGGCTTTTCGCAAGCGTAGCGGAGTCCTGTTTACGTACTGCGCCGCACCCGACAGTAGTATTGTGTCTTTCTATTGGATTGTTATTGTGTATACAGGCGCTGGGTATAGTACCTATACTATGTTGCTCGTAGAGCATGTATTGTGTGGCTGCGGACCTCTCTATATAATGTAGCTCCCCACGTAAAACCGAACTCAATAGCGCACTAGTAGAACTGCCTGCTAACCTTAAAGTCGACTACCCACACTTAGACAGCACAACTCTGCCTCGAAGTTTCCTCGATCATCGCATCCTCGACCTAACTTGCAATGACAAGCCTCTTATCGCTGCCGGACGAATTGTTCCTCGAAATTTGGAAGTATGTTGATGGTAGAGCACTGTACGCACTCTGCCTCACGTGCCGCACGCTTCGTCCGAGTGCTCAAGAAACACTATACACCGCCCCGGCTCTCTGGGAACATTATTGCATTTCCTATATCGGGGCCTTGGACATATTCATGCGCTTCACACGCACGCTCTTGGACCGACCTGATCTAGCACATCACGTTCGCTTCCTCCGCGTCGTCATCGGCAGCGATTACTACAAGATCTCCCCGCATGAGTTCCACCTAGATGCCGCTCACAAAATCATTGAAGGGCTGCCCACTGGAGGCAAGCGGAACGGTCGAGCCGCATTTTGGATGCAACTCATACACGAGGGCAATTGGCCGGCCTGGGGAGGGCTCCTCCTCTCCCTCGTGCCTCGTCTTTTAGAACTGGAGCTCGAATTGATAAGCCATCGTGGCCTGACACACGAATTAAGCATCCACGATAATAACCGATACCTGCGACATGGTGCTTCGTCCTTACTTGGTTCTCTAGATACGGTCTATTGGCCTGACGAGAACAACAAACCTCTATCTGTATTGCTGGATTTGCCGAGCATCGCAGGGCTGCGCAGTTTGACGAAATTGAAGTTCCTCGGGGTATATTTAAACGCTGACTGGCTCAAGCTCCCAAACTTAGCTAGCCTCGAGATCGGCCGCGATTGTCATTGCCCCGACCTCACCGGCATGAGGCTCAACTCGCCAACAACGTACACTCAACCAAGAATATCGTCGCTTCAACTAGATGTCCCAACCTCGTTGTTGCTCCCATACTTACGTTCCTCGTGGCCATTGCGATCTCTCGACCCTACCTTTATCACATCAGAAAACTTCGGAAATGTTCGACAACTTTCAATCTGTTTCACGAACACCGGTTGGGTCGATCCATATTACTCTGCACCAAGAGACTTCCTCCACCAAAGAAGTCAAGGGGATATGTCGGTGTTTCTCGACCGGCTGCAATCGATCTCTGGGACTCTCGAAACACTCAGGATATGGCACTACAGCGACACTGATACCTACTTCTTTCAATTCATCAAGCCTCTTATATCGTTGGCAGGCTTCACTAAGCTGAAGACACTTACCATTCCCCAGGAGTTCCTCTTAGGACCGGACTACGGCAAGCCGGACGCTTCTTGGCATCCTCTTGAACCACCGGCGCTATTGCCGAATTCCCTCGAGACGTTAACCATTCTATTCCCCACGCTCCATATTCTCGGTTGGTTGGAGAAGGGTGCGAGACTGGAGCAGCTAGGAGGGCTGAAAAATGTGGTTATTCAATGCAACAGTCAACAGGGAGATGTCTACTCAACTTTCCGTTTTGGGGACAATGGATTCGGAGAATTGGTAGAGTATCTCTACTATTGTGGCTTGAGCCTTCGACTAGGTTATGAGCCCTGAGATGAGGATCCCTCATGGTGGGACGGCGGCTACCTATGTAGGTAGATGTGCTGGATCCAGCGGTGATGCGTGTAGTGGATTTTCTCAACGACCTCCGCAACCTGGAGGACGCTGAAGTCGGAGAGTTAGTCGAGTACTTGGATTTGCTATAGCGCTATGTCAGCGGGATTGCGACCTGCGGAGGTGCTAGGGGCTTGAGACGAGAAAATTGGTTGACTGCACGTATCGGGTCGATGCGGTCGGGAAAGCCGATGTCGTCATCCGGCTATGGTGATGTAGCAATGCTCTAGGGTGTTTAACTGAGGGGCCGAGGGTGAACCGCGCAGGCTCCCCAAATATCCATTTAGATCATGGAGGCAATCTTCATCTAGCCCCTCACTCTAGAGAGGACGATGTCGTACGGCGGATAATGCAAATCAACACCATTCCCACTCTCACTCTCAACCAGAACAACTTTACTTAGTGACCAACCGCTCTGGTCCTTATAACTATTCAATCCCATGTATTAGCTTTATTTCGCACATCCTTCACGTTACGAAACCGCTTACCCATCAAAATCAAACCAGTCGCACACCTCCAGACCCGGCAGCATCATCCTCCACACCTGAGCTCGCGAGCCAAACTGCGCATTCTCACCTGCGCCTTCTGCAGGAGTAAGCGCAACTCCTGCCGGAGTGGAGAAGTACCTCGATTGATCGTCCGCGGTCCAACCCAGGCGGTCTAGACCCTCTAGCGCACTGGAGCCGTTGATGACGAGATCGCGCAAGTACAGTATCTGGTCTTGGAGCTCGGTCTTCGCGTACGTAGTTGTGTTTGTGCCATTAGTTTGTACCTCCTCTGACATCTCTCCTGCATCGCGGCCGTCCGCGTACCATCCCGCAAACCGTTCCCCCATCCGAGCGGTTAGCGCTTTAGCGAACGCTGGAATAAGCAAGGCTTGCACGGAGTCGCGTATGCTGGTCGGTGAGATGGGAATGTAGTCCGGTAACGCAGACTGCTGCGAGAGAATGACAGTGCCGTAGCCCAGGTTTGGAACGATGTCTATCCAAGCGTGCCAGCCTCCGCCGTCTCCAGACTTGCCGTAGGTGTAGTAAGTCTTGTTAGCTCCTGGGGTGCTATTGGCGGTTGGTACATCGAAGAGATCGATTTCCCATCCGGCGCCTACGAGCTGCTTTCCGTCTGGGAGTGCGAGATCGGGCTTGAGTGAGTGGCGACGCTGTGGAACGGTGATGAGGGGTGGGGGGTCGGGGCGGAGCCATATGTTGTGGAGATATTTAGTGAGATCGTTCGCCGAAGTCTGTGTTTGGATGAGGGGTCTGTGATTGACTATTCGCGGACTATGCTGAACGAAAGGGTGTAACTTACCCACATCCCGGCTACGGGGTCGTAGCCAGTTCCTACCAAGAGATCCGCCCAGTTTTCACCACCGGGTACACCGACATCAGGTATCAGATCCTGTGGTACGGGCCCGAAGAAGCTATGCGTCATGTTAAGCGGAGCCAAGACCTCTTTCATGGTAAGCTGACTCCAGATCAAGTCAGAGCCCGTGAGGTTATTGTAATAGTTCACGACTGCACCTAGAGAGTGCGTAAGTTCGTAGGCCCGATATGGATCAAGGAGGAGCGCTCACTTCCCAGGATCGATAAGCCGGCGTTTGAATCTTTAGTAAGTTAGTCTCTCTCAGTATCTTCAAGTGTAGTGTGTTCTACGTACACGCTGCTCTTTGGCCAGGTGCGAACATGAGATTCGTTTTCCGAACGACTTCAATAACCCCCTCAGGCGTAGCTCCGGCCCAATCAGCACCAATCGTCTCAGCATCGGCTTTCCCCAACCCCGTGACCATATTGAAGTCCGTGCTATATCCTTCTCTCGGGATTCCGGCACTGTGGCTTGCGAGCATGCGTAGAGTAATATCCCGTCCGCCATCCTCCCAGTCTTCCGCAGGCAGTCCAAACTGCGGGAGAGCGAGTCGGACCGGCGTATCCAACGTCAATCCTGGAAGCAAACTCGGATGCAACTTGCTGAGGTTCTCCACGAGCAGTGCTGAAAATACCGCGAAGCTCTTCGAGACGGACATCACGCGGAATATTGAATCGCTTGTCACGGCATTCTCGGCACTGCTCAGAAAAGTCTCGTTGTTCTTGAGGGTGCCATTGTTGAATGCGAAGACTTTCTCGGGTGTAGAGGCGTGCACCTAGCGACGAATGGTAAACCGTGTGTCCCAAGCCGTTCTTGAGACCTGGCGATGGGAACGTACGATTGCGAAGCTCAGTCCATCGCGAGTGGTACTAATGAATAGTTCGCTCAAGCTCTGCTCAATTGTTTCGAGCGCTGAAGTGACTGCTGGGTGTTGCAGCACTGCCGGATCGGCGAGCAACTTCTGCGGGACGTCCGGCACACACACGGACGCAACGAAAGGCACGACCACGGCGACGATCAAAACGAGAAGGTAAGCGAGGAGAGCCATCGCAAGCGACGTGCTGCCGTTGCAAATTGAGGAGCCATCGACGAGGATATCTATAGTAGTACCTGTACACCGCCTATGCAGGTCCAAGACCGAGTGAAGGCTTATCTTGCAAGATAAAGCAGCTACATGGTTATTGAGAGCGTTGCAGTTGGTGCTCGTTAGCTGATGATCTTAGTGACACCTGCCTATTCTCGTTAGCCTCAGAAAGCATTACGAGCCCTAAAGTGACAGGGGCGCTAAGCGGCGTGAAGCCCTTGTTTGTGTTCGTACATTATGTATTCAGCAGACATCCGCGCGGAATATTGAAGACAGTACGCATCATAGATGATGAAGGCCAGACCAGGGCTGTCGGACTACGCGCCCAAAATGCATGCGTGGTCGGCCGGTGGGGACCAACGCTGCGCAGTTCTGAGCACAGCGTACGCATATGACATCACGGCTCCGTATATCTCCGCGATGCATATAACCAGCCATTAGCTCTGCCCAACGGTAAAACAATCGCAGCTAAGAACAGCTTCGCAGAGACAAGTACTGTTTACTGTCATCGCACCGCGTACGGCTTTAGTTAGTTGTCTCGGTACAGAAGACTCCGGGCTCTCCCACAAACAACCCCGCACCCCGCACATGCAGGAACATCCGATATCACCTCCCGTCATCAACACGCTCTGCAAGATCGCCGATACCGCCGCTGCGAACTTCCCTCCGGAAATTGTAAGAACAATTGCAGTACCCATAGTTATTCCACCGAACGTCGCCGCGAGATCCGAATGGTGCTATTATTTCCCCGTGGAGATCGTCCACCGACAGCCACCCTGGCCTGGCTGAATTGCATGACGATATGAGCTTATATATATCCAAGGGCTCCCTTCCTTACGATAAGTTTTCCGAACCTGGCTTTCGGAAGCACCGCGCATGCCAACGGAAAGAATGAAGGGCGTTTCACTATCGGCGCTCGGGTTCGCCACTCTGGCCGCCGGATTCGAACTCGTTGTCGATCCGAAGATGGTCCAAGACAGCATCACCACCGGCTCATCGTTGCCCATAAACATCTCGTCGCTCAGGAATAGCAAGGCCTTTGGAATGACGCCCGGAGAAGCGGACTTCGACGGCAACCATTTTGGCTACCCGGCGCAGTTTGTTCCCGCGGAAAACTTCACGTATGGCGGGGTCAACTTCACCTTTCCTCAGTACACTCCAGGCAGTGACGGGAAGGATAATGTCATTGCTCAGGGCCAGCAACTCGATATCCCACGCGGCCGGTACATTGGCGTGCATGTGCTCGCAGCGGCCGACACGGGCATCGCGACAGGCTTCTTCAACGCGAGCTACGCCGACGGCAGCTCTTCATCCATCCCTGTGCTTGTCGACCCGTTCTGGGACTGGCCATACCCCTACGGCGGTAGCATTGTGTTTCCCTACCTGCTGACGAATAAGAGCATCGACTATAACCAGACAATGATCTTCCAGAGCACTACCTGGTTGGATGCAACAAAGGAGCTCACGAGCCTGCGGCTACCTAATGTTACAGCAGGCTCGGGGACAGGGGTTGGCGGGGATGAGCAAGAGACGACGCTGCATGTCTTCGCGGTGTCGCTAATTCAAGCGAAGGGCGAGGGGCTAGCACTAGATGTGCAGTTTGCACGGTCTACAAATACGTGGTTCGAAGGCACGAACAAGACACAGATTTACGAGGCGACCATCAACAACGTGGGCACCGAGTGGGTTCTGGCCGATCACAGCGTGCAGGTTGCGGTGGAATCCGACGGAGTCAAGACGGTGAAACCAGGTGCTATCAAACGCCTGCGTCCGGGAGATCAGTCAAGGGTTCAAATTGGCGTCGTTAACAATGACGGCGTAGCAGAGGGCACCAACGGCCCAGCCACCATCAAGATCTCGGGCCAAGGAGTTCAGACAAACTACACTTTCAACGCAACCTACGGCATCTCCGCCTACGAACCCACCTTCGAGAGCATCTACCTCCACGAGTCCCCACCATGGTACAGCAACGGAAAGTACGGCATCTTCATCCATTGGGGCGTCTACAGCGTCCCCGGGTGGGGAAATGTGTCACCAAACGAGGGCTACGCGGAGTGGTACTGGTGGGACCTCAACGGCGGCCCCAACACGTCCACCGACACATATCATTACCATCTCAAGACATATGGCCCAGACGTCGTGTACGACGACTTCATCGCGAACTTCACCGCATCCGCGTTCGACCCAAAGGAGTGGGTCGATCTCTTCGCCGCCGCGGGCGCCAACTACTTCGTCCAAGTCTCCAAGCACCACGACGGCTACGCGCTCTTCGACCTCCCCACAAACGTCACCAAGCGCACCAGCGTGGCGCAGTTCCCCCACCGCAACCTCCTCCAAGAACTTTTCGACGCCGCAGCCAAATACCAGCCCCACTTGCACAAAGCAACGTACTTCTCCCTCCCGGAATGGTTCAGCCCCGCCTACGCAAGCCTCGGCTTCGGCTCCTGGCCCGGCGGCAACGCCACGAATCCATTCACCAATGAGACGCTGCCGTACACGGGCTTCGTGCCAGTGGGCGACTACGTCACGGATGTAATACTCCCTGAGATGCGCACGCTGGCGGACATGGGGACTGAGATTATGTGGTGCGATATCGGGGGCCCGAATCTGACTGCGCTCTTCGCGTCTGAGTACTTCAATGACATGGCGGCGCAGGGGAAGCAAGTGCTTACCAATAATCGATGCGGGACGCCCGGTGATTTCGATACGCCTGAATACGCGCGGTACGATGCTGTGCAGGCGCGTAAGTGGGAGAGCAATCTGGGCTTAGATCCCTTCAGCTACGGGTACAATAGAGCTACGCCGGACGATGCGTATCTCACACCGCAGGGTATTGTGACGAGTCTAGTCGATATCGTGAGCAAGAACGGGAACTTCCTGCTAGATGTGGGCCCCACGGCTAATGGGACAATCATCGAGATAGAGCAGAGGAATTTGAGAGAGGCGGGGAAGTGGATTAAGAGCCATGCGGAGGCTATCTTCAACACGACGTATTGGTATGTCACTCCTGAGGAGGGGCAAGCGGTTCGGTTCACGCAAACGCCAGATGCATTTTATATCTCGACGCTCTATGCACCGAACAGCACGCTAGTGCTTAGCTCACCGGTGCCATACGTGGAGGGAGACCAAGTGACGGTTGTAGGCGGGAACATGTCTGGGGCGGTGGTGCCGAGCCGGCTCACCGAAGATAGGAGTCTAGAGCTGACGATCAGTGAGGCGGTTAAGAGCGCGGATCAGTACGCTTGGGTCTTCAAGATCTCGTATTAGAAGTCATGGTCGCATGGGATGCGCACCTGGACAACTAAGTTGCGTTGCGAATAATTCCACTGCGCTAGAGATGATTCTTGCCCGCTACTATTCGGTCTTGACAGCGGTCTCCTTGTTTACTTCTTGCTCTAGCTCCTCTAGATTGACGGTTGCTTCTCCCTTTCGGACAGCCTCGACATCTGGTACTGAAGAGTGCTTTTCGCCTTCAAATATCGCGTCAATCTCCTCGAGGGTGCGACCTTTAGTCTCGACCCAGTAGACCGCCTATTGGTTGACACCGTCAGTGAATGCGCCAGTAAGGTGGTTAGAGTACCTACAATGAGCACGATGATGACGATATCCCAGGATCCGTTTATCATGTACATCTTCCACCCGATGTTTGCGAGTCCGATGGGCATAACGAAGACAAGGACGCAGCTGCCGCAGCGTTAGGCGTTACGAGTAATCAGCAATTGGTTTACTTACGCAAGTGCATTCAGCATGAACGAGGAAAATGCCAATCCATTCGCACGAATGGAATAGTTCATGACTTCGGGGGGATACAAGTACAGCAAAGGCGTCCAAGCGATGGAGTAGAATCCCTGGAACAAGAACATGACAGCGACGTCGCCGTAGATCAAGCTCTTGGAAGCGCCATCGGGGTCGTCGGCGTATATCTTTGAAAGACCGCCGATTATGAATAGGCATATGACCAGCAAAACTTCGGAAAGCAGAGCGGTGGATTTGCGGCCCCATTTCGCTGCAAGATGGGTTCCTGCGAGAGCACATCCGAGGCACCATACATTTAACACGACATTCTTTTCTGCATTAGCGAGCTCGACAGAACGCACGAGAAGGGCACTTACGGCCTTCAGTTGATCGTTGGAATCCGTAATTCCCGCCGTATCGAGTTCGTTTCCAAGATAATACGAAGCGATGATATTCCCAGCGACGCAGGAGAAAGGACCAGCAGACATGCCAACCAGAAGACGCTTCCGCGCGACTGGTGTTTTGAATATCTCTTTCGGGCTCATGGTTCGGCCTTCTTTCTTCTCCCATTCGAGGGTGTCAACAATTTCTTTGTAGACTGTGAGGACGATGGGGTTCGAAATATCGCCGTTGGCGTTCGTCTGCGCGACGACGAGTCGGGCTTCTTCGTAGTGGCCTTCGTGTACCAGCCAGCGTGGGGACTCCGGCCTGACCACATTAGTGAGTTGCGTTGATATGAAAGCGAAAGCGGAGGATGGGTCTTACACGAATGGCAGAATAATGATGCACAATATGGAGAAGACAGCCTGGAAGAGCGAAGGTGCTCGCCATGCCCAGGTGGACTGCCACTGCCCTGTGCCTAAAGTAATCCCAGCGGCAATCAATGCGCCGACACTGCACTTTATCAGTTTCAAAAATGGCCTTCTTTGGCACGCATAACCTACTAATAAAAATCATTCAACAACCCAACGCCCCAAGCTCGCCATCTACTGGGAAAGGTCTCTGAAAGATAGACGCCTGCCGCGATCCCCGAAATCTGTGAGCCAAATCCGAGAATAATGCGCGCAACGACAAACATGGCGATATTCTGCGCAGCGGCCTGAAGAATGATCCCAATGATCGTGATCGCAGAGCCCCAAAGGATAGCCGGTCGTCTTCCAATGCGGTCCGCGATGACGCCGGAGAATATAGGACCAAAGAAGCCGCCAATGAAGACCGACCCGGTGTTGAGACCGGTTGTGGCGGCATTCAAGCGGAAGTAGTCAGTGTAAGATGGTAGAATATTGAGGCCATTGAGCATCGAGCCATCATAGCCTCCAGTCTGGATTGTTTCAGCATGCGCAGACGCAGTGAGCGTAGCGTGACGCTTACGGTTGACTGGACTACCGAACATCCCACAAGCAGCACGGCGAGCGTTGTGGTGGACTGCGGCACCCAGGCGGGCAACCACGTTCCCGTAGGCGACTTCTGCAGCATTGCAATCGCAATGGACGAGCCGTGATGTATGGATAGGTGGCGTAAACAAGAAAAGCCCGCCCGCTGGGCGAAGCTTATTATAGCTTCGCGCGCGGGCGAGAGTGGGGTGCTCATCAGGATTCAGACGGGGCATACTATATCGCTGTATATCAGTTTCGCACCTGCCTTAATTGACTTGATGTTGATAAGGGTCCAGGATCCATGGAAGTGGGTTGCATTTACCCCGCTCTTATCCCACGTGCTTCTGGACTAGGATCACTGAAACGTGGCGACCCTTCTGTGTAATCCACAACCCTCATTCAACCTGTGATACTCTTCCCCAAGGCATGCTCAACGAGCAAGATCTTCTTCCGAATGTCGCGCTTGCCGATTATTGCTATCGCCGGGCTCGCGTGTGAGAACTCGACGTTCACTCCTTCACGCACCCGCGCTGCCGCTTTCCGTCCCAAACGAGGAGAAGAGATCATCCGGCACTATGACTTCTTGCAAACTGACACAGCTCTGGGAAGGGCCGCGATCTGGAAAGGTGCTCTGATCGGCTACGCGCTTCCGGGTGGAATTGTGGAAAGAGCGTCGTTCGAAGAGCTCGCCGGCGAGATTATCTCGCGCTTAACTGATATCTGTCAATCGTTGGATGAGCCACTAGACGGATTCTGGTTCGATATTCACGGCGCCCTATATGTCGATGGGTTTGAAGACGCCGAATTTGAACTACTTCGTCGTATTCGAACCGTTATCGGCCATACGACTATCGTCTCCGCGTCTATGGACCTCCACGGCAACGTTTCGCACGAGCTCGCGCATGAAACTGACCTTATTACTTGCTATCGTACTGCCCCTCATGTAGATGTGCGAGAGACGAAAGAACGCGCGTGTCGCAACCTCATCCAAGTACTGGACACGCATAACAGGGGAGGCTCTCTCCCGCTAAAAGCTTGGATTCCGATCCCAATCCTGCTCCCCGGAGAGCAGACCTCGACGCGCGATGAGCCTGCAAAGCGTATCTATGCCGCCGTTTCTGAGGTGGAGAAAAGAAAGAGAATTCTTGATGCTGCTATATGGGTGGGCTACGCATGGGCAGACGAGCCGCGAAATCGCGCTGCAGTCGTCGTCACAGGATCGGAAAGGGATGCAGTTGCCATCGGAGCGGAGGAGCTCGCACAGATTTTTTGGACTTCGCGTGAGGACTTCAAATTCGTCGCGCCGACCGGTTCCTTTTCAGAATGTCTCAACATCGCTCTCGCGTCGACGGATCGACCGTACTTCATCTCGGACTCCGGCGATAATCCCACCGCCGGAGGTTCCGGGGACGTTACTTGGGGCCTCACTCAACTTCTTGCGCGCCCCGAGTTCAAGGATTCATCTGGTCCAACCGTAATCTACGCAAGCATTCCAGGTCCCGCGGCGGTCGAAGCAGCTGCAAAAGCAGGCATCGGAGCGACATTGACAGTGACTGCCGGAGCCGAGGTCGATAACCTCCATGCCGGTCCCATTACCATGACAGGTCGCGTCCACTCCATCAAGCATGGAGACCCACATGCGTGCGTCGAGGTCGTGCTGCAGGTAGGCAGTGTCTTCGTCATTGTGACCAAGCTGCGGAAACCGTACCACAAGGAGCGCGACTTTGCCGAACTCAACCTGAACCCTCGATCTGCGGACATTGTAATCGTCAAGATTGGATATCTCGAACCAGAGCTGTATGACATGGCGAAAGACTGGATGCTTGCTTTGACCCCCGGAGGCGTGGATCAGGATCTCAAGAGACTGGGCCATCATCGCATTCAGAGACCTATGTTCCCATTCGATACGGTTTTCAACACCGAGCCAGACCTTAGAGCACGGTTCATTCCATCTTCTAGAGATCCGCTCGACGCGCACGATAAATGACAGATTATCGCTAAGTGGAGGAAATCCCAAACTACGCCTCGACACAAACAATCCCGGGAAACCTACCCATAAAGTAGGATATGGGAAATCCCATTGCCCCATTAAAATCACCAATCTTATACACGTACTACTTAGACATTTATCTATTAAGCTCTACTACAAAGGCGGTCACAACGAAACAGTTGAAGTTGCCTAGGACGCCGAATACATCCGCGCATGGTTTATCACGTTTCCATATAATCGTAGAATATGGCCAGAAACTTTGCTTTGTTCTTGGAACTTTGAAGGAGGAATAAAGTTCCCCTAACCACTGAAGGCCTTGTGGTTGGTAGAAACGAGTTGAAAGTAGGTCTTTGGGTTTTATACCCGAGGTCATACCTTGCTCTGCGCAGACTCCTTTACCCCGTGCGAAGAAAGATCCACTCGCCTACCATATCACATAGTGTCCCCATTTCGACACATCCGGATCACCGCCGAATCTTGGCGCGAAGACTGAACCTAGCGACGAAGGTTAGCAGTCTCCAAACTCGGACTGATCTGCTGTTCACTTACCTCGATACGGATCGCCGAGCGATTGGAACCACTCCAACATCTTAGTCATCTGGACATCATAGTCATCCCAGTCGCACTGCCAGTCTCCATTTAGGTACCTCAGCTCGATTGAAATACCAGCTCTTCGAAATCCGTTAAAGACCGGATGAGGATATGAGTGGTAGGCGAACTCCACGTAGCTGTCCCCTCTATCACTCCGGCAGTGCAGAACGATGCGCTTTAGGCGCGGGAGTCGATCGCGGTGCCAAAGGAAGTTGTAAAGCCAAGACAATATTCTAAGTACTGGGCAGTGAATTTCGAGAACCTCGAGGGACTCAGGAAGGACGTCCTCCATGGGGGGATGGCCTAGCAAGCCGGAAGGGTCTTCAGGGCCGAGAAGCGCTTCATATGGTGCCTTCAGGACCTTGAGACTCCAGAATGGGGTAAAGGGGCCACCGGGTAACGCATAGCTTAGGAAATCGTACCTGGCTTGGTCATCGTCAAGTCCGAGATCGATCACCTTGAGTGTGCTTGCAGCGCATTTGAGCCCCTCGAGAAGAACGGAGAAGCTTCCTTGCCGTTGCTCATTTACCATCTCAAAACCCTCCAAACCCTCTTCATCTATGTTGTCTGGAACATCTCGAATGGGAATCTTCACTGTCTGTAAAAATGGTAAATGCTGCAGGAAGGGCGCACAAGTCTTATACCTCTCTGAGCCGCGGATAAGTACGGAGGAGAAACAGGGGAGCGTCAAAGACTTGATAGATGCCGAGACCTCGAGTGGCGATTGATCCGGCAAGATCCGGCAAGATCGGTTCAGCGTGAGGTGCTCTAAAGAGGGGAGTTTAGCAAGTACCCAATGGAATTGAAGGCCCTCGAAATTGAGCGATTTAACGTGGCCTAGAGCATTCATAAGGATAGAGTTAGAGGCTTCGGGATCAAACTCTTTGCCAAACAGCTCCTGAAAGCTATCGTGCACATAATTGTACGGAGGGTAGCCCCGATTACCATATCGCAAGGCAATGGATAGAGTCTCCACAGCGGGCATGGACAGGAGTAGCGAACCTGCCACAAACGGGACTCTTATTCTGACCGTAGTATTCGCGCTGATCGTGCGCGCATACGGGAGGATTCCTGAAGCCGTGACAGGAACTTCGACATGGAACGAGTCAATAACGATGTCCAAAGTTTTAACGATGCTTCCAAGTCGAGGAGACTCGGATAGGGTGCGATTAAGGTGAAAGATTGATATCCTCTCCCGTTTATCGGTCCAACCTCCGTATTTCGGAATAAATATCTCTCGGTACAGACAGTCTTCGGCAATCTTGCACAAGCAAGAGCATGTCAGTGTAAGCTGGTAGAGACTGTCTCGGCAGAGATATTCTGCAATCTGCAAAAGCAGTTCAGAAGGGAGCCTCAATAGAGAGTCGCACGGATATAGCATCGGATGACTCCAATCCGAAGAAACGAGGTCGAGGTCGGTCGGCAGCCAGGAAGGTACGGTATCCATGTCGTTTGGGTTGAGTTGCGCTCTCTAGCTACGGGCGACTAGAGTATAGCTCTCCTAAAGCCTTTGGGGCCCTTATAGGCGGAGTAGCTCTCGACGTCGGGCGGGGGCACATGCCCCTCGTTCTCGCAGCCGGTCCTTGGCGCCTCCATTCACTGCATTTTTCCTTGCGAGCGGCTAGTAAACTGGATGATGAATGTAACTCACAATTGCTCTAAGACTTAGTTTTATCAACGTGAATTGCTGGACCTCAGTGCAAGGAAAGGGTGAGCATGTGAGCCTTTTCGACCTCCATGGAGAGTCGATTTCTTGAACAGGTCCCGTAGGATGGGCGCTCTTCATAGCACATCCAGAGTAGATACATTCCTAAGTCTCGGGGCTCTCGAGTTTGTTAGGAGATCATTACCATCGAACATTTCCTACCTTGCTCTGAAAGGGGAGGATGGTGTAGGTAGTTAGCGACTACACCTAGGGCTTGCTTAACAGTTTGCTGTTGCTACAGCAAGTATAGCTTTAAATCCTACTTCTTTTACTTAACTTAACCTTTAATACTATAGATAAGCTTTCTTTAAAAGCTAAGATATACTAGATAAGAATTCTTCTTTAAGTAAGAATATATAGATTAATAATAAGAAATAGTAACCTCCTTTCTTTAAGTAGACTTAAAATTTAAAAAAAGAAAGGCAAAAAGAGAAATTTTTTTACGTTACGTAGTTTTTCTTTTATCTACCTTATAGGACAAATAACCAAATAGTTGGGTAGCTCTTAGAGCTACGTTAATTTAGTAATTTTAGTTAGTTAGCTAATGAAGACTTCATAGCTGGTTAGAACTCGTTAAAAGTAGGCCTTTGAGAGTTACATCTAATGTCTATCTAGCATACTTTGCGTGCCCTGTATCCACTCCCACTATCAGTACCACAGCACCCTATGGGCGCAATCATTTCTTCTCTACGGCGCTTTTCTTGGCCACTAGAGCGCCGACCGCAGCAATCGTCGCGCCACCCATGATGTCGAACACAGCAACATCGGCTCTGAACTCTTTGCCGATCCAGTTTCGGAGCTCTACCGCCACGAGCGAGTCCACCCCATATTCAAAGAGCGGTTTACTCGGGTCTATATCGTCTGCGGGCATCGACAGTGATCGCGCCAGCTTCTGGGACAGGGCTTTTACGACGACTTCGGCGCGTTCTACTTCTGTTCCGGCATGCCTGAACAGAGTCGCAGAATCTTCGGCTTCATCCTGCATCATCCGCGCCGCGCTAGTCGACATCGAAAAGCTGGAGAAAAGAGGACGCCTCATGACGTCGGGAACTTTGATACCCTCAGCTTGCAGATCCGCGGGCGTCACAGTACCCATAAGGATCTGACTCCTCAAAGGGTCGGTGACGGCTTGCGAAGGGTCGCAATGGTGATCAAGGAGACACATGAGTTCATGCTCTTCAATCTGTGCCATATCTGCTCCTGCCATTCGAAAATTCTCATACTCTTCCTTCTCGGAGATTATGCCGATGGTACGCATCCAGCCCAGATTAATCGACAATGCCTTCTGGCCGTGGGCGGTGCGGTAGCGCGCTAAGGCGTCCTGGAAAGTGTTGCCTGCCGCATAATTTGATTGCGACACATTGCCGAAGATACCAGCCAAGGATGAAAGAAGGATGAAGAAATCAAGGCTCCGAGGGAGGAGGGTGTGAAGATTCCAAGACGTCTGCACTTTCGAGCGTACGGCGGTCTCCCATTGCTCGAACGTCATGTTGTCGAAAATCGCGTCCTAAAGCATATGTCAGCACTCTGTTCCTCCGAAGACTAGTTGAACTTGCCTGCAAGGTCATGGCAGCGTTGATGCAGCCCTTGATAGGTGGCATAGTTCTTGCGCAATCTTCCAAAAGCTTAGACAGTGATTCGATGGACGAGACGTCACAAATGGGTGCTACCACAGTAACACCATTACGTCGCAAATCTTCCACGAGCTCGATGGCGGCTTCTGTCTTCGGTCCGGATCGCGACGGGAGAATGAGGCTTTTGACTCCCTTTCGCATCATCCACCTACTAATTCCTCGCCCGATTCCTCCCAGGCCTCCGGCAATCAAGTACGAGGCGTTTTCCTTGAAGCACCAGGCTCGATGAGTCGTAAGGAATTTCTGTTTGATTAGGTCAGTGCTTGCTGTGAGTGGATGCGTCGGTGGACTTACTGGAACGACATCGGAAGGCTTGCTGTTGATCACTATCCGTCCGGTATTCTTCCCGCTCTGAAGAAATCGGAAGGCTTCTTCTATGACGGACACGGAATAAACATGTCTTGGATGCGGGTACTGAATATCGCCGTTGGCCCACAGTCCCATGGTACAATTCAAGAGATCCTGAACAGTCTCTTTCCTACTGGCGAAGATATGCCGAAGGTCAACCGCAAAGAATGCAGCATTCTTCTCGAAGCAGGCCATTGGGAGGCTGGAATTGGCTTTGATATCAGCCTTTCCAATTTCAATGAAGCGTCCAAAGGGAGCTATGCATTCCCACGATGCCACAAGGCCGTCTCCGGACAGGGAATTAAGGACCACATCGACACCGTATCCTTTTGTTTTCCGTTTCACTCCCTGTGCGAATGTCGTGTCTCGACTGTAAAAGATGTGGTCTTCGTCAATGCCAAGGGACATCAATAACTGCTTTTTCTCAAGATTTCCCACAGTAGCAAAGATCTCTGCTCCAATCATCTGAGCAATCTGGATCGCTAGCTGTCCGGTTGCGCCGGCTGCCGAATGTATCAGCACTCTTTCTCCTCTTTGGAGACGGGCAATCTTGACCAGACTGTGATACGCGGTCATTGCTGGAGCAAGAAGAGAGACAGCATCCTCAAATGTCATCGCGTCGGGAATAGGGATCGCTTCCAGGTAATGGGACCGAGGAAGCTGGCGCATGGAGCCACACCTGACCATTATGACTCGGTCACCAGGCTTCATCGCTAAGCAGTTGGATCCGACCCTAGTCACGTAACCAGCCGTGTCGAGACCGAACTCATTTTCCTCCAGGCGACCCAGTGCAATAAACACGTCGCGGAAATTGAGTCCACAAGCTCTGGCTTCGATCTCGATCTCATCGGCCCCGAGATGCTGTTGGTATACTGGGTCTTCGACAAATCGCAAAGAATCTAGCGTCCCGGGCGTACCCACATCGAACATAACCGGCGGCCCCTCACTCCATGGCTGCATCTCTAGTGAGGGGTATACTGCTGATAATACGTCGTTGTTCATCGTCTTTTCTTCGACCAAGCGTCCAACGGCGAGTTGGCCATTCCGAACCACGTACTCCATCTCAAGGGAAGACAACTCGAATGAGTGTCGAAATACGGATTCGATATGTTGAGCATGTGCATCGACATCGCGTTCGTTTCCTTCCAGCGCGAGCGTGATGATTCGACTGTTGCTAGATTCAGATCTCATCGTTCGTAGGAATCCGGTCGTCATCCCTGCGAAGGGGTAACCCGAGTCGGCGATATCGGCGGAAATGAGCCACAACACGTTTCGGACTCGGGTCATTAGGTATTGCAAAGTTTCGAATCCTCCCTTGGTCAATCCTTCCAGAAGCGACCTTCCAACCTCGCACAAGAAGATAACATAGTCTTCCGGGACAATGTTAATAGACGATATGCTCCCGAGATCGGCAACCTCGAAAAGATATGAACCCGACTGAGAGAAACGATCGCGGATGGCATGGGCGAGGTTTTCCTGAGCTGTAGAAGAATGATCATAGCAAAGTACGATCCGAGATTTCGAAGTCAATTCTTCTGGAGTCGTTGTCGTTGTCGAAGCCATGATGCTCCAACTGTGACAAGCATCATTCGGATAGTCTCGCAGGACCAGATCGTTCCCGGAAAAGCCGTTCTGCTTCAGCAGGCCATCCCACTGCCACTCCGTTGTCACTTGATCATGGTCGCCCAGCCGCCAGGTTTCAGTGCCGCGCCACCAGCCGGGGAGGGTTCCAAAGCCGAACTGCAATGCAAACGCGTTGGGTCCGGTGATTTCGAAGAAAAGAAGCTTGCCTCCCGGCTTCAAAGCTTTCTGGAGATTCTGAAGGGTGCTACTCAAACTCTTTGTTGTGTGAAGAACACTTCCAGCGACTACCATGTCGTACGCACCTTCCTCAAAACCTTGCTTCGAGATGTCCCGTTCGAGATCTAGTGCTTTAAATTCCATGCGGTTCTCGAATTGTCGAAATTTAACCCGGGCGTTTTCGAAAAACGCATGGCTTACGTCTGTGTACATGTAGCGAGAGAATCTCGTGCCACCGTTGCATTGCTCAAGGTCTCCGAGAGCCGAGAGAACGTGGCTTGTAAAGCCACCTGTCCCAGCGCCCACTTCGAGGATGGCAAGATTGGGATTCTCATGGGAGGCTAGCTCTAGGAATGTCCGGAACCGATGGTCGCACATACTGTGGAATATGTCTGCGTAGAAGCGTTCTGCGAGATCAGTGGAGAAGATGAGCTCAAGGGGATCCACGTCTCCTCTGACAATTGCAAGCAGGTTGCGAGCGACGGAGATGTACAATGTCCAGTCAGGTTTCAAGGCCTCGACTTCAGCAAGCAGCTGGTCAAGAGGTGGCTCAGAATTCCGCAGTTCTTTGGTCGACGCGCTGCGCTCCTGTTGGACGCGTCCCATCCATGAGATATACTTCTCCAAATGAGGCGGAGCCATTCTTCTATCGTGTTCGGACACCTGTGCCAGCGCCTCTTCAATTACCAGGCAGAGCGCCATCGTGAGCTTCTGGTCGTATTCGATCATGGCATACTCGTCTCCTGTGAAGCGCTCTGCCTCGCATGCGGTTGCTATCTCGGAAGGGCGCAACATAGACAAACATGGCTTCCACTGGATACCATGTAGTAGCTTCCGGTCGAGACCTCTGTGCTGGCTATCATCTGCTACGGGAGATAATTCCAGTCGGCCGACTTTGCATAACAGAGATCCATCGTCGGCAAGGACGATAACGCTACCCTCCACCCCTTTGCCACCTTCTTTGAAACGGGCTGTGGATGCGATTCGTACTCGCGATGTCTGAGGGCTCTTCCAACCCGAAGCAGTGATGTATGTGTCCCGCAGCCGATGAGGGACTTCGGTGGGGATTTGATCTGTCAGCCCTCTCGTCGGCGCCAACCAACAGACTTGACACGCTGCATCAATGATTGCAGGATGAACAAGACCTTCGTATTCTGCGGTTGGTAGTGAAACATCAACTTCGCCAACAGCGGTATACCCATCCTGGCAGCGGATATTCTCAAGAATGCTGAAGGACGGCCCATACGTAATGCCACGATCACTACAGTATTTGTAGAAAGTGCGCGACTGCAGGGGTCTCTTACAGCTGGCTGAAGCATTGCCATAGGCCGCCAAAGCATCTCCATGCGCAAGCATGAGCTCTTTGCCGCCATCGACCTGGGTCTGGGGCTCATTCAACTGGACCTGAATTGTGCAACGGAAGCACTCTGTCCAGGTCTGCTCGTGATAGGTGGAGATCCAAATTTCGAACCACTTTGATTCCTTCTCGTATGGCTTGCGAATCGGCCGCAGATTGATAACCGTCTCGACCCTGCTTTCATCGTCCGGTCCAGACCTCAGGGTAATCGGACTCTTAAACTCGGCGTCCTTGATCAAAAAGCCCTTTACGATCTTGTTCTCGGGTACAGTCTGTTTGACGGCTTCGATGGCCATGACGAGCATACCAGTGGCTGGGTAGATGCAACTGCCACTGACGACGTGGTCATGTACCCAAGGCAGCTCTTCGGTGCTGATGATCTTCCTCCACTTTGGTTCTAGCGGGTTCCAGTCCTGGGCTCGGGCACCAAGGACGTCTCGCGGGACTTGGCCTCTCATCCTATAGTCGTAGCTCATCCGAGTCTCATGCCAGTATCGTTGGGATCGGTCGAATGGGTACTGAGGCGTATCGACGAGGAATGAAGCGCCAGGCTTACTCGCGTCTCCTTGATTGTTTGCGGCAGTAGCTGAAACTGCGTACCCATAGGTAAACAGCGTCCCGATAAGCTTCAATAGAGCGGTTGCGGATGACTCGTTCCTGGATAGAACCGACGTATATCGGACCTCAGCTTTCCGCGGATTCCGCTCGATGATGTCCATGCACGGCCGACGAAGCGCAGAGTGAGGACCTACTTCCACTAAATCATATACGGGCCTCATTCGGGGTAGGCCAAGTTGAACCTTGGAGCTGGCGTCGAGTATTGATTGCATCGCGTCGACGAAACGAACCGGGGATACTAAGTTGCTCACCCAATAATGGGCTCTGGAAACCAGCTTTGGCGCCACAGGCTTTCCCGTCACGGTCGAAATCATGGGAATCGATCGGTATCCAGTAGCGGCCCGTGTCAGCTCTCCCATGAGTTCCATATACTCTGATGCGATAGCCTTCATGGCCGGCGAATGGTATGCCATACCGGTTTTGAGCTTGTGAGCAAATATGTTGTCTTCGTCGAGCTTGTCTTTCAGAAGGTCAATGGTGCTCTCATCTCCGGACAGGGTGACATTGCGAGGGCTGTTGATACATGCGATAGCCACGTTGGAGCGGATCGTAGCGTCTTCGATCCTCCTTTCCAAGTAACCAGGAACATCGTCGCTAGAAAGGTTGGCCGATATCATCGACCCTCGGATCGGGCTAATTCTCGAAAGTTTTTCCGCAAGAAGGCCTCTATAGTACGCTACTTTGCATGCTGACTCAAGAGACAGGGCGCCGATGGAGTATCTTAGGAATCGTTAGCCAGGGCTCTCCAGGCCAGACAAAGGAAGCGGTTCTTACGCTGCCGCAATTTCTCCCGATGAGTGCCCTACGACAGCGTTGGGCGCGATTCCTAGGCTCTTTAGAAGCTCAACGAGGGCAATTTGCAGCGCGGTGCAAATTGGTTGGCTATACTGCGGCCTGCTAAGGCTCTCGGAGCCCTCGAGCTTCTCTGCACTGTTCGTTAGCCAAAACCTTCGTAAATGGCCCATGGCCGACATGGGCCTTAGACTTACCCAATAGTGACCAAGGACAACCTAGCTTCGCAAGAACATCGTCAAACTGCTGCAGTGTGTCGCTAAAAACGCGGTACTGCAAGAGCTCCACTCCCATCCTCACGTACTCCGCTCCCTGGCCGGTGAACACGAAGGCTAGACCAGTCTGGGAAGACCTATGGGGCTTCGAGACCGAAAGGTCTGCTTCTGGATCAGAATACACGGGATTGACGATTGCAAACGACCTCCAGAGCATTGCAGTTCGTCGAGCGGACAGTGTGAACGCGAGCTTTTTCAACTTGGAAGGATCTTCGGATATACGCTGGCGGTAGTACGGCAGGTAACTCTGGACTGTCCTGTTCAAGGCGTTTTCGTCGGCTGCGGACCATACTAGTAATTGAGGGCCTTCTACTGCGCTGCGTGGCCCATTGGGGGCATCACCGTTAGTACATGGCTCCAAAACTCCGTTGGTGTGCGGTGCCCGAAAGCCATTAGTTATACTAAGTCCATGCAGGCCGTTCGTAATTCTGTTTTCGCATGCACCGTTTAAAGATCCCAGGTCGCGAAAACCATTAGCCTCAATATGCTTGTATGCCCCGCTTATAAGGCCTGTACCATTGGTATGTTCGTGGTCCTGCGTTCCGTTTGGTGCGGCCTTCTCACGGTGGAGCCGGATCATGGTGTCGCCATTGACAAGATCTTCCGGTGTCGGATTAGTGAAGCGATTATGTGGAATTGATGAAGTGCAGTGATTGCCTGCAAGATTATGCGCACGCAAATAGTGGAATGCGTCGTCCAAGATGATATGAGCGTTGGTTCCACCGAATCCGAATGAGTTGACTGAGATCCGGCGAAGCCCTTCGGATGGCCACCTCATCAACTCGGTAGGGACCTAAGATGTATTCGTGAGCAAAACCCTACTCAGTCAAAACCATCGTTGCTGCTTACCTTGATATTGTAGAACTCGGTGTCAAGCTGAGGATTGACCTTCTCGAAGAGCGCGTTCGGTGGGAGAACACCTTTCTCCAACATCAAGATGGACTTCAAAACACCAGCCAAGCCACTACCGCCCTCCAGATGTCCGATGTTGGCTTTGATCGAACCACTGGCTGAGTATAAGAAACGGGGACGAGCTTGATGTTTGGAACGTGGATTACGTACACATAAAGCGGCTCCTCCGGAGTCCTGCTAGTGCGAAACACCCTACCGATGGCCTGCATCTCTAGTGGGTCACCCACCGGAGTACCTGTACCTGAAATTACCGTTAGCACTGATGGAGCGCTGATCTTGGTTTAAAGGTGAACTTACCGTGAGCTTCGATGTAGCGCGTCAGTCCAAAGTCCAATCCTGCTTTCTCATATACCCTTCGGATAAGCTGTTCTTGAGAAAGAGCGCTTGGTTGAGTGAGGCCGGGCGTATGACCATCCTGGTTCGTAGCCGTCGAGCGGATTACGGCGCGAATGGTATCGCCGTTGCTGATTGCATCTGAAAGTCGCTTAAGTACCACTACAATGGTCCCCTCTCCCCTCGCATACCCATTGGCCCGGTGATCGAAGCTATGGCACACACTATCTGGTGACAAGAAGTTCATTCGAGATAGCATCAAGGACGCCTCGGGACTCAGGATCAAGTTCGACCCCGCCACTAAAGCCTGATATCAAGGTCAGCAAGTTACATCTAACAAAGTGGAAGAGGTACAACTCACCATGGAGCTGTCGCCGTTACACAACGAACCGCAAGCAAGATCGATCGCCACCATACTACCGGAGCAAGCGGTATCGATGTGGATGCTGGGACCAAGAAAATTGAAGAACCAGCTCACTCGATTTGCCAGGATGGCGTGAGCAGTTCCAGTTGCGGTGGTCCGGGGCATGTTGTCCCCATCTTTGAATAGAATTTGGCTGTAGTCATCCGCCATACTTGCCTCGTAGACTGCCGTTTGGGATCCTGACACCTGGTCCAGCGGAATTCCGGCTGTTAAAATTAGCCTCGCTGAAGCCACTGACCATGAAAGAAGCACAGTGCATACCATTCTCTAAAGCTAGGTATGACGTCTCAAGCATGAATCGCTGCTGGGGATCCATAGCCGCTGCCTCTTTCGCCGTAATGGAGAAGAATGGCGCATCGAAGACTCCCGGATCCTCGTCCAGGAAATGTCCTCCTCTCGCTTTGAGCTAGCATTCATGAGTCTGCACGGCCTATCGAGAATAGCATACATATGTTAAACGTACTGAATTCTGGTTGCGAGGGTTGGCGTCGTAGAACGAGTCAAGATTGATGCGAGACTCAGGCCAGTCAGTCATCACATTTCTCCCTTCCTCTAGAATCTCCCAGAGCGATTCAGAGTCTTTCGCACCCTGAGGCAGTTTGAAAGCGAACCCGATAATGGCAATTGGCTCCATCTTAGCGGTGACGTCGAAGAGACGAGTGAAGAGTGCAACACCAAAGATATGAGGCGTGCAACACGAGGAATACGGGAAGTGTAACAGCTAGGCGCAGCAAAGCTTTAGCATGGAGGCCTCTGGAAGCTGGAGGCAAGTACCTAAGTATCTAATCCCAAACTATACTGTCGAGGGGTTACACAGGGCAGTGACAGAATATCTACCATTGTTACCATTTTCGGATATGCCTGAAGAGAAGCAACTACGCCGCGTCTCAGATTATGACATTCAGCATTCAGCCAATAAGAGGATCTTATTTACCGACATCCTTCACCCCAGCCCCTTCTGTTGGATGAAATAAGCATTGAGGCGTTCGTATTCGGTGTTCAGTTATCAACCTAACAGAGTCCAGATGCGGCCCAGACTCTTCGCCCCTTTGCCTGTTCACATGCAACATTCAGAGCGAGTGAACTCTCCACGATGACTCTCCGGCTAAAGGTATGCTAACCCAGGCATGGTACGAGCGTCAGACTTAAGGGCCTTCGTTTGAGCGTATATTGCTCGGGTTAGATTGAAATCCGTGCTCCAGAAGCGGCGTGGTAAGAAACCCGGAGTTTCAGATGTATATGCAGATGCTTTGAGCATGAGCATATCAAAATCTTGCTCGCGCAGATACGGGGTGTTCCAAGACGCTGAGCGCAGAGGACGATAAAGGAATGCGCTTCGGCCCGAGCATCTATGCGGGTCCTCGCAGGCCGCTCAGCCTTTTCCACGCGGCCAAGCAACCAGGAAAAGAGCGCCACGGCGGCCCTTCATTCTTAGTGCATCGGTACTTGCCTCCGGTTTGGAGACTTTTCGGCCCCTATCACATCCTGTTGATACCTAGGTATGCCAGATATCCATTTAATAATTGTGTGCAACTTTCAGAGGAAGCGCCGAGAAGCTTGGGGACATAATCTGGGTTATCATGCTGACGCTTAGAAGTGCAAAGACCTAAAGAGTGGGTTATTATGCATGCTGTAAGCGATGTGGCTGCATCCTCCGGCGGATCCCAAAGCAGCCATTGCTTAGCGGTCTGCCTTGGGACCTACGTGGTGTCGTATTCGCAACTTAACTCCGCCCCAAAAACATGACGTAAGGCAGACATCAATGAGTTTACCCGGTGTGGATACTCTGGACTTCTTTTATGTTTGCGCACCTGAATTCGGCAGCAGCTTGAGCAAAGGGATCTTATCATGCGTTTCCTATGCTTGCACGGAATGGGGACTAATGGGAAGGTATGCTGAGCGCTTCAATTAGTTATGATCTAACTGACCTATTCTAGATATTCGAAGTGCAGACCTGTGTGTGAACCGGAGCTTACCGCCCAAAAAAGGATCTGACTTTCAAGCAGCACGGATCCGGCTGAGCCTTGGAGGGGGCCACGAATACGTGTTCGTCGATGGCTCAGTATCTGCTCCCGCGGCTCCAGGTATGATAATCTCGTCTATCGCTATGTAGTTGGTAGCTTAATATTTCAAGGAGTGGACCTGATTACTTCGTCGGGCGAAGAGTTTCTACGATTTGCCAAAGACGATGACGTCGACTCGGCCATGCAATTATACAACGATTTATCGAGTTTCATTGAGAGTGAAGGTCCATTTGATGGGGTTATGGCATTTTCCGAAGGCGCTGGAGTCGCTGCATCACTTCTCGCGTACCAGGAACGATTGATGGCAGCTCAAAAGAGCAGCCCTTTTCGATTCAAGTTTGGAATATTCTTCTGTGGAGCAGGTGCATTTGATGCTGAGTCGCTCCAGCAGGGGATATTGCGGGAACTGGATCCTTCTGTCGACGGTCGGGTTATTACTATGCCAACAGCCCACATCTGGACCAGGCACGACCAGGTTCATCCTGGATTTGGACAGAAGCTGAGGGCATTATGCGCGGATGGGGTAGCGGAGGAGTACTTGCACGATTTTGGTCATTCTGTTCCCGGCGCTCAGGGAGAAGAAGGCGTGGTTGAAGCCACTCGGGTTATTCGCAGGACAATTGAACGTGCAACGAGAACGTAATAGAGCGGGACATTGCCCAACTTATACCTCAATAGATACACGAATCTAAGCATGGCCTGTACTTTGAACCAAGAGCGGTTCTAGTTAAACCATGATCTGTTTCTTCCTCCAGAGAAGTAGTGCTGATGGAATCTGCGCAATCGCAAAAGCACAGAGGACCCACATTTGAAGATTGTACCCATGTGCCAAAATACCTTTGATGCTTTCCTGATCTTGAACGCTGAACTGAGCTAGCGACTGCACCGATGGAATGGACTCGCCGGCAAGGTGGCCGGATTCAAGGAATTGCGCAAGTTTGGGCCTCGTGTAGCTGTTGAAGACAGACGTTGCAATAGCGAGCACGATCGCTCCTCCCATAACACGTAATTGTGAGACGGCTGCCATCCCAACGGCTATATCGTTAGTCTCGTTACAATTCAACGGATCAAGCGGCTTACCTTTATCGCGATATTCAACTACAAACGGCACAATCAGCAAGAGAGTGGAGATATTGATCCCGCAACCAAATCCGGCGATGACTTGGTAGCCATATGTGCGTGGCGGAATATGGGAAGACTCTGGGAGAGAAGCTAGAAGAGCAAAACCAATTGTTTGCAGAACTCCGCTGACGAGAACGATGAATATGGCCGGTATTTTGAGTTTGCTGGCCATCATGGACGAGAACGCTGATCCAATCGGAGCGGCAAAGGTAAAGGGCATCGTTTGAATTCCTGCTCTCAACCCAGAGGAGCCGTGGACCAGCTGAAACTTCTGCGGTAGCTGAAATATGGCGACGAACCATGGGCCACCGAGGAATACAGCGTTTCTAGGAATATGAGATACTTAAAGTAGGGGTTTGGGATCGATAAGCTTACAGAAGTAGGCTCAGCATTGCGCGGTCCTGCATAAACCTCCACGGCAGAACAGGCTCAACGGTCTTGCTATGGTTAGTAATGTATCTCTCCCAGAGCACCAGAGAGATCCACAAGATACCCGATATTGTCAGCAAAGAGATCACGTAGGCGGATTTCCAAGGAAATTGTGAGTCCGCTTCTTCAAATCCAGCCGTCATGGAAAGTGTGGCAAGAAGGAGGAGGCCCGCTCCCATCAGATCTACCTTCTGCGTGGTTTCCTTTGCTATAAGTGTCTTAAATGTACGCCGTGGACGGTCTAACTGTCCGTGGTGAGGAAAGTTCTTTGGGAGGGCGAAGATTGCGAAGATTAATGCTGGAGCAGCTGCCGGAATGCTGGGACGAGTTAGAAAGCATCCCATTGTTTGACACGGAGAATTCTGCTCACTTCAACAGGAACACCCAGCGCCACGTGGACCTCGAGCTGATAGCGCCTCCTATAATAGGGCCGCAGAGTAGCGAAATGGCATACACCGTGCTGAGATTGGCGACATACTGGGCTAATTTCTCCGGTGGAACCAGCTCGGTCAGCATCACGGAAGCCAGTGCGAAGCAACCCGCACCTCCAACACCCTGAAAAGCGCGAAGGATGATGCTGTAACCAAGTCAGCGAACTGAATTCGTCCCAGTGCTTGGTATGGCTGCCATACAGCTGTGTCAAGCTCTGCGATGCACCACAGCCCGCGGAGAACAGAATAAAAATCGATATTGACAAGCTCAGCATGAGCTTTCGTCCGAATATGTCGCTTAGTTTTGCGAATATTACGAGTACGCCTGGGCACGTCAGTACCTAGGTATAGATCATCGAGCGCGTGATGTATCTGCGGTTCCATACCAACGTATCCCAGAAGATAGCTGGAGATGATCCAACCCACGTTATCAAATCGACCGAAGTCGTTGGTGATGGCTACTAAGGATGTCGTGACGATGGGAATCTCCAGATTCGTAAGAAAGAGCGACATAGCTAGCCTGCAATGACTTCAGCGTGATGTGGAATGCTACATCTGCATCACTTACGACGCGATTATAAGCCAAAAGCGAACCCCAACGATGTAGATGACATGATTCTCGCCGTCTTGAAAATCTGATGCATCTTGCGAACTTCGAATAGGCTCCTTGATCTGATCAGAGCTGGACCGTAAGATTGGTGCGCCCGGCTCGTGTGAAGCTTCGATGTCGCCGGAGATAGGCGTGGACGCTTTCTGCTCCATCGTCGTGTCGCGGAAGGTTTGTCGCCGATGATTCCGAATCTAGGCCGTGGTACGCGATGTGATCTGTAACAACTGCATTTTTGAGAAGAAGTGTCGAACGCGCGACTCTGAGAGACTCCACGCTCGTCAACCATGCGCCGCGCCGCATGGGGTGAGCCTCGGAACCTTCCAGGCCCAGCGTCGCCTTTTCATTGCCTGTCAAAATTCCAAGGGTAGATTGTACCGTCCAAACAGCCTTTGCCTAATTGTGATGAATTGCGGCACGGTTCTAGGCATGTATCGCGGGGTCAAGCGCAAGGGTGCTAAGATTGGGGCCGATTTTCTGGGTACTGGTTTAGATTAACCGGACAACATCCTCAACAATCGTTCCACAAGCTCTATCATAAGGATTATAAGGCAAACGGGTAAGCGAGGGACAAGAAGCCAAGCGTAAGCTGTGGCCTAGGCGGCAGGCGTCCAGCCAACCACAGCACGATGAGTCTAGCCGAATATGCAGGCGGCCAGATGGACACGAGTTGACGGACTTGGAATGCAAGCATGAGAATACTGTGTACGCACTCTTTGATTTCGAGAAATCTCCGCTTCCAAACGGGCAGACAAAGCCTTCGGTCTTGCATGCGGCATAGGGCGGACGGGAGGCATCCGTTCCCGCCCCGAGATCTCCGAGGATAGATCATCTACCTATCGCTCAAGCATGGACTCCGGTGCGGCTTGACCCATGCTCGCCTGCATGGTATCAATGTCGCACAGCGTCCTAATCGTTTGAAACTTCTGACCACCATCACGGCCAAATGCCGCCAGGATCAAACGCTACGGGCACTTCAGAACGCCACATGCGCTTTCGGCGACTTGGCCCTGCTTATGAGTTTCAGCCGTTGTGGGATCTCGGATTCTATCATAGTCCCCGATGGAGCGCGTATGACTTTCAACCCCACCATCGTCCCCTGTGTTTATCTGCGCAAGTACAAGAGTTCGCCGGCGTCAATCTTCGCCTAGAGTTTTCGGCGAGGTCAGGTTTTGGCCGTAAGCGTTCCGCACCGTCACCCTCAACATGAAAGATCTTTCGTGGTTCAACTTGCTCTCGCCGGCTGAGCAGCAGGCACTTCTTGAGGGTCCGTCGATGAAGCCTCCGCCTGGCGTTATACCGAACTTGGTGAATCCCCCGAACAAAAACGATTTGGGATACGGTGTCGCCACCGCCTCTGCTCTGCTCTGTGGGTTACTAGTCGTCCTCCGCCTGTACGCTCGAGCCTTCTATCACAAGAAGATGGTTATTGAGGACTGTAAGTGGACCCGTATTGCCCTAGCGAGCGGGTTTTGGTTCATATGCTGATGATGGTTAGCCATTGCGGTTGCCGCGCTGGTAAGATCTTAACGCCACTCCATCAACACTATTAAATCTAATTGAGCCCAAGGGGGTGCTCGCTGGCTATCTCTATTGCGTCTGGAAGGTTATTGACCACCCTGGGATCTTCATTCACCTATGGCATGTTCGGATGAAGGATTTACCTCACGTCCTCTACGTGAGTTTCACTGAAAGACATCACTGGTAGTGTTGGCTGATACGCGCAGTATATGAGCACCGGAGCCACTGTCTACGGAAATGTCATCATGCTCCTCAAGACTGGTATACTCCTCGAATGGGCCAGAATATTTGTTCCTCAAGGGTTCAAGAATGCGTTCTGGTGGACCTGCCACTCCGTTATCGTCGTGAACGTCATGTTCTACGTTATCTGCACATTTGTGGAGATATTTGGATGCAACCCACGACGAAAACTTTGGGAGCCCACTTTGCCAGGGACGTGTATGGACATGGCTAAGGTCAACATTGTCTCAGCATCCATCAACTTCGCTTCGGACGTTATCATTCTGTTCCTCCCGCAGAAGGTTATTTGGGGGCTACATATGTCTTTGAAGAAGAAGTTTGGAGTTGGAACTCTCTTTGCAGTAGGCGTCTTGTATGTCCCCTACACTCTGAGTAATTTGAGGAATCGGCTAACCAGCATTGATAAAGCGCTTGTGTCTGTGCCGGTTTCCGCATTCACAGTGCGTCAAACTTCTCGCGCAGCGACGATATACTCTACAGTGCTTCTGATATGGGGCTATGGTGTCTTGCCGAGATGGTGGCGGGGTTCTTTGTTTTTTGCTTGCCCGCCACACCTAAGCTTCTCGCCGACTCGCCTTGGATGCGCAAGATCCTTTCGACTTTCAAGACCTTCTCAAAGCAAACTTCCGAAAAGCAGTCAAGCTCCTCTGGCCCGGTTCCTATCCCGTTCCGCCGTACGTTGAAGCCTTCGGCAGACCCGGAAAGCCTATTCACGGACTCAGACAAATCGGACTTTCTCCCTCTCTCAAACGTCAGCGTCACTTCGGAGTTTACTCTCCAAGAGCACATCGAAACTAAAGATGTGGCAGACAAGAACAACACTCGTGCTCAATACCAGTACACGCTACCCTAGATAGGCTTAGGAAACCGCGTAAGGTCTGGGTTTTTCTAAAGAGTGGTACAGTGGATCTACACGAAGGCCGATACACGTTGCGTGTTGGTGGCAATTCCACCGGTCAGATAAGATATTATGGTTTGCATGGACTATCAGAAGGTATGTTGGTTCAAACGCGTCATTGCGATGGACTATTAGCTGCGGCTCAGGGGTGTCCAACAAAATTTCCTGCTTCGGTCCAATACTTCGGAACTTCTGTGTAGTGTAACTTTCACATAGAAAGCGAAGCTAGACTGTTTGACTGTTAATATTGATACTTGGATCCTTATCTTTTCTCTTCGTCTAGAATGCTCGCATCTTTCCTGCCGCGGGATAGATTCATAAATGAGAAACACGGGCAGAGAGTGCATACGCTCTCCCATCTTGACTCCTACCCAGGTAGTTTTGAGAGCTAGTTGACCGTGGTTCGTGCTGTTCGTAAGTACAAATCTGCATGCGCGCTGCAATCCCTGTACTCGGTGCCTTCCTTGGCTTGGTTATATTCGTCTCTAGTCTGCCTGGTGGCCGGGAAGCTGCATGTCATCCTGCAATAAACCTGCGCATCTCGCCAAGGCAGCCGGCGCCGTTCCGACAGCTTGGTTCGTCGTTATCATAATGCAGGCTGGAGCCAAGAAAAATTCAATGTACACTGCCTGCTACCTCTTGTCGCAACCATTCATCGCCATTAGCGCCCTTTTTCGGACTCCGAATAGGCATTGCGAATTATTCGCTGTGTTTGTGAAACGAAAGTGTTGGGAAAGCCATGATTCACTGTTATATGCCAAGGGGGCACAGTCTCTTGCATACCTACGGTAGCTGCGCTATCGCCCCACTGAAACCGTTTTGTGGTCTGACTCACGTTTCGCTCCCACAAGGCTGTCCTCTATTGCGTTCACGTATCCTCCTGCAGAGGACAGCTTCCTCCGTCGGCGGACGAGCTGGACGGCCATCCGCGTTTCTGACTTCCTAATTTGCCTTCCGATCCAGCGCTTGGACGAGAGCCCACGATGCCGACATTTCAGCTCATACTGGATCTTTGCAAGCTGCTTCTAGCCGCTTTCACGCTGAGAGTAGGGTTGATCGCTCGACTTCTGGTTCTATTGCTAACTCTTCCAGTGTGTTCTGGTGTATTCCTATCGCATCTTCCTCCATCCCCTGCACTCGTATCCGGGACCCTTCATCGCAAAACTAACAGACTGGTACGGTGCATACTATGCAATTCAAAGACGCCTCCACGTAGTCACATATGAGGATCATCGGAAATATGGTGCAGTGCTGTCTAGAACGGTATCTCGTCGAAAATCGCTAACGAAGAACCTTAGGACGCGTCCTCCGTCAAGGGCCGAACAAGCTAGTCTTCAACTCCGTCGAAGCACTCCACGGTAAGGATGGTTCTTGCTCGTCCATCATGCAAGCTAACCGGAGCAGACATATACCAGAATGACCTCCTGTCAAAAGCGAGCTCATACCTGGTAACTCAGGTATCGCCTTCGATATTCAATCTGTTCAACGTCATCGACAAGCGCCTGCACCGCACCAAGCGGCGCATTATCGGGCAAGGTTTGAATGAGCGAGCGATGCGCCAGTTCGAGCCCGTCATGAACGAGCAGATCACCATCTTTCTGAAACAGCTCATCAGCTGCTGCCAAGAGGGCGAACCTGCAGACATGAGTGATAGATGCAGCTGGCTTGGCCTAGATATCAGCGGCGAGCTAGGTTTCGGACGCGGCTTCGAACTGCAGACCGACACTAAGAACCGTTGGATGCCCAAGGGAATTTCCACGTCAAACTACCGCATCAGCGTTTACATTCAGTTTCCGGCGCTTAAACATATTGGGTGGGAAAAGCTGTTCTTGCCAATCGTTCTGCCCAAGGTGCTCCGATTCCATAGGATGGTAAACGGCATGATTAAGGCGCGCCTCGCGGAAGAGAAGCACGCCAGGCCGGATCTATTTTCCTCTGTCTCAGACTTCAAGGACCCTGAGACTGGTGAGGGTTTGAGCAGAAGGGAGCTATGGTCTGAATCTACGTTCCTAATTCCCGCTGGTAAGCCGTCCATGGCATCTCGGCGAACAGTCCAAAGCGGCGTACTGACAACGTGCACTCAGGAGGAGACACCACCTCCACCCTAATGGCTGCCTCTTTCTTTTATCTCTCGCGTTATCCCCCCGTCTATCGGCGGCTAGCCACGGAGATCCGCAACACTTTCAGCGCCGGCGCCGAAATAAAAAGCGGGCCCAAACTCGCTAGTTGCACCTACCTGCGTGCGGTTCTTGAGGAAGCACTTCGTATCACGCCGCCCAGTGGTACTACGCTGTGGCGGGATGTACCAGAGGATGCGAATAGCGCCAGTCCTCTCATCATCGACGGCCATGTAATTCCACCCGGTACTCGCGTTGGCCTCAACATATACACCCTTCACCATAACGAAGAGTACTTCCCAGAGCCGTTTAAGTTTAAGCCGGAGAGGTGGCTACCAAAAGAGAATGGATTGAGTGCGGAGGAGACGAAGCGCATGCATGATGCGTTTAGTCCATTTTCGATCGGGTCGCGAGCTTGTGCTGGGAAGGCAATGGTATACCTGGAGGCAAGTCTTGTTGTAGCAAAAACGGTGTGGTACTTCGATTTTGAATGTGTGGATGAAGGGGAGAGTCCGGTTTTCCAAACGGAGGATCAGTTTGGCTCTCGGCATTCGGGGCCTAAGTTGAAGTTTTGGCTCAGAGGAGACATGTGGAAGGAGTTGTAGAGAGTATCGAGGGAGATAAGAAAATATTTCGCTAGTGTATCAATTCTATCTAGGTGGTCATCATAGGTGGCGCCCCAATAAATGGCACCCACCTTCATTCACTGCCCTTGTTTGATCCTCAAAAGGCTATCCTAAACCCGTCCAGCCAAATCAAGCAAGCCACTAGCTCAATCCTCGATTTTGGCTATAGCTGCTGCCATGCCTTTGACATTTCATCCCCCTCCCTGCTCCAGTTGTCATTCATGACTGAATCCTCCACACCCATCCAACTAACATGTCAACATTCCGCTCGTTCGCCCTTAGCTAATGGTAGATTTCGACGGCAAACCCCGCTTCCTTGAGCTCGTCCCATTTCGGATTGTCGTCTGAACACATGGTCGGATAATCAACGCCTCGATCATTCCGGCAGTGAAGTTCTAGGGTCCGCAGGTGTGGGAAAGAGCCCATGCTAAGGAGAAAGCAATCTAGAAAGTCGCACAGTTGCTTAGTGGGGTACAGGAGTCCAAGAGTTTGCAAGCTAGCGGGAAGCAGTTGGCAGAGGTCTGGAATAGGCTCGCCATCTTTGAAGAGTGCGTCTTGCGGCAGGACGAGTGTCTTGAGCTTGGTGAGGACAGTAAGGGTGGTTGGCGAAGGAAGAGTCCCGAAAGGATTGATGGAATCCAAAAACCCGGGGTCCTCCCCGCTCTTCACACCCAGCCAGAAGCTCTCGAGTCTGTCTGAGAGGTACTCTAGTTGAGGTCCGAGATAGTCCCAATCGCCGCAGTGACGGGAAGCGTCATATAGTCGTACAAGCGTTCCAGGTCCTCTGCCGGGATCTGGAAGGTGCAGCAGGTTGCTGATGTGAACTTCCAGGCGCGCCATGTTGGAGAATATCGGGTGGGCTAGTGAGTGGCCCAGATGGGGCTGTACGGCATGAGAATCGAAGGGAACCCTTTGCGTTATCGCCAAAGTCGTAATGGCCGATATAGTACCAGGTGAGATGCCGTGATTTGCCATTTCCTCAGGTACAGGCATATGGCATACTACGCCAAGACGGAGGAATTGAAGAGACGATAGCTTGAGCCATTCCCATTGGAAGTAATCGCCGTAGAAATGAAGATGTTGCAGACCCTTCAAGCCAGGTATGAGGTTCAGGTCAATGGTGCCGCCCATCTTATCGCCTCGAAATAGCTTCTGCCATATGTGATACGTCGGGCCATCCTCTGGAGTAACGCTTAAGGGCTGAAATTCGAGCACCTTCAACGTGGGAACGATAGCCAGCAGAACTCCTCCCCATGCGTCATGGTCTCCCAAGTCCAGCTTGGCAATCCAGTCTTCCCGTACACTTGCCGAAGCAAATTTCCGAACTACTTCCACACCTTTGCGCCGCATCTCCGCAAAGCCAAATCCCTCCTCTGGCACGCGACATAGGCCCGTGCTGAAAGTAAGCCGGTGGACCTTCTCCGCGTACTCCGGGTTGTCGAGCAGTGTGCGGATAAGATGAAGCAGCCGATCGTCCGGCTCCGTTCGCAATCCGTCACGGCCATATGGTGGGGGTATATACGGTCGGCTGTAGAGGATGTCCCGCGCGATAGGGCTGAATTTTTTGCTGACAAGGTTGAGGCTGCAGAGTGACTGCTGATCGAGCGAGGACGCGACATTGACCAGCAACTCGTTGGCGAGCGATGTGATGGACGCCATCGCTGGTAGGAAATTGTAGGTGTGGGCTTGATGTAGCTGTTATATGAGTGGTGCTACGGATTTCAGAGTTGTAGAGAAGAGAAAGTGAAGAGAAGAGAAGAGGAGTGAAGAGCAAGTGAAGAAAGTGATGTAGGACCATGGTCGGGCGCGACTTCCCTACACGTCAGAGACTTGGCAAGGGTCATGTGAGTCAATCATTCACTGCCCAGTCACGAACCTTGTAAGACTCACAGGGTCCGACCACTGCCCAGTCACGAACCTAAAAGAGTGTAAACACATCAATACTCATACCTTTTCTCGCCGCTGAAAGCACAGAGACGTCCTCCCACCAGCAAGCCCCCTCCGCTCACCCACCACCCACCCGCGTCCTTTTCCTCTCCCTGATAGTCTCAAGCTGCAGTTCCGTCAGTATTTCCATTCTCCTACTAAGAAAAGGTCCACTTACCTCTCCCTCAAACCTCTCCTCCACCGCCATATCGAGCAACATCTCCTTGTACTTCTCTTTGATCTGCACCCTGAACTTCTCCCGCTTGAGCTCCCAGATGACGTTAGCATCCGTGGCCTCTTCGATCTTCTTGTCTAGTTCCTTGACTGTTGGCGTGGTCCCATTGGCGTCTTCGACGAGTTTTGCAATTTGAGCGTAGCGTTCTGCGGCCTCTTGGAGTGTTTGGGGGTATGACGGAGTAGCAGAGACTTGCATACCGATGTCGAAGTATTTGCTCGCCTTTTCTGCGTCGACGACTATGATGGAGGTTGTTGGGAGAAGCGTCCCTTTGTCGTAGTGTTCGTCCATGAGCTTGCTGAACCTTCCTAGACCGCCGCGAACGTCCAGGCCGACATGCTGAAGAGACCCGAGCCACATCTTCCGACGAAAGTAGACTGATGCGTTGATGCGGCTTACGTCCTCCTTTTTACAGAAAACGTCTCGTTCGTTCTGGATGGACTTTAGGCGACCTGGGGGTATGAATAACAGCCACCCGTCCATGGAGTTCGCCTCTACGGAGTTGAGAAAGTATAAGAAAGACTTCTGCACATCGAAAGGGTCGAACAGGAAGAACGGGGTATTTTCCAGTTGCTGGGTCAGGTCCGTTTTCAGCTTGAGATGGCGCGGCAAAATCCCTGTGTCTTATTAGCAAATGTCCACAGTTGCTAACCTGCGTTTGACTTACAGAGATACCGAGGATCGACCTCTTCCTGCTCCGCCATCGTGATGCCGTCGCAGTCGAGACTTCGAAGAAGAGTTCCGAGTATGAGAGAGGAGATAGACGACAAGGAAAACTGCAGGGAGAAAGTATAGAGCTAGGCGAGACGCTATAAGTGAAGCCCAGCTCTACAAAGTTGGGGTGAGAATCAGACTTTGTACGAAGTAAAGCGCAACGTAAGTGAAGGTGGCATAGATCCTCAGCTTTCGCACTCACCTCAAGGGTCGACGCGACGACTAGAGTGCAAAAACTTCAAATTCGAACAAACATATATACATCCAGACACCACATTCCAACTCAAAACAAAAGAAAAATGCCACTAGATCCATCCATGCATATCCACCCAGGGTATCACAAACTCCGTTGCAAATGCCATCCAATCCACACCCAGTCGTGAGATACGTCCGCACCCTCAAGGCACACCCACCATCTCGAGCTGCCCCGCCCTCCCCTCCTTCACCTTAATCATCCTACTACGGATGACCGGCAAGTTCTCCTTATCGCTTTCCCCACTCGTATTCAGCATAGGCAAGCCCAGCCTACTGCGTCTCGAGCTCGCGCTAGCAGGTTGCGCCTGCGTCATATCGACGGCCGAATCAACAATACCCAATCCCTCCACAGCCACTTCGAGTTCTTCCACGCGGCTGTCCTCCTTGTCTTTGATAGCGTGGCGGTGCACGCGTGCGAGGTACTTAGCCTCCTCCGCAGAGCCGGGAAGGTAGACCCGCTTAGCGCCCAGTGTGCGCTTAATGTCTTCAAGAAGGACCTCCATGGGGCAAATGTATGCGATGTGATTCCGTTCGCACCATGCGAGGACGTGACCGACTACGCGGTGGGTGCCGTTTTGTACGACCCATGCACCAGAATCGCCGCCGACTATGCTTCCCTTAGCCAGGGAGAGACAAAGGGGTAGAGTATGCTTACCTCCAAATCCGCCAGCGACATGCCAGCTCCTCGAGAAAGTTTTGCGTCGGTAGATGCGCACGGAGCTCATGGCAGGTCCGACCATACCACCCTGCAATCCCGTGGTCCGTCCGAAGCAATGCACGTTGAGACCACCCAAGTTATCGGCGCTGGCGACTCCATTTGGGTACTCGTCTTCGTCCGGGGTATAGTGGCGTCTGGAGACAGGTTGTTCCAGCTTTTCAGAAATCTTACGCTGATCCGGCTCGAGGGTACGGTTGAAGCAGAATCGTCTCCCACCTTGAACGAGGTTGTAGGGTTGTAAGCGATCCTCATTCAATTTGAGAAGAGCCCAATCGATCTCGTGGATGATGCCGTTTTTCTTCCAACGACGAATCCCGGAAGATGCGTGAATATAACCTAGTTCATGAGAAGAGAGGTGATCGTCGTCGCGATCCTCCTCGTTAGGAAAGAAGTTATCATCAATGTCGTCAATTGCTGGCTGGGTGATCTTGATTTCATCACCCTCACCTACATCAATACCTTCGATATCGCCGGTGGTTCCCTTAGAAGTCGTGGAATCAGCGAGGTTGTCGCCTTCCTCGGATTCTTCGTCTGAGTCAAACTCGGAGTCTGACGATAGGTGAAAGGATTCATAGTCATCGTCATCGCTCTTCATGTCCTCGTCATCGGAGATCTCCAGGTCCCACATGGGCATTGGCGAGCTAGGCGCGATTTGCACACCAGGTTGGGAACCCATACCTAGCAACCATGGGTTGGTCGTGTTATTGGCGCTGGAAAGAACTGCGTCGTTTGGGCCGGGACTCATTGCGTCGCCATCCTCACTCTCATCGTCGGAGGGAGCATCCAAGAGATGGTGGACGCCTGAGAGTCGTTAGCAACTAGGTCCCCAAGAACGACCAACTACGTACTCATTCCCAGAGGCTCCTCGTCGACAAGAATGACACCCCCATAGGATACCGGCGGCAAGTGTTCACCGTTGAAGGCCCCGATCGAGGCACCACAGACAGGGCGCTGTTGATGAAAAGGGTTCATAATGGGCATGTCGCCATCGTAGCTGTCCGTGTTCATCATGGAGCGGTGCGGCAGGCGCCTTCGACGACTGGACCTGTTCATCTTCGATCGTCGAACCCTGCCACGTCGAACTTTCAAATCATAGATCTTGGCGTCGTACCCAAATCGGCGCTGCAGGACAGCTTTAACCTTTGCGACGCTGCTGCAGGTAACCAAGATGGTGGGCCGCGCCTTGTCTTGAGTCTCGCCGATGGCTACTAGGTCGATGCTGACGGTCTCGTCGCAGTCTCTTAGTGCGCGCTCGATGAGGCGCTCCAAGCGGGGCAGCATTGTCTCATGCCATTCGTTGACTATCTTATCAGAAAACTTGGCTGGGTGCAGTCGGAGCTTTGGACGTGCGGCAGCGTCCATTTGGGTGTCGATCTCCAGCGAAGAGCGCTTTGGACTTGAGCTAGTATCCATATGTCGCTGTATGTGAATGGAGTGAGTTGCGTATTGCTCGTGCTTTTGGAAAACTTGGGTAGAATGGTCTTCGGGTTCAGGCGTGGGGTAGCCGATTGCTGCTTGCGGCCAGTGGCGAATGCCGTCGGTCAGAAGAGCGGTGATGGTGTTAGGTTGGTTCTGTTTTCTTTGTCGCCACAATTTTTGAATCAGCGTGATTTTATCTTTGTAATCCTTCAGTGACATGGATCTCGGCGGGGTAGCATATGACTCCGTCTGCGACGCCCGCCATGCGCGCTGTATCACGTTTGCAGCATTGGCCACCTTCTCTTCACCCCGTTCCTGCGAGTCTGGAGGCGTATCCACGAGAGTACCCGATTCCTCGAGCGGATCTCGTTCGCGCTGCCAGTCCATCGCCTGCGGCAATTCCTCTTTCGGGCTCATCAGATGCGAAATGGACTTTCGCACAGAGTGCTGCGAGCGTTGCGAGCCGTGGCGCGAGAGTGATGAGAGGTTCGGTGAGCTCTTTGGGGAGGATTTTGTTAGCGACTTCGTTCTTTCGAGAGCGTGCGAGCCCTTTTCCAGAGCCCAGCGCTTTGCACTTCGGTATGATGGGCTTGACGATAGATCGGTTGCCTGGATAGGTGTGGCAGTCTTGCGCTTGAGCGATGAGGAGCCGGCGATAGGCGGCGTGCCCGAGCTCAACTCACCCCATTCGAAGCCAGGCTCCACCTCGTCGAGAAGGCAGCAACGCTGCAGTCTAATGAGTATGCGATTGTAAAGTTGCGAAAAGTTCTGCAGACTCTCCGCACCGGACGCGATTCGATCGGCCGCCCAGAAACAATCGCGCACGACCTGCATATATGCCGTCCCGCACTTTGACGCCAAGCGCCGAATATACACATCTTCTACCCGCTGCTTGAAGTCGGCGAGGGTATACTTGGGCTTCCACAAGTCGGCAAGTGGTTGCCAGAGGCCAACCTCGAGAAGAATCAGACCCAGGCTGTACAGGTCAAACTGAGGCCCATACTGCTTCTCTTTCTCCCCTGTAAACTTGGGATCTTCCGGATGGCGGTAAATGTTGAGCGGCGGCATCGTGTTGGGGGGCTCAATGTCGTACTCGGAGAACAAGTCAAACGAGCAGATGACAGGAGATCGAAGGGCGTACTGCAACGCCCTGCTGTTCATTGACTGGCGGCGATTCTTCCGGAAGACCAGTATGTTGCTGCTGTTGACGTCTTTGTGGACGAACTCGTCTCCGTGGATCTTGCTGAAGGTAAGACCCAGGGTGAACGCCAGGCGGAAGCGATCTTCAAGAGGCGGGGTTGCACTGTTGGAGTTGTGGAGGGACTTGGATCCCGTTTGAAGTACGCTGAGGAGGGTCACGGGGCGCAGCTCCTCCAGTGACTTGTGTGAGTCAGAGGCGCCGGAGTAGACGAATGAGGGGAGTTCGAACACCAAACCAAATCGGGGTTGCTTTGGGTCTTCGAAGTATCCGAGGCAAGTAAGCGTGCCGTGGAACGACTGGTCGCTTTGCAGTTTCGCCAGAATTGAGAGGAGCGTGTCCAGTCTGTTGGTGGGGGGAGGTACCTCGGTGAAGCGATAGGCGGGATCATACGTCGCGTACTCAACCAGCACCGGGGTCTCGATCGTCTTGCTCCCGTCGGTCTTCCAGGGGTTCGTTGAGCTGTGTCTGGTCCGTAACCGGCCGATGACTCGGATAGAGGACTTGCCGACGCTCTCATATGGCGGAGGCTCTTCCTGGGGCAGGACAAGGTCGGAGGGGTCCAGCTTCGGCGGGAGGTTCGAGCGGGAGGGTATGGTTGGCAGTGCTGGCGCGACAGGGATTGTGGCGGGGTTAATGAGGGTGACGTCGGAGGCACTGTATTCAGGCGACAGGAACACTCCAGCTGTGTTCGATGGCTTTGGGGGCTCTGGGACGAATTTCGAGCTGGGACCGTGACCGCGGGCGCCTTCTCGCTGGGTTCTTCGTGCCCTCGAGAGGTCGTAGAGGATGTCGATGGCAGTCGTGAGGTCCTTGGCGAGGTTTTCGTACCGTGACCGGTCTGAGGCCGCCCACGAGGGGGGATCAGATGCAGCTGGCCGGACCTTTTCTCCTGACAGCGATTTGGCACCTGCAGCCACGGCGGGTGAGTGCATTCGCTCCGCCTCATCGAGGATGTCTTTGATGGTGCCCAGCACGCTCGTCACCGTCCCGGTAAAGCCTGCCCGCTCGACGCTCTCGTCGATGTCGCCCTGCGTCCCCTTGGTGTTGTCGCTCCATTCCAGCCCCCAAGCGATGAGCCTGTCCTTTTGTATGCGGTATTTGCGGTGCAGCGCGGTGACTTCGGGCTGGGCGTCTGGTGGTGCGTCTTGTTCTATTACAGCGTCGCAGGACGTCTTCGTGTCGGAGTAGAGCTGCGTCAAGCGTCGCGGAAGTCTGCTGAAGGTTTCCATGTTGGAGTAAGTCTGAGCGTAGTTCAGTGGATAGGGCTGCGCCGCGTTAAAAGGCGGCATTGAGCGTAGGCATGAAGAACGGCGGTATAGCGACTGCCTTGAGCGTCGTCGTCACGGCAGCAGGCGGTATAATAAGCTGGGGGGTGCATTTCGTGGATGCCTAGTCCGTCTCCGCCGCCGAGGTGTGGAGCGTGGAGGGGCACCGCCACTGCCTGTGGCAGCCAACCAGGCCTCACGCCCCTTGCACCCGCGGCACCTCCGTCCACAAGCGCGATCTTGGTATGGCTCAGCCCCCAGGCTTCCCTAATCGCGTCAACGTATGCGGTGTCTAACTCATTGCAAGGCAGATGCGGCGCAGTCGTGTCCTTACTTTCAAGGCAGTTTACAGAAGACCGAGCAATTTGGCATCGACGGTGCGTGCCCTGTCGCACTGAAGCATGACTCCCGAGCGAGACACTCCTTTCCGCATGACCGCTCCAATTAACACTACCTACGTCAATCCCTCACCACAAGAAGATTCGACCCCCCACTACAAGTCTCAGTTATCCTGTTGCGCCCTTGGCTAGAGGCGTACAATCTCCATCACTCGTCTTCCCAAAGTAGTTAGGAGAATGGTCCTCGCAGTTGGTGGGCCACACCGCCGGACCAGGCGCCGTGTAATTGCGCAGCGGCGGCCAATACAGACCGACCAGAATGCCCGGCTCATTCCCAGTATAAGCACCCGGAAACTTCACCGTTGGTCCTGGACTACCCCTCCCACCGCCGGTTACTTCGAGCTGCGCACACCCGATATAAAACTGCGCACCACCCACCGTTCCCGCACTATGTAGCGCGAGCCCCTCCGCACGCATCAAATACTGCCCGCTCGGCAGCGTCGTTGGCAGCGTGAATGTGAAATTGTAAATACCGACGTTATCCTTGAACGGCGCCCAGAAGATCGGGTCGTTGGTGAGATTTGACGTCGTGAGGGAGTACACCTTGAACCAATCCCCATCGCCCTTGTACGATTGTGCCATCCCGGGCGCCTTGCTCAAATACACCTGCTGGATGCCGGGATGCCCAAAGATGTCGCGGATGCGGAAGCCGACCTGGTCGCCTGGCTTGACGCTGAGCGTCTTTGTTGCGCTCATGACGTCGTCGTCGATGCCGCCATTGTTGCAGATTATGTCTTTGGAGGAGACGTCTGTGATGGGACCGTTGCTGTTCTTGGTGCGGCGTACGTATTCGTATACGCCAGTGTCTTTGCCATTTAGGAGGACGGACTCGTAGTTCCCTGGTGACGCATATGTGATGAGCTTATATTTGGGCGCAGGACTTGTATGGGACTTGTTTACGTACAGTGGGCGAAGACGGGCGTGAAAATCGCGGCGAAGGCCACGGCGGTGCAAGGGGACCAACGCATCGTGGGCGAGGATCTAGAGTCTTACAGAGAAGAGTAAGAAGACGCATCACGATGGAACAAAGTTAGCAATGCTATATATACACCATCCTTTGGAAACCATTGCACCTACTTAGCGCTACCGTTAGAATAAGAGACAGGAAGGTGGAGTCAAATATGCCACGAATAAAACATGAGAGATAGTTACATCTGCTCGTAGATACTACGCGAAGAATATTAGGCGGAGAATCTAATTGCGTAGCGAGGTACGAGCGGAGCAATTATAATTTAGGCTTATACTGTAGGATGCATGGGCTCGAATTGTTCCCCACTCGTGGAAAAGGTGCAATCTATAATGCGGAACAATCTCCGCTTAGCATGCTAGGGTAGGGGGTTAATTGTAGTTATCGCGAGAGCACTGCAGAGAATAGAATAAAAGCTACGGACTGTCCGCTTTTAACGCACAGAACTATTAGAGCGATCCAAAGGTGCGTTCTTTCGCAGGTTTTGGCCCAATTGAGCCGGTGCGAGGCCTTGGACAGTTCTTTTCCTTCCCTGAGGGCAGTCATCTCCATTACGACGAGAGGTCTGTATATCAACTTCCATGCAGGTTCGTGGCAACATGTTCAAATCGAATCTTTCGTGCCTCTTCGGCCTTGTCCTCACGACAAGCTCCCTAATCGCCAACGCCGCGGCGCAAACCCCAACATTCACAAACCCCGTCCTGTACGAAGACTTCCCCGACAACGACGTCTTCGTCGGCCCCGATGACGCATACTACTTCTCAGCCTCCAGCTTTCACTACAGCCCTGGCGCCCCCATCCTCAAGTCCCACGACCTGGTCAATTGGGAACTCATATCCCATTCAGTCCCACGCCTTGACTTTGGCTCTGGCTATGATCTTGCTCCCGAGACACGCACCTATCGGGGCGGCATTTGGGCATCCACCATGCGGTATCGCCAAAGCAATGGCCTGTGGTACTGGCTCGGCTGCACGAATTTCTGGAACAATTGGATTTACAGTGCGCCAAATGCCACCGGGCCGTGGACCAGGCTGGCGTACCTAGGTGGCGGGAACTGCTACTATGACACGGGTATGCTGATCGACGATGACGATGTCATGTATGTCGTGTACGGCAATCCTAACGTGCGCATCGCACAACTCGCGTCGGATGCGAAGAGCGAGGTTAAGTCTACCAGCGTACTGAATGCTACGGATGTAGGTGTCGATGCCATTGAAGGGAACCGTCTCTACAAGATCAACGGTACTTACTACATCCTGAACGACCACCCGGGCGATACGACCTATGTCTGGAAATCGATGAGTGGGAGTATCTGGGGTCCGTATGAGTCGAAGGTTCTGGTCAAGAACGTCAAACCACCTATTGAAGGAGGCAGCTCGCCGCACCAGGGGAGTCTAGTCAGGACAGGGAACGGGGATTGGTATTATATGTCGTTTACGTGGGCGTATCCAGCAGGCCGGTTGCCCGTCCTCGCACCCATAACTTGGGGCCCTGATGGCTTCCCTACCTTCGTCAACGGGAGCAATGGCGGCTGGGGAGCTTCGTACCCTTTACCTCTCCCAGCCAAGCAAACACCGCCTTGGACTGGCACATACAGATTCAACTACAGTACACTCCCCCCGCAGTTTGAATGGAACCACGATCCGGATATTTCCAAGTTCTCTGTGGACAACGGCTTGACACTTTCCACAGCCAGCGTCACAAGCGACCTCTATCAAGCACGCAACACACTCACGCACCGCACCCACGGCGAATTCCCCACTGCAACCGTCCAACTCGACATCAGTGAGCTGGCAGAAGGTGACCGCACAGGCCTCGCAGCCTTTCGCGACCGCAGCGCATACATCGGGATCCACCGCTCCAACGGCACAAACACCATTATTGCCGCCTTCAACGCCACCATCGATGAGTTCTCGGGCGCCACACTCGACAACGGGACTATCGTGGCTAGTATACCAGTACCATCCGACACAAGGATATTGTGGGTCCGCACGAACTTGGATGCGCGGCCAAATGGGAGCAAGGCCGCGGAGTTCTTTTACAGCATGGATGGGAGGAGGTGGGAGCAGTTGGGGGGTACGTATGAGCTGTATACCGGTTGGGCTTTTTTTCTGGGGTACAGGTTTGCCGTGTTTAATTATGCGACTGTGGCGCTTGGGGGGCAGATAAGGATTAAGGAGTGGACCGTGGCATAGATGGATGTGTGTTTAGGATTCGTAGACTGGGTTGTTTCGCTGAGCACTACCGCCGCCGTGATTCGCATACTCTGAGACCGCGATTGCGTAGCAGAAACCAGTCGTGAGGATAGATAGTGAAACCGCAAGCGAGAAGTGTCCTGCTGAGGCTGCAGCCTTGTCTCGCAACCTTGGAGCAAACATTACCCAGCGGCTTAGTCCTGTGACCTTCCACCGTGATACAAGGGAGCCTCCCTCGAATCAGGCTTGTTCCTGATCTACCACTCCAAACGCAGACTCTCCGCCCAGGTACCCTTCTTCTCCACCCTCAGCACCTCGCCCACATTTCCCTCCCCCAAATCCGCCCCATATAGATGTGCAAAGCATCCCCTACCGACCTCTTCCCACTTCACCTCGGCCTTCCCCTCCGTCTTAACCCTGCCATCCCCATCTGTGCCCGCTGCAAGCACCTCGTACTTGATCTTCAGCAGCCATAGCTCGGTGCAGCCGCCGAAGAATCTGTCTGCCGTGCCGGGCACTTGCTCGGATGTCGAGAGATGAATGAAGCCATCGTTGCGGTCGAGGTCTGAGAGCGGGAGGCGTTCGGGAAGCGGTGACGGTGGTGCGGCGGGCAGGATCTTGTAGAGGTAGTTTGGGAGGGCCGACGGCGCGGACATTACGGGATAGCGAGGAGCCGGGTCTTGCGAAGTGAGCAGGAGTTCGGTGTAATACCTAGGTACACTCGAGAACTTCAGGACATGTTTTGCTAAGTCTACTGTCCACGGGTGTTGGAGTAACCTTCCGAGTACATCGGTAGCGTGCCGCGATCCGATTGGCCAGACCCTGCTATGACGTCTACGCGTCCCCATCCGCGTCAAGCTTCACTTCTGCCTCTGCCTCAGCCTCAATCCACAACCCCTGACCAGCTACAGCTCACGCAAAATGCCACGCCTAGACGAAAACACGCAGCAATATCTCCGCGATGCCGAGCAAGGCGTGCGCCGCCGCACTGCCAGCGCCTGGGACAGCTTCACCAACTTCGCGCTGCGCGACAACGTGCTCGAAGTAGCCGTCGGCCTAATGTAGGCAGCTGCAACATTTCGCCATGCATCCCAATCCTAACACCCCAAAGAATAGCAGCAGCATTTAGCGCCTGCGCCAACTCGCTCGTCACCGACATCATCCTGCCCCTCATCTCACTCCTGCCCTTCCTCGCGCGCAACCTCGACGAGAAATTCGCGACGCTCAAGCACGGCCCGCACTACAACGCGACGATCGCGAACGGGTACAATACCAAGGCGCAGGCGCTCGATGATGGCGCGGTGGTGTTCGCGTATGGCAGCTTTCTGGATCGGCTGGTGCGGTTCTTGTGTATTGCGGTCGCGCTGTGGGTTATTGCCTTGGTGTACTCGCGCACGACGGATGATAATATCGTGAAGAAGCAGGTCAAGTGCAAGTACTGCAGGAAGTATATTAGCGAGAAGGCGGGGAGGTGTGTGAATTGCACGAGTTGGCAGGATGGGAGGGAGGATCGCGGGTAGGAATGAATGCACTGATTTTGGAGATCTAGTATCAATGTCTAATAATGTTGGAAGTTCGCTCAAGTTGTAGGTTGACACGCGGCTTCGTTGGAGGCGTCGACTAGCAAGCTCTAAAATGAGGTGGCCCTTCACGCTTTACTCTGCAATCATATCTCGTTGCTCGATACCAGGTATTCAATAGGAAAACGTTGGTCGTAAGTGAGTGATGCCTAGTCTGAGAACAAGTATCTAACACTGTTAGGAGCGCGCCCATTGATCGGTTGGAGCCGCGACCGAAGCCATTACGAGAGACCAGGACATAGCACCAGTCATAGAAGCAGGAAGGTTACTTCTGTGTAATCGACACTTGTCGCTTCACATTGGGCTTCGAACTAAGAAAAACTTTCCCTGAGGATCAATGGAGACCTTGAGACGACCGTCCATCCTTTTTATCTTTCCGGCATTACGCCCCCGGGCATGCATGGGGGAATTTTCTCCATCTATCCCCATTAAGAACCCTTTCGCCGTACCTTCCCTTCGCCTCCTCCAGGGAACGCACTTAGTTGCAGTATAGATACCAATACCATCAATATCTCTGCTACTCCGGCCCGCACCTTCGCCGCCGATCGCAGCCGATCGCAGAAGCCCTGCATTATTATTACCGGCCTATCATCTTAAGACGGAAGGGAGATAATGCACGCCAACTGCTCGCTGTACATCAGTGATGTAGTCGTGCAGTACGGCTGTACTCCATTCGGCAATGAAGGAGACCTGAGTACACCGCATAAGTAGACTCGTGTAAGATCTACTAGGCATTGACGAATCGCTACTCAGGATTTAAGATTTCACCAACACCACAAGACGTTGTCTACCACTACTATGTAGAATATCAGTTCTCCCTAGTCTCCTGCATCTACCTACTCGCTGAACGTAGGTAGGCATTCTTCGCCTCGCCGACGAAAACGAACGAGGAGAGAAAGAGACGTTGGTGCTTCCCCAAGGCATATGATCGGATAGAATCGCACAACTCGCCCACTATAGAACCCACTCTACTCTGCCCATCTCGCCGTCGGCGTCGACCAAAGTAACTACCTTAACTACACGCCCATCTTTCCCCCGAATTCGAAAATACCCGCTATCTTCACCCCACCAACCCTCCTCGTGACATCCCCAAATACCACCGCAAAACCGCCGACCCCTCACCCAATCCGCTCTCTCTACCCCAGCACCTCTGCCCGCTCTTCTTGTCCGGATCAGCACTCAGGGTCCACACCAACACCAGCGGTCAGCTACTGTAGGCGGGACGATCCCGCCCGCCAGCGCTTCGCGCTGAGCATCGCAGACTGTAGGCCGAATGTTTCGAAACACACGCAAAACCAAGAAACGCGCGGGGGAAGGCAAGGGAAAATGCCCGCGGGCGGCGAAGATTATAGCCGGACGTGGACGCAGAAGCAGATCGGAGCGCCGAATGCAGCGACATGCACGATAGATCAACCTTGGGACGACTCGATGCGCCAACCATCGTAGGATGGAGGTATCGTATATCGTCTTCCCGACACATTCTCTCAATCGCGCGTCGCGCATGTGCAAATGTGCGATTATCGTATCAGCTCTTAGATGCGCGGCGCGTTGCGGCAAGCGCGCAAACCAAGCTCAAAATCCTCGTGTCGGGAATGCGGGGTGAGGTCACTTCACTCACGATGCGCGCTACAGTGGTGCAGCGACGCTACTTTAGCTGCGAGAAAAGCGTGCGCAAGTGTGGGGTTGGACAAGAGCAAAAGGTCCGAGATTGACCTGTCAGAGGTGTGCGATGGCGAATATCATGAGTAATTGGTAGCCGCTGTTGCCGGGCGTGGGACTTACTGCGGATGGAGTGCGGAAGGAGGGGGGTTAGGAAAGGGAAGATGGGAGAGAGGGAGGGAAGGAGAGATGATGGTAGATACCAATGTTTCCGTTCTATTGTGCTAATGCTATTACACACGATCCATCGATTAATCTGCTGTTGTTGCTGCTGCTGCGCGCGCAGTAGTGTTCTCCCCTATGTCTGTATGCAGTGTAAATGCTCACGCCCCGACGCCGCCCAATGCAGGCCCCAATGTATATGCAAGTGAATATGAAGGAAGGAAGGAAGGAAGATACCCAACGCCATGATGATGCGATGTATGCGACGCGATGCGATGCAATGAAGCCACTAACGCCAGAAGGTGCAGCAATGATAGAAAATGGACACGCCTCAACGCCGCCCAATGCAAAGGCCCCAATGCTCTTGCGACACTCTTCTAATGCTCCCAAGCTTGTGTGACCGGTGTGACAATCTGGATGTCCCCAAGCGTGTGCGCCCTTTGCTCTTTACAATCTTGACCTCTCGGCGACCTCGCCCCTCGCGTTCGACCGCGATCTCGACGACCTCCGGCGCTCCACGCCATCCTTGGTCTTCTTCGACTTTGTACGCCTCAGTGAAGGCATGTCGTCTTCCTCGGATTCGTCGACGGTGAAGAGATCCGGGCTGGGCTCCCTCCATGAATGACGATGGCCGGAGAGGGTTCGCGCGTATCGGCGGCGGCTGCGCGCCTTACGTGATAGAAGTTCTTGTGCTCGACCTCGGCTGGGCTCATTGGTGTCTGTAACAGTGATCCTTGGTGTAGGCGAGGTGAGCTGCGTTACCATGTGTGGAGTATCGTTCAAGCGGTCGTCCTCGAGCTGCATGAAGGACTCGTCATCGTTGTCTGGCCTGGGAGTGTGATAGTGGCTGTGTAGCTGAGCGTGGTTGGTCTTGACGTAGCGAGCCCATTTGTCTGCGACCGTGGACTTGAACTTGGATGCTTTCGACGTTCGGGGGGTGTCATGAACGGTGATGCCTGCGCTCAACGACAGTGGATCATAAGGGTCGTCTTCTTCTGCGACAGGGGTAAGGAAGTGAGCGAAGGGTTCCTCATCGATGTCCGGCAAGTCAGCCTGGGAGCGATCGCCAAAGTCGATGCTGTCAACGCATGGCGGAAACGAGTAGGACCTCGACTTCCTACTGCCGCCGAGGTACGACGGCATTGCTGAGACGATGTCCTTGACCGAACGAAGGCGCGAAGAGCGACGGACGGGGAGCGAGGGTCTAGCACTAGGCTCGACCTCGATGACGATAGTGGTTTGGATCCCTTTCTTTTTGTCCGGCCTGTGGCCGGTTGATGCCCGAGGCAACAGCTTTGGGGTGCTACTTGAAGGATAAAGAAGAGCAGTGGCGATGGGCTGGTCTTGTAGCTTGGCCAGCAGGATGGGAAAGGGAGAACAGCGCACGCGCAAGCCTTATATACGTGACTTTTGCATACGGGCGCTCGAAGAGCCGCGTGGTAAAATCACCGAGGCGCAGCGGATGGAGGTTCCGAGTAGGGGGTGTGAATCATAGAATGAGACAGGAGGGATGGTGCCTTGAGGAGGTGTTTGCCTAGTAGAAGACGGCGGAAGTGGCAAGAAAGCAACGGGAAGGAAGAGAAGCGTTTAATATCCCAAATTCCCCCTCGAGGACACCGAAGATCAGAAGCATATATGGAAGGATTCGTGCAGGAGTTATATAGACAGCAGAGAGAAGATGGAATGGACGGCGGCTCCTGCATGCCTCTGCAGCCTGCTGCAGCACTACATTAGCGGAAGAGGGCGGAAAAGCTTAGTTGAGCATAGACAAAAAGCGCAGCAGTCCCAAGGCGCAAACGAGTGAATGACAGACGGTGTGGGCGCGGGTTAGACACATGATGGCGGAGGGCGGGCGTGATGGTGTGCTGAGAAGGCCGCGAGAGGGTCATCTGGCAGGGCCGGGGTCACTGCCCTGCATGCGCATGCAGTGGTGTGCCCCCAGGACGTCGCAGCGCGGTATTGCAATCGGCCGTTTATGCAGGACACTGGCGATCGATTTGGGGCACGCAGATGGCGGGTGAAGCACAGCAGAGTAATTGAGCAAGCAACGTGAAGCAGACGATGCGGCGTGGGGGAGGTCCACTCTGAAGACCCTTGGCAGCCGGCCAATGGGAGCGCGCCTTCCGCGGCTTCTTAGCGGGGCACGCAACCACCAACCACGCCGAATACCCGCCGACGACCTCATCACTCATCACACACCACAATCCCCCAGCCTCACTCCTCGCCGCCTTGGCCCGTTTAGTCAAAGGCATTCCAATACTCTCACCCACACCTCGCTTGCAACACCCAAATGGGGGCTGACTGATCCTCAGTGTTCCACAGGCCTGCCGCATCAGTCCTGACGCGTCTCCTTAGGCGTTACGGTGCTGATTGCGCGAACACGCTCGCTACACAGCAGGAGCCGAGCTGTGTCCTTCTGGACAGAACCCCTCGCCTCCGAAGCGTCATGGACCTACGTTGGTGTGCGACTTGATGTTTCAGTTGACGCAGACGACCAATACACCTTCAATCTATCGGAGGCGAATACCGACCAGATATCGATCAGATGAAGACCACGAAATGGCTATTTGGCATGGCGGTCTGCCATATGATTCCAAGATATTCCTTACCATGTCCCCGCTAGCCCGGAATCGACAAGCCAGCCAGCCAGTGGGCGAGGAAGGTCGCCTGATAATACCTGCTTCGACCAGTTAGGCTTCCGATATCCGACCACCGTTTCAGGATATTATCTCTACATATCCTGTTGGAAGCCGTGCCCTTGCGGCGAACGCAGCCGTACGAGTGGCATTCGTCGTATCCAGCGGATGTGGCGCACACCACCACCAGTTCGCATAGTCCAGCTTACGAAATCTTACCCCGGTCTTTCGCGTATCTACCACGTGCGGCACTTTTTATCGTCTACCGCGCGTCCCAGAATCCGGAATCAGTGGTTCTGATGTAAGAACTTTATCACTGTGTCACTTGCAGGCCTCCAAGGCCCTGCGTCGGTCTACTCCGAGCGCCCGGCAGCGTTCGATCCGAGGGCCATATGACAAAACCTCAAAGCCAGATCGCGAGCTGAATTTCGCGCTTCACATGTCGTTATCGAACGATGTCGCAACCGAAAGATACGAACTATTCGCGGGGAAGCGAGAGCCTCCACGGTGGCTGCATGAGAAGTCGGCTGCCAGCGCTCCCCGCAAGCCTCGTTGAAGGTCTGGCCTCGGATGGCCAGCCGCAAACGCAACACCTCTTCGACCTTCAGCTCACCTCATTATCATTGAATTCTTGAGCGTGTGCCTACACAGGCAGCCAACACCACTTATAGTATCATTCGACCCAACGCCGAGTCGAGAGGTCAGCCTGACAGGACGCTCGTATCAGTTTAGAGGACTGACTACCGGATAAAGGAATAGTCTACCCTCCACCCATCCGTAGGGCTGAAGGCGTAAGCAGCCATGCCTCTATTACTAACGTTTGGGTGGCTTAGCTTACGCTTCTGGAAGTGTTTCTACGATAGAGCTAGCGATAACAACAGCAAGAGTTTGCGGATAATGAGAAGGTGGCGGCGAGTCCATCAAAGTATGCTATCCGCTTTGCTTCGTCAACTACAACGCTCCCCCACGGTACATTCTGATCGCCATCGGAAGCTCCGCTACAGCAAGGATCATGCCGAACAGCAAGATTCGAAGTCGGAACGTCACGTGTTGGCCGAGACGATCATCGAGGCTTTCACCGCCCTTTTCGAAGGCTAACCCGAAACCACCCGATCATTCAACTTACTCCAAAGTGTAGTCGGAAGTGAGTCCAGAGTTTCTGAGTGGAATAACGGACTACCGGAGACTACAGCTCTAGGAGCCCCATCGGCGAGTACCGTCTCCACAGTGCATATTCGTCCATCAAAGCTATTCGGCCCATTGCAGATCACTAGAATCCACTTGCCATCTTCCATTATTTGATGTTTCGGTCGTCCGTGTTGACAACGCGCAACTTATTGTAAGGCTTCACCGACTGTAACTAGCCTTCGGAGACACATCGGCGGAGTTTGACCCACATACCACCTGTCGCTGCCTATCCTACTCGATGATCTTTCACACCCGTGCAGGTGCATCCCCGCTCCCCGCACACACTCGAGATACTACAGCAATGCCCAACTGAACCGTTTTTTGTCGTCCACCTCTGGCGAGGCCTCCTCGCCCAACTGTAAGCCAACTCCGCGTACAAATGAGGCTTTCACCGACAGAACATCACACCCAGACCCAAGCAAAATAATCGCCACGACATCAACCACACACCGCAGAATTCTGTTTGTGTAAAAATGCGGCATCTGTTCGAGATGACGGCGATCACCAGCAAAGCAGCTTTGCCATCCAGTTTATTCTTCTTCTTATTCTCCGCCCTTTCCGAAAATGCCTTGCTGCCGTGAATTTTCGACTCGGATCGCTTATTCGGCGTACTTTTTCCAGAAGTGTACGATCTTTCCAGTCCTCCTCAATGCATCTCGCTGGAACAGCATCTCGCCTGCAGCTCTTGCACCATGACCAGTCTTCTAGAGTCTTCCTTGCGCATCGAGTCTGCGTTGCGCATTTTCGTTATCACCGAATTTGCGGAGGTCATGTACAGATAGCTTCATGCGTTCGGTGAATCCAGCCGTGCCCGCATCTCCGATAGCACATGAGTTTTCGCCGCCATAGCGGCTTCTTGTTTTGGTCCGCAGCCCGAGGACCCCAGCATGTAGTGTGTGATGTATTTTTCAATGGACCGTTTCCAATGCTTGCTAGGCAACACTTACGAAGTTTGGCTGCACCGGTTACTGTATTAGCTTTCGATGCGACGAGGACGATCTCATGCTCTGATTGAATACGAATAGCCGGCGTCCAACGCGTATGAAAAGAGCCACCCCCTTTTCGCCGAGATCTCTTCCTGGGGCTCATGTTCTAGAATGCTTGGAAATCTTTCCTTCAACTCCCAAGTCGAAAATCGGCGGGCATAATTTGAGTGTCGGGGCGATTTAGGTCTTCATCGTGTCTGTCTCTTTATCGTTCCACCATTCTTCCTTTTTCAGCGAACCACACATACACCATCTCCCAATCCAATTAGGTTCCAGTCTCCCCGGAAGAAGGCGCATTCCTCTTCCTTCTCTACCTTATTTGGTGGCTCGAAGGGCATCTGGAGCATGCGATGAAGAGATCGTCGTCGTTCGCTCGTCCGGGGCAGACCGGCGCATATAGCTGTGGTGCTAATGGTAGGAACAGCGCGAAGACGGAGAGCATAGTGGTTGTCGACTGCGCTTCTGGAGGAGTCGATTCCGTTGGCAAACATAATAGGAAAGTAATAAGGTTTGATAGCATAGAAAGCCTCCGGGAGAGAACATGATAGCGTTCATGTCATGTTTTCGATCGCAGATGGGTACTGAGCTGGAAAACAGCGATGCCACCCGCATAAACGGCATGAAATCTGATGTTTGACGGGGAGGGTGCTCATATCTCGGAACAGGCGTGAGTTTCTCTCTTTCCTTCTCCACATGAGCGGTATGTGTCTCAACCTTTTCGGTCGAGAAAATCCATCAAGCAGTGTAAAGAAGATTAATAGTTGGCACAAGATCTAGCCAGGTGCCAACACGGAAACATCGTTCTCTACCGAAGCTGTTATAGTTTTTCCCGCGCGGGTCGACATGGGGATCTTGACGGATGCTTTTTTTTGGCCTGACTGACGGTTCCAGCTGCCTGGAATGAAACGCCACAGTATTCGGTCGTGAGGGAAGAGCTTCCACGCGACAGGACATGCTTCGCATGTATGGAAGTTTTGGACAAAAGCAGAGAGCATGAAAGGTCTTTTTATGGGCTTTTAGAGGCCAGATATTAGTTCGAGTGTGAGAAGAGAAGGGGGTGGAGTCGAATAGTAGTTTATATCTGGCGCGGAACAGGGACGACGTAGTCTAGGGATGAGTGACATTGTGTGTGGTTCGCGGGAAACCACCACAGTCATCGCAAGCCACATCGCGTCTTTTTGTCGCGCTGGAATGCTGGAAGAAGAGGAAGAGGAAGGAGTCCATCATTCAGGATATTGGCGGATTTTTTTTTATGAAGCCAAAAGAAGGCAGGAGACAGACATGCGAGGTTCGAATATGCGGTTTCGATGCCCAGCCTACTAGAGCCAGGTCATCAACACGGTTTGCTAAGCGTTTCCTGATCGAGGCGGCGGAAATTGGGGTTTCGATACGGGTTTTGATACGTGAGATGCTCTTTCCAGCGGGTCGAATAAAAGACCAGTTCCAGCGATTTTGGCAGTTGCGGCAGGCGAGTGTCTCGTGGGTCATTCCAACATGCCCTCTGGGTTTTATTCCTCCCACGAGAGAGAGAGGGGAGATGCTCGCCCATGTTCCTTTGCGAGGCGGCTTTTTCGATAGACAGACACGGATGGTAGACGGTGCAATTTAGACTCTCAAGTATCGACCCCCGAGGAGACGTGTGCAATGTGCGGACGGCTTTGGTCTTTCGGAGTCCTTTTCCAGGGAGCAGGAAGATATCCCACGTTGCATGTTGTTTCGTAGGCACACCTATGAAGCCGGAAAGAACTGCTGGACATTTTCGATTTCGAATCAGGTTTATTGAGGTCTTGACTGATCATGACACTTCACTGCTTCATTTGCAAGATACCAGTAGAAGGCAAGAGACACGCAACATCGACCAATCCTATAGTCGCTTCAGGAGAACCGAGCCACGGACAAGTCGAACGGATTCTTCTTGACGCAGTAGAAATTGAGAGTTCGAGGAAAAGGGGGTACAGAGCCTGCCTTGATACACGAGACGCTCTTTCCAGCGGGTCGTAGAGTCTTTCTTCCAAGCATTTTGGACGCGCGAGATATGTACGTCCTATTGTTTGGTGCATCATCTAGTCTCATACACTGGCACCACCCAGGCTTTTCAGGCCTTCTCCTCTTCCAATTCCGCGGGAGGCGGACATTTGACATAGGCTGACGAGGTTTTAGAGCACCACACTCTAGGGGTGCGGGTTTCCGTGACAGAATTCCATTGTGCATTTGAGTTCTTTCAGCCAGGGCTATTCGCATTAAACAACCGGAGTTATCGAGATGTGGAAAGCTAATTCGATTCCTTGCTTGTCTGTTTGGACTTTTAGGTCGCAGCTGGAGGTGGCGACCAGACAGTGTCGTAGTTAAGTCTGCTTTTTGTTGTCCCGGCTGCAGAAGTGTCGCCTCGATGCTTTCGGCCAGAAAGGTGAAAACACGCCCCAAGACATGAGATTTTGGGGAGAGGTTTTCTAAAGGAAGACTGAATGGAAGTGGGCTTGCCGCTCCATGACATCCATTTCCTCCGGGTCCGTTTGAAGAGAAGTGGAATAGAGGGATGGGAAGAGGATTTCCCTCGGCAAGCTCATGAGGTAAGGTGAGGTGACGTTTTAGACTCGGTAGGGGCGCTGGGAAGCAAGACGTCACATATGTCATCTTCCTCTCACATTTTTGTCCATCGGTGTGGTGGGAGTTGGATTCAGCACCGATATGATGCGGTATAGTTTTGAGGATGGAATAGGGATGGATCTATTGGGCGCATCCTCGTCACCTTTGTAGTCTTCTAGGGACGAGTCGGGTCCCAGAGTGAGTGTTACTCGGGCAGGCCGGAGGCAAATCCATGGTGCTAAAGTAAAAGAGCCAGAGGAGGAGCCGGACATCGGATTTTGATGCAAGTGTTTTCATCCTGGAAGGTGTTGAAGTGCAGGATGGGGAGGAGAAACGAGAGTCATGATCCAGGCAAGGAGTTCTTTATAGAACAAGAGAACGGTTGTGGATTGATGATCCTGTGGAAGCCATGAGTGGACCATCGTGCCGTTGGAGAACGTTTTCGAACTTGAAAGCTATCGAGAGAGCCATGGCGGGTGCCCTTAAGCACCATTAGAGAAGTACACCTCACATACGAGTTCCGGAGTGTATTTTCAATCCTGAGAAAGAGGCCCGTTTCCAGTACATGCGCCTTGCGGGACCTAGGTTTGATTCCAGGGCCATCACAGCTGGGGGTCGACCATTTTGGTACCGCTATTAGAGTGCAGACGTCGAGCGAAGGCATTCGCCGTGGGGAAATACCATGTCTAATAGCTGATACGTGAGCGACTAGACTGCTCACGGGGGCTGCACCATATCGATTTTCATCTTGTACTTCTGGACCTTGCAGCATCAAGAGAGCCACCAGACTTTTTGTTTTGGGAGATGCATGTATGGCTGTTGTCCAACCGAAACATGAAGTATTTTGCCCGTTCGTTTGGTCCGACGGACGAAAAACGCATCGCCACTGCGTCTAGGGCTTTCAGTAGTAACACTGAAGAAGCGAAAGCGCGGAGAAGACACCTATCAATGAAGTAGGTGCTCGGCCCAGGAGGAGAACATCAGCCGCCTTCCTCTCAGATTCGCGCTCCTTGACGTTCTCCTCGCCGTACCCTGCACAAAGGGGAGATGCGCACATCCAGTGAGTCTGAAGCTGTTTCTAGAAGGGAGGAGGCGCCACGCCAGCCATGCATATACTTGAGACTGAGTTTTAGAGGCACTCCGAGGCCAACATGATTCGGCAGACGTGGACTTTGTGGAGGAAGATGGAGGGTTGTCGTGAAGAATAGTAGTCCACCTGAGGGGAGGAAGAAGGCCCTATATATCCGCACAGGGCAATCCATGGGGAATATCTTGTGTGGTGGTAGAATTGCGCTCCGTTTCTTGCAGACGCCGCAGCGCCGACACGTCGATTGATTGATTGATTTTTCTCATTTTAAGTCACCAACCTATAGAGGTTATGCTGACTACGCCTACGCACAAAAGGACTCAAAAGAAGCCAATATTAAGAGAAGAGAACAGGGTATCACAGAACCACGGGCAAGTGGCATGAGTCGACACGTCGATCTTCGACTTTGGTTTGTACTTCTTCCTCCTCGTGATAGAGGGAGCGAGCAGCCATGGTCTTGCAGTGTCCGGAAACCCTACAACGGCGCATGCGAAGTGTCCATACTGCTCTTTGAACTCGTAACCATCCACTCGGGCCGAGAACAGGTTGAATATGGAACCGCGATTTATGAGGAGTTCAGGCATGTCGAAGCTGCACTGCGTTGTTGAGAAGAGAAGGGCAGCATGATGCAGGTAGGGTGAGGCTTTGATGCAGAGGATCCAGGCAAAACGGAAAACATAGCGAGAGAGCTGCATTCTTTCAGTCCCAGATAAAGCCATGAAAAGTGGTAGTACCGAGTTTCTGTGCGAACGCGCCGCCCGCCGGGGTGGGCAAGAGAAAAGACGCCAAAGATTGTAGAGGTTCTTAAACCTTTTTCGCCGAAAGCACCGTCATTCGCACGACTTTGTGACGGGAGAAGGAGCCAGGCATGGCGAAAGGCAGTGGCTCTTTTTAGAGAGCAGCGCATAGAATCCAACAAGTTTGCGTTGAGACAAGGACGGGACAGCCCCAGGGCGATGTTTGCGATGCCTTCAGAATTCGATTTCCAGCACGACGCCATGACGTACTATAGATCCGGGTTTTAGTGTAGGTGCGTCGCTCAGAAGCAAGAAGCCGAGGGAGATATCTATATCCCTGGCTTGGAAAGAACATGGTCGACATGCCTCGGCGATGACGGCGAAGACTATACCATGGGTCTGATGTGTGGCGTTCTGGAGTAAGCCGCATATCGGACGAAGCCTCCAATTTTGTACGGGAGGAAGACGTACACCCAGGACATAGGCAATAATCCTGTCCTTTTTTTTGTCCCCAAGGGAAGACGGAAGCATGTTCCTGACGTCTCCACGAGTTTAGTCGAAATCTGCCCGGGAGCGTGGGAACGAAGCGGGAGAACAATAGTGTCGGGCACGATATATACACCCTCCCTCTCAAAGACCGCAGCCCGAAGGAACCCGGAGTCCAGACGAGACGGCCATTCCACAGATGAGAGTCGACTTTTCAAAGAAAACCACACACGCAAAAGGCCGCTTCCATCGTGGCCTAGGAGCGAGAGCAGCAGAGCATCACCAGGGAACGAGGTCATTTTTGAGTTCCCCGACATGAGGTGGGTAATTTGATGATTCTGAAAGAAGAGAGCAGGACGCATACACGATTCCGGCCCACGTTTATATTCCGGAAGATGAAAGCCTGACGCGTAGTCCAGCCCTGCCCATGTTTGTTTTCTGGAAGAAGAAACACGCATGACTCTGAATGCAATCGAGTTTGGGCGGAAGCCACGGGAGGAGAACATCAATGGGTGGTGTCCCCGTTTTAGCGAAAAGACGCGGCTTGACAGCTGTGAAGAAGAAGAGGACGAGGAGGGAACAGGAGCGATTATATAGTTTCCCAATCATGTTGACACGCTAGCCCGACGACTAACAACGGCGCCAGATTCTGGCCATCCATTTATCATGCATCTGCAGCCGATGAGATACAACTCCACATCCCGCGAGCCAGTGTACTCATGGACGGAAACGCCCGCTCAGACATAGGTGCGGCTGTTAAGTGATTCGGATCAGATGCCATGCCCGCTTCAGAAAGAACTTTTGTCTCCTCCATCCAGACCAGCCACGGCGACGCAACATGGGAAGTCTTCCATGGAGCTTTCGAGACTTCCACACATGGGTTTTCCAGCGAGACGTTTCTCGAAGACGAGAAAGCAAATAGATATCGGAGGATGAGTCGCGAACGACCGCGGGCATACGGGGTAAGTACGGTAATTTTGACTCCCGAGGGAAGAGAGAAGGCATGTCCACCGGTTCCTCTAGTTTTAGTCCTCAAACCAAGGACGAGGGCTGTGCAGAAGAAGAGCAGGACGGAGACAAGAAGACAGACCGGCTTATTCACCCAACCAGTTGCAGCTGGCTCATTATGTAGATGAGCCACAACAATGTCGCGATGTCCTTCCCGTATGTATGGAGAAAAGGAGTTCCAGGTGTCCAGATCGAGATGGACCCACAGTCGCGAGGGCAGGAAGCCAGCGCATGTGTTGAATAGTTCGCCAGTTAAGGAGGAATCCAACATGTATGAGCCGGGTGGCGGCTTTGTTCATACGCAGGCATACGGAGGTGTAATGCACCATGATCTTTGATATCTTTGTCTTTCCCGACCTTCCACGTCATACTTTTCGCCATTGTTTCTATTCGGGCTGGAGGAGCACAACGTACGCATCCCGTTCGCGCTGCACTTTCGTATGTTGCGGAGAGAAAGGGAGTCGACCAGAAGCATGTGAGATGTGGAGTCTGATTTCAATTTTTCACAAGACCGAGCGAAGGCGTAATAGGCCCGGCTCGCAGATTTTAGTCCAGAAACCGTGGATGTGGTTGCGAACCTAGGAAAGGGGAGAGGTAGGAGAGATTTATATACCCCGAGGTTGGATATGCGCTCCCACCTACGCTATCTTTGCTTCCCGTTCGAAATCTCCATGTGACGTTCTTCTGGGTCGTTTTTAAAGGCGAGGAGAAAGCATCAAGCAGCTGCAGATTTCTTTTTGAACCGCGGAAAAGCCTCGGTGGAAGCGGAGGCACAATTTCCTTTGTCTGCCTTTTTTTGGTTTCCCCAAGGGAGGAAGACATGCGCAATCCGGAACATCCTTTTTAGTAAAGACATGGCTGTATAGGAGCTGTGAAAGAAACAAAGGGGGGATGTGGGAATGAGATTTATATACCTCTATTGAGGCAGGGTCGGCCAATCACGGACGGCAATTCTGAATAAACTACTACACTGCGCCTAATCTCCCCGAACATAACCATCGACGCCACGGGATATTGACTTATGATTCATTGGCTGGTAGTTGTTACGGATCTATGGCTGTTATAGGGTCTTATTCTAACACTCACTATCGTGCCACATGTGCACTCTTCTGCGTTTCCCATGCGCCGCCGAGGCGGGCATCAACTAAGCCAAGAGCAAAGTGGAAGCTGCGCCGTGAGGGTTCATAGCCCGGCTCCTGTGCCACGAATGCCTTATTCACTTCCTCCTTCCGATGACGCGTGCCCAGGGAGACTGCTCTTCTCCTCGTCACTCTTCCGCCAATTCGGACCTCCAATCTCGCTCAGCCTCAAAACCGTTCTCCTATGCACCCTGCGTTCGAGTCTGGGATGCCACATCATAGCGTGGAGTCTGGACTTGCCGAACAGACCCGGCTCCCTAAAGAGCGGGCTCCCCCACAGCTTGTTCACTTCGTGGACATACTCCGCGTAGGGAATAATATTCGCCCTTTCCATTGCCCTATTCTCCTTCCTCCGTGATCTTCCGCGGCCAAACAGATTCACGAACATCATCTGCAAAGCTTTGACGACGGTGTGTCGGTGAACATGGATTCCGGAATCGCGTAGCTCGACGAGAGTCTTTAGCCCAACGCTCCAGTCTAACGGCCTCAGGATCCCTTTCTTGAGGAATCTGCGGCGGTAGTGCTTCTTCGCTGCAGTAGGCGAGAACATTGACTGCTCCCGTGGGGCGTTTGGAAGAAGGCCGGCTTTGAAGCCCCACACAATAAGTCCTTGCTGCAGCGAATTGGGAAAGAGCTGCCGAATCGGATGTAGTCCGTTCACCTGAGACACGCCAGCTGGGAAATGGAAGTAATGACTTCGGTCGGGGAATGCAGCGCGCATCTTCTCGGTTGCGGAGTCCAGAAACGATGATCTGGGGAGCTCGGCAAACTTTGTGCCGCTTCGCGGTGCATACCAGTTCAAGAGCCAGAATATAAGGCGCCGCAACTCTCTAAAACGACCGAGCATACCAAATCGTCTGATGATTTCTCGCCATGCGTGGGGCGGGATATATCCTGTTCCGCCTTCTAAGATAGTGGTGAACACGCGTGTAACGTAGCGTAGGTCGTCGAATCTGCGTCCCATGTTGTTGGTTGGCTTTCGCCCTCGTTGGCGCCGGCGAAGACAGCCCTTGAACATGACAATGGATTCAGGGGTGATAAGCGCGTCATTTGTACGCATATCCTGAAGTACTTTCGTAGCCGCATGCACATTAAACCGCCTGATATGGGCTTGTAGGAGAAGGTTCCACGCCTGGTTGCTTGAATCGTTGTGGAAGAGGCTGAGGATGGCGAGCGTCCGATGGGCTTGAGACCAGTCCTGTTGATCGAGGTAAAAGTCGAGTAGCTTTTTTTGGAGCTCCGCGTCGTCAAAGACATCAGGATGCTGATCGCTGTCCATGATGCTACGGACCAGGTGCCACTGCTTTTCCAGGACAAACTTCTCTAGAGCTAGAGAAAACACGCAACCCTGTAAGGCAATGCCGTTCGCCCTGAGCTGTTCAAATCTTGCTGATATAGCCGACATTGGGACTGTCCTCGATGCCATGGCGCGCACCGCCTGCGGCCCTATCTCGTTCACGCCAACCATAGCAAGCCCCCTGATTATAGACTCAGGAGGAAAGGCTCGAGTGGCAAACATCCTGGCGCAAAACGAGTCTTCGAACCGAACCGGAGCCGTGTCGCGTCCCAAGAGGCGGCGGGTGAGCTCTTCGTTGAGCTTGGGTTTTCCGAATGAGGGACCGACGAATGACGGCGAGGGGTTGGAAAGAGTGGACATTTCGGCGGTGAATATCTGCACAATAGGATGCGAAGCTATAGACGGTGAGGGAAGGTCCCCACGGTAGACGCATAGCGTGTGCCACCGGCGTGCTGCCGTGATGTTTCCTTTTGCGCAAAGAGCCGGAACCACCTCGTCGTATACATTCCTCTCGTTGCTGTTCCGGTATATGTCGATGAACGCTTCGAGGGCCTTCGGTCCGAATCTTGATTGTCCTAGTCGCGCAAGAGGGCGCAGAGGAAGCGTCCTCAACTTCAGCTTCACCAGCATGCGGTGATGGCACACCAACGCCAGGTCCACATACTGCTCTTGCGAAAGCCAATATCCCATGCACAGCTCATACAAGTATGGGTAGGCGCGACCAGTCTCCTTGAGTATGTCGGCTGCGTGGTCGATGACCGCGATAACGACCTTTGGGTCCTTGATGAAAGTGCCCCATAAGAATTTGGCATCTGGGGTGTCCTCAACGGGCAAGCTGTACCCGTGGCGCGCCCTCCAGACGTCGCGTATGCCGGAGCGATGCCGCCGCTCTTGGAGCTGGAGCTCCCACGCCCATATGGCAGCTTCATCTTGACGCGCTATGCCGTCCTTCCTCTCTCCTCCCGTTTCTGTCAAGCGGTATCTTCTCAAAACGTGTGCTCGATTCGGTTGTTGGAATTGGTTCCAGCGGCGCTGTATTTGAGGCAATGGCTTTTCCGGAGCTGTCGAGTATTGGCAACGACGGGCTATGCAAGGCCAGCATTTGCGCGTGGAAAGCCATGCTGGAGGGTGCTCGGAGGCATTGACGATGGAGCGGAGGACATCCAACGCAGACGGGCGGGCGAGAAGCCTGTCCAAGGCCGTTGGCATGAAACAATTCAGAAAAGGACCAGTACTGGAGCCATTAGTGACGCGAGGGCTGCGCAGACCGGCCGAAACTTCCCAAGGTTGATGCACACTGCGCAAGCTCGGGTGATGACTAAGGCTTTGCTTGGCACTGGCGTCGTTCGGATCGTTCGATGCAGCACTTCACTGAACCCGACACCACCACCAATCCTCCCATTGCCCCCGCACAACAGCGCCAACTCCGCTCAACTCTTCACAATGGCAGGGTACGTTCGGCCCGCAGCTACTACTTCTGCAAAACGAGCCCCCTTCGCGCTGTCGCGGCAGCCGCCCACCCGCTCTCTTCCCCCTCATAGCCTGACACTGACGCTTAGCAGCTGGGTCTACCGCGAGAACCGAGTTCCCCATTACCAACGCGAATTCCAGAAGCACGATGGTCTGAGACTGTGGGAGAAGGTGCGTCGCATCCTTGAGAAGCGCTGGACGAGCGTTTGAGTCGTGAGCGGGTCAAGACGGGATAAGATCGCGGCGGCTCTTACTCTTCGAATTGTGCATGGTGTAAGGCAAGGACTCTCTTTGCTGATAGGAAGTTCTAGTCCCGCGGCAAGTTCCTGGTTCCCGCCTACAAGGTCATCCTCTTCACCAGCTTCGGCTGCAGCATGTACATGATGGGCCGCCTTGTCCTCGTACGTTGGTCGGATCCTTCACGATGGCACGGATGCTCACTGGATGCTACAGGGACACAAGACGTGGTTTGGCAAGAACTAGACAATTTGAGCGCAATACCAACCGGTCGACCGAGGGCAGGAGCATGGGAGGGCATTTCTTCGACCTCTTTGTACAAACAGCCAATACAGCCTGCATTTCGTAACCTGTCCATTTAATCCAAGCCTCGGTTCTGAGTGACCCCTCTATGCTGAACCCGATAATAAGGGTCCGAGCCGCGCCGCCGCATCACGAAAAAGTTGCGCGGTGGGTCAATTGCCTGTGAACCGTCTCTACTACGAGCGAAAAGGACGGAGACGGCGAGCCTGGATGGGGATTGAAAGCATCGGTAAAGAGAGAGAAATGGTTCCTTACCGCACTTATATTTTCTGCGGCGCGCATAACGGTTGGGTTCGATGGGTTGTAACCCTAGCCGGATTCTTGTCCTCGGTGTTCCACTTGCTCTCATCGTCCCTATCCCTGCTAAATCAACTGACAGGAGCAAATAGATTCCTTTTTTCTAATCGTCCCTAGTACTGGTCGTCATACTCGAGCTTATTTCCACTTGTGTCGTTGACCTCTGCTGCCAGCACCTTATCCTCACACAAGCACTACTAAAGTAGCACGTCAACGGTGTGGGGAAGATGCACCTTCATGTTTCGATACACAGGGCACAATGCAAACAGGGCAAACTTTTAGCTCCCTTGTATGGGCTGCTTTGCGATGGGTGATATGTTGATCCCTTGTTCGCACCAGTTGGGCTAACCAGCCGGGGCTAGCGCGGCGGCCAAAAACGTCAGTGATGCCGAGCTATTGCCCATCTCCAACCTCCCGCGGCACAACGCCTCAACACCAACACGATCCATTGTGTTGACAAGCCGGGATGGCCGACTTCGTAAAAGGTCTCTTTGGCGGCCAGAAGCCTGTTGCGCACCCTTCGTCAGGCGGCGATGACGGTATGTTCTTTCTTCTCATTCGATCGCACACTGCGACCCAGCGACCAGGACCCTGGAAAGCGCGAAGCAGAGAAGAGCTGGAGCTTTCCAGGGCTCCTTTCGCACATCTACTGCCCCGGTGGATGGCGAAGAAGCGAAGGGCTCTTCGGGTCTAAGAATGTAGCTCTTCGACCCAGCCGATTGCACCATATATTCATCCCCGAGTAACCCGTCGCTAACGATCACCATGGCAGACTTCGCCGACTACGCGGGCGCGCCAGAGCCCACGCCAGCAGCCATCTCGTCGTTCACTACCGACTCGGCGCCGCCGTCGTCTCCTACCTCGACTCTGGGTCAAGCCCCGTACACAGCATGGTACCGCGTGTGGGAGCGCACCACGCTCGACGACTTCAAGCTCGAGCTCTACGTCCTCCCCTTCATCCTCGCCGTCGTCCTTATACATCTCTGGGGCACGCGCCGAAACCGCAACAAGGCTCTCCATTGGATGAAGTCGCATGCGCCACTCCTACAGCAAGAGTTCGCCCAGGTCGGATACCTGCGACCGCAAGCTTCGGTCGACGATGTGAACGCTGTCGGGCTCATGCAGGCTACCGAGAAGGCCAGGCAGGAGGCTGCGGACCCTGCCAACATGCTGCGCGAGAAGAAAGCTGACGAGTACATGACTTACGCAACCGGCCGCCAAAACGTTGCGTTCGTCGACATCAAGCTGACCCTCGTCAAGAGGTACAACCCGCTCATGCGCTTCGGCGAGCAGATGCTAGGCCTCTTCTTCGAGAGCATGCCCGCACCGGTAGAGCGCATGGAAGCCACGTCCTACGTCTTCGACGGTCGCGAGGCGCAGATCGTCCCAACCTTCGGCAAAGGAGGGGAGAAGACGAAAGTGCCCCACAGCACCTATGACGGATTTGTCTTCGCCGTTGTGCACAAAGACCTCATGAAGCGGCTCCGAGAGGACCGCTACGATCTCTCGCTCACTGCTACCAAAGACCATGCGAAGCTCCCCGTCTGGACCACTGTCATGAGCGAGAGCGCTGAGGTCACTGATACTATCCTCACTCCGGAGCTGCTCAGAGCCATCAACGACGCCGGCGACAACTTCGAGGCGCTAGTCATCACCGACCAGCCCATGGACCAGCCCAAGAAGTAAGTCCACCTCTGCGCCCCATCCAGAGGCACCCGTGCTAACCATCCATTCAGGCTTGACGACACCGTCCCCCGTAAGCGCATAAACCTCTCGCTCAAGCTCCAGCCCACCGGGACTCCATACACCAGCACCCTCCCGCTCTTCCAGTACTTCCTCCGCCTCCCCGACGTCCTCGTCTCGACGGCCCACTTCCGCGCCGAAGCCATGCGGCGCATCAAAGCCACGCGCGAGGAGCAGATCAACAAAATAAAGCGCATCGACGAAGAAGAGAAGGCCGAGGAGCGCAAGCTCGCGGGCGACAAGATGAAGAAGGAGAAGCGCGACGCGATGCTGAGCCGCATGAGCGCCGAGGAGCAGAGGAAGTATCTGGACAAGGAGAGGGAGCGCGACAGCAAGAAGCGGCAAAAGAGGCAGACGGTTAAGGCGTAGGTTGAGAAAAATCTGCCTGTCCACCCTAAGATGCCTTTGCAGACTGCATATAGAATTTTCGTTGACGTTTATTGTGCAGGTGCAGGACTCGCGTGCAGGGTCAATGAGGCACGCAAGTGGGAGCTAGTCGAGGGCATTATTACTGTCGGTCTTGTCTTGTACGCTGTACGTTTTGCATAGCGGGTGGAAAGGAGTGGGGCCTGAAAAGGGACAAAATCAAAATGCTATTCTTTCAATCTTTCATGCTCGTCCCCTACAATCCGCTAATAAATGGTACCTGCACTCTTTTCCACGAAGACGAGTTCACGATGAGTACAAAGCAACCCTTGATGGTAAGGTAAGTTGATCTTATTCCTCTTTCCTATCTATCGCCCCATTCTCGCCGCTAGATGGGGAGTAAATGATTCCTAACCTGAGCCGTAGAGATACTGCTTTTCCGAGATACCGCATTCATATCCATTCCCTTTGTCTGAATATGCGAAGATAGGCAGCACGTACGCACTCACTCACTCACTCACTCACTCACTCTTTCTTCCACCAGTCCCCGCTATCGTCGTAGCCTCCGTCGTAGTAGCCCGACCACTCGTCATTCTCGCCGTCCACGTTCTCAGTAGCGGCAGTCTGCTCTTTCGGCGCATTCTGGGCGTATGGCACGTCCACGTCCGCAGGAGCAGGATACTGGCCGTAATCGTACTCGTCCGCTTCAGCCTCTGGGCCACCCTTCGTGCCGTCGACGTATACGACATCGTAGTCAGCCTGGTGGCTCTCGCTAGGCTCAGCAGGCTCGTTGGACTCCGCCGGCGTCTCCGTCTGGGTCTGTGCATCCTCGTTGTCCTCATTCTGCTCCGAATTCTGCGCCGGTGCAGTGTATCCACCGCTCGCCAGCTCCTTCGCCATCTGCTTGATATGGCTCCAATCAGCGCTGTCCTCGCCCAGACTCCAGGCCATCACGCCGCCGAGGCCATACCCGCGCACGATATCTTGGAACTTGCGCGAGATAAGCTGCGGCGTATCCCACGTCCAGAACAGGCGCTCAGCAGGGTCGAAGTAGTACTGCGCGCCGGCCTTCTCGTCCGTAACCCCGTTCTTGGCGGCGCTCTGCCAGGAGCTGAAGACGTCGGCGTCGGTGCACCCAGTGCCGAACGCGTGCTGGCACCCGCCGCTGCAGTGCTCCTTGGTGGTGCCGCAGTTGCCGTACTGCGAGCAGCAGCCCGTGGCGCACTTTGTCATTTTCTCGGGGCCGCAGGTGCCGTCATACGAGACGGGGAGGTTGGAGGTGTCGACGGGCGTCATGTGCGCTTTCTCGAAGGTCCAGGCGCCGGACGTCAGCGCATCGGTGCCGGTGACAGGGTCTTCAGCGGAGACGATGGGGCAGTCAAGCGGCTGGGGGCCGCAGTCGCCCTGCGTCGTGAAGTACTTCGCATAGTAGGCGAAGCCGAGGTTGATCTTCGCGGCGGGCGCGCCGATGGCGAGGTAGTTGTCGATGGCGGCGGTGGCGCCGGCGACGGAGGTGTGGTGCGCGGTCGTGTTGTCGCGGCGGTTCATGAGGTCGTATGACATGATGTTGATGTAGTCGACCGAGGGCCAGATGAGCGGGCCGTTCTCAGGCGTGAAGGCGATCATGTCGATTTTCTTGCCCGGCACGGCGATGGACAGGAGCTTGTCGCTTCCAATGGCTTTGCGGACCGCGGCGAGCAGCTTAGGGAAGGCGGGGATTTCGTGGACTTTGGCCGAGTTGGGCACTTGTTTGTAGTCGGCGCCGTTGCCGCCAGGGTACTCCCAGTCGATATCTAGATTTCGTCAGCAAGGGGCATGTTAAGAGAGGAAGAAGGGGTATTTGAAACTTACCGACACCATCGGCGCCAGTGTTCGTGAGCATGGTCTTGACATCGTAGGCGAACTTCTGGATTCCGGCATCGGTCCTCGTAGCTTCGGTGAAGCCGACAGTGTCTCCCCATCCGCCGATAGCAATCATGACCTTAGCTCCAGGGAACTCGGAACGGATGGTAGAGACGGGGACCTTGGGCTGGAACGCCGCAGTGTTGTTGGCCATGGCGAACGCGAGGACGACATGGTCGATGCCGGACTTATCCGCTGGGTTGGTAGGGCGAGTAGGGTGCCATCTGTTCATGCTTTAGTTCCACGGCCCACCGAAGGTCGACGAGTTACTTACTCATCCGCATACATCACGAAGCGAGCGCTCGCGAAGGCGGCCAGAAGAGGCGTGAGAAACGCGAGCTTTGGAAAGTACATGCTGAGAAGCGAATGTAATGATGGGGTTGTATCTGAATGAGAATATAAAAAAAGGAAGAGAGACTGTGGAAGCGGGTTGTTTAAATAGGGATGTGGCGACTCAAGAAGCCTTCGTGGGAAGGTGCTGCAAGTGACGTCGAAGGCTAAGGGAAAGAGCTACCCGGCACACCTCCTTCACAGAGAGGTCACAATGGTGTTTCCCCTGGCGGCCTTGTGAAGGCTTTATACAGGTGAAGGAGTAGCTGCGAGTTGGGCTGCAGAGCAAGGGCTGAGCTCCACTTCTTTCAGCATCCGCTCAGGTTCCAGGAATCAGGGAGTGCGTTCCTTGCGTTTACCTCTCGCCGTTGAGCCAGCAGCGAGACTGGAATGGGGCTGGGGAAGGTGCCGAATCCCTGTCACTGTTGTCTGCTTCCAGGGCGGAAGGAGCGATGACACCTCCTTCCCAATTGAATGGCGGGTGCGTAAAACTAATACGTTAAACATCGCTCTTCTAGCTTTGGAGTACTAGAAGCACCACGATGCCTGAGACAGGCTGCTGGAGCTGCCTGCAAGACATTGACTGACAGCTGCCATTCGCGTGTCCCCTGTGGGCGACATTAGCGCTCGGCTCGCCACATACCAGCCTCACTGGTGGTTGCTGGAGAGTACGTGGCTAGATCCCTTCTTGGACTGGCTGGAACGCAAGGTGGATGCATCGCTGGAGGCCTCCGTGTGGGAACACTACGTGAGAACTGGAAGACCGGGGGCGCACGCAAAGGTCCCCGAGTGGCAAAGATCGTAGCAGGAACATCAAGGATGAAGTGATGCAGCGTTTCGTAGCCGCATAAAACCGTTGAGGACCTAGGCTAGTAATGCAGAATGTGGGACGGCGCAGTGTGATCGAAAGCTTCGCCTATGTTGTGTAACATCTATTCAAACTCCGCGACACCCATACCGGTCATCGGATCTTCAAATTTGCTGTGCCTGGGTCCATTAATCTTGGTCAAACTGTTGTGCAACATCCGGGGCCAGCCGATCGCCGGAAAGCGAAATGGATGTCTTGCCGCTAGCACGGTGAGAGAAGGGTAGTCAGGCGGCCGAGATAGAAGACAGGAAGTATGTGCATCTGCGCGATGCAGACGGTGGAGGGAGAGAGCGGCCGTCATGTCTTTCGTGGGGACATGAGATGATGGTACCAGCGTGGACCAAGAGCTAGGAACAATCTAAGCGGAGAAGAGTCTGAATATTCCCTACCGGATGGTCCTTCCGGAAATGACGACTGCGAAACGCGGTACCAGAGTTGAATAGCTAGGAAGAGACGACGGCCAGGGCTCTGGTAAGTCACAAGGTGGCATCCGGCCGACTCCCGTTCGTCTTTCCCACTCCTAGAGGTACGGGCCGCTTCCCGTGCCGACCAACTCTACCAACTCTTGCGATTCTTAGACCACACATTTCCTCTTCAATTTCCCCGCACAGAATTGTGGAGCGCAGGCATTGGATACCAATCCGACGGCGGAAAGTGGAATATGCTTATATCTGGCTGGATACTGCCGTTAAAAAGGGGAAAGCGATATAGCGAACTGAGATCTTCAGCGATGAGTGGTATCGCCGTCCGCACGTTGCCTTGCCGGACTAGTCGTGAGTGAGGAGAAACTCGCGCTCCGCCTGCTCCGACCGGTATACCAGCTCCCAGTCGAAGAAACAAAGAACGGCGCTTTTGCTCTGCTACATTTAGCAGGTACATTCATCCTTTATCAGTAAAGACCCTTGAAGTGGAGCTGACTAAGGTTAAGTGTCGTTGTACGGTGGGGCCGACGTCATTGTCGAGGGTGCGGCTCGCCTGGACTGGGCGTCTCTGAATTCAGTACACAGTGTTCCGACTGTCGGCTTTTCAGGGTCAGTCACCCTTGCCTCCCGTTGAAACTGCAAATAGCCTTGATATCGAAGGTTCGGAGGCTTTCTTGCAAGTGTCGTCCACGCCCAAGCTGACCCTAACTATACGCAGTAAGGCTTCGCCAAGAAAATGAACGAGCGGGCGAATGAAACTACACTTATCTCAGCTCGATCGGGCCTAAAAGCTGAGGCGCAGTGCCAGATTCGTCTTCGATTGAGGCAGCCTTGTAGATTCAATGTTAAAGTCACCGCTCCCCCACTGGCTCGCTCGTTCAGCCCAGGAATCCGAGAGCCCTTGCAGCCAAGATGGGGCAAAACGATCGTACGACTGTCAGAAAGAACTCGAGTGTGAATGGTGATGGTGGTAGCGGTTCTGGGAAGAAGGAGCATATCCGCAAGAAGGCATGGAAACCGAAAACGAAGACGGGCTGTATTACGTGCAGGTGAGTGCTGATGGTTTCCTTCTGCACTAGGTAGACCTGAGCCGCCGCGAGCCTCTGTCGGGAATCAAGCGATCGCAAGTGATGGCATGGGACGAGCGGGCAAAGTAGTTATGGATCCTTGGTGAGCACTTTTTGGGAGATCCGTGGGAGGGGGATGTGAAGCTATACTCTACATCGTGTAGTGTAGGACGGTCACGCCTGGCGAGCTTTGGAACCTGCAATTTAGTGACTGCCAGTTTGAGCCCTATATTTAGGTTGGAAGGGGCGACGCATGCACAATACCCTTGGTTTGCGGCGTGGCTCCCTCTCCGCTGCTCCTTCCTTCCATCCTTCACATAACCGAGAAAGTGGCAAAGCTTACCTTGACCTCTCTCCACCGAGGCAAGTAGAGCCCTGACGGGACTGACCACGGAGCAGGATTCGACGGGTGAAGTGCGATGAAGCGAAACCGAATTGTCAGCGCTGTACATCAGGTACGTACGTACGTCGCCGTACACACTCCAGCACACCCGCCCGCCCACTGCGGAAAGCTCCTTCTGAAGGCCTTCAGCAAGTAAAACGTCTCGGGTTGTACCTGCGGAAAGCTTTTCCTGAAGCTCCTTAGCAGTCCTTCTATAAAAGAGCTTTGCTAACTTCCTTTAGTACGTGGCTCCTGAGAATCTAAACTATTTAGACTTATAGTACACCCTCTGTTGTACTCGACACCCACTTTGTTGAGCAGCACTGACTTTGCACCCCGGCGTTAGACAGGACGTACGTGCGACGGTTATACGACCTCCACGCCCGCCCCGCAATCGTACGCCATTGTCTACGCACCCAAACAGTCGCATCTGCCCCCGACCGCGGGCCTAGACCTGACATCGACGCAAGAGCAAGAGGCTTTCCACTTCTTCAAGCACCATTCGAGCTCCGAACTCTGCGGCTTCTTCGACTCCTCCTTTTGGAAAACGGAGGTTCTCCAGGCGTCGCACACTGTTCCGGCCATCCGACATGGCATCATTGCGCTAGCTGCCTTGCATCGGAAGTTCATCGTCGGTCGTATGCCCGTCGTGCCGGATGATAATTCTGACATGCAGCTTCGCTTTGCTCTGCAGCAGTCGAATCGCGCCATTCAGGAGATGAACCGTGCGATCAAGGAAATTATCAAGGTGCCAGGCCGCAAGTCAATTGCGGACAAGATTGATATGATGACGTTCTGCGTCCTGTTCTATTGCCAGGCTTGTTTTCAGGGTCACCACACCATGGCGATTGAGCACCTGAGGAGCGGCATTAAGATCCTCCGCGAGGTCGATGAAGATCTAGCCGCTGGAGTGAAGGACCTGAGCGAGCATCCCATATCTCTGAACACACTGCGGACCATGTTTGTCAGTATGGACGTGCAGGCAAGGGGTATAATGGGTGACGAGGCGTTGAGGACCTGGGGCCCACAGCCGAAGAGGAACTTTGCCGTCCCACAGACAAGTTTCAAGACGTTTGCCCAAGCCCGCTTCTACTTCGAGGCCGCCCTCAACGACGTGCTCGCTTTCATGCAAGGTCTGGACATCGACCCGCCCAAGACCGAGGACGCGATCCAAGATATCCGCGCGACGTACCACCGTCTCCAGCGCCAATTTGATGAAATGAGCGTACGTCTCGACTACTTCCTCGCTCAACTGTCCCATGCAAACAGTCAGGAGGACCGTGAATCCATACTGGGTATCCGGCTGTTCCGCGAGCAGGTCAAGGTCTTCTTGCGGGTCTTTAAAGGCTTCAACGGCGACAAGCACATCCGCGAGATCGATTGGCACGTTGACGAGAATGACATGGAAACAATATTGGCCCTCGCTAGCGAATTGCTGAAAGCACCACCCGACCTGAGTGTCCCTGCAGGAGCAGTCCCGGGAGAATACTATCCTTCGCAAGCAGATCTGGAACACATATCGAATATGGAGATACCATCGTACTCGCGGCCGGTGTTCTCTTCGTTCTCAGGCCTGCTCTCGGCGCTATGGCTCGTTACCTCCCGAGCTAATTCATCCGCTATCCGCCGGAGAGCCATTGCCCTATTGCTAGATTTCCCTCGCCGCGAGGGTGTCTGGGACAGCGTTTTGGCGGGAAGAGTCGCTTGGGAAAGCCTGATGTTGGAAGAGACGGCCTTGGAGGGCGAACTTGGAGCAAGGCAAGGTCGTTTGGAACCCAGATCGCACTACATTCCAGACTGTAACAAGGTCCGAGCGGTTGAGATCATATACGTGGGTCCACGGGTTGCTCAGATTGAGTTTCGAAGTGTGAGGCAGTACGAGGCCGGACAGCCGGGGGTTATAAGATATATTGCATGGTAGGAGGAAGCTCCCGCCTATCGAAGTGTTAGCGTAGAGGGTGGAGCTTCCAAGACTGCTGGACACAGGACAATGGAGAGCTCTCATATCAGATGTACTACCAGGCGGTTCGACGGCATAGCCGCAACAACGCGGCTTCGAGCAAGCTAAACGGTTCCAAATTCACCAATGCTTTCGCTCGAATTCCTATCTCTTGCGACGGTGGTGCATGCCAATGCACGTCAGCTGCAGGCGTCGTCTTCGGTGCATGTGGGGAGAGTCGATGACGCGGGTTGCCGTTGATTGTGCGTGCTGGTACCACGGGATACACAGCTCGAGAACCAACGGGGAACGCTCAAGTCCATCTCTACGCTCCAGATGGATGAAGCAACAAAAGCTTGAGCAGAACACTCCTGTCCTTGGGGTTCATTGCAGCACGTGATCGAACCGGTCGATCCGTTGCATGTGCCGCCAAGATAAAAAGTGCCCCAGATGCAGCGACGTGCAGTCAGCCATTTTCATACAATTCGGCCAATCACCGTTCGCGGAAATTCAGGAGGCTGGGAGAGCTCTCGCGGCGGACGGAACTGCATGGATGCCCTCAGCTGAGAAAATGCCTCTGTTCCCACCTGCTGCACCGCACTATCGCGGTGTGCATGAGAGGGTGCCGATGGCCCAATTGCACGTCTCCACGCACGACCTGATCGGTCCACTGAGGTTCGCGGGCTGCAGAGGCGCGAAGGGAGCTCCCCAGCGGCCTGGTGGAGGTCCCGCCTCGCCTTGCTGGTCATTGCGCCGCCAATTCATCACCATCGCCAGGCCAACGTGAGTGCCGAGGGCGTTTGAGCTTCAGAAGATGCCTCGGTGCGAAGCGCTGTAAGATGAGATGGGCGCTGCACTGTTTTGTGGAGGCCGGCGCAGCAAAAAGGGGAGCTCAATTTACGCGCTAGGCGTGGAGCTCTCCAAATCGGGCCTAGCATTGTTTTGGCCCAACCTCGCGCTTTAATGGGACCCAGCCAACGCCCGTTTCACAGGCCCACGCACCCCCGGCTGACGACCAACTACTTCTCCCCTCTTCCATCTCGCTCTCACCGTCCCTCCACCACATCACAGCCCCGCTACTGCACCCAATTGCACGCGTTTACGTTTCTGCACCGCGCAGGCCCTCAAGCTGGCTACAAAAGCTTCACTCCTCTTTGACAACCCCAAGGAGCAACAGTCGCTTCTTCATCTCTTCTAAGAGGGGATAAGAAGTGACGCGACGACTCCGACACGCTGGATTTTGAAGCGAGAGTACCCATCCCGTTCAGTGGTGAGTGAGGAGCGCGTGCGCCGCGAGAACTGCCAGCTGTCCGTCAACACGTCCGATTGACAGATTGCGACGTGTTTGACACCCAATTCTCGAGTCTTTACTAATTACAGCGCCGCAGTCTTCCCGTCCAGCTATCGGAACGTCAGCAAGGACGTCGTCAAAGAAACAACTGAGCTCAAGGTGGGTGTTGTTGCGCGCAATCCCCAAACGGCGGGCTCTAACCCACCACTCCAGGTAGAAGAAGGAAAGCTACCACAGGCAGGGCGGGAAGGTCACACTGAACGTCACGAATCCTTCTCGGTCAACGTCAAGCAGCCTGCTGAGCGTCGTGAATCCTACACCGAGGACGTAAGAGTATTCGAAGACCGCACCCGTCGCCCGCAGCACCGTGAGGAGGTCCACATCCACGAGGAATCCCGCTACAGACAACCCGAAGATCGCCGGCGAGAGCGCGTAGAGGTCGATATCCACACCCGCGACACCCGTGACCGGTAAGTGCCTCATGTTTTGTTATGTCTGCACGAATCAGCACCCCGCCCCCTGTGCATTGGCCGCAGCAGCCACCTGTCGCCTAACCCGATCCGTTTTATTGTTGTCCGAGCGACACAAGCGACCCACTTTTCCCGCCTTTTCTCTTCCCTGCCCAAGCTGACCTTCTCCTTCCTCATCACAGCTACCAACAACCCTACCGCCCCTACGTCGGGAGCCACATCGAAGTCAAGGGCAAGACCTACGACAGGGACTTCAACGCTGTCCAGGGCTCGACCGCCGACCACGCTCCCACCCAGATTGACGTCTCTGAGCGTCAATACCGCGAACACACCCGTCCCATCGTAGGTGGTTACGCTGCTGAGCAGGGTTACACCGACCTCAGCACCCGTCCCAACTACGAGCAGGCCTCCGGCTACCGCAAGGAGACCTTCGCCGCCAAGCACGACACTTCCCCCTACCAACGGCGGGAGGTTGACGTCGTCGACAGCCGCTACCCTTCTCGAGAAGAGGTTCGAGTAGAGAAGACTACTCGATCCACGGTTGACGCCCCCAAGAAGTACAAGCGTGATATGGGATATTACGACGAAGACGGTCACTACCACTCGTTCCGTCACGGTATCTCCAAGGCTGCCCACAAGGTCGCCGATCACATCGTTCACCCCATCCACGGTCACCGCCACCACCACTCGCACGACCACTCCTACGCCGGATCCAAGTACGACGACCGCCGCGAGGAGGTCGTAGTCAAGGAGAAGTACACCACCACCGCCCCTGCTTCCCGAGCTCCTGCCGTCCGCCCCGTTTCTGCCGGTGTTCCCATCGAGAAAGTTCGCGTCGTCGAATCCCGCAACATGACTCCCCCCAACACCATCACTATCCCCTGCCACCACATCCGCATTGGTGACCTCCTGATCCTCCAGGGCCGCCCTTGCCAGGTCATCCGCATCACCACCTCCTCCCAGACCGGCCAACACCGCTACCTCGGTGTTGACCTCTTCACCAAGCAGCTCCATGAGGAGTCCAGCTTCATCTCCAACCCGGCGCCGTCGGTCGTCGTCCAGAACATGCTTGGTCCTGTCTTCAAGCAGTACCGTGTTCTCGACATCCGCGAGGATGGCCGCGTCGTTGCCATGACCGAGACTGGCGATGTCAAGCAGGGCCTCCCTGTCCTTGACCAGAGCAACCTCCTCAAGCGCCTGACTGACTCTTTCGACAATGGCCGGGGCAGCGTCCGCATTCTCGTCATCAACGATGAGGGCATGGAGATGGCTGTCGACTACAAGGTCGTGCACGGCTCGAGGCTGTAAATGTGTTTCCCTCGTCAATGGTCAGTTACTGTCTGCCATTATCATCCTGAACCACCCAAGCTGATTATGTCAGGTCGCGTTCAAACATCTGAATGTATTACGACAGCATCAAGGAGTTTGTTTCCAGTCGGCCCCTTCATCAAATTGTGTTCATAAACTTTCTGCTTGAGTCGCTTGGCCTGGCTCACTGCCGTCTTGTTCTCTAGCACGGTTGGCGTTCATCCGCCCGCTGGTGTCTGTGGGGGCATGCTGCCGTCGTAGTGGCTAGCAATTGGCGCAGGGATCTACGGTTCAGGTGAATGGAAAAGCGAAGTATATCTGTGGATAGTTAATGAATGGAGTCTTTGCTTATACTTCGCGTCCGTGTTGCTTCCATTTGTTTGAGCGCGTCTGTTCCCGCCTTGTTTGTGTGTTATGTTTTGATTATTCTGTTTTGATTAGTATGTTGTTGAGCTCGTTCGCGCTGCCGAGGTATTCTACCCCGCGTTCTCCACGATCTGCTCCCGCGATGAACCTCACCCGCTTCGTATGAGCGCATCAGCTGCGACGCCGAGCTATCTACATAAATACCCTATCCAGGTACGTGGAATCGCTCCAACAAACATCCCTCGAACCATTGAAGGTCGGCCTATTCTAACAATGCCTCATTCAGACCACTCCGCCTCCCCGACATGGGACGCCTTCCCCGACCTCCCACCCTTCTCAAAGTCTGTCCCCACAGCACCTCTCCTCCGCATATCGCTCTCCAAGCTCCTAGCCCATGATCCCGATGAGGAAGAACGCTGCTGGAAAGCATGCTGCGACCTGGGCTTCTTCTATCTCGACCTTCATACTTCCGACGCTTCCCAGGAAATCGATGGCGGAGCGCTACTCCATAATGCGGAGGAGCTGTTTGAAGTGATGAAGGGCTTCTTCGAGCTACCGGTGGAAGAGAAGACGACGTACGATTTTGCGGACAAGGGGAGCTATTTTGGGTACAAGGGGTATGGGAAGGGGATTGTGGATAAGAAGGGGACGAAAGATCGGAATGAGTTTTACAACGTAGTTTAACCTCCTGGTTTTATTAGGTCGGAGAGGTACAGTACTGACACGATCCTAGATCTCGAAAGACGACATCCTCGGCCTGAGCAAACGACTCCCCTCCGCAGAAGTCCTGAACCCGCACCGCTCGCTCTATGAATCCTACATTCGTTCCTCACACGCTATCTGCATGCTCGTAACCTCGCTTCTCTCTTCTCGCCTCCCGCTCCTACCCGTAGTACGCGACGCCGGCGGTCTGCCGGCATTGCACAAGCTCGACGCCGTCTCGGGCGACCAGATCCGCTTCATCAAAGCGCCGCCGCAGGAACAATCGCTCGAAGGCGTTGCCCTGGGCGAACACACAGATTTCGGCAGCGTAACGGTGCTGTTCAACCGCCTCGGGGGCCTCCAAGTCCGCCTGCCGGATTACATCCAGCCCCTCCAACCGTCCTCCTCTGCTCCATCCTCCCCTGTGGAACAGGCCCTCTGCACGTCCGGCTGGACATACGTGCGTCCGCTCCCCGGACACTGCATCGTCAACCTCGGCGACGCCCTCGTCAAGTTCTCCTCCGGCAAGCTGCGCAGTAATATTCACAGGGTTGTTGCGCCGCCGGGCGAGCAGGGGAAGGTGACGAGGTACAGTCTTGTGTATTTCTGTCGGCCGGAGGATGACGTGAGGTTGAGGAGCTTGGTGGAGGGTGGGGTAGAGGGAGAAGAAGAGGAAGTTAGTGCGAAGGAGTGGATTTTGAGGAGAGCGCTGGGGAGACGGAAGGAGGATGGGTGGGAGAAGAGTGGTGGGACGGAAGGGGTGAGTATGAGGGGTGGGAAGTAAGAGGGGGAGGTGGTGCTTCGGAGGTAGGATTATGTGGTAAGGCGAAACGCGTTCGTTTGCTATTCTTCAGTGTCTTATATGGCTCCAGACCATTCGCCCAGGTTCATATCCTCCTTCTACTCATGCATAAATACCTTCCATCGGCAGCAAGCCTTCCCTTCTTTTCTCTACAGCTTCCCATCTCTGGCTTCTAAAACGAGCCGTACAGAACATCAATGTCCTCGCGCGCTATTCAAAATGGCCATCTCTTTCCCCCATGTGCCACTCATCCCTCGGACGATCGATTTCCTAAAGGACGTGATCATCAATATTATGTTGTCGCTTGGCAAGACCCTCCGCACTCGTTCATGAAGTATACCTGTCCCCCGCCGTTGAGTTCGAATCCCGAGCCGAGGGAAAAGAATGTGCACAACGCTATATGCCCTGGCCCAGTTTCCAAAGTCTCTCACAAGCTTTATGATGTGCGCTCCGTCGGCCTGCCTGGCGCCCACAGCCCCCAAAAACAACCATGGACACCAGAAATGTCTTCTTTCTCTCCGTCCGCCGCTCCCGGGCATTACAAAAAAGCTGTCGTCGCTCAAGAATGTCCCGCGTCGGCAAAAAAACCCAGGATTGCCCTACGATGGCTGTTCCCGGGCAAGAGAAGTCTTCGTTACCTCCAATCAAAGAACGAACAACTAATGCTCTTCTCGCTCCCCTCCTCTCTCTGAGCTGTCTATTCTCAATTAGAATGACGCGCCCCTGCGAATCATGGTTTTTCTCTGCTCCAGAGCCCAGGTTCACCGGCATATACCTGGGTCCGAAAAATGAAGAACCTTCGCGAGTATGGCGGGGACGAAAAATAGCAGCATCGACACTCATGCTGTGTGGCGTCGCCAAAATCTAGGCCACTCTAGGGTATGGCCGTGCCGGTTCCTTGGAACCTCATTTTGGAGAAAATATATAGCATGTATCGCAAATGCGCCTTGCTGTTTGGCATCTAGCGCCGCCTCTATGACTCCAAGTCAACACAATCGCTCTTCATGTGCTTCCTTGGGTCCAACAAAGATTCACGGGAAACGCGTTATGCTCGCTCTCCCGCGTGGACTCCTTCGTCGCCCAAACCGACAAAAGAGACAGCATATGCCCACCAGTTTCCTCTTCCCAGCATCTTCCGCTTCGACTCAAATCTCTGAATGGATACCGCTATGCTTCCGGGTCTTTTCAGCATGTACAGGGGCAGCGGAACATGGTCTGCCGTCGTTCTGGAAGATCCAGTGTACTTGGCCAAAAGAATAATATCGGCCTGAGATGGTGCCTCTCCTCGCGGTCTCCAAAGACAGGTTTGCGAAGCAAGAATTCGTCGGGTTTTCTGGAAGGGGAAATACGAGGGATGTATAATACATTCCAGCTCCCGTTCCTTCGATTCGATGAACGCCAAAGTGGTGATGAGCTTGGACATGCGTGTCTTCTTCTTCTTCACTATGCTATTAGCCTTAAAAGCTGGACACAAGGAACTCATGTCGCTCTTCGGTTTTCGAAAACCAAAGACACATTCATCATGCCTGTTTCCGCGCCGGAGCCTCGCGTATACAAACCCTCCTGGTGGATGTGATCATATGCTCGCCTTGGTTCTTCTTTGCGCGTCTATCAAGTGTCGACACAACAACCGAAAAGTCTACTCGTTCATGCTTGCCCCGTTCCAAAGATCGTGTCGCAGCAATACATGCTCGCTCTACTGTTCTTATGTCGTCTAGCCTCCTGCTCTCCAAAATCCGCACATTCAGGACGATGGCTGTGCTCTTCCCTAAAAAGAAGCAACTACAGGGTTATGTCTCGGTTGTGTTAGCAGTGCGGGAGTTAACAGTCTACAAGCACAACCGCCGTGACGAACTTACATGCGTGGGTCTTTTGGCATTCTCCTGTAGCCTTAAAAGCTGGACATACAAGTCCATGTGGTTCTTTGGGTTTGAAACAGAGCACAGCTTTTGCATGCCTGTTTCCGCGCCGGAGTCTTGGATACGACCATGCTCGCCCTGGTTCTTCTTTGCGCGTCCATCAAATTCCAACATGACAACATACAAACCCACCCAATTATGCCCGTTGCACTCTAAAAGTATCCCTCTCACCACGGTTTGAATTACCCCTAATTTAGGGAATTGTCCGAAGATTGCCCCTAAAAGGACCACTATTCTAGGGACAGTTTACGGAAAATTCCCCTGATTTAGGGATGGACAAATCATGGTGGTCCTGCCGCATGGTTTGCTCTCTTTCCCTGGGTCTGGCTTGATCAAGCCAAAAGAAATTCTTCTCTTCGCGTTCTGTGCTGTCTAGTCCGGCCCGGCATTCTCCAAAAAGCGACCACGAGGGAGCATATGCCTGTGCGCTCCAAGAACGGGAAATGCAGCCGGCGATGTCTTGTTCCGGTTCGCAAGTCCAAATAGCGTCAAGGCTATAGAACTGGTCGATGGCACCCGCCATGCCTGTTCGCCTGCCTTTTTCTGGTCCCGGTATACCAGAGGATCTCTGGAATTTATGATGCGCAGAAACCAATTCAACCTCATTTTGTTTGATGTTTCTCTGCGACACATCCGCGCATCAAAAGCCAGCCTCCAAAATATTCATGTGGACACCTCAGAAGCGGCGCTCAGACACGCGTATAACCGACCGACCAAACGGACAAGGCGGCCAAACCATGTCTGACCCTCTCTGCGTCCTGCTCTAAGACTTCTTTCCCACAAACATCCTCTTGTATCCATTCATGCTGCGTACCGCTCGACTGGCGAGGGATCGTGAGAAGCATCAGCTTTGCATCGCTATGTGCGTGCGCCTTCTTCTGGAATTTGCAGCATCAGATGCACACCCGCAGCACCAACCTCAAGGATTTACACAGACGTTACATGTAGAGTTTCCTTCCCGGTGAAGAATAAAGTCTCCTGTCCGGTCGTATATCTCCCACGCAGTGCCCCGCTGCAATCCTCCGGCTAGGTTGGTCCTCTAAAAACTCCGCAAGAAACTCTACATGTGCGGTTCGCAAGGCCCGGGGTTCGATTATACCGAGGCTTCGAGGGTAAAAATTTCCCATGGTGCAGAAGTATGGCTTCTTCCCGGTGGAGAGAAATCCGTCATGTGAAGCTGCTTGAAACGTAGCCGCGAACCTCACATATCGCGCTTCGGTGCTAGGAACGATGCTATCCTGTACGTGTAGGACTGTCCAATCTGCGCCGTCATGGCCTTCGTCTGCTCAGGGATTCCGCGCGTCGGCGAAAGATTGGGAATTCCTGGCATGTACCGAACTGTGATGGTAGCCGAGAACCGCATGGTGAGCAATAGTCGCTCTCTGGAGAGAAAAATCTCTGAATGCTTTCTTTGATGGAAATATGCTGCTGTACTTGGAATTTAAGAGGCAATACGTAGTCCAGCGATCTTCTTTGCGCTTGACGGGGGAGTCTTCGGCGGTGGATGCACTGGCGCAGACAGCATGGAAGATATTATATTATATACTACCTCGTAAGAGAGAAATCTGAACCCAGTAACGCCTGACCCTGTACTCATGACCAATAAATGCATTTCTCGATCTGTCATCAGCCCGACCATTTGCCCAGTCTTTCTATCCATCCATTCAGCCTGTATACAAACTGTTACAGTTCGAAACCTTCCACGATAGAACATCAAACGAGGCAGTGCCCCCCGGGTTCAGCAACTGCTGCCTACACCACTGCATATGTGGGCCTGCGCAACCCGGGCTTCCCCAGACATCAAGGCAGCAAATATCCTCTAGCGTTGGCAGGTCCTGGCCAAATGTAAATTCGAGCTCGGCCCCAGCGACGAAAGGCACTCGGTCTTCTGTGAGGTCGAACTCGGAATTCGTGATGCACGCTGTGTTGATGGTCACGTCGCCGTTGGAGTCCTTGAGTAGCCAGGCTGGATTCTCAGCGTAGAGCGTGTCTGGGAATTTCCAGAAGAGGGAGTCCTGAACAACGAAGCTCCATGATCCGGCAGTCGCCAGAGGCTCGGCTGTGGAGGAGGACTCGGAAGGCGTTGTTATCGTGCTGCTGGACTCTGGTGGAACTGTATACGGAGTTGGATTTGACACTGGGGTAGAGCCGATAACGGTGCTGATGAACGTGACAGGCGTAATAGGTGCCTGGCATCCTGCATAATCAACGCACCGGAATTGCGCACCACAAAACATTTGCACGATCTCCACGCACGCCTTTCCGGAAGGGCATGCCGGACCGGTATCGGGATTGCATTCATCCGAGCCGAAGCCGCCTGGCGGGCACTCGTCTGGGATAGCACTCATGTTGGCGCAGAGACCGAACTGAGGCAGGTTGCTGTAATATTGAAGACAGGAGCAGCCGTCTTGAACGCCGCATGGAGAACCGTAGTTCGCGCACTGGCTTGAGACGCACCACCCATTTACGCAGGGCCCTCGAGTGCACTGTAGGCTGTCAGCATACGAGATGGAAGCCTGGGAGGGGCAATGCGTGCCATTGAGTTGCAGCCGCCACAGTTCAAGGGATCTGAGAGCAGATGCGTGCTACAAGTGCCTGAGGGTTCTGAAGCCTCTGAAGAAATTGTAGTGCTGGAAGAGGAAGACTTCGAGGGGGACAAGGTCGAAGAAATTGAGGTGATTGACGCTATAGTGGACGAACGTGGTTGTACGGTGCTCGATGGCTCGCTTGTAGCCGGCAGTGGCGGTATGCTTGAAGACGTCAAGGGCGCCGGCTTTGTACCAGTTAGTTCGGGTGGCGGCGTTAGGGACTCCGAAACTTCTTGAGACGTGGCGGTGCGGAAACCACCTCGGTAGATACATTTGCCATTTATGCAGTCTTCGAAATCGCCGCACTAGGATCGTTAGAGCAGAACAAATATACGGAGCATTTTGCTTGCCAGAAAACCGCATGTCCCACAGTTGTTGTCATCGCTCATCAGATCCGCACCGCCGCATTGCGTCGAGGGAGAAACTGTCGGAGGGAGAGTGGGAGTAACACTCTCTGAGAGAGAAGCCGTCGGTGGTGAAATAGGAGTTACACTCTCCGAAGGAGAAACGATAGGTGGGAGGCTTGGAGTTGCGCTCTCCGAAGGAGAAATTGTAGGTGGAAAGCTTGGAGTTGCACTTTCAGAAGGAGAAACCGTAGGTGGAAGACTCGGAAGCACACTCGCTGTAGGGACCTCTGGACTTATGAGGTCCTCAAGGCCTTGACAAGCCTCGCTGGAGAATTGTTCTGCAATCGGGAAAGCCTGGCTGACCAAGTAATTGCAGAACATACTTGCGCCAAAGACCGCCAAGAACTCCGCTTCAGGCGCGACGACGGCGTTGGTGGTGTATACCGCTGTGACGCAAGCATCGACAATCCCAGGCGCAAAGGCCTCCACTACCGCCCCAGAGAAGAATCCCTCGCAGATTGTGGACAGAGTCTCGGAGATTAGACTATCGGAGAACACTTCACCATCTTCTTGCACTGCCTCGACCTTGCCAGCCAGGTAGCCTCCGAACTCACCGGCGAAGGTGCGAATATTGTCGGACAAAGCTCGAACGCGGTGTTTGTAGGCGGTCCTTCTTTCTGTGTCGGGCCCCATGATCGGGGATCTTGGTCTGACTCCGTGGGTGTCCGAAGGCACAAGGTATGCTGCGCTCCCTTGGATGAAGAAGGTAAGCCCAACGAATAGAGCGAGGAGAATACTAGTCTTCAGCTTCCTGTGCGTGGCGCTTCCAGTGAACTGCGCTGGTTGGGATTCCGTCGGATTTGGAGCATTCGTTGGAGGCGTTTCTGCGACTGTTAGGGTCTCCCCTCCCGCGATTGAAGTTGGGGCACCTCCAAGGCCACTGATAATGTATCCCCCAACAGGCATGCTTGATGATGGAGCCTGGAGAGCAGCGGAGCTTTGCGCTGGACCGGAGCCTTGCGAAGTTTCAGGCGGTTGAGGGAGACACTCAGGTTCAGGTCCGGTCCTCGTGACGCCATCCACATGCGTACCAATGCTCGTTCCATCGCTGTAGATATGGAGGCCCTTGCAGTTAGGTAACGTGATGTTCTGCTCCTGGGAAACGCGGTGATCGGAGCTCAGATCGGGTTGCGTGAACAGCATAGGACCGAAATACATGGAATTGAACGCCTCGCATCTTGCTGCACTCTTGTACTCAACACTAGTTTGCGTATCGGACGAGAGTCCTAAGGGGAACTGATCCAGGGCAGTGCAGCTTGGGCCTTGGCACGCGTAGTCGATTTGAGGCGGATGGCCATGGCCACAGTCCTTGAAAGTGCCAGTTAACTTCGTTCCGTCGGCCATGTTGTACGTACGACTTTTCTTCTGGCAAACGAGAGACAATATGGGAACGAGAGCGAGGCGCCTTCTGTACGTAGACCGTACGCAAATTTATACAAGCCAGGCCAGTAGAACACCGAACGAGACCGGATCGAACGACATCTTTTGGGGGTGCTTTGCTAGAGTTGGCATCGAAGCAGCCTACGTCGGGCGATCCTCCACACGTTTGTCTTCCGACTCAATTGACCGGTGCTGGCCTAAGTTGACGTATAGAGTGAAAGTAGACGAAGGCTTTTGTATCTGGGCTCCTGTTGGAGGACGATTCTATCGTGGCGTAGACCGCTCTGTAGCGCTTCCTTAGCTTATGCCTGCGGCTGAAAGCTCACCCAACCTCGACTGACCCATTTCGAATAAGCCTGCGGAATACGGGCAGTCTCTGCAAGTTTCGGTCTGGGAATGGGGTGTTAGCGAGTGCCAAGACCTTTTTTGGTCTCACCACCTCCAATGCCACCTATCGACTCGAGGTTCATGCCATCATTGAGAGCGCTCCATGCATATCATGGAAAGCCATATACGAGATCAAAAACTAGAAGTGGATGTGATGCCACATGTTAGGTAAAAGAAAAGGCGTCATTGAAGTGGGCTCCTAGGACGGAAGAAGGCCGGCAGACAGTTCTAAAGAGCGGGTGAAGGAAATGGACACAATGGAAGGGAGATACTCCAAGAGGACATATGGGGGCGGCGTGAAAGCTGCACAGCTCGTCGGACGCGGCAGCACCATGCGCGCATCAGGAGTATCTCGAATTAAGCGGAGCTCCGTAGGCGGCGAGAGGCAGGCAGAGCATGAATGACACCTCTCAATAGTTAATGAATGAATCTAAGACGCAGGAACGGAAAATGAGGTCTGTGGAGAAGATGGCCTTGGAGGAGAACAGGAAAGTTGCATGGGATGCAGTGCGGTCTTGAGGTTCGGACTAGTTGAGATTATGTAAGCCCACAACAAATCAACTGCCCTACTTCATGCGTCGAGTGCCATACCATTTTCACATCCTTGGCTGCTTGATTTGACGCTCAATAGACACGGGCCACTGCCAAGGACGAGAACTTCACCGAAGAGAGTCCAATGTTTGCGCAACACTCGCAAGCATTAAACCCTAACGACTTTCCGTTCCCCTTGAACGCAAGGTCGGGACAAGCCCTACCCCTGGTTCTTGGGACCGGAATGCCGCGTGTTGTTTCTTTCAGGACGAATCAGGGCGCAAGGTTAAAGTGGCTCGTACCCCACGCGAACTCACATATATCCAGAACTTTACTGTGGCCTGAGAATACTACATGCAACGCGGAGGTAGGGTTTTTACGTCTCTTGATCTCTCGTGCAAAGCCAAAGGTACGCGCAGTATGGAGAGCTTAAATACGTTCCAATCCGATGTTATTTCCTTTCTTCTCGAGAACCACATCTCCCTTTTTTCGACCCAATTACACCTCCCGAGACAATATCTTAGCGATATCAGCCCTATTCTCATTCTACTTCTGCTTGTTCATGATGAAATTGTTTCATACCCTAGCGCTCTTGGCCGCAGTGGCACCTAACGCCGCAATTGCAGCCTCACTCGGTTCCAGAGCCACCATGGACGGCGTCGTCTCGACCGACTGGCTCGCACGCAACTACGAGAGCACTAGCGTCCTCATCATCGACATCCGAGACGCTACCGACTATGCGATCGGCCACATTCCCCGCGCCATCAACATCCCCTGGGCAATGCCAGAATGCACCTGGATTAGCTACGGCCCGGATGACCTCCTCCTCCAACTCCCCAAAGATAGCTACCTCTTCGGCAACCTGAGCGCTGCTGGTGTCTCTAAATATAAACGCATCGTCGTCTCGATGGCGAACGCCAGCCCACCGTACCCCCAGGCCCAGGCAGCCCGCGTCGCTATGACACTCAAACTCGCCGGCGTCCCTCAGGTACAAGTCTTGAACGGCGGATTCACGACGTGGTCCGCAGAGGGCCGGCCAATGTCTACTGACGTACCTACTCTGACCCCCAGCAGCGTCAAAGGCCAAATTGACAGAAGCGACCTCGTGAATCGCGAGTACGTCCGTGGAGCAATCAATAAGAAGATTATCCTGGATGCGCGAGACCCCGGAGTTTACAACGGCAGCGTAATCGAGGAATATGCGCCAAAGGCTGGGCATATTCCATCGGCAAAGAGCCTGCCAACTGTTACCCTCTTCGATGCTAATGGGAATTTCAAGGACAAGGAGGCGTTGGCAAATCTTGTGAAGAGTGTTGCGGGGGCCAAGGTTACGAAGCAGACCGAGATTATCACGTATTGTGGGGTCGGAGGTTATGCTGCTGCGCTCTATTGGATCCTCACTGCGGAGCTGGGATACTGCAACGTCAAGTTCTACGATGGTTCAGCGCAGGACTGGGTCAAATACTACGATATGGAAATCTAAGGAGGCCAGACTAAAACCTCAGCATCAGAAAGGCTTGGAATATAAGCCAACGAGAGTCATGAAAGTGGCTTAATCGATTTCATTCCTTCATTTCTTCCGTTTCGGTTTTTCTTCCGTATTGCTCAATATTCAATTTCCGGTTTCCCGGGCTCACGCTCACGCTCCTCCCAATGCGCATAGTTCATGCCCTGCAACATGGCGCTCGCTTCGAACGCACTCTTCCGCATATAGTCCAAGTCCTCGGGCTCGTCCAAAAGCATACCACCAATACGACAGACGATGACGGTACCGTCCTTCTCCGCACGCTTGTCAAGCAGGACGAAGTGGTGATCGTCGAAGTTTACGCTTTCAGGTTTCTTCCGCATCCACTTCGCAACGTCTTCAACGGTCTTTCCAAGGAACGGCGACTTATAATCCGAGGGGACAGGAGGCTTCTGACCCTCGAAGTGTTGGTCCTTTCTTTGCGGTGCGTCTTCGTACTTCTCGGGGGCGAGTGTGTAACAGTATACCCCGGCAATTCGCGGCCCTTCTTTGAAGATGCTCTCTATGACCTTGGTGTTCTCTGTCAGCATATTCCGTATCCAAGGGCTGTATTTCTAACCTTATGCGGTACCTCCACAAGCGGAAACATCGCGAAAGGTGTCTGGACCCATGTCATGGCGAGTATAGATCCAACGGTATGCGGTCGAAGAGGCTAGTTGCTGAAGGCGATCAGAGTATGCTCATTGTAAGTGGAACATCCACCAGTGGAAACATCGCGATAGGAATCCGAACCTACATGCTGAGTGCAAACGTAACTGATATTCCTAAAAGAAGGGGGATGGCCGTAGAAATCAGGTTGTGTAAAGGGGAGATTGAGCATCTTGATGAGACGACATCCAGCCGAGGAACGTTGTGACGTCACTGCGGCGAAGCATGCTTCCACCATGCTGCATTCGCAGATTTTGACTTTTGTGTGGGACTTTGCTTGGACAACCGAGTCGACTGGCAATGACAAAAGATACTCGAAGGATCCGGACGTGACAGACGGCGGGTATTGCAGGGTGCCGAATATCGACAAAGGGGAGAACGGGGCATTGCAGACCATCGATTGCTATTTTCCGTGTGTGGGCGTTGATTTGGCCCATAGCAGGTCCCCTTTATCCGCACACGTAAACTGCTCGCGGGCTAGCCGGATCGTAACAGTATCAGTGCAAAACTTCTGACTGAAATCACTGAAATTGTCCTAGCTTTCTTGGAATCTATGCAACTATTCTACAGTATTCCTGCGGAGGCAGACGAAGGAAACCCACGCGAAGTGATGTACATGTAGAGCATACTAAGAAGAAACTGGGAAGGAGAAGCGGGGAGAGAGAAGTCGGGAAGAAGACATCAGGGAGAACAAGTCAGGAAGAAGAAGGTAGTAAGAAGCCACCTAGGAAGAAGCTACCTAGCTGCCATCCTTGAGCAATAATAGAAACGAACTTGAGAACTTCCATCCCGCCATGACCATGACAATGACCCCGGGGGTGGCACCGAGCTTCCCAACCCCGGCTCGAGCGATCAACTCGAGGTTTCAGGAGGCAGTTTGAAGGCGCGGGCGTCCGCAGGAGTCATTTTTACCCTCGAAAGCATATCTCACCATCTTCAAGACGGCGCACTCCCAGTAAGTCGTCAATCATTGGATCAGCCCAGCGACGACTTCCACCTATTAAGAAAAACGAGATGTCCCAAAACATCTCCACTCTAGGGCGCATTAAAATAAACTAAACAACCATACTCTCCACCTACGAAGCCCCCGTCCCAAACCCCAACGCCGCCATCCCAACCATCGCCCCACCCCCACCCACCGCCGCACTCCCCCCATACTTCGCCAACTTCACGCCGCCGAACCTCCCACCCTGAGCCTGCGTCTTCTGCGCTCCAAACGCAACCCACAGCCTAGTCGCCCACAAACTAATCAGCAGCTCCCTCCAGGTCTGATCCAGCTCCGGGCTAAGCTCCACCGTCGGCACGACAGCGCCATCGTCTCCTATCCTCAGCCTCTCGGTCGCCACCACGCGACCCCCGCTGTCCTTCCACTCCCTAGCCTCAATCTCGCTCTTCCGATTTCCCTTCGTTTTCCCGCTGAACGCGCCGCCGACTTTCTTCTTGCACGACAGGATCTCCCTGCTCTTCGCGCCCGGCCGGGGCACATGCGCAACGCGCCACTTGTGCAGCACGTGCTTCATCTCCACGACGCCGGGGACGCACGCGCGGCGCTTGCCGCGCATGTGGACCTCGTTGTCCAGCAGCGGCGGGTCGTTGACCTCGTAGAGGACGTATGATTTGTCGAAGGCGATGGGCGTGCGGCCGACTTGCGGCACTTCTTTTGCGCGCAGGCGGCGGATACGGAAGTAGGGGCCGCGCTGGTCGAGCGGCGAGGACAGCTGGTAGGCGGGGCCGCTGGGGGTGTGGATGAAGGTGCCGTGGATGGAGAAGGTTGTTTGGGCGGCGTCGAGGACGGCGTAGGCGGGGGGTGAGTCGGAGGAGGGTTCTGCGGGTGGGAGGGTGGTGGCTTCGGTGTAGGAGGGTATGGGTTCGTTCATGGTGTGCGATTGGGGTTGTTGTGGTGGTGGTGGAGGTGTTGGGTCTTCATGTGGGTTTAGGAGCGAAGACATGGTGAGGACAGCTTGGGGAGATGCTGTCAATAGGGTTTGGAAAGGAGTCAGGTAGCATGATGTCGTTTTATGCTTGTTCGGATGGCGGGGGCATCGATGCTTGATGTGATACCTTGGTGCTCCAATTGCGGGGGGCGTTGGTTGCCAAGATGTGGCCGTGCCACCTCAGCCACCAACACCCCCACGGCGAGGTTGATTTTCGTAGATGTAATTGGGTGTACGAGGCTGGTATAGAGGTTTGAGAATTCCGTAGTTCTGAACCTGGGCGGTGGCTAACGCAGTGTATTTAGAAAAGCATAGAATACAGTATTGTTCCATTCGTCGCCTTCCCACTATGAATACAGCGGACCGGGGTATACGCTCCAACGACAACCCCACAACGCCTCTACACAGTAATAACGAAAAATGATCCTCTGCTCCAACTCTGCACTTCCAAAACTGATATACTTCAACCCTTTTCGAAAACACAAACCCTGTATTCCGCAACGAAGCCCTCTCAAACGTGCCACGGCACCCAATGCTTGAAAAGAGCGGACATCAGACAGCCGTAGTCTGGAGGCTCGCGATCCTTATACCAGCCACCGTTAATCAAATGCTCCTCCTTCGTGAACCAGTCCGGGAGCTTATCTAGTGACTTGACATCAAGATCGCCGAGCTTTGCCTCGATTGGCAAAGACGCGTCGGCGTACGGAATCCTGATAAATAAGGAACAGTCTCGCAGGGTCATTGCAAGCCTAAGGTTGTGTCTCCAGGAGACCCTGGCTTCTTCTGTTTCCTCGACCATGTACTCCCCACCAATGCCGAAGGGATCGAGCTTGACTTGCTGGGCCCGAAGGTGCAACATCAGGTCTTGGCCAGGCCCTGTCGTAAGATACGTGGTAGCTCGGTTGACGATCGATTCGAGCATTTCGGATTCTGGGAGCTCCTCTCCGGTATTCGAAAGCGCAGTGGAGACCTTCTCGCGGATAAAAGCCTTGATCACCGCGTTGTTTCCCCTGTTTCCCCGGACCCATCGCAAGGGGCAAATGTAGCCGTCTACCCCGGCGCCTCTCGACTTGCGTAGGGCGCAATTGCGGCAGCGGTAGGTGTGTTTTATTGCGTTTGGTGATGGAAACAGCCACTTCGGTTTGATCTCGATAGTGACGGAGGACTTGGGGACGGACGACATATCGTGGAGGAGAATGCCCAACTGTACTGGAAAGTTGGCATCGTGCGTTGTCGCGCTATGGTGCCTATCGTATTCGCGCGCGAGCTGTTTGATGGCGGTTCCAGATAAGATGACACCTTCGTGATCTATGAGATAGTCGTCGAACCGTTCTGGCTGCACATCGGGATTCAACGATGTATTGGCAAGCCTCCATGGGGGTAATTGTTTATATTTGAAAAGGGGCCTAATGAAGGTTTCAAATCCGGCTATTATCTCTCTGGATGAGGGAGTTCTCGGATTTCCTTTGGAGATTCGCAGCACCTTGCCTAAGAAGCCTTCCCGTGGGAGTACTCCGTCGTCGTCGTCGACAAAAACCAACCCGTCCGGGGCTTTTTGAGACCCAGGGCATATCTTGAACACGACGTTGGCAGCTCCCTCAGCAAGGTATGTGAAGCGTACGAGGGCGGTGGCAGGGTCATCAGGTGCGGCCAAACAGCAAGTGATGGCAGGAGTGCTGAATGAGGGTTCGGTATCCATGTCGGTTCCAGAGTCCTTGGTGTTTTGTAACGATAAGATAGGTAAACTCCCAGTGGGTAGAGATCGGATAGAGTTGTTGGTGAATGGTATTTCCTCCATTTTCGCGAGCCGACTAAACGGTTGTGGTTGCGCCTGCATGCTGGAAGCCACGATGGCGTAACGGTGTGGTAGGAACCTTGGGCTCGTTGTTGCAGAATTTCGAGTCAGGTGTGGAGAGCAAAACTGGCTGCAGGGAAAGGGTGCTGGCAGCTCGGGTTCCTGCTATTGACGGGGCTTCCACCAAGGGGTGACACGGTCTTTGACACCACCCTGCGGAGTCACAATAGCCCTGACTCCCTCGCCGAAGAGAGAACGAAGCCAAAAGCCGCGCGTCAGTCGCCCTTTACCCTCTCGATGGCTGTCCAACTACCATTCGTGCTGCCTCGCAGTCGCAACATGCGGCTCGCTGGATCGAACCGGTTCTTGGGGGAATGAGGCGAGATACGCGAACCTGGGCACGCTATAAGCCGGCGGATATCTATCCGTAATCTATCGCTAGCTAGGGCTTCGAGCAGCATGGAATTGTGGTGGTTTTCGTCCATTTTCTTTTGGGGTCGAGGCCTTTTAAGGGTCTCGCGCTGATTTTTGTGGCGGCAGGCGCCTTCGATAGTTCGCGTGGCGCGGGCTGTCACGTGTGTACGTAAGCGCCCGGCGCGGGCGCTCACTGGCCATCAGAATCCGAATGCGCAATCTCACGTCCACTCCAATTAACGTGGCATTAAAAGGTCTTTGACGTTTAGCCGTCCATTACTATCAATGATCGAGCCCGTGGGCATAAAGCTAGTAGATAATGTTTACATGCTGCTGACGCTCTCTCGTCTGAGGCTTTCGAAATTCACGACCTTGACCCACCAAATTTCCGAACGCCGGAATGCCGGGTATACCCAAAGTACTTCACGACCCAAACCCGATTTCGTAGCCAAGTAACACCTCTGTTGTACTCCCTTCCCATCCCCTGTTTCCGCCCGTTGAGATCATGAAGGAGCAAGTAGGATCAACGTACAGCTGCGAAATGACGCCCGTGCGGTGGCCTGGAACGATCAAAAAGGGAACCGCAGATTTTGTGTTCTCCTGCTCACGCAAGTCATATAACCGGAGAATATCATACGATGCGCTAATCTTGGTGAGTATTCGCAAGGAGCATGAAACATGACGTAATGGCTTACCACACAAGATGTCTGCCGTTTGGCATCGCTCTGACAGCGCTCACAGCGCCGCTCACGCTGGGGAATCGGAAGGTCCTTCTCGGCTCTCTCAGCCCTTTGTGAAGACTGTACTCGTCTACGGTGCCGTTTCTTCTTCCTGCATAGATGAAATTGCCGTCTGGCGACCAGCAGGCGTTCATGCACCACGGTGGGGTATTCCTCGGAGGTGCTATGCGGGCGACTGGATTCGACTGCCGACGATCCCATATCCGCAACGCTCCATCTATCGATGCATCAACGAATGTGGTCTCAGACGAAGCCGGTTGTTCGGCTTGGGCACTTGAGCTCGCTCCAGACGGCCCTGATATCTCTTCAGCATGCGGAAGACCGTTGACATTTGGGCCCGAATCGGTATCGACAACTCCATTTAACAGTGGTTCAGTTTGCGCAGGCGCTGGAGGCTCTTTGAGGGTTTCGGGGGCTTGATCTGGCTGGGGAGGTCGGACTGGTCCTCCAAGCTCCATCATGTCGAGGTCTGCTTGAGCATCTTCGTCGGCTTGTTGAATGCCATTGGCAATAGCTCTTGAAAATTCGTCTTCATCATCGTCTCCGAATGGTGCTAGGGCAGACGGGCCATTTGAGGGATCCTTGTCGTCTCCAAATAACGAATCTTTATCTCCGAACAGGGAATCTTCGGGCGAGCCAGCGGCGTCTTCGTTGCCGTTCTCTTCCTTGGCTAGAGTCGACTGCGTCGATGAACCAACACCATTCGCGAGAACTCCGTTCGCCTTTGGTCGCGAAGCGTTATTTGACGAAAACGTGCCGTTCGAGACCGGCACAATATCGGTGTCTTGTGGAATAGGTAATGTGGACAACGGTCGCTGCTCAATGGCGGAAATCTGACTACCACTGGTTTTGAATCGCCGCTTGACCTGGCCGGTATTGAGATCCCAGTCGTTGATGGTTTTGTCCCAACTCCCAGAGAGCACTGACTTCTCGTCTTGAGCTAATGTCAAGACTGACACCGCAGATGTGTGCTGTCGAAGGGTATGTATTCGCTTCCCTTCCTCGTGGCGCACCGATTGTAGATTTATCCCACCAGATTCGACCCCGGACAGGAGCCAGAGAGACTGATGATGAACGGCAAGCGAGTAAACCGGTGATAGGCTGACCGAGTCGTCTGCCATGCGGTCTAGACATAGTTAGCTTCATAGTAGTGAGGAGGACCCCTGGCAGGAGAGATCGTACCCGAGCTGTCTTCATTCTCCCAATAGCTCAGCAACACTCCAGCCTTTGTGACGCTATCCACAAATGGATGCCGCTGGGCTACGGTCAGTGCCAGCTTCCCATTCGCGGTGTCCACCCAGTTGAACCTCCTAATGTATCCATCGGCGCCTCCGCTAAACACCCAGCGCATGTCCGGTGTCGCTGTGACCGCATTTATAGAGGTACTGTGAGGTGCGGCGATTGTGGGCACGATATCGTAGACAGGCGCCGTGAGCGCTTCCGGGCGGACGCTGGGGCGGAAAGGGAAGCCGCCAGCGGATATGGATGCAGCTCGTGGTGAGGGTGAAGTCAATGTGACTGTTGGATTTGTTCCCGTCCGCGATGGCCCAGGGGTGCCAGACACGCCATTCGGCAGGCTGCTACGAGGCTGCTGGGACTGCGAGGGGCTTTCTGTATCATCCTGGTCTTCGTCGTCATTGTCTCCATTTGCATCGTCATCATCATTGTCCCCATCATCTGCGTCGTCGTCTCCATCATCCGCATCAGCATCGGCATCTGCATCTGCATCTGCATCGCCGTCGTCGACGTCCTCCATAACCTCGTCCGCATCGTTGTCGGAGCTCGTGTCTGGAGAGCCTAGCGAAAGCCATTAGCCCAGAGCGGCCTTCCAAAGGTAGAGGGAGAGCAACCGGCGCCATTCTCGTCGTCGTCTTCGAAGTTCATCCTGCGCCCATAGACCTACGCCGCGAGCGGCGCTGCGGGGCAGAGGCAGGAGCGGCTTGGGGGCCGGGGTGCGGGTATGGATCGCTTCTGCTTCGGAAACAAGGCTAGGAATAGTTGGCAATCATCAAGCAGGCGAGGCGCGCATTCGCAAAGCGACGAGCATCCTCTAGCCAAAGGCGCGTCGTTCGCGAACCACAAGGCTGCGGGCGGCGGGTCATCGCCGAGACATCGGGCCGCCGACCGGAATTAGCCGCCCACGGAGTACTTGGACCTCACTCCGCCGCCTCATGGGTCTATCACGACAAAATGTGTCAACTTTTGCCCTTTTGGACGCTGTCTGAAAGCTCTGATTCTTGGAAGGCGCTGCTGAGCTTTTGAGAGCTCAGCCTATCGCGCTGCGCACCGAATCTCCAAGCCTGCCTCCTAAAATCGAATGTACAACACCACGGCTTCTCGACCTTGTCCGTTCACAAGGGCTTGTGTATTTCACTGGGAGACCCTAGAAAAAGGCCAATTGATGTAAGAGAGGCGGCGCTGCGCAAAACGGGTATCGCCCACCCGCTCGGCGGAGGCAGCCTCAAGCCGGAGGGAAGCCAGCAGGCCACCGCAAACGACGACGCAGTTGATCCCGAGATAGCAGCATTTTCCCCGTGCGGCACTTTGCTCACGATGTGGAGTACGCGCCGCCGGCCGATGCGACCCAGGAAGCAGCAATCAGCGATCATGAGGTGGTAACTAATCATGACTCTTTCCCATACAAAAAAAGCTCATATAGATATTGTTTGGCAGTCCTTTTCAGTCCTCAGTCGTCAGTCTCTCATTTTTCTTCTCGTTATCTCAATCCTCGATGTCTCAGCCTCGAAACCGCCATCTGCTGAATCTGTGGGCTCACTAGTTTTCATTTGCCCTCCTTGTGTCGATGCTTCCTCGCCTGCGGTTTGCCTGCGATTGTCTTGCAGCTTGAGCGAACAGTTGCATCCAATTAAACAGGTATTTCAGGGACGCATTGGCGGTCTATGGTCGGGAAATGACTATCGCCCCGTTCAACTCACCGCCTCCGCATTGCGCCACCTGGAGTGCTTTCACTCCCCGTTCCAGCTCTTGACGTCTCTGAGGCTCTCTGACCGCCCGTGCGCCTTCCGTTTGCTTTCAAAGTTTGTGCGCCCGAGACGCACCTTCCACGTCGCGCAAATCAGGTGACATCGCTTCGCCAACGAACCCGCCTGCCAATCCTGACGTGCCCAGCACCCACCGGACCACCCACCGGACCACCCACCGGCCTCAACGCCAAACACTGTGTCTTAGTGTACCGCACTGCCTCGTTCAGTCTTAATTGCCCTTGCGGTGACCCGCGCCAATTGTCTTTCAAAATGGCCCGAAACGGGCGTCCTAGGCGCAATCCCGCCAATCAGCAGCCAAAACCGCGTCCTGCACGACCTCACGGCGGGCAAACGCAGACCAGGTCGACGAATCTTTTCGACTCTCTGGCAAGTGTCGGCAATAATGAGTTTGGTAAGTTTAGGTGCTGTGTCATTTGCCAGCTGAGAATATTACCGTCCTGCCCGATTTTGACCCCTCTTCCGTTCCGTTCTGCCTTTCTCGTCACCTCTTCTACAGTTATTCCCCGCCATCCAACTCAAGTCCTTTTTTCTTCTCAATGTTGATTACGAGTGCAATCGCAGCCGGCGAGGTCAACGCTCACCTATCCGAGCGATTCGCCGGTGCTCGATTCGGCGGGGGCAACTATCCTGATCGGGACCGCGTTCCAATGTCGGCGCCCACGAAGGTCAACAATGACATCCGCGAATACTTCAAGGATGCGCAGAAACCGGTTGTCGGTGGTCCATGGCTGGAGAAGCCAGAAATCCCGAGGCCATCAGAGATCATCCCCCCGGGCCCCACCATTGGCGAGCAGATCCTCGATTTAAAGGAGGAGCTGCGCCCAAACAAGGTTGAGGGAACATACGACAGCAATGAGGAGTACCTGGGCACGCAGTACGAGCTTCTCAGGGAGGACGCTATTCGTCCATTGCGCGAGGCCGTCAAACATGTTCGCTCATCGCCGTGGCTTGACGAGTCGGACTACCCGCGCGAGAGTAGCATTGGAATCTACGAGCCGGTTTACGTTACGTCCGTCATCTTCTCCCCTCGCGGGCTGGCTATGAGGGTCGCCTTCTCGCTTAGGCGCGTCAAGAAACACGTTCGTTGGGACCAGTCCAAACGACTCATCACCGGCTCGCTCGTCGCCTTGTCCCCCGCAGATGATGCTTTCCACAGCAACTGCATTCTCGCCGTCGTAGCTGCCAGGCCGCTATCAGCTCTGGAGCAAAATCCTCCCGAAATCGACCTGTTCTTTGCTCGTGCCGAGGATATGGAGATCGATCCTATGAAAAAATACATCATGGTGGAGAGTCGGTCGAGTTTCTTTGAAGCGAGTCGCCACACTCTGCTAGCCCTTCAGCACATGATGCGAGAGCCGTTTCCTTTATCCGAGCATTTGGTCGAAGCCAAGAAAGATGTCGAGCCGCCGGCGTACGTGAAGAATCATCCCTTGACCGACATGAGCTCTCTTGTTACAATGGAGGAGTCCGACGAATTCCAAAACGTGGATATCTTGCGAGAGTGGCCATCCGGTACTTCTCACGGGCTTGACAACTCGCAGTCCAAGGCTCTGAAGCGCATTCTCACAAGCGCGCTGGCTATCATCCAAGGCCCTCCAGGTACCGGCAAGACATATGTCTCCGTCGTCGCTTTGAAGATTCTCCTTGCCAATATGCGGAAAGAGGATCCTCCCATCATCGTTACCTGTCAGACAAACCATGCCCTGGATCAGTTGCTCCGGCATGTTGCTGAATTCGAGTCGAGCTTCATTCGCCTTGGTGGCCGCTCAAAAGACAGAGACAAGATTAAGAAACGAACGCTGTTCGAGGTTCGATCTAACGTTTCTCAACCAAAAATCCCAGGGAGTCTGAAGACGCAGGCAATTGGGAGGATGAAAGAGTTGACCGGGCGGATGCAGATGTTGCTCGCCCCGCTCGAAGCGAACAAGCCGCCGCTGGATCACAAGGTTCTGGTCAAGCTCAGGCTGATCACGGAAGAACAGGCTGAGTCACTAGAGATTGACTCGCGATTTGCTATGGGGATAGATCCAGATAGCCCCGGTGTCGTAATGGAGCAATGGCTTGGTAAAAGCCTCACACCATGCCACAGGCCAATCCAACCCGATGATTTTGGCATGGAGTTTGAAGAGGAAGACTTTGAGGTAGAGCAGCTCAAAGAGCTCGAAGCAGAGGCCGTGGCGCAAGACGATGATGACATTGAAGCTCTCAGAGGTCCGGTTACCCTGCTCAGCGACAATTACGCCGGGAGAGGCGGCTCGTTGAGAACTGACGACGAGATTCGGGATCTCCTGAAGCGCACAAAAGACCTGGCCACCATTCCAGTTCCAGATCGCGGCGCTATCTACAATTATTTCCAGCGCCAGACAAAGAGACTACTTCTGCTGGAATTCCGCGACCTGGCGAAGCAGTACGAGGATGCCATGCATCAGCGCCGCATCGGACAGTGGGAGCAAGATCAGCGCATCCTCCGCGACCAGCGCCTTATCGGCATGACGACTACCGGACTAAGCAAATATCGATCGCTCGTCGCCAGCTTGAGGCCCAAGGTCGTAATGGTAGAGGAAGCGGCTGAAACTTTGGAGGCTCCGGTGACTGCGGCCTGTCTTCCCACCCTGGAGCATCTTATCCTCGTTGGCGACCACCAGCAGCTTCGTCCCCACTGCCAAGTACGGGAGTTTGAGGATGAGCCATATAATTTCAACTTGTCTCTCTTTGAGCGGATGGTGTTGAACGAAGTTTCTATGGACTGCCTCACCCGACAACGCCGCATGATCCCCGAGGTCCGTCGCCTACTTGAGCCAATTTATGGCGGCGCCCTCAAGGACCATCCCAATGTGAAGGATATCAGCAACCGACCTCCAGTAGAAGGCATGGGCGGATGTAACTCCTTCTTCTTCACACATGAGTGGCATGAGTCAAAAGACGCCAACATGTCTTCGCTAAATGATAAGGAAGCTAGCATGATCGCGGGATTCGCGGACTACCTTGTCCTCAACAACATCGACCCAAGCAAGATCACCGTCCTCACCTTCTACAACGGGCAGCGAAAACTGATCAACAAGAAACTGAGAGAGAACGCAAACCTGAGAGTGAATCCCATCTTGAATGTCGTTACGGTCGATTCGTACCAGGGTGAGGAGAACGACATCGTGTTGCTTTCTTTGGTGCGGAGCAACCGCAATCACAACATCGGATTTCTCTCTGTAGACAACCGCGTGTGCGTTGCCCTGTCTCGAGCTAAGCGTGGCTTCTACATCTTTGGTAATGCCGAGATGCTGGCTTGCGAGAGCGATACATGGGCTAAGGTAATCAAGATCATGTTCGGCGAGGGAAAGGCGAGGGACATCCCGCAAACTGGCCAGAAGCGGCGCGTTGGCTATAATCTTCCGCTGGAATGCGTTCAGCATGGCTACAAGACGTGGATCGAGGACCCCGGTGACTGGGAATTGGTCAATGGAGGCTGCGACGAGCCTTGCCGCTGCCGTCTGCCATGTGGGCATACTTGCATGCTCAGGTGTCACCCGTAAGTTTCACGACTTCCTCTCTCTTTAGTGTAAGGCTGACACACCTTAGCTTCGATAACACCCGCATAAACTGCACCCAGAAGTGCTTGAAGCGAGTTGAGCCTTGTGGTCATCCCTGCATGGCAATGTGCTGCGATCCGTGCAAATGCCAAGTGTGCGATCGGTACAGCAACGGGATGAAGGCTATGCTGCGGCCTGCTCCAGCCAACGGTGGTTCTTCTTTCAAACCTAACCCTCAAAATACCACTTTCCGGGCACCTCCTCTTCCCCCCGCTGGATCGTCTATGAATTCCGAGGGATCAGGCAGTACTACCGAGCAGTGGAAGGCATACGCCAATGGCGGCGCACGTGCAGACGACGTCCAAGTGCTGCAGAAGCAGCAAGAAGAGGATGCCAAATTCTACGACACGGTTTCCAACGTTGGACAGTCTGCGGCCCCGGCTTCCGCTAGGCTCATCGAGTTTTCTCCTAAGAAGGGAACCAAGCCCAAGGCACATGCTTCAAATAACATCGATCTGCTCCTCGACCTGGACATTGGTAGCACTGTGGATGCTAGTAGTCAGCCGAAGCAACGCATCAACTACAAGGAGACGTTCTCCTATGCTGCGGCCGCGAAGAGCAAGGCGGACAAAACGAACTTCAATTTGCTGGATTGAGCGGGCGATGCGCGACGGCGCGTGGCGTTGGACGGGCTCATGTATCTTGTTCCCTCCCCCATGATGGTGTTTCTTCATTTCATGGTCAAAAAGAAACCAGTGTAGCTACGGTGTAGGGGCGTTAGGGGGTAAGACCACCAACGACTCATGAATGAACTGAATGAAACGAAAAGTGATATGAATAGAATTAATTTGTATGTACAATCCCGCCGCGCTATTTTCCAGTCCCCATCGTACGCCTTCCAAGACGAAAACCAAGTCCTACAACGCTTCCGCAGCTGACACCTTAAACCCGCCCACAAGCTGCTTCTGAAACAACCCCCTCGGATCATACTTCCTCGCCACCCGCTTCAGCTTTCCCAACTGCTCCCTCCCATAGCTCCCCAGCGGATCCTGAAACCGCGCCGCAAAGTTCAAATACACCCACCCGCTGCTGACGCCCTCGTCCTCGGCAATATCGTCAAACATCTTGATAAAGTCCTTCAGCCCGGCATTGAACGCCTTGCTGGCGCTAGCGTCGGTGTTGTAGTAGAACACGATCTGCAGGAACACGAGGTCCTTTTCGGGGGTGTCGGTGGCGCTGAAGCCTAGGCTGTTGGGGCTGGAGTCGTTGCGTGGAGGCGGCGGGATCGATTGGAAGGTTAGCTCTGAGGCCGGGTTGGAGGAGGCGTGCGCGGAGAGCAGGGACGGGATGGCAGTTTTCCAGGCGAGGTGGATGCGGTGGCAGATGCGGGGGGAGATTTTGAAGGTGGTGGTGGCCCAGATTGTGCTGCGTTGGTTAGCATCCACGTTCGCTTGTCGATGACAAGGTAGACAGGGGGCGAGGCGGACTTACTTGAGATTCGACGTCTTCACCACCATGGACGCGTTCTTTGCGAACTCGCGCGGCGTGCCCGTGGTCATGCCGTTCATCAGCTGCGGCTTCGTCTCCACAATCGGCTTCAGCGCGCCGGGCTTCTGCTCCGGCTTCGTGTACCACAGGATGCTCGTCGGCGTCGTCTGATTGGTCGTCACGTTGTAGCGCCACGTGACCCAGCCGGCGGCATGGGGATCGTACGCGCTGCTCTTGAACTCTGTGAACGCGGAGACGAGATCCGCCTCGGCGGAGGAGTTGAAGGCGATGCGGCCGCCCCAGATGGGACCTTCGAGCGGGAAGGCCTGCAGGTCGAAGCGGGTGATGATGCCGAAGTTGTTTTGGCCGCCTTTGAGCGCGGCGTACAGATCGGCGTTGGAGGTCGCGTTTGCGTTGGCGATGGTGCCGTCGGCGAGGACGAGCTCGAAGTTTACGACGGCGTCGCAGGCCCAGCCGCGGGAGGGGGAGAAGAAGGATACGCCGCCTGGTGTGGGGTTAGGACCTTTGTCATGGGAAAAGGTTTGGGAGTGATAGATGGATAGGAGAAGAGAGAAAATGTTGATATGGCTTACCTCCCGTTGTGAAGCCAGCCACGCCCACGACTCCAATCCTGCCGCCAAGTACCGTGAGATTATGCGGTTCCACGGCATCATACACATTCTGCCACAGGGCTCCGGCGCCTACTCTCGCGACCTCTGTCGCCTCCACCACCTCTACTTCATTCATGCTCTGCATATCGATGGTGACACCATCTTCGATATTGTTGAAGCCCACATTGGCATTGTGGCCTCCGCCTTTTACGGCGAACTTAGTGCAGCCTGTATCCCTCAGGAGATTGACCGCTGCAGAGACATCTTGCGCGGTTTTGGGCCGCACTATACAGGTCGGGTGGAGCCGCAGCTGGATGAAGGGGTAGGAGGAGATGGAGGCGTTGTATGTGTCAGTGTCGGGGTAGAAGATCTCGGTGGGCAGGATGGACGAGAGAGCTTCGCATGTTGAGACTGTGTCGTTGTTTCTGGATGCTAGAGTCGTGGCGCCGAAGAGAAGACAGCTGAGGAGACATCGAGATGGGGTTGAAAAATGCATCTTGGGGTATGTATGTACAGAATGGAGCGAGACGGACAGAGACAACGAGGAACCCACAACACACCTTCCTACCTGCTCTTATGTATGCTTGCCATTGGAAGCTCAGCCTCTCCCGGCGCAGAGCAAGCTGATGAAAAAAGTCCGTCCCGGAAAGCATCGTGCGCATCGTCCAGCTAACTGATCGTCAGGACCGGCTTCCTTCGCATGGAGAGCCTGTTTTGAGGCGCTCAGCTCATCGCCGGACCGGCAAGCAAGCAAGCTAGGGTACCAACACACTGTGCCTCAGCCGTCAGTCAGGTCGAGTATGGTAGTCCGTAGACGAACGATCGTCGCCCCCGCCATTTAGCATGCAAAGCATCCAAGGCAAGCTACTTTCCCCTGTGCTCAGCCCAATCACGGCAGGCCGTACCTGCAAGCTGATCGACCGCGGCAGGGCGCCTTCATGTAAGGTTTTATTGTGGCGTGCTCACTCCCCCGGGGGGCTTAAAAGCTTATGGCCACACAAGACGAGGGTCCAGAGCCGTGGTTGGACACCCGGGGCCTTGGGATATTGGATGTTTCCGTTAGCGAACAATGCAGATCAGCTGATGCTCCTTTCGGCGGAAAAGCGAAGGGTTATTCCGTAAGAAAAGGCGGAGTTGTGCTGCTGCGCTGGTTTTGCAAGGCGGCGGGGAGCCGATGGTTCGTGTTCGGACTTGGCATTGTGGATTGGAGCCGCACGCCGCTGTTCAGAGCTTTTACGAGGATGTAGTGAGGCACGCAGAAGGGGCTGTATAGACCACAGGTACAGAGGGTGCAGTTGGTATAGAGTAGAGCCTGTAGATAGAGATTCTGGCGATCTGTGGCTGTGGGCTGCTTACATTCGCGTTATTGGGTCACTGTCCCTGCTTATCTGGGGTTGCGCTAAACCTAAAGCAGCATACACCTACTTCGCGGACCTATAGACTCCACTCCACAAAGGTACATCTGGTGCTTACTCCATCTCTGCATACCTACTCTGATGGCCTCTCTCTTTAGTATGAGAGCGGCTTGCCGGGCTTCATCCGACGGTCCGACGGATCGGATGACTTCAGCAACTTTTTGAGCAAGTATTCCATCCCGCATAGGAGCCTTTCTTTTCTATAAGCCGGATCAAGGAGTACCATGTATTGTATTTCATTGTAGTACTGAGTGTTTTGAGAAGGCTATGAATGTGCGCGCCTAGGGGTATCATCCGAGTATACGATCAGTAGGACCCTCTCCACCGTCCATGTTCACCTTTCGAAGCCATTAATCCGTCCTGTCCTCATCCATAGTAATCCCGAACACCTCCGACGCCAGCTTCGCAACCTCGCCGCCTAAGCCTGCCAACGCCGCCTTGATGCTCTCCACCGTCTCCGGCTTCAGCTTGCCCTTCCTGCAGTAGATGTCTACTCCTGCCGGCGTGAACAGCGTCTTGGCGAAATACGTGACGACCCACGCTTTGCCCGTGTCTTCTTCCTCGCCATACCCAAGTATCTCCCATTTCGAGGACGCGATCACCAGCCAGCCCTTGCCCCGCCATTGGTATGCCAGGCTTGCAAGCTCGCCGTCGGCACCGCCTTCCACAGGCTTTGTATTCGGGACCGCGAAGGGCTTATCGACGCCGTGGACCTTCTTGAGAGAGGTTGACTTGAGCGGCTGGTAGCTGACTAGGTCGTCGATTTGTTGCGGAGAAGTATTAGGGATGGGTGTGTATGTGATGCGCACATTGCGGTTTTTTTTCCACATGGGAAGCGTGGAATGGGTAACACTCCATGTGCCATACAGCCATTGCAACGTGGGAGGCGGGATTGAGGGCGACTCTTCGGTCGTAGGTAGGCTGGAGGGTGCGCGCAGGGTAACCATGGCGAAGGTTGGAGGGCGGTAGGGGAGCTGCAGTTGCAATCGTTTTCGGTCCCTCGAGTGAGAGTGGTGGGGGATGGCGTTCTTTGACGTAATGTGGTTGGACGTCAGAGACCTAGAAGGGTATGTGGATGCGATGGCTGGCGTGGAGCGGTGGTGGGGGAGGTGCTGGCGGTGGTTGGGCTGGCTGAACGCTGCAAACAATCGAGATGGAGGAAAGAGCAAGGGAGGAAGGAACGACTTTTCAGAACTTCTCGCAAGACTCCCGCAAAGAGTCAGGGAAAATCGCCGCTTCCAATCTCAACGATGATGAGCTGCGTTGCCATGGCGAGGACCTTGGAAGCAGAGCGTGCATCATGCCTTCGTAGGGCTAAAGATCAACACAACAAAGGCCGGGAAGGAGACAGCCGCACGCCAAGGCCAAGACCACGCGCCACCACTAGCAGTCCCAAAATAGCCACCCGACGCCACGCCTCTCGCACTCGCCTCAGGGTCCAACGCGCTTTGACATCACCGCTCCAACCACCCCTCCTCCCTCACACAAAGCGTTGCACGGCACCAGGAACCGCCAGCAACCGCGCTCGCGGCAAAACACTTGCTCCAGTCCTCCGCAACGCTTCCTGCCACACACAGCCTATTCTTGGGGCTTTACTCGGCTGCAGGTTTCGGAGGCTGTCGCGCGTTGCGCTGAATGGAGCGCTGACGACGCCTGAAACTGCGGAGGGGCTGTGCTGGTGACTGAAGCGTTGCGCGTGCGGCTCCACCATGGACCTGCCACCACCGCCAACGCTTGACGCCGCTGGTCTGGATTACTCCGGTGGGTGGGCTGAGCGAGCTGGTATAATACTGTGCGGCGCTGCTGTTTCCTTTGAATCTATTTCGCGCTCTCTTTGAAAGAAGGTCCCTATACGAGGTATCTACGTTTCTTTCATATTCATTCAGTCGTTTGGGTATTTGAATATACTTATTCTTCATACGACTCACGCCTTTCGTTGTCTTCCGATTCCGAGTATCGCGCTCTTCCTTCAGAAGAGCGATCGCAAAAGTCCATCACCATGTTTCTACGAAACCTCCTCCAGGCCTCCGCCCTCCTCCCCTTCCTCTACACAACCGCCTCGGCGCAGACAGCATGCAATAACTCGCCGTCGTTATGCGAAAAGGCCTACAACAATATCACGCATCTCGGCGCTCACGACTCGGCGTTCCTGCGAGACGAATCAACATCCTTCTCCACCTCCGGCAACCAGTTCTACGACTCGACAACACAGCTCGATGCCGGCGTAAGATTACTCTCAGCGCAAGTGCACCTGAAGAACGGATCGACGGGGTCGGATGAGTGGCACCTGTGCCACAGCGACTGCGATCTCCTAGACGCGGGCACACTCGAGAACTGGCTCTCCGAGATAAAAACATGGATGGACGCCAACACCAACGACGTCGTCACCATCCTGCTAGTCAACTCCGACAACGCCGCCGCCTCGGACCTAGGCTCGCAATTCCAATCCGCCGGCATCGACAAATACGCCTACACCCCCCCCTCAACATCCACCATTCCCCAGGAATGGCCCACTCTGCAGTCCCTCATCTCCAACAACACGCGCCTCATGGCCTTCGTCGCCTCCCTGTCCACCCCCTCGTCCGACTACCCCTACCTCATGGACGAATTCACCTTCATCTTCGAAAACCCCTTCGAGACCGCAGACCCCGAGGACTACTCGTGCGACCCCGACCGCCCCACGTCGCTGACTACATCCGCGCAAGCTGCTAGCTCCGGCCGCATGTTCCTCATGAACCACTTCCTGTACTCGACGGCGCTGTTCGGCATCGAGACGCCCAACGCTACCTACGTCAACGTCACGAATGCACAGACGGGGCTGGGCTCGCTCGGCGAGTCGATCAGCAACTGCACGGGTGTGTACAGCAAGGCGCCGACGTTCGTGCTGGTCGATTTCTTCAACGTGGGGCCTGCGATTGAGAGCGTGGATGCCGCGAATGGCGTCACGGGCGCGACGGGCAGGAAGAGCGTGCCGAATGCGCCGCTGGATGAGACGGAGACTGGTGGTGTGGCGGGGAGGCAGAGTAGTCTGCTCGCTGTGATTGTGGCGGTTGTCGTGGCGGTGGGATTTGGAATGTAAAGGAAGGGCCGAAAATACTCGCTTTGTTTTGTTGTGGGAGGTTTGGTCTGCGTTTGTTATTGCATGCATGGCGACGGCGTTTCTGAGACCTGGGATTTTGGGAAAATTGATTGGGTCTTGGCGGTTCCGGTCCCTGGGAAATGGGAATGGATGGGACTTGAGCATAGCGAGCGCATCGGCGAGAAGTGCTCTTGCTAGCCATGCATGGACACGCAGCATTTTTTGCATAGCGATATGAAGTAATGAATTGGAAGTCTACATCAACAACACTCCTCATACAGGCCTTTCGTGCTATGCTGTCCTGTGCTGTGCAGTGCTGCGCTCTGCTGTGTAACCACCCGTCCGCCCTGACGTGATACGGACGGACTACGAGTACGTTACGCGGCCGCCTCCTTGCATAGATCCTCCAGCCTTTCTCCGGAACGCCAGAAAGCGCCCTTGCGCGAAACACGCCGTTCCGTTCCACACAATCTATACCAGCTCAAACCCGGCGCCGGTGTCTAAAAAGAAGTTCAAAAAGTGCATATCAACTAACCAACTACCCCTCACAATACCTTCCAATAACCCGCACCAGCTTCGCTCGCGTACTCTTCCTATCAAACACCTGCCCATGGTCCAATTGCGGAAACCACAGCACATCCAGCCCGTCCCCGTCTCCCTTCCACGCCTGTCCTGCTCCCGGTCCCACCTCGCAGCCTTCCTTTTCCCCCTTGCTCTTACCATTACCGTTACAGCTACCATTACTACCACTTCTGCTACTACCAGTATGATCCGTGAGATACGCCCTAACAGCCTCGGTATCAACGATCAAATCCCTGCCGCCCAGCACGACGGTCGCGCGGTGGCCGCGCAGGTCCTCCTTCCACAGGATGTTCTCGCTCCAGAAGAAGCGGCGGAAGAGGGTGTGCGAGACGCCCATGTCCTTGGAGGCGAAGTAGTGGAGCTGGTGTTCGTTGGCGCGGATGGGTTTGCGGCAGATCTGATGGGAGTGAGTTTGGGTTTGCGTGAAGGGGATGAGGGGGGAGGGGGAGGCTTACGAAGTTGTATGCTACGTCGGGGAGATGCAGGAGGAAGGATACGGGGTCGATGAAGAGCAGGGGGCCGATTTTTTGGGCGATTTGCGGCGTGCGGAGGAGGTGCGTGGTTATTACGCTGCCGTATCTATACACTGAATTAATACTGCGTACTATAATGGCGACGAAGCGGATCGGGGAGAGAAAGCGACAAAGGAAATCAACTCACGAATGCGACACCAGGACGAATTTTTCCCAGCCGTGCGCCTTCAATATGCAGTCGATCTCCTGGCACATTACATCCTTGTCCAGCGCCTCGCGGGTAAGCCGAAGGCTCACAGCCATGATCTCCACGGCGATGATACCGACCTCGCCATCCGACGCATCCGTTTCAAGTCCCGGATTTATTTCAGCCAAGAGATTGATATACGGGTAGAGCCCGATGCCGATGCCGTGGATGAACAGGATAGGAAGTCTAGTTTTGGAGGTGTGCGGGCGGTGCCAATAAGTGACCGTCTTCGCGGCAGAGCGATGGGGTGTGAGAAAAGTAAGGGGGCGAAAGGGGAAAACCGTGGGGAACTGAAGGCGAGAAGTACGGTGGAAGTCGAAGGAGTAGTAGCGCATATAGGCCGATGCCAGCGTGTCGACGACAAACACACACTATAGCACGGAGATAAGGTTAGCAACATGGGGGCTTGTAGCCAGGGACACGGAAAATGACGAATTGCCGCGCCATCTTCCCTGCAGAAAATCACTCACCAGGTACCAGGTCAAGCTTCGATGTAGCATGTCGACCTTTTCCAGGCTCAGCCTTAAGCACTTTGCGCTCCCCCTCCCGGGTTCTAGCTTCCTTCCTAGCATCTTCTCCATCTCTTTGATGAACTCTTCCAGCTCCTCATCGTCCGCTGCATTAGGCGCCCCCGTATTGAGAAACGCCCACCGCAAGAAATCCTTGACATTCTCCCTCTTGATCTCCGACGCGGGAGCATCCATAAACCATTTCGTAAGATACCGCTCCGGGTCGGGAATGTGTTCGTGGCAGCGCTGAAAAAGCACTCGGCGTTCTTCGCGGGAGACGGGCGTTGGATGGATCGCTGCCCGCTGCAAGTAGATTTTGCGCGGGTGATACACAAAGAGGTAGAACGCCGTCTCGAGGGTAGTCCAGATCTGGAGTATGCGGGCGCCACGGAATGAGGGAGGAGAGACAAGGGAGAATAGACAAAAGAGAATACTGAGAGGCGCGATCGCGTGAAGGAGAAATATGCAGGACCGGATGAAGATGTAGCTGGGGATCGATGTTCCTATCATGTTGGAGATAGACGCAGTGAGAAATGCGCGGCGCCAGATAGTACGATGTCTCCAGGAGCGATTCCAGTTCTTCGTATGCTGTCCGTTCGATGAGCGGTTGTTCGCTGCGGTGGTGCTGTACGAACGGAGTTGTACCTTATGTCTGACCTGACCGTTTCCCTACCCCGATCAACATGTGGTCTAAAGCTCCGACTGTGCGAAGGGGCCTCGGCCTCCGACTTGTAATCAGGAAGGAATGCATTGCTCTCCCAACAAAATTTAGGCTGCAGCATGTGGGTCTTATCTCTTTGCGTGCTTTCACAATTACATCCTAGGTACATGTGAAAGCCACTCGGGATGTCTTCCCACGTTTCCTTAGTAATCCTCGGCGGTGTAGACGGGCAGAATATCTCAACACTCAACATCCAACTTGGAACTAGACGAACAAACCAACCCCAACCCTCAACAAAGCAGCACCAAATAGCAAGTATGTAAGACGGTATTGCCAGTGTTAGGAGGAAAGGGTAGGGCGACTGCGCTGGAAACGACACTCACTGCCGCCCATTCTAGGGGATTGCTGTAGTTTCCGATCCGCGGAAAGGTAGCAGCAACGTGAATTGAGAGCGAGGCCCGCTTGAAAATGTGAAGCTGATGCGATGCAATGATGTGTAGGTGCAGGGTGAGTCGTGCGGAAGTCACGACCGGTAGGTAGGCGGCACAGTTACCACACGCGTTAGCATATCTACGACACAGCGGAGGGCTTGCGGAGCGATATGTAGCCTAAACGATGGATAGATATTAACAATATGCTCAAAGGTCCCCTCCGGCAAGAGCTCAATGGGTATACGCCGCTCAAACCAGCCCCGCTTCAACATCCCTCTGCGTTATATACAAATCACACCTAGCAATGCCAGTGCAAGCGATCCCCTTCCCACCGTCTAGACCAGACCCCTCTATGGTCCGTACTATTACATGCAAACAGACCGACACTCAACGTACAAGACTTTTGATACACGCCTCCCGTCCGCCCAAGCAACCCGGGATCCAAAGGAAAGAAAAGGAGCGAGAAAAAGCGATGGACTGCAAGCGAGCGCAGACCTCTAAACGCCACCATAATACATTATTCGTAACATCATCAGCGTCCTCTCCCTTACGCAACATACGCTGGCGGTGGGGTTTCCATATCCTCCTCGGTCCCTGCCCAAATGCCAGCAGGTTGAGCTTTCAAGCTCTGTGGCTGTTGCGGCGGAGGTGGTCTCCTATCCCGCGAGGCTTCCCTCTCCTTCTCTTCTTGCACCTTTCTAGCGACCTCCCGCATCATCTTTTGCATCCAGGCTGTTTCAAGGATCCCGCCGCCTGAGCTCGACGTGCTCTCGGCGTAGGACCCAGGAGACATGGGCAGCTTGGAGTGTGCGGAGAGAGTGGATACTTTCTCGAATGAGAGGGAGCGGAGGAGGGGAGAGGTGGCTTGTTGAGTGGAGCGGAGGCGGTTGCGGGAGAGTGGCGGTCGGGACGAATGAGAACGCTTCTTTTCGGGTTCCGGAGGCTGAAGAGGAGCTTGGGCTCTCTGTTTTGATTTTGAGATTTTGGGTGGGTCGGCGAGGAGAGGCGCCACAGGGAGCAAGCTCTCTGAGTTTTGTGGCAGCCTGCTCGGTTCGCCCGCGTCCAAATTGCCATGCTTGCTTTCGAAACGCAACCCGGGCATGGCTGGGCTCTTTGGCGGTGTAAGAAGCTCCTCCTCCTTTTCGCGATCTTCTAGGATGACGCTCGCGGTCTCGGAGACTGTTGCGCTCGCGGACGGTGTGTTGGCTCCGGTAGAGACACCAGAGGACTCTCCGCCATCCCTGTTCTTGCGCAGATCAACGACGCGCTTCTTTGGCCTGCGCATGTGGTGACCGCGTGCGCGGTTGGCGCCGAGGCTCAGTCCTGCAGCTGCCGAATGTTGCGATACAAGCGTGGGGCGCGAGCTATAGGTCTCGTTTCCGGTGCTACCGGACGCGACGGAGGAGGAATTCGACTTCGTGCTACCGAACGTAGACTGTATCCTAGACAGACTTGATTGTGTAAGTGCGGGAGTGGCGGCGCCGGAGTCGGGCCGGTCTGGTTGCGTAGCCCAAGCGCGGAAGACTGCTTCGCGGATGCTGGGCGTGAAGAGGGATAGAGTGCGCTGCGACTCGGACAGCGCAGCGAGACGCAAAATGTTCTTTTGTGAGAAGGACGCGTGCATTTCGGAGGCAGAGTCGATGGATAGGTTGGAGGTCTGAGACGCGTCGATGGGGTTCCCAAACGCATCGACAGCATCTTGCGGCGGTGCTGAGAGCGGATCGATAGGCGCGGTAGTATCCTTAGAGCCTTCTAATCTTTCTTCCGTCTCAGCCTCGAGCTCTTGGTACTCTGGCGACCATAACCGCAGCGAGAGTCTGTGGATGATAGCCGGCAGGTCTTCCATAAACAGCACGCGAAGCTGTCCCTCGATTTCCTTTTGTAAGTAATCTCGCACAAACGGTATGGAGTCGAAGGTCGACGAAACTTTTAGCGACTCCAAAGGATCGTTTCGGAAGACCAGCGTCACTCCCTTTTGTTTTGAGAAAACCAATATGACGAAACCAGACAAGCGAATATCGGAGAGCGTGATTTGCAGCGGGATGGTTAATCCGGAGGACGCAGCCAACGGCTGGGGCGAGGCGAAGTCGGGTTTCGTGGAGAGGTACGTATTCAGCGGGTTGGCCTGGACCTTTGTTTTGAGCGTCAGAAACGCATCGCCTGTATACTGCATCTTGAATATGCCCCTGAATCTATCCTCCGCCAAATCCCCAATCTCCAGTATCTCCAACTCTGGCGGCGTTGAACCAAGATTCAGCTCGGTAACGATAATGTCGTCGACGATGATGGGCGGCTTCGGCGACTTGTTCAGGGCCGTCGTCAGCATGTCGCGCGCGCGAGACGTATCCGCAATAAGCGGCGACCAGTTGAAATTAAAGGCCATTGCGACTGGTCGCGGTGTGGTTGCGAAGTGTTGAAGCTTCTAGCGATGATGCCTATAGCAGGTTGTGGCAGATGATGTACCGGGTGTCGCGTGCATGCCTTTGATCGCCGCGTGAACGGGTCCTGGCCATCAAACCGTCCAAGACAATGAAATCTGGGGTCGCGGGGAAGAAATAAAGAATCAGGTGGTGCGCAATCGCTCGAGACGCGATGGGCGATAGTAAGCGGACGGGTTTGGTGATGGTGGTGTGAGGAGAGGGATTTCTCGGAGTTGAGGAAGCTTGACAGGCCTGCGATGATGTGAGGGCGCAAGGCTCGGCTGTGCGTGAGGCGCCGAACTTTTTTCGCCCGTGCGGGATGACACCGGCCGAGCCCGAAGGTCGCCACGGCAGTTCAGAGCACCACAAAGCTGCAGTAGACGACTGTGTCTGTGTAGTGCCGCTGGTAACCACACCTACATGGAGAATGCTACGCAGGTACCGCTGGCCTGCTACACAGTTCACTGCTTACCACGACCTCCCAATGATGGCAGAACCCATCAAAACAACTCTCTCCTTAATTTCACCAAACGCGCATCCCAGTCTTCCCCTCCTCCACGTGCTCTAGAAGTGGCACAGAACTTCGTGATGGAGCAAGCCTCACCCTAGCAAATTCACGAGTCGAGTAGAAATTCAGCCAATGACCGAAAAGGGGGCGTGAATTCTCTGTTTTGAGTCACCGTGGGCAAGAAGATCACTCGGTTTTGCGGGGAAAGGAGCTTGTTTACGTGACGGGTTTGTTTTGGATTCGGGCGACGTGATGTTGTTTGGTGTTGCGTTATTGTGGTGGCAGCACGCGCCTCAGGGTGAATGCACGTGTGTGGTTGCGTTCAAGGACCAACCGTCGCGCCAGTAATAGCATTCCCTATGCCACAGGACTTCAGGATCCTGTTTCACAAATTCGTATTGCTCTAAACGCAGCCTGAAGACCTCCACCACCCAATCCCAACACCATGAGCCGTCCGCATACCCCGATAAAGCCCATCACGCTTCATCCCCCTTCAACAGCCTCTCCACAGCCTCCACCTTATCCTTGAACCCCTGCTTCTTATCCGTCCTCGTACCCACCCTGATATCGCTCTGAATCCTCACCACGCCGTTCTGATGAAGCATCGCGTGGCATTGTCCAATGACTTTCATCACGTCATCCCACGGGCCCTCTATACCCTTACATTAGCAACGACCGAGTACATCAGTAGCCTTTCAAAACAGGCGAGGAAGTGCGTCGGGCGAGGGGGTTGATGGACGTACCTACTGTAGTTCCGGCGGAATGCATGGAGTAGTTCAGGCCGGACTTTTTGAGGAGGCGCTGCACTTCGGCGACTTCTTTGGATACGGAAGCCGTCGGGGTGCCGAGCGGGATGAGGCAGAAGTCTGCCGTGCAGGCCGGAGGGGTCTGCAGCGTTGAAAGATCGGTCGAAGAGGACATGTTGAGGGTGGTGAGAGTTGGTTGTGGTTCGAGGTGAGTATTGTTGATTGGTCGATTGGAGTTTGTAGGCCGATGACGTGGGATGGTTTAGATGGGGATGGAGAAAGAAAGATCGCGTCCTGACTAGCCACAATGATTAAGCGCAGCACTTGCAGGAGGATTTTGTTTGATCGATTCATTTCGTTAAGACATTACATGCCTATATGCTATATGCAAGACTCCCACAGATGCAGTATCCTGTTCTACATATTCTTCAAAAGGTACGCCAACCCAGCCCACATCTCCTCACCACTAGGTAGGATTTGGTCCGCAGGCAGAATGAAGCCGTTCCGGCCCTGATCGCGCAACTCAACCGTCATCGAATAGTTCGCCTTCGCGACCTCATAAGCGTAGTCCACCGAGTCGCCGGATACCTGGTAGATCGTGGAGCAAATGGGACCCTGCGTGAAGCTGGTTCCGTGCACCGCTTTGACGGCGGCGACAGCACCTTGCGAGAGCCTCTGGTATGCCGCGGACTCGGGAACGGTACCGGAGCAAGTGTATCCGTACGGATACATCCAGAGCTGTGAATAGGAGTGGATGTCCATGTACAGCTGTACTCCCTTGCCCGCAGCGATGCTGTCAAGCTGAGCCTTCAGTGCCTTGTTCTCCACCGCATCTCCAGCGCTTCCACCCTTGTAGTCCTCGGCGCAGGGCGAGGTGCTGGCCCCGCCACGCTGATCCCAATGGCTGGGCCAGTTCCGGTTGATATCACGCCCGACGCAGCTGGCCGAAGTCGTGCTTTGCCGGTTCTTGCGCCACATGCGATCAGTCGATTGAGTGTAGGCGAAGCCGTCGGGATTCACGATCGGGAAGATGTAGAAGTCGTACTTGTCCTTGAAAGCCTTCGTATCGGCGTCCGTGGAGGTAAGGAGTTGATATGTGGCATATTCCACAACCTATGGTAGTTAGCTCATCAAAGGCTCCAGATGTAAGGGAGGGGTAACAAACCATGGTAGTAATCCATTCTCGCGCATGCACTGTTCCGTGCCAAACAACGCCCTTCTGCGAGCCTTTGCCGCCACTTCCCCAGATGTGGATACCGGGTATGTCACGCCCCTCCAGGGACTTGCCGGCTGAGATGACCTCCGCATTGTCAGGATAAGCAGCAGCGAGGTCCTTAATCCACTGCGTGTGGTCCGCGATGCTGTGGTAGGAATCGAACCAAGTGGCGTTGGGTGCGGCTCCGGCTGATATATCCCTTAGCGCCTGGTAGATATTACAATCTGTTATGGGGATAAATACCGGCATAAACTTGGAAGGTCTCTTCATCGGAAATGGAAAGCCCAAGGTCTTCGTGCATAACCTCGGTGCTCAAGCCCTCGGTAGATGCCTCAAATTCCGAAATCTGACTCGGAGGCACCATCACGTCGACGACCTTGCTAGTCGCGACCTTGCCCTTCCATGTCTGCAGCTTGAGACTGTCCACAACGCTGCTGAGCTTCGCATTGTCCTCGCCGACATTGACGCGGTAGACTTTCCAGTTGGCGTAGCTGACCTTCTTCGGGACGGTGGCGGCAGAGACGAGGCCTAATGAGGCCAAAGCAACGGCGAAGAGCTTCATGGCGGGACAAGGAGCGAGAAGAGGTAAAGACCACGAAAGAGCAGGCCTAACTCAATATTTATACCTCCCCGCAGTTTGCCATGAGCAGCGTTTGTCGCAGAGCAGCTCTCAGCATTTCATTTAGACCTTCCACTAATGAGTTAATGTCCAACGGGGCAATGCCGCGTCAAGGAAGCTCCCTCCCGTCGCAGCGGTACTTCGCTGCGATTTAATATAAGAGCACATCGTGGATAGAGCAATTTACGCGTGACTATTCGTCAGGCGTTGCCCTACCTGCGAGCGTTTCATGCAGATGCCCGTTTCGGATAGCTGACTGGCTGCGCTCTGTGATTCTTCCCTGTCGATCACCGCTCCTGCCACCTATTCGCCCTGGTTAGGGCCTTATCTGGGCGTTTTAATATACGTCGTATCGTCATTCGGCCTCCTGCTCACTGCGATGCAGGGCGATCCGGGGCTTGGTAGAGGCGGACCTTCCCGTTTGGACGAGGGGCAGAAACATCGCTAAGACAGACAGCCTGCGGGCGGGATAGCCGGCGAGAAGAGGAAGCTGGTGAGGACTCCATGATGCAGGAGGAACAGTCAAGTCAAGATAAGCACTCGAAGGTTGACAGGTCCATGCAAGTCGTACATGTAGTTGTAGGAGGACGTTGAACGAGGGTTGCAAGGCCCGAGGTACCTGCGGGAGATTCTCCACGCTAGACCCAAAAGAGGTCGGCAATCCACCTACCACTACCTCATATGGCACGAACTGCACAACATGTAACATAGCTGCCTCATATTCTCTCGTTCAAGGCACTCATCGTTCCTCAAATATCACTGCTAGGGCGGCAGCATAGTGTCCGATCCAAGGGGATTGTCACGTCCCACGGTGCCAGTTCCCTTGCCAGACGCAATCTGGACCAGACAGAGCCACAGGGCATAGCTGCGCAATAATGTCCAGAAAGATGGGCGTATGGACCTCTAAATATGGGACTCTGGCTCCGAATGAAGCTCGAACGCCCTCAAATACAGAGATCTGCCATTTGGATATATCGGGAGGTTTGAACGTCGGCAAATGACCAGCAGTTTCAGTTGCCGACGAGCGCTGATTCGTGCATCCACGAAATCCCATCGCATCACCTCACCCCGCCAGTTCCGGCTGAAGACGGCGTCAAAGCAGCAATTATGGCCGCTCCATCACATGGGCTGCGCGACACGCTGAATCCGCTCGCCGCCAGGGGGAAATCGACTCGGAGAAGTACACAGTGGCGGTCGTTCTCGGATGTGCGGGCGGGGTCTGCCGTACCCGAATCCGATATAGAACTCCGACGGTTTTTACAGCTTTGATGCCGACAGCACCTCACGCCTCCAGCTAGCTCCGAACACGCGTCTGTGGAGGGCGACATCATGGGATGGAGTCGCCTACAGCCCCACAACCGCCTGCTGGCTCCACGCCAGCCAACGACGAACCGCCCAAGATTCAACGTGCGAGAGCCGCTTGCCTCCACTGCCGCAAGAGGAAGAGCAGATGTTTGCTGTAAGAAGGCATTTCGCCGCTCTAAATACCTTGGCTGACTAGAGATTCTAGAGACACCAACGGATCGATTCCTTGCCTACGCTGCAAACGCGATAACCTCGATTGCGTGCTGGGAGGCAGCAACCGCGGCGGCCGCAGAGTGCGTCGGAAGACAGTTGATACACAAGGATTGCCGTCTCTGGCAGCATACGGGCAGGATGAGGCGAGTTTCCATGGCCTTGGAAACGTGGGAACAACGCCATGGGTACGAAGCGAACCCAATGGGCAGCAGCAGGCCGGGTCAGACCCTCAAATGCCGCGGTCCGAGTCCTCGACCTCTGACGAAATACCGTTCTCCCATTTGCAGAATCCGTCCGACGCGCTGGGGATACTGGCCAGAGTTGCGGAGACAAGCTCTGAAGAAAACACGCGTTCGAACAGCCAGGGTATACCACCGCCGAACATGCACGCGACACGACCTCCGGAGCATAACCGGCCTTCTTCAGCATACTCATATCCACTTCTTGATAAGGGAATTCTCACAGTCCAGACCATCTATCAGCTCCTAACCCGATATCATCTCAACTACCACCCCTACTATCCTTTGGCACCCGTGCAGACATTCGACACCACCCGGTTAGCCGAGACTGCGAAAAGGGAGCCTCACCTCCTGACGGCCATACTGGTCATCTCATCCAAAGACTTGGTTGAGGAACCCCACATCTACGATGCATGCTCAGAGCACATGAAGAGTCTCGTCTCGAATCTGGCTGCTGGAGCCAATGCCGACGTGGAAGCCGTGGAAGCGCTCCTCATATTGGCTGAATGGGCTCCATACACCCAACGGCGGTCAGGGAAAGTTGGCAAGGGGGAGGAAGACAAAGAAAGCTGGATGCATGTCGGCCTAGCCTTGCGAATCGCGTACTTCTTAGCCCTGGATAGGTACTCTTTCAGGTTCGTGGATCAGGGAAAGGATCCAAACCACAGCCGAAAACGACTACTCTGGACCGCCGCTTATGTATCAGATCGGCACATCTCCATACGCATAGGAAAAGCCTTCTGGTCGCGAGGGCCAGGTCCTCTCACCACTCTGAGACGCGAGGACTATCCCTCTCTCATTCCGAAAAGCCCCAACGAAGAGGACTATGCGTCCATCTTCCAAGCGAATCTAGAATTGACACAACTTTTCAGTAACGTCCACGACGTTCTATACTCCAATCCCGGTTCGAGTTTCAGGAGCCACATGAGTGGAAGCTACATCAAGTTTATCGACGACTTCCGCTCAGCGATCTACGGCTGGAAGAGTGTTTGGGGGACACTGACCTGTTCTCCTCCTCTAAAAGCATGCCTTCTAATGTCCTACGACTACCTACGACTCTACATCAATGCGTTTGCCTTTCAAGCTACTATTCTGCGTGCTCTTCCTGCCGCGAACGGATCTTCAGATGTTGGCACGTCGACTGCTCAGCGAAGCACCTCCGGAAGCACGATGCAAGTTCCACAAAGAGTCTTCGGCAACAATGTGGGAGCTGTTGGGGATGCCAGATTCATCTACGAAGGCCTCGACGCCGCGAAAGCGATACTGACTACTGCCAACAACTTCGTCGACCCCGAGAATTCCCTGCGGTTCCTGCCTCTTCGGTACTACCTCTACCTCGTATATGCCGGAGTCTTTCTCTACAGAGCTCGTTGCACCGGCGTCATCAGCGGCGACGAAGATCGCGCGATTCGCGCTATGATCAACGAAACGGTTAACAGGCTACAGCGGAGCAGTGTCGCAGCAGGGAACGGCATTCAGCACCCCGGAAGCAGGTATAGTCAGCTCCTCAAGCTCCTGTGGGCAAAAGTTCCACGTAAGGACAAATCTACCCGGACGTCCTTCCGACACCCAGGCACACACACCGCAAACAACCCCCTAGACAGCAACGGCTACCCTATTCCAACACCTGGTGCAAACCCTGTACAGTCACCCTCGCAAGCGGGCAGTGTAGGCACAGGCGAGAGCCCAGCCCTCACCGAGCATATGGGCGATTTTGGATGGACGGACTTGGGAGCCGTTGGAGACTTCGCGATGAATGGTTCAGGCGCGACGGGTCCGATTGATGACGCTGCGTTGTGGTCGGGCTTTCTTCCTTTGGATATGGGATGGTCTTCGGCAATGGGCGGCACGGGTTTAGGACTGGGCTGGGATGGTGTTCCTTTTGATGGAAATGAACTTGGGATGGCTTTTTGATCTGCGCATTTATAGACCATGGCTTCATAGCGAAAGATACGGTGCAATGTGTTCGAGGGCGGTTAATTCTATTTCTGGGACATTTCAGATCTCCTCTTCAGCGCGGTGTAGACCAGAAACCCGCCCCAGGAGAGAAAATGAGGCTGATTTATATATTCGGCTACGAACCTCCCATGCTGCTGCACGTGGTACCCCCGCGAAAATAAAGGTGTTAAGGCTGATGGCTGCACTGTTGCCATGTTCTCGTCAGGTCACCGCGGGGGCTTAATAACGGAGACATCAGCCTCACTGTCTTCAGCAACCCATCTGTCGTCCGTTTGTCCGCAAGAGTGGATCGATGTTTAGACATTGTATGAGTGAGTGAGGGGGACGGGATGTCGAGAGGAACTCGATAGTAAAGGCAGTGTAAGCGTAGGTTCCTACTGAGTATCATTTCTACGCGCCTGATCCGTGAGAGGGGTGAGGATGACGGCCTGTTTTAGGATGGTGTCTCTGCCTTCACCTGGACCATCGCATCCTGAAGAGTGAATTGCCCACTCGGAGTCTGCCTCATCATTGTTCTCCGCTTCTTCTTCTCCATCTCTCCGTCTCCATCTGCCTTAAACCGGTTGAAGCTTCCTTCTTGGGTTGCTGGTCTGCACAGTCAACTATCGCGGCCCATATCTGACGACAATGGACAAGCAGAAAGATCTAGACCCTCGATATCTCTGTAAGCATCCCACGTGCGCGCGGTTCCAGCGCTAACTCAAAAGGGATCCTTCCTCGAGATCTCCAGCCGACCCCTCAACTGCAAAAAGAAATGGAGCAAATCACCATCGAGGACGACGGCCAATCCTGGCCCGCCACCAGCGCCGGTCCCCCAGGCTGGCCGTACTACATCAACGCTCTGAACAACGGCACCGCAAACATGACCAAACCCCCCAGGAACATTATCTCTCCCCAGCTGCGCGCGCACCGGAATGTGCTCCGCAGCGTCAAGGCGGAGTATCAGCAAGACAAGGTTCCGGGAATCGAGAACGAGGATGACCACGTCCACTTCCGGTTGACACTAGCTGCCCTGCAGTATATCGGCCTAGACGTCCACGGCGGTCTGGAGCGGTTAGTGCGAGTAAAGCTTAACTGCGAGGAGAAGAAGAAGGCGTTCCCTATGACTTGCATCGCCGTTGTCGACCCCGGGAAGGCGAGGAGATATGTCAATATCGGCGTGCATCTAGGGCCTGATTCGCCTCTTCGGAAGCCGCCGGCAACGCTTGAGCACGCAGTGCGAAACTACACGAAGATCTCTGACTTGGTCGATCCTTTCAATCGCGTTCCGGGCAATGCTGATGACCGGAAAATGGACGAGATGATTGAGCGCAGCATTGGGATGGGCCAGAGAAGCCATCTCAACTGGGAGTTTGAGAGGATGAAGTTCAGACTGCAAGTTCGGAAGGAGTATAGGGAGGTCTTGATTGACCAGGCCGTTAAGGAGAGAGTCAGTATAGTGCAATTTCTTCTTGAAACACTTGCGCATGATCTGACAGTCCGTAGTACCCGGAGACGAGGGCGCGGAAGCGCGAGAGGATTGGAGAGTGAGTTAGCGGTCGTAGTTCTCACTTGGACGGACATTTGTGGAGGAGAATCGGGTCAATCTTTCAAAAGTACCCCGGGTTGGTTGTGAGGGGGATATGGCGTGTTAAAGGCTGGAATTTGGGAGCGCGATTACAAACGGGAAGGCGAATTCCAAATTCACAGGGATAGTGTAATCTATAGTGCTAGCTCAAATCGAGGACTAGCGCATTCCATGACCATATCAGGCTCTACCTTCGTATTGCACGTTCACGATACTTGCTCTTGTGATAGCTTCTCTTCATCTCTTTCCCCAGGCCATATCAGATTCTAGAAGATATCTAAAGTAAAAGCTATTATATTTAAAAACATCTAAGGTATAAGATAATTTTAGGCTATTGCTTAAGAATGTAACATTTGCTGCTCTATATACGCGGGAATCCGGGGATTCCTTGAGCAATTCTTATAGCTTTCGCCGTGTTTTTTACGTTTTCATCCCTGTCAGCCCTCTGTGCCTCAGTCGAAGAATCTCTTAGACGGCGAAGGTTATCTATAGAAGTCGGATTGACAAAATCAACGAACGCTGGCCGCCTCTGCTTGTTGTAATCTTCGAGGATGTTACTGAACTCCCTTTCATCCGTCTGTTGGAGCGCCGAAGAGATGGATAGGGCCGCCAGGTGCGCATCGGATATGCCACAATTCAAACCCGGGCCACCTACAGGGTTGTTTACATGTGCAGCATCGCCAGCTAGTAAAACCCTGCCCTTGATATAACTTGGTACGCACAGTTGGTGAACGCGATACGGCTGAGCCATCAAAACCTCCAATTCGCTCTCGTCAGGATTCAAAGGAAGGATAGTTTTTAATTTCGCCGGCAACCTTGATTTGAGTTCTTCGTCGGTGAACTTCGATAACCCTAACTCTAAGTTTCCCTAAGAACCCACTCGTCTTGTTCGATCGGAGGCATCTCACTTGTCTCATGTACTTGGTAGGAAAACTCAACTCTCCAGAACTCGTTCGCACACATGGTCGGCTCGCTCACCAAATGTCGCGTCAGTGATACCAGGGCACTTTTTGATGTCTTCGGAATCTCGAAGGCAACCGCGGAGGACCTAGGAATCTTGTGGTAGGTCAACTGATCCAGTATGCCTTCCTTGTCATGATCCCAGTCTGCAATACCCAGCTGCAGTTCGCCAACTTTACTTGCAAAGTCTTGAGAGTCGAGCAGGGAAAATTGCGCGCTGTGGGAAGACCACCCGACGGCGTAGAATATAGACACAAACCTCCATTTTGTTCCCCCGTTCTCGAACCCAAAGTGCGTTGAAAGCTTCAGGACGGCCGAATCGCCCCGGCTGTTACCGGTAAAGAAGAGCTGATCTTCGTCATCGAATCGGCGAGGCCATGCATCACGGATCTCCATATCTGGAGGTAGGCTGATCTGAAGGGCGTGTAGCCGCATTCGTGGGATAAGGGCATCCATAGATACGATCCGAGCGTACGGGAAGCGGACCCGATCCGGAATCTCTGTTAGGAGATATCTTTCCAAAGGAACGTTCGGACCGAGCTCTTCAGTATACTCCAGAAGCGTCCAGGGGTCTTCTCGAAGGAAAATTTCCGGGCCGACTTTCTTGAGACGCACTGCCAAACGTCTTCGGATTGGTAGCCCCTGAAAGTAAAAGCAGTTGAGCGGTAAGGCATATCGACGAGCCCCTGTGCCGGGTATGATCTGTCGTAGGACTTGCGCACGAGTTTTCACTCCAATATTCGTGACGGAGAACTCGGTCAGCTCAGTATGAAACAGCGGTTCAAATGTCCCGCAACCGGAGAAAGCTGCTGGTGTATCTGCCAACACGCAGGTTAGAACACGACTGCTAGTGTTCTGTCCCGTTGACGGAAGCCTCCAAGCTAATATGCTCAAGTCGGCCGTGGACTTCATGATCTCCTGTTGAAGTCTTCGAAACGCGCTTCCCTCTTCGCCATATAGCAGCGGCATATTAACGTCGAATATACCGAGCAGGCAGTAAGCTATGTCCTCGACCCGCGTTGTTTCTCTATGTGCCGCCCATGACAGCTTTTGCGCTATAGAGAATGAAGCAAGGGAGATCTCGCCTCGCAGCAGGCCTTTGCTGACGCCAGTAATATCGGAAAGTTGAGCGGCGAGTGACATCTTCGAGCCCCTGTAGTTCCATTCGCGGTCAAAGAAGAAAACGTCTTTGGGCGCTATCAGCTCCTGCAATGTCCAACCTCGCGTGCTGGTGAAGCGTCAGTGATAGACTTCCATGTAAGTTCAGGTCGGAATGCCCTTACAACCAGCGGCAAGTACTCAAAAACTCGTCCAGAGATGCTGACGCAGGCAGATCCGCTAGGAACGCATAACAGCTATCAGATTGCTGATACCATCGATACATGGAATTGATCGCCTCTGTCAACTCAGCGCTGCTAGACTTATCGATACAGCACGTATCGACCCAGGCATACTGCAATCCATCTCGAGCAGCCATTTCGCACGTCGTGATGATCTTGTGAAAGCCTTTCTTGCGACTGTGAATAGCCTTGTGGATGTCCTCGAGGCTGACTTCCTCGTCCTCCCATGTGTGCGAGAGAATCGCGTACTTGGGTATGTGGCTGCCGATGAACTCTTCGAAGAGGCCGGTTCTGGTGTTGATGAGTCGCATCGTGTGCAGTTTGGGATGATCCTCTACGTTAGGCTAGATCAATGAAATGAGAATGAAGAGGAGCTGTCCTGTCTAATCTGAGTATTAATACGATGTTGTTATGCACAAGGCTGAAAAGAGAAGATCGGCGATCGTGGTGCAAGCGGAGTCGCGCGCGTGCCAGCGCAAATCGGTAGTATAGGTGAATGAAAGAGTACGTGAGCGTCCCTTTTTTATCTACCTAAGTAGCTAGTTGCGCATAGGATCAAAATGGAGGAAAGAGCCAGAGCGTAGTACAATAAAGGTTTCTGTGGGCCTCGTACCGCCCGCGATACCCCGTTCCTATACCGGTTTAGCGTGCCGCTGCAAGCTGCGTCTTCCTCACGTACGTCTCCACCGGCATTTCTGGCCGCAGGACTCAACTTCTGGACCTCGCTTGTACGGAACATTCATGGAGGAGAATCGGGTCAATCTTTCAAGAGGACCCCGGGTTGATTGTGAGGGGTTATGGTGTGTTAAAGGCTGGGGCTCGGGAGTGGGACGGCGAATTCCAAATTGGGGCTAGCGCAATCTATGGAGCTAGTTCAAATTAAGGATTAGCGCGAACCAGAAGACGTCCTAACACGTGCGCAGACAGCGCATTCCATGGGCTTCAACCACATCGGGCTCTACTTTCGTATCGCATAGTCGCGATACTTGCTCTTGCGATAGCTTTCCTTCTCCTCCTTCTCCAGGCCATACCAGATGCTGAGAACTCGCACGTTCGGATCCCGACCGCCACAAGAAAACCGGGACATCTGCAATTAGAGTTGCCATCGATGACAATACGTTGAAAGACAACTCACTCCATCATAGGTCATTGAGTATGCCCTACGCTAACGAAAACCGTACTTTATGACAATCCGGCCAATTGTCGGGGCTCGGTATCAGCCTTCCAGCTTCAGCCTTGCCGCATGTGGCGCATGACAAGGTAGATTGGGCCGCAGCTGACATTCAGCTGCTCAGCCTACTTGATCCACACGTCCCATACTAACACATTATCTGGTACACCTCGATGAACTCCCCCCTAGTCGCCTCGAATTTCCCCAAATGCCTGTCGGATTCGGTTTCTCTGTCGGTGACTTTATCGCCGTTCTCAACCTGGTCCGAACCATTATCGATGCGCTCAGGACGACTGGAGGCGCGAGGGATAGCTTCCACGAGCTCATCCGACAATTGTATGCGCTTGAAAAGGCCTTAATACGAGTCAAAGATGTCGATTTAGACGATGAACAGGAAGGAGACAGAATTGCGCTTCGGCATGCCGCATCTCAATGCCAGCAAACAATGGACGTTTTCTTATCGAAAATAACCAAATACCAGCCGCATCTAGGAGCGGCATCATCGGGATCAGCACCTATGGCGAAGGCAAAGGCCGCATTCATGGCCATTCGATGGGCTGTATGTAAAGAGGAGGATATTGTGAAGCTCAAAGCCGACCTGAATGCTCATGTCATTTCTATTGAGCTCCTCTTGCTAGCCGTTCAGATGTAAGCTTGCTTCGTCCACGATTCATATAGAGAAGCCGGATTAAACTTAAGATGCAGGAACAAAGCTTCCCTCGATGCAAGGAGGGAAAAGCACAGAAGCAGCTCTCTCGTCAGTCGGATGCGCGATATCGCGGATACCTTCCTACAAAAGTTCGCCATGATCACACAGCAAGTGAAGGAGTTGCAAGACATGGCTCAACAAATTGTGTGAGTCTAGTGCGCCTTTGTACGCATATGGGTGACTGACGCCACCCTTTTAGCCGCGTGAACTTCCAAATCTTCCACAGCGTAATGGCGATTCACAGAGTTGTCGTGCGCGTCCCGCCTACCATTCAACGAGAACAACCGGTGACACTAACGGATCCATTCGGACGAATTAGTCCCTTTCACTTGGACTTCATCCGTTCTAAAGAGGTAAGCGCCCATGATTGCTCCTATCCTTCGTTGACTAAAATCTCGTTTCAAGTGCTTTATGGCAGTACTACGAATCCACTTCGAAAATGCGGGCGCAAGCACCATCAAGCTTGATAGAGGGGAGTATTTTGTCGAAGAACTATCTACTAGGTGCCAAATCAACCTTAACCAAGAATGGGGTGCTTGCTTTCAGCCTGGGCAACATGTCGCAATGAGTGTGGTGCTCAAGCATCTTCGACACAGCTCTTGGAATTCCTGCCCCAGTTGCCATACAGAATGTGTGACAGGGGACAACGAAGCAACTGAATGGTAATTTAAGGCCCCGGTGCAACTTGTCTGCGTGGAAGGGCTAACATCTTCCTAGCCCGAAATGTGGAATAACTTTCCGGAGGATCGTGGAACTCACGGACGATAATCCTCGCTTCCGCACATATAGGGTACCTGCTGCCGGAGTCCCGCTGGCCAAACATGCTACTGCCCCTGACCCTCCTTTTTGGCCCACTGAATCGAACATCATGGAATCCCAGAGGTTGACGATATCAAAGGTCGACGTCTTTGGTAGTGCATTGCGCTCTCAGAATGCCAAACCTATTTCTCAATCAAAGAGAAAGCGGGCGCCTGAAGAAGAAGCGGATATTCTGGGCTTGAAGCGGTTTCGTCGACTCGGATACTATCCGCCTGAGGGTCGAGGTTCGAAATGCGAGTTGTGGGCCATTTGGGACCCCAAATCGAGCCGAAAAACGCTACAAGGGGTATGCACGACGGCCATATATAATGTTGACGTAAGTTTCAGCGGAAATGATTCGTGACTAACATTGCGTTGACCGAATCAGGGAAACCCCTTCTTGAACGTCCGAGAAATACGGAGCAATGGTTGGACACTGGTCCACGAGGATTTGCTGGACATGGATTGCGATATCTGTACGATGGGTAGCGGTCCGGATGGTATGCGTCATATCAAATCTCTTCTTCGAAGCTAATTTGGACCGCCCGAAAGAGCGTATCATCCTTTTCGCCGGTACCTTGAAGTATCCGAAGTACACGAAAGGAAACCCGCCTCTAGCGCACGCGCTCTGTTTCGAGAGCGACTATACCTGCTCTACAATATGGTGAGACATCCAAACCGCGGTGTTTCGTGAATATACAAGCACTTCCGCTAACATGGGTCGTGTAAGGGATGTAATACCTAAAAACAAGAAGAAAACACTGAATGACCTCAACCTTCAAATACCAGACCTCGGAAGATTCTGGCTACACCTATTCAACGAGGACCATGTTCAATCACCAATACCAACGATGCCAAGCCCAGGACTCTCCCAACCATGGCAATCCGCGGGTCCCGAACCTTCTCCCACTTGTCCTTCGCCCCTTTTCTCCGTCTTTTCCAGTGATGACGGTCGTGAAGTCAAGCCAAAGACGAGGAGAAACATGAGGGCCAAGGAAAGCTTGGAATATGCGAGGACCCGGAGAAGGCCAGCTTGCGATAGGTGCAGAATACGAAAGCTCAGATGTACCCATATGAACGATGGGCCTACAGACCCTTCACCCACACTCAGATCTACTTCCCGGTTCTTTTCGTCGACCGGAAGCCGCCCCGAACCGACCGGACTGGAAACATCATCGCAAGAGTTCAGCTTTACATCAATAGAACCAATCCGTTCTTCGTTCTCGGAAGGATATGCCCCCGCAACACTTGCGTCGGTCATCGATGGCCCCGAAATCACACAACTGGCGGAGACGACGGTTTCATCCCAGCCCATTTCTACTGCTTCAGCGGATGGACTATTTGTTGATAACTCTGGAGCGAGCCTGGATCACATGTGGTCCGGGTCCTTCGAACTGGCGCCGAGTCAGGGATTAGCCGAGGATGCCTGGGACAGCGTCAACCAAGGTTTGGGACTGGAGCCGGATTTCTATTCAACGGCGTCGTATGGACTCGGCCTTTGGGGCGATCTAGACTACTCTTTGTACGAACCCCCTGAAACCAGCCAGGGCACCGAAGGACAAACCTTCGAAGCCGCGGATGCTTTTTTCGCTGCCGCCACGGACACCAATCGAGATACCGAAGGGAAATAGGTGCATTTGGCTGATCGTTAGTTCTACGTGAGGCTGTAAGGAGACGCCTTCTGTATAATAGTCATATTGAGATGTCGTGCATTCGTCTCTTAACATTTACGTTTGGTTCAGATTTGCCTCTCCTCTTTCTGTCCGTATTGGATGAAGATTTAGTTGGTGTTCTTGTTGTGGCTTCAGTGGTGTCTGTCCGGCGGTATCTGGAGTCCTTTGGACAGTTTCGGTCATTTTGAAGGGAGCGACTGCTCTATGATTAGGTGTTGCAACGTAAGCTGACTGGATCGGTACTTCATCTTGTCCTGCTTTAACTGCTGCGGTAGAACATAGTAGGGTCTTTTATCGCCTTGCACCGCCCGCTGACGGCGACGCTATGAAGAGCTAAATACCTGAAGAGTAAGCAAGCACGGAGGTGCGGTAAGCCCGTGATTCTGCCTTCTACAACATCACGTTCTACTGGAAGTCTCACCACCTGAGCGGTAACCACATCAATGACGATTGCGCGTCGATTTCCTCCCATTATAAGCTAAGCATCTGAGAAATTGGAGCTACGAGGCTTAATCCTTTTCCTCCTTTAGTCTTAGCGGAACTAAAGGCAAAAGCCTTTCAAGTAGCTAACGAGGTCTAAAATTTGGATTCTAGTCCTGCCATGGGAAGCGTCCTCAGTCGTCCTCATCGCCCGCTGTCATCGCCTGCGGCTCCACGGCCTGTTTCCCAGCGTCGCCCATTTTCCTAACTAGCACTCGTCGGCAATGCAACGTTCGCCATCGCAGTGCATAACTTGGCACTACAACATTGGCCTTTGCAGGAATAGATGTAAGGAGCTGGGCACCCAATCCCCGGCACAGGGTCCTGGCTCGTGGTTAGCAATGCGGGATGCGGGAAGTTAGGGACAGGAGGCAACAAGCTCACAATGCAAACGTCAGCCGCTACATGCGTGGCAGTGAGGGTCGCAAGCGCGAGAGCAACCGTCTTGACCCGCATGTTGGTTTGTAGTCGAAAACTGAACGTGTGAAGCGTCTGGTTGATACGGTCGAGAGCTTGTGGGTGGGACGAGCAATAATAATTGATTGATAGGAAAGAACGATTTAAAAGAAAAAGGTAATAACCAAGGCAACCTAGCTGTCGAGAGCAGAGCCATTCTATGGCTTTATACACGCTGGCAGGCCACAAATGTAAATCGGGCGATTGGATTTCTCCTCGTTGCTGCTCTTTCGAACCATGTTGCGAGCGAGGCTAGTCGTGCACCATGATGAGCCATATTTTCCGTGTTCGTGCGAGAGCGGTCAGCTAAAAATATGTTATTCCGAAGTTCGCTAACCTACCGGTATGCCTGTTGCACTCACAAACTAACCGCGGTCTTAGAGGCAGGGGACTTACTAACATCAAACACACGCACTACCGAGGTTCACACCCTTCGACCCGCACTTAGCTTTTATTGCTCTTTATTATTGTCGAGCTTTGGATCCCCTTTAAATTAGCGTTCTTCGCGCATTTGGGCGGAAGCGAATACACTGTTAATGATCGACAAAGCTTACTGGCAGGCTCATCAGCGCGTTTGGAGAAAAGGGTTAGGTTAATTAGGGAAGAACTTCAATATTATAGCCTTAACTACTTATTAGAAAAGCTAAGTGCGCTCACCTATTTACTTGTCTAGGTTGCTACCTAGATCTGTTAGCTAGAGCGCTCTAAGCACTTAGCAACATCTCCTGTTAGTATTTGGAGGACGGAGGGATCACGCTAGTCAAACTCAGCATCGTAGCCTTCCTCTTCGGACTCAGCATCGTAGCCTTCCTCGTCGGACTCAGCATCGTCGTCCTCCTCGTCGGACTCAGTATCGTCGTCCTCCTCGTCAGACTCAGTATCCTCATCCTCCTCGTCGGACTCAGTATCGTCGTCCTCGTCGTCGTTCTCATATATTGAATCGTCGGAGTCGGACGCCCAAAAGTCGTCAAAGGACATCCAATAAGACCAAACGGGTCCCCACTCCCCTTCATCAGCATCCTCGTCTAGCAGGAACTGTTCCCACCAGGCAGGATTCGCCCAATACGGTTTCCACTGCCTATGTTCCTCTATGGTCATGGAACGACTCTGCTGCCCCACCTGCATGCAGATTACACGACAACAGTAAGGACACAGGATCTCTCCATGGTTGAAGAAGTCCATCCAATCCTGCAGACACTCGAGGTGGTAGCCGTGCTTGCAGACGTCCAGTTTGAAGCACGGGTGTTCATCGTATCCAAGCCGGCAGATGTAACACACGTCATCTGGCTCAGAGCTAGGATGCGTGTGGGAGCGAGCATCAGCCTTCTGATGATGATGCTCGACTACCCACTCCGGCCGTCCCAATGTTGGAACATCCAGGATCTGGGTCTCGAAATCAGAAAAGCTGTCCTCAGGCCCTGTGTATTTGTCATCCGGATGCTGCTCATCTTCGATGTAGAGTTTCGAGTGGTCACAGTAGAGGAAATGCGGGTGAAAGAGCACGAAAGAATTCCCTAAGAGACGGCCGCTTGCGAAGGCAGCGCGATTTGGGATACCGGTCACTGGAGTGACGACACCTTCTAGGTTAAAGGTCTTGCCGAGGATGTCCCTGACCTTCCCAGTCGGGTCAATATCGGGATGCAGAGCAGCGCGCATGACCCACTGGTACACGAAGAACTCGATATGTTCACGTTGCTGAAACCGCAGGATGGTTGGGAGAACGAAGCGAATCATCCATTGCCAATTGCCCTGGAACTGCAGCTTAGACAGAGCCCACCGGATATGCAGAGGCACAGAGGAATTGGGGTTCTCAACCATTTGTGAGTACTTCTTGATGGTGACCCGTAGACCTTTTTTAACGGCTTTCGTTTGCGGCGCTGGCTTATCCTCCACTCCTTGCGTGTAAGACTCGGCAGCATTGAATGCAATGCGCAGGAACCACATTACAGTGCGGTTGATACCTTGCTCGTCGAAGTCAGCGCGCTGATCTTCCTCACTCGGTACGAACTCCTTCAACATACGGGTCAGATCAGGCCACGCGCCGGCCCCGCCAGCTGATCGTAGCTCACGTTGCTCGCAGTAGTTAGAATTGGTATTGGACTTATCCTCTGCATAAACAGGCTGCACCCCCGCCAATGGCTTCAAGGCATTCTGCACCTCGCAATCCATGTCTGGATGCAGCCCGCAGCTCAGAATCCAGTCCTTCGCCTCTGACCGCCACTGCCTAATTTGATCTTCAGTCAGATTCTCAAACCAGTTCTCAGGATCGTAAACGTCCGAACTTGCTACGATAAACAGATAGATATCATTCAAGTCGGTGCCGACGATGAAATCATGCATGGAAATGGGAAGATCATGGTGCCCGTAGAAGTTAAGATGCGCCATATAGGGACGCCCAGGTGCACGCGTGTACGAATGCAGTTCACGGTAGGAGTCGTAGTACACGTCCATTTGCACGTCGAGCACGAACTGGGCGAGTGCGTTCAACGCCTTGCTCAGGTTGACTTTGGAGTCTTTGTACTGCGAGACGATCTTGCCAAGGCAATGGAACGGTTGCGCTATGAAGCGCGACCAATCTGTGCGCGAGAAATGGACGGCATTGCGCGGGTTTGATCGGGAGCTCATCTTTGCGGGCGGTGGGAGGTCGTACTGTGGCGAGTAAGCGGGCATGGTGAGTACTTTTGGCGTGTGCCTGGTTCTGTGATGCTGAGCGAATTGGGTGGGGCGTCGTCTTATATGAGTTAGTCGGCTCCATTGTGCATGTATGGCTCCCCGTAGATATACTCTAATCGAGTGGAAGTCAATATAAGTCGTGACATAATGTCGGCATTGTGTATGCCCGCACTTCTCCACTGGGAGACGTTAACGGAGTATCTACGAGATGATGTCTATAAGCTGATAAGTTATCTATACTTACAATAGGCTCCTGCATGTTGAGGTCGAGAGTTGGACGTTAGACGGGAAAACGAGGTCGAAACGCTGAGTTACTTGTTAGATCCACTAAGAGACAGTAGAGAAGCTTAGAGTACGGTTGCGGCAAGATGAAAATCAGTTCGTGATACGATGATTGGAGTCATGCTAGATGGAGCGACGTACGCCGCGATCCCGGCTTGTATTTATACCTTCCAGTCTGTATGACAGTCATTCAGCTGGCTTCTTCAAACACTTGATTTGCCCGGAGAGGACAAATGCGGCGTCCAATAGAGACGGCAGCCTCGTCTGCTGTACCACAATAGACGCCCGTGGTGAAATGAGCTTTTATCCGAGACCGCAGTGTTGGCTTATAGAGTCGGTGTGCATGCCTCATCCAGCAAGCTCGTACGCTCGCTTGATCTGTCATACAGGTTGTTGAGGAGGTTGTGCATTAGTTGCGTCTTCTCTATTCGTCTCACTGATTCACTCGACAATGGGTGTGCGCGGCAAGATGCTGTGTGATGTAGTAGTCCTTCTTAGATTGGTTAATAGTCGACTGCAGGCATGAGGCACAAGATAGAGAGCGGTATGTCAGTTCTTACTGGCTGGCAAGCGACGGGCGATGCGAGTGCCAAAACGTAATTGTTGAAGGGTGATATCAAGGTTACTAGGGTAAGTAGTGGTAGGGTGGCGGTGGTAATCACAGCTGACTCTAATCGCGGCCTCGCATTGGGGCACGGAAGAGTTGCCCACCGATGCAAACCATCCGCTTAATAGCCGGAAAGGCCTGAACCGTTTTGCCTCATTCCATACCGTGCGTGAACCATGCCGCGTTCTTCAAGACTTACCTACCCTGCAATACTTTAGGTGGGTTGACCGCAACAAATGATAACAGCGAGCGTTTAGACGAAATTGATGCTCTGTTATGGACATGATCGAGAAGTGGAGAAGGGAGAACATGGGCAGCGGAAAGTGCCTGAATTGAATGCTAGCATGTCGACACAGAATTTATACCAGGCCCAACTATCCATGTCCGAATAGTCCCATTGCGGGGTAGGCTGAAGTGCGATGTACTTCATACAAGTTTGGAGCAGACTCGGAAGTGGTGATACGATGACTTTTCACTCCACCTGCGCCCACTGACATGTCATCTCTCCAAATCCGCTTGGGACGGTATTTGAAAGGATGCTCTATTGTAGGCAGCCTCTAGGCTGGTTTAGTAGCCTGGGCGCCTAAATCCTTCTGTCCGTCCTGTTACATCCTAATAGCAGAACCTATTAGCTTGGGTGAGAGAGGCATCCGAATTGAAACTTACCGATCTAGAGGAGTTAAACCCAGTAGACGCATTCCGTTGTTGATGACAGACTTTGCCGCGTCGTAAAGGGCCAGCCGAGCCTTCATGAGTTCTCGCTCGCTCCCAACCACTTGCAACACATCATAGCTACTATTAATGGCATGTGTCAGGCGGAAAAGATATGTCAAGACAGTAGTAGGCTCCAGTGTTTTCAGAGTGTTTTGAATGGTGTCGGGGAACTGGGCGATGAGTCGAACGACCTTGATTGCATGAGGTTCAACTAAAAGGTCGAGATTTGCTGATTCGATCTCTGAGGTTGGAACAGCCGCTTTGAGCAAGATCGAACAGAGTCGAGCATGGGAATATTGAAGGTAAGGGCCAGTGTCTCCTTCGAAAGACGTCATTGTGTCGATGTTGAAACGATAGTTGTTGATTCTAGATCTCGTCAGACATACTGCTTCCACGGATCTTTGAGGCAATGTTGTGGAACGAATGAATCATACCGTTTTCCGCTCATATCCTGGACCATGACACTGCTGATACCAAGAATGTCGGCAGTTCTTTCAGGGTCTGACACTTGAGCATATTTGGTCTCGTTCTTCCTCATTACTTCATGCATCTTTTCGCCAACGTCCCTCAACACATCGTCCAGAAACACGACTGTTCCCCTCCGGGTACTCATTCCCAGTACTAGACCAAAACTGACGTGAGCGATCCGAGAACGCAGGTCCTCGTTGCCAGTTAATTCGATGAGTTTGAACAATTGCTTGAGGTGCAGCTCCTGATCGGTAGCGACGACATATATCATCTGATCGAATTCGTAGCGGTCATTCCGTTCGAACAATGCGCCGACATCGCGGGTGAGATAAAGGCTGGTACCGTCCGTTTTGCGTATCAGGGCTTTTCCGAGAGCTTTGCCTGCCTTGCCGGGAACATGTTTGGAGAAGTCTACGATTGCGGCCCCTTGTGACTCTTCTACTAGTCCCTTACTCTCTAATTGCTTCTGCGCAATCTTCATGCTCTCTTCTCGGACAAGGCTCTCGCCTGCGTACTCATCGAAATGGATGTTCAGCCGAGTATACGACTTTTTGTATCTCTGTATGCTGAGTTCCCGGAACTTCTTCCACATGCTTATGGCGCCTGGATCGTTGTTGCACATGGCTTTGAAATACTCTCGGGCTTGTTCGTCTAGACATTCATTCCTGAGTTTTGAGGTGTCTTTGTCGTCTTTCTCCAATTGTTCAATCTCTTTTCGTTCATCGGCAAGCAGCGAGTTGATCTTGACGTATATCTGGTACAGATGATGGATTGGGTCTTCTTCCAGGGCCGTATCGTCTCCAAACATCTTGAAGCCCAACGCCAACAACCCATATTGTTTGCCCCAATCACCGAGATAGTTCAAGCGCACAACATCCCACCCCGCGCCCTTATAGAGGTTGGCGAGAAAGCCTCCAATGATGGTACTTCGTAGATGGCCTTGGTGGAAAGGTTTTGCGATGTTGGGCGACGAGAACTCTATAACGATGCGTTTCCGGCCTTTTGAGGCGTCGCTAGCATCCTTCAACCCGAGCAGAGGATTGCTGCCCCACTCATTTCGATTCCGAAGAACAGCTGGTAGGACTCTCTTAACGAGTGCGGCAGGTTTCAAGTAGAAGCGGATAAAGGGTCCGTCAACGACGGGCTTGGAAACTAGTGTGGACTCCGGAAACTAAAGAGTTAGTCAGCGGAAACTATAAGCGCTTAATAGGTTCGAGCGCCGGAGATCGCCTTACCTCGTCAGCCCAACGACTCGCGAGCATATCAGGTCTCTCTCCTTTGATCCTCAAAGCTGGCACTGGAAGCAGAAGATCACCTTTGTCTAAGGTTGTCGTTCGTTGTAGTAGAGGGTAGATAGTCTTAGGCTGGACGCCCGTTACCTCTGAAAGGCCATTGGCGAGGTGGATGCGATAGACATCGAAAGGATTCATGGATGGGAAGCATTCTGAGATATCAGGTTGTTGGACGTGAAGCTTCTGCAGGGGTGCCTGAAGCGATTCGTCCATGGTCGTCATGAGCCTTGGCCGGCTGGCATTACAAAGACGACAGGTGAGATAGACGACGGAAATCCAGGAGATGGAGAATTGTCTCGAGAACGGATCAGCGCCCATGTGGCAGAAGAAGTAGCTGTTGTCGTTTGCAGGAATGACTCATAGTGGGGGTCGTACATGGCGGGCTTCACGTTCATGACGTAAGCTGAAGGTAAGCAGCCCTATGAAGGGTTTAATTTCGCTACCCGCTCTCGCAACTTTCTGTACCGGCTTCCTAAGAGCACTTAAAGATTCTGTGGTGCTGAATGAATTGGGTGGGGCGTCGTCTTATAGATTAGTGAGTCCGCTCCATTGTGGATGGATCGCTCCTATAGACGTACTCTATTCGAGTGGAAGTCGATATAAGTCGCGACAATGATGTTGGCGTTGTGTATGACCGCACTTCTCCACTGGGGCACGAGATCACACACTAGGTAGACAAGATGCATGCATTCTAGCATGCGGGAATCTCCATTCAAGATCAATGTATCATGTTACGCCACTGTCGAAGAGAAGAAAGACAGCTACTTAGAAGATAAAAAAGTACATCAAGACCGTAAACAAGGAACACGGTGACATGTGCATGCGCAGAAACTTTCGCATATCAAGCGTAGTATATTGGAAGCGAACGTATGTGCGATAGACCGAACTGAACATGTTCGTCGGCATATTTGACCTCGGTTATACAAGTCCCAGTCGTTTACCAGTCCCAACCCTTACCCTCTTTTGCTTTTCTTCACTACACCACCGCATCCATCCTCATAAAAGCCACATCTCCCCTTCCCTAATCCTCGTTCTATCCACTAACAATGCTGCGTCTCTACATCCTACATTAGCACTCACCCTCACTCTCCCCATCTCCTCTCGTCCCAGTGGTCAAATACTCACCGCACGTCGTAAACGCCGCACTCTGACACGCACTAACAGGCGTCGTCTGATTCGGCAGCGGATCCCCACACTTATCCAGTCCCTCAGCATACGCGCACTCTCCCCACGCCGTCTCGTTCGCACATCCGGCTTTGGGCTGGCAGGCAAACGCGGGCGGGTCGCCGCCGCAGGTCCAGCGCTTGGTGAGGGTGGAAAGGGGCGTCGCCGCGGCGAGGCTGGCGAGGAGGAGGGGTGTGAGGAGATGCATAATCGTGTAGTTTGAAGAGTAGCGAGGTGTGATAAGTAAGCAGAATGGGGATGAAGGATGAAAACAGAACCAGGCAGGCAGGTATCGCTCGATGATCTCGAATCCTGCGACCATTATCCCACGCTTTTTATACCCGTCTTCTGCTCTGCAAAACGCTTTCTTCTTCCTAGGACGTAACGTCATTCCGTCGTACAAACTTCCATGATTCCAGCGAGCCCAGCCCCGAAGCTCGGGCATCGTAAATGTTGAAGATGCTAGTGTTCGTGATATTAGCCGACTTCTTTGCTGCGGCTTAGATTGAAATATCTGCAAGTCCAGGGAAGCGCAACGCCATTTCTAGATTTTGAGCGGGCAGCTTACTGGGAATCAGCGGGGCGATCGACAATGCGATCTGCAACGGGATCGGCAGTTGCCCCTGGAATACGAACGGCCTTGGTGATTCAGGCCTATACCAGTAGAGATGGGGTAGGACTACGGGACCCGTTTGCCGTCTACTGGACAGGAAGTCTGGCATTTTCGGGTTATTCAGCCCGCCGGGTCGCAGAAGAATAGACTTCGGGTTCAATTTGCCGTCCGTGACGTCAACCGACTCCGTAAATAAGGGCGGTGCGGTAATTCATGTCAGAAAGGAGTACGTCGGGCATGGATTTGAATTACCACTATTATTTTTGACTCGTCTACCTAGCGAGGAATCACCACTACCATTAATTACTGCTACCATCCACCGCAGGCTACCTGCACTCTGCATCCGAGACGAACCATGGATCTCGCCCCAGCAACGACGGTCTTGCTGGGGTATATATGTTGACAAGTTCGAGTGGCGGTAGCGCAAGGTGGTGGTAGGCCGGAAAACATCCAACTCTTATACACAAGTGAAAGATCCCGTGGGCAACCCAACTCCGCTTCATGCAGGGGTATCGATGCTTTGGACAAAACCGAAAGCCGTGCACCGTTTAGAATGAATCCTTCTCGCCGTTTTTTTTTCTCAGATCTGCATGCCGAGACGGACTGTCGAAATGAAAAGAGGTCGGCGTGTGAGGCCGTCGGTAGTCGCGAGGCAAAGGGAGAGAAGACTAGAAGAGACGCTGTGATGGTTAGGACGAGCAAGGTTGTGACACAAACGACCCGTAGGTCTACTACTGGGAATGCCGCCCATACGAACGGCGTCCGGCCAGTTCCCTACTGCCAAACGGCTTGTCGTAAGTTCTACAAGGTCATAGATTGACCACTCGTGTATCGTCTTTCAAGAACTGGCGACGGTATTTGGCAATCTCCATGGCAATGCCATTGGGATCTTTGGTGTTTCTCTGGCGTAGTTCCTTCAAGACAGCTCGTAGTCCGTCGTTCCAGAGCTGCTTCTCCTGGGGCGTCTCCCCGGGGTTTGCGGTGCCGAGCTGTACTAAGAGCTTCTCACCTATGTGGAGTGTCCAAGTCAGTCTGCGTACAAGGGGTGAAAGCAAACAAACAGGATCTAAAGGCCGCTGGCGAATACGCACCGGTTAAACTCATTCCTCTAAAATGCTGGCCCGGGCAGTTGGGATCATTGCAAACGGCACCCGTCACCTCGATCGGACAGAGTTCTTTATCTGGGTCGATCTGATGACTATAAGTCATAGACAAGAAACCACCGGGAACCTCTTCGGGGAAGTTCGGATGGTAGCGGTACGACTTGAACAATCGGAGTGGACTCTCATAAGGCACGAACTTCGCAAGTTCGGCCTCGTCGTCCGCTGTCGACATCTCCGCAAGTCAGCGGAGCTTTTAAAAACGAAGAATACGTACTAGTTTCTCAGCCATGAGTTCCCCCACCGGCACGGTTTCGGACTGTAACTCGGGTGCTAAATCGTCAGCGACAGGTACAGATTGCTCTGGGCCGGTATTGAAAGGGGTGAACTCGTCGTTCGTGTTCTCCGCAGCCGATTGGGGGCCGGAATCAAAATCTTCAGACTCATCAGAAGATGGTGTGGAGATATTCATAGCGCCTTCCTCAGCATCTCCATGTTGAACAGTCGCTTCTAAGCTCGCATCCGCCTCGTGGGGTTCGTCGTCGAGTATTGGCTCGTCAAAATCGGGCGGTTCGTAAACCTCCTCATCCTCATGGGTCGACATGGATGATGAAGTGGAGGAGCCGGGGGAGCCGAAAATTTGTGCATATTGGGTTTGCGCTTCCGTTGCGGGCTCGGTCAATATCGCAGGCTGCTCAGGCTCGTACTCCTCTTCGTCTGGGGATTCTGACATTGCGACCTCGCCGTCCTCCGAAGGAGAGTTAGCGCCTAATTGCGAGGTCGCGGACACCCTCTGCTCATCAATGACAGGCTCGGTGTGGGCGGGTGCAGGAGAATAGAAATCCTCATCGTCGTCAATGGGTGTGGCAGACTCCTGCAGACCCACGGCTTTTGGGGTTTCCCCATCCATAGCCTCCGTCGTAACGGTACGTTGAGCAACGTCTGGCTGAGGCATGTCTGGCGCAGCCGCCGGTGAATAGGGTAGCTCGTCTGATTTGTTCTCTGGGATTAAGTCTTGCTGACGCGTAGATTGTCGAGGGGAGTCCACCAGCGTCGCGGGTGGCTGAGAAACGGATGCGTGAAGCCCGGGGATTGCCACCTGTTGTATGGAGCTGATAACATCGTCAGGGTGTGAGAGACCCTGAACTGAGGTCTCGCGGTTGCTGGGAACTGCGGTAGGTTCGACCATTGTGGATTCCAGTGTGACGCGACCTTGAGCTTCGTCCTCAATACTGGCGGAGGATGGAGCGAGCACTTCCGGCGTCTGCGCACGTAGCTCAGCTTCGGCCTTCCGTTCCCGCACTATCTCATCTCTCTTAGCCTGGAGCTCTGCATGTGGCATCCCCTCGGTATCAATTCCAAGGCTCTCGAGCTCTCGGATAAGCCTCCCTTTGTCCTGCTTCATTCTCTCGTTGTGTGCAGTCAGCTGCTCCATCTCTTCCGCAAGCTGAGCCATCCTGGCGGCGTTATTCGCAATCTCGGCTTCCAGGGCTGGGAGCCCGGACTCAATTTCTGCTCGTCGCTGTCTCTTGGACTCTCGTGACAATGCCTGAATGACGCCACTTGATGCTGGAACTGGTGCATTTCCCTTGGGAGCCTTTTCTGGTTGAGCGGTGACCGGAGGTTCAGGCTGGGGCTGAGAGGCACTCGAACTTAGCGATTCCTGAGTCCCCGTTAGGGGTTTTGGGGAGGAGGGTGCAGCGGCCTCCATCCTCTTCTGCCTCTGTTCCCTCATCCTCTTCTGCAGCGCTAGCTTCATGGCCGCAAGTTCCTTCTCCTTCTTTGACAGTTCTGTTTCACGAGCCAGACTGGCCGGCGTCTGTGGGCCAGGAGTGCTAACAGCAGAAGACGGCAGCATTGCAGATGCGGATCGGAAAGGGAAGTCAGGAATCGATTGCACGGTTCGAAGATTTTGCTCTCCGTTGCGACTTATGGTTTGGGGAATAACAGCGGATGGTTTCGAGGCATGGCTATCGCTCAAATCCATTTCACTGCCCCCGGAGTCAGCGTCACTGATATATGGGGCGGTATCTACCGAATCCGAGGCAAGAGGCCGCTTGCTGGGGATTGCCGATGCAGCATTCTGGGCGGGAGTTGATGGTGCCTGAACGGCTGGAGCGGTAGAAGGGCTGTTCATAAATAGACCTGGGATGCCAGAAAACGCTGCCGCGGGTAAGGGCTGAGGCTTTGCAGAGCTCCCCGCGATGGGCGTGGATTGCGTAATTGCGGCTGGAGACGAAATGGTAGCTGGATTTGTAACCGCCCCAGTATTTGCCGACTTGGACGCGGGTGATGAGGGGTTCTTCTTGAGCGCTTCAAGACGCTGCCGAATTAGCTCGGTCTTCCTGGCTTTCTCTTCCTCAGAAATAGCCTGCCCTGCTTGGGTAACCGTCGGAGGCTCTGGGGCTTTGGCGGCCGCTGGTACTGCTGACGTCGCCGGAGGTGTTTTCTGCGGCGGAGTCGCCTTGGCTGAAGTCGCCTGCTTGGCCATCTTCGCAGCTTGTAGCCGTGCGATGTAGTCTTTGCGATCGACAGGTGACGGGGCGGACTTTGCGGGGGGGATCGCAGCAATGTTGATCTTAACAGAGGTGCTTGGCTTCGGCTGTGGAGTCTGTCCATTGCCAGTGAGCGAGGCCGATTGGCCCGAGGTGACGACTCCATTGCTTGGCCCAGACGGAGCCGCGTCCCTGGTCTTGGGCAGCGGTACAGGTTCAGGTTCTGATGGAAGATTCAGGCTGCGATAGAGATCCCTCAGAGGGCCGGAATCGAGGCCCTCCGCAGCCAGCGTATGATACCCCATATTGTTGCTGTGCAGCAGTCGAACGAACTGCTTTGCCTCCTCTCGCTGTTGGGGCATGGTATCGGGGCTTTTCAGACTATCTGTTCGTGGCTTCGCCTGCTCCGGTGGAGATTGGAACGTCTGGCCGGCCGCCGGTCGGTTAGGATCATAAGAATCCCGTTGATCGGCTTCGCGTTCACGATCAGGGCGTACGCTGCTCTGAGGCACTGAGCGAGGAGGTTCTGGATACGCTCGACCATTGCCCGCGGGAGAGCGAGACATGCGGTCTCCGTCGCTCACTTCACCCTCTTCCTTATCGCTATCCAACGTTTCTATAAGGCGGTCGATCGCTGCCGGCGGGCGTGACTGCGAGAGTTCGCCAGGCTGTATGGGAGGCGTATAGAAAGAGCCTGGTGACGCAACGTTCTGTAGAGGGGCTTGGGGGAATGGGGCAGGCGGAAAGTTCAGGCCGGGAAAAGGCGGCGGGGGAATGGGACCATTCTGCGTCAAGAACGGGAATTGAGTTTGCATGGCGTTCCACATTCCCATAGCCGGTAGGGGCGATGGTGGCCAGGCCGCTGCGGCTTGTCAGCGTACGGGTCGTAAAATTGAGGTTCGACAGAGGCTGAGGAATATCGATCCTGGAGCAGGGAAAATGAGGAGATGAGAGAGGATATTGGGCACGTACCCGGCGGGAACTGGGCTTGTTGGCCGTTCTGGCCATAGGACTGCATGTTCAGACCCGGTATATTCCACGGATTTGAGAAGGCATCAGCGGGAGGAGGCTGGTACTGGTCGGCCGAGCTACCTTGCTGATCATCCTGTGCAGGTTGCGCTATTTGCTGCTGTTGCTGCGGCGGGAAGGTAAGAGGCAGGCCGAACGGGGGCTGCCAGTTGGTTGCCATCTCGCAGCCGGTGCGCCGCGCGTGTCGAGAAAAGTTGAGGTCTACGCGTTAGTACCCGGGGGGCGACTGCTGCCAGTTCATGTGGCAGTAAATATATATGGCACAGCGCGAGGGGCAGAGCGCGCCGGTGAGATGGCTCGCGTTGGGAGGCGAGCGCGGTGTTGCTGTATTGACGGTGAAGCTTCAGGCTCGACCATCCATTTCACGAGGCGGAAGGAGCCGCTAGCGCAGTCACGTGTATTTTTTCGGGACGCGCCCAGGCGAGCCCGCGGCGTGCCGTTGCTAGGCGGCTCGAGCGCTGTGTCCATCCATGTAAACAAACCTCTGCGTCCCGCAGCGCCGCCTCCGCAATTGTAACCGCCTTCACTTCATCCTGCTTGTCGCATCCTTGTACATAGTAGTAGCCGGCGCTTTTGGCTTTCGACACTGTTGTTCTTTCCTTTTGATTTTCCTCCACACGATGCGCCTCGCGGCCGCAGGAAGGTAGACCCGTCGCACCTGCCCTCCGACCCGCACGTACAACACCATGAGCGCTCCTGCTCAGAACGGCCCACGATGGCGGAATAGCCCCTTCGCCCGGAACTCTGCCTCGCCATCTCCAGGGCCAGCTCCCGCCCTCCCGCGCTCCAAGTCCGCACTCATCTCGCCGCCGGCGGAACCACAACACACCATGGCCCACGCACGAAATCAGTCTCTCTCCCAGCTGAGCAGTCCTCCGATAGGGCGCAGCAGCTCGACTCGCCTACGCGCCAATTCGACTCGCAATGGCACGCCGGCCGGGACTTTTGCACCGCAATTCATCGCAGATGGCTCGCAGGACACGCCAGAAGTGCGCGGGATAGAGGGCGAGAACGACTTCTCCGGGAAGCGCTATGTCTGGCTGCGCGATCCGAAGACTGCCTTTGTTAGGGGCTGGGTAGTGCAGGAACAGCCGGAGGGGAAGCTGCTGGTCCAATGCGACGATGGTGCCCAGCATGAGGTCGACGCCGAGTCTGTCGACAAGGTCAATCCCGCCAAATTCGACAAGGCCGACGACATGGCAGAGCTCACGCACCTCAACGAGCCCTCAGTTATCCACAACTTGCATATGCGATACCAGGCTGATCTGATTTACGTAAGAGAAGCCTCTTCTCGCGCCAGGATACCGCAGCTGACCATCCATAGACATACTCAGGCCTTTTCTTAGTGACAGTGAACCCTTACTGTCCGCTCCCCATCTATTCGAGAGACTACATCAACATGTATCGAGGACGGAGCCGGGAGGAGACTAAGCCACATATTTTTGCAATGGCCGATGAGGCCTTCCGGAACCTGGTAGACGAAGGGGCTAATCAGAGCATTCTCGTGACGTGAGTGGTTCAGAAACCCGCAGCAAGCATGTACTGACGCATCATAGCGGAGAGTCAGGCGCGGGGAAAACAGAGAACACCAAGAAGGTCATCCAGTACCTCGCTGCAGTCGCCAGCTCAGATGCGCTCCGCGCAAAGTCCGGCGGCAAACAGCTCTCCAACCTGTCAGAGCAGATTCTCCGCGCGAATCCAATCCTCGAAGCATTCGGAAACGCCCAGACGGTCAGAAACAATAATTCCTCCCGTTTCGGCAAGTTCATTAGGATCGAATTCACCCGTACGGGGCAGATTGCCGGCGCATACATCGACTGGTATCTTCTTGAGAAGTCGAGAGTAGTGCGACTTAACTCCAACGAGCGCAACTACCATGTCTTCTACCAACTTCTCCGAGGCGCTGATCAAAAAATGAAGCGGGAGTTCCTGCTGGACGGCACGGATGTTGAGGATTTCGATTACACAAAGCATGGTAACGATGCCATCTCTGGAGTTTCAGATCGGGAGGAGTGGAATGCTTTGATTGAAGCTTTCCACGTCATGGGCTTCTCCGACAAGGAGCAAACCTCGATCCTAAGGACCATCGCCGCTGTGCTCCAGCTCGGAAACATCAAAGCCATCAGGGAGAGCCGTCGAGCAGATCAGGCCGCGTTCGACCCCGAAATTATTGAACATGCCCAGAAGGTTTGCCGGCTCCTCGGTATTCCCATGGAGGATTTCGTCAAAGCGCTTCTCCATCCGCGAGTGAAAGCCGGCCGAGAATGGGTCGAGAAAGTTCAGACTCCAGAGCAGGTCAATTTATCCGTTGATGCCCTAGCAAAGGGTATCTACGAGCGCGGCTTTGGTGACCTCGTCGACCGCATCAACCGTCAGTTGGACCGCACAGGATCAGGCAGCGACGACTCCCATTTTATCGGTGTTCTTGATATTGCAGGTTTCGAAATCTTCGAGGAGAACAGCTTCGAGCAACTATGCATCAACTATACAAACGAGAAGCTGCAGCAGTTCTTCAACCATCACATGTTCGTTCTCGAGCAGGAAGAATATGCCCGAGAACAGATTGAGTGGAAGTTCATCGACTTTGGACGCGATCTCCAGCCGACCATCGACCTAATCGAATTATCCAATCCTATCGGAATCTTCTCATGCTTAGACGAAGACTGCGTGATGCCCAAAGCCTCGGACAAGAGCTTTACTGAGAAGCTGCATTCGCTTTGGGATCGCAAGAGTACGAAGTACAAGCGTTCCCTCCTGACCCAAGGCTTCATGCTCACACACTATGCTGCCGAAGTAGAGTACTCTACTGAGGGATGGCTGGAGAAGAACAAGGATCCTTTGAACGACAACGTCACCCGCTTGCTAGCCGCCTCCACAGATAAGCACATCGCGAGTCTATTTGCAGACTGTGTCGACCCTGATGATGAGGTCGGTGGCCCTCGGAGCCGCGTGAAGAAAGGCCTCTTCCGTACTGTTGCTCAACGTCATAAGGAGCAACTCTCCTCTCTCATGACCCAACTCCATTCGACGCACCCTCACTTTGTTCGCTGTATACTTCCGAACCACAAGAAGCGACCGAAACAGTTCAGCGCTCCCCTGGTGCTCGACCAATTGCGCTGTAACGGTGTGCTTGAGGGTATCAGGATTGCGCGCACCGGTTTCCCTAACCGGCTTCCTTTCGTGGAATTTCGGCAGCGCTACGAAGTCCTTTGCAATGACATGCCGAAAGGATATCTTGAGGGTCAAGTGGCGGCGAAGATAATACTGGAGAAGCTCAACCTGGATAACGCCCTCTACCGTGTCGGTCTCACAAAGGTGTTCTTCAGAGCTGGCGTGCTCGCGGAACTGGAAGAACAGCGCGACGCTCTAATCAGAGACATCATCTCTCGCTTTCAATCTGCTGCTCGAGGCTTTGTTCAACGCCGCATCGCCCATAAGCGCCTCTACCGAGCCGAAGCCACCCGAATTATCCAGCGAAACTTCCAAGTATATCTTGATCTCCAATCGAACCCGTGGTGGAGGCTTTTTGTGCGCATGAGACCCATGCTGGGCGCTACTCGCCAAGCAGCGGAGGTCAAAAAGCGTGAGGAGATGATACAAAAGCTAGAAGAGAAAATGCAGCAGGAAGCCGCGGACAAACAGCGAGTCGAAGACGAGCGTCGGCGGGCGGAGATGGATATTCAACGCATCCAGAAAACTCTCGAGAGCGAGCGTGCTCTTGCGCTCGATAAGGAGGAGATCTTCAAGCGACTTCAGCTACGAGAGGCGGAGCTATCAGAGAAGCTCGCTGGTGCGCTTGAGGATCAAGACAAACTCGAGGACCAGCTCGATGACCTGATGGAAGCGAAGAAGAAAGCTGAAGATCAAGCTGAGCTCTGGCGAAACGAGCTGGAACAGGCCGGTCATATTATTGGTAACCTTGAGGGAGAGAAACGGGAACTCGAGGATCAGATCACGCATCTGGATCAACAACTCCAGGATCTTGAAAATGCGAGGTCCAAACGCAGCCAAGCGGAAGAGTCTTTGAGCCAAGAGGTGAAGATGCTGAAGAGCCATCTTGGCCTGAAGGAGCGGAAGCTTCAGGACCTGGAATCAAAACTTCTCAAGACCGACCAAGACTTGGACATAAAGCTCGCCGCATCGACTAAGGAGCTGCAGTTTTCCAAGAAGCAGATTAAAGAGCTTGTTGATGAAAACCGCCAGATCAGGCAGCAGATTGCCGATCTCTCCTCAACATCCACCAGCTACGAGGATCTCATTCGACGCAAAGAGAGCGAGTTGGCTATTCTCAAGACCGACCTCAAGAAGTACGAATCCGACCGCCAGATCTTTGACAGTGAGAAGCGAACCTTGGCATCGAAGCACGATGACCTGCAAAGTCGTCTCCGCGACGCCAAAGCGGAAGTGGATGCCATGCGATCTCAGAAACAGCAGCTTGAGCGGGAGGCTGCCGATACCAAACGCCTTCTTGAGGAGAAGATGTCCGAAGACGCCAAGTCTGGCGAAGGTCGCAGACTCCTAGAAGAGCAGATCGATGACCTAAAGGCACAGCTTTTTGAGGTACAGAGAGAGCTCAGCCGCGAGCGCCAGTCCCGTGATGATGTTGAGCTACTTGGCGAGCACAAGTACGACACGCTGAAACGCGACTACGATGCATTGAACGAGTCAAAGATCACTATTGAGAAGGAAATGTATGCCCAGCAAGATGTTCTTCGACGGGCCACTGAATCGCGCGCCGCCGCCGAAAAGGAGCGAAAGGAATACCAAACCGAGCTACGCAACCTTCGCGAGCAGTATCTAAAGCTACAAGAGGAGAAACTAGACGCCGATGCTGCTGCAGAGCGCACACAGTCCCGACTAGCCATGGAACGGCAAGCTGCTCAACGAAAGGAGATTGAAGCCAAGGATAAGCAACTCGACCAACTTGAGGCGGAACGGAATGAGTTAGCGGAACAGGTCCAGAATCTCACGCAAATGCTTGCTGACACAGATTCGTTCAAATTCCGAAATGATCAGCAGAAGGAGCGCCTCGAGCGTGAATTGGTCACTATCAAAGGCCGTCTAACGGCATCGGAGAACGACAATCGTGCCTTGCTGAACAAACTGCAACAGAAGAACTTGGACATCGCACGATCCAACTCCCGAGCTGGTGATACCCAGCGTTCCCGCATCGCGCAGCTCACTGCCGATAAGACGAAGGTTGAGGAGGAGAACAAGCGTCTATTCCGGCAACTGGAAGATGCGCAGCTTACGATCGCCTCGCTGGAGAAGCAGAAGGAAAAGCTGTCTCTCAGCTTGGAGGACCTTAACCACGAGATCACAAGAGAACACAAGACCAGCCGGAACGCGGAGAAGACTTCTTCGACCGTCGGTCTTCAGCTAGCTGACGCAAACCGGAAGCTTGAGACCGAGAGGCAATTGCGAACTCAGGCTCAGGCCAACACGCGTGCTGTTCAGACGTCGCTCGACAACAGCAACCGGGAAGTGGAAGAGTGCCGCAAGCAGCTGATGTTACTTCGCAAGGTCTTCGATCCGGAATCTGCTGACGCCGCCGTCACGTACGACGCCGCGAAACCAAACATCTCGCGAGCTGTGGACTTGGCCGAGCGTCTTGAAGCTGCGAACCAGGCTCTGCGCGTAGCAGCCGAGCGGTATTCACGAGCAGAGGCTCAATTAGATGAACTGCGTGAGAGGCATGCAGATGAGCTCAATGAGATGGATACACGGCATGCTAATTCGAAGCGTGCGTTATTAGAAGAGATGAACAGCAGCCAGATCAACCAAGTCAGCGCTCGCCGATCTCCAACGCATTATCGCAAGGACAGCGACAACAGGATACCATTCTCGAGGACGAATACTCCAACAAACCAGAGACACATGAGCAACGCTACAAATAACTCTGCGCGATCCGACCGCACGATCGACACCGTCACCTACAACAACCGCATGGACCTTGCTGCTGAGCTTGAGCTTGTCCAGAACCAATTGCAGATGTCGGAAATGCGGAACCGGCATCTGCAGAATCAGGTTGACAGGTCTCCTGTGCGCAATGGCTGGCAAGACGACAGCCCCTCTGTTCGACGAGTTCAAAAACTTGAGCGCGAGAACTACCGACTTCACGACATGCTTGACGACTCCGCGAAGAAGGTGTCGGCCTTGGAGCATAGCCTTCGGTCGGGCGAGCTGTCTTACAAGGAAGTGCAGACCAAGTCGCATGAGGAGCTCTTCGACCTGCTGAACTCTCAAGAGCAATCGAGGAAGTCGATCGTGCAAGCGCACAATGCGGCTGTTAACGAGCTGGCTGAAGCTAAGACTGCGTTTGACGAGGTAAAGCAGGCCAAGGTCGCTGTGGAAGTTGAGCTTCGGAATGCAAAGTCAGAGCTGGACGACATGGCCAACGAGCGCGAGCAAGAATACGCCAACCATAACCAACTCTTGCAAGAGTTCGCCGATCTCCAGATCCGTCTCGATAATGAGACATCCAAGCTCGTCGACGTCACCTCCAGTCTCGACCTCTACAAGAACCGAGCAGATGAATATTTCAGCAAGCTTGAGCAGGCTGAAATTGCAGTCCTGAAAGCTTCCCGAGCAGAGCAGTTCGCTAAGACCCAAGCACGCGAAGCGGAAGAGACATGCGCCACGATCATGGCGGAGCGGAAGGAGATGGACGGCATGATTGAGGACCTGCAACGGCAAGTCCAACAATACGACGAGCGTGTTGAGGATCTATCGACGGATCTCGAGAGCGCCTTACAAGCCAAGAGGCGCCTTCAGAACGAGCTTGAGGATTACCGTAGCCAGCATGCCCACGACATTGAGGACACCGAAACCTCGATCGAGCAGACCCGGAAAAAATACCAAGCCGAGCTTTCGGCACTGACGCACGAGCTTGACCTTGAGCGCGAAAACGTCATCTATGTCCGCGAAGAGAACGGTCACCTGCGAGAGGAGATCGAGGAGCTGAGGAACAAGTGGGACGACGAAGTCCTCAACTCATCGACGTGGGCGAAGGAGAAGAGTCGCCTTGAGATGACACTCCAGGATATCTCCAACTCACGCGATGAGGCTGCCAACGCTCATAATGAGGCCCAGTCCAAGATTGTCAGCCTGCTGTCCCAGGTCCGCACCCTCCGCACCAGCGTCGACGACATTGCCGCTGAACGCGACTCTGCGATTGAGGAGAAGAAACGGCTCGAGGCTCGACTTCAAGAGGCTGCCGACAAGCTTGAGGACCTCTCTCACTCCGAATCTCCGGCCATGCGCAACGCTGCCACCTATGACCGCGAACTGCTCGAGCTGAAGTCTGGCCTCGCCCAGCAGGAGGACATCGCCGCCGCCGCAGTCGGTAAGATGCGACGTGCCGAAGCACTCGCGCAGGAGATCCAGAAGGACATCGTCGCGGAGAGGGAAGCCAACGTCCAGCTGCACAAAGATAAGGCCGCGGTCGAGAAGAACCTGAAGGATCTTCAGCTGCGACTGGTCGACTTGGAGACCAAGGGCTATAGCGGCTCAGCCGGAAAGGACGTGAGGTTCCTGCACGGACGAATCCAAGAAGTAAGCCACCCCCATCCACACGCGCCTTGTATCCAGAGTACTAATCACCATATCTAGCTCGAGAAGGCGCTCGAAACCTCAGAGACTACGCGCCTCTCCGAATCCCGCAGCATTCGCAACGTCGATCGGACGGTTAAGGACCTCCAGAACCAGATCGAACGCCGCGACAAGCAGAATGCGGCCGCCGTGGAAGACCTCAACAAAGCGCGCGACAAGATCTCCAAGCTCCTCAACACTATCGACGAGCTCCAGTCCTCGGACTCGACCAACCAGCTCGCCGCTAAGCGTGCCGAGCGCGAGCTCCGCGAAGAGAAGGAGAAGAGTCTGCGCCTTGAGCGCGAACTCGAAGGCTGGAAGGGCCTCCGCGTCGAGCGCCGCAGCGCCCTCGGCGTTCCCGGCGCAGGCAGCGACGCGGGCGAAGTGCGCAGTCGGCGCGGCTCCTCCATCGGCCTGCTGATGGGCGAGATGGGCGAAGTGGCCGCCAGCGAGAAGGGAAAGGTAGGCAGCCTGCGCGGTGGGCTGCGACGCGTTTCCGGCACCAAGGGTTTTTTATGAGTGAGCATGCTGGGCCAAGGTGGCGCAGGTCCCAGCAGCAGCCTCTGAATCCGACGGTTGAGGAGGATGAAGAAGAGGATGGGGATGAGGCGACGCTCGTGGATGAAAAGGAGCTGCTTAAGGAGATTGAGATTAGCGACGATGAGGGCAGTGATAGTGCGGAAGATGAGAAGGGGAATGCGGATGCGTGTGGAGTCAAGAGGAAGAGGACTATAAGGGTGGTTATCAGGTCTAGGGCGTTTTTGTGATGAGTCTTTGGTTTTGTAGGATGTCTGGGATTGGATGCGTGGGAGAGTAGCGAGCGCATGGTTCTTGGTGTCTGGGTGCATTGCTTGCTTGCTTGATTACGACTGCTGTTTTCCTTGGGGTTAGTTGGCCAGGGCGGGGAACGAAATGAAAGCCGCGGCATGTGTGTGGGATGGCTGGGTAATGAATAGGATAGTACAACTTTCCCGTGTCCAGTCCAGTTCAGTTCAGTTCTCTCCCTTGTCTATGTCTCCGTCTCCGTCTACGTCTTTCATATACCCTACCTGTGACGTGACCATCCATCCTGCGCCGATCGATCTTTCACGCACGTTTTCCGCCCGCTTTGACGCCGATCTAAAACCAGGAACGACGCCGTCTCGTCCATCCATCCATGAATGTATACCCTCTCCCTACAAAAGCAAAATAAAACGAACACATAGCCAGCCTTACCAGAGTAGAGAAAGCCAGGCAGGGAGCAAACAGAAACACAAAGACTCCGCTGTCGACGGAGCGACTTGCTCATGCGCGGTCGGGGACGGGGGAAGACACGCACGGGGAGTTGGCGGAAAGGGGACGGGAAGGGAAGGGAAAACGGCGGACGGGTGGGCGGGCCGTGCCGCTGCTTCACTGCATACAAGCAAGGAAGAAACGAGACGGGTGCATAGAGTAGCATAGAGCAGAGGCTAGACTGCAATGAGGTGCGGTGATGTGATGTGAGACGAGATGGGGATCGCGGATCATACAGATGGAATCGTGGCCGTGAAGTGCCTGACATGTGAGAAGACGAAGCTTGGGAGAAGGAGAAGAGCAAGTCAGGAGACGAGACAAGGCAGGGGATTGGTGTTGTGTTGTGTGGTGTAGTCTAGCATGTACGAGGCGTAGTTGGCGATGTGATGTGTCAGCTAGGTAGGTAGGTAATGTTGAGGGCGGTGGAGCGCAATGACTGCAACGTCGGACGCGTGGCACTTGAACGTGGTCGGTGATCTAGATTAGAGCTGGTGTTGGATGGGGTAATAGTATAGGCGTGTAACGGGTGACATGCTTGATGGGCAGGGACCGAAATGCAAGGTACACATCTTTGCCTCTGAGACCTGGACGGCCTGGTATAAGTGGCGATGGCTGGTGACCGAGCATGCGAGATTGGGATCGAGCAGTGGCGAAACATCGAGCACACGTATACCGGTTTGGAAGGCGGAAGAGAGAGAGAGAGAGAGTATCGGGGTGCTTTTATCTATTCTCAGAGTCAAAGGAACTCCTATCCGAACTAGATATCCGTCTCAAGTCATTCATTCTAGCTCCAGGCTGCCGAAGCGATTGTCATGTCATAGCTCGGTCCTCGACCGGGCTGGGTTAATCGACCTTCGTCAGTCCGTCTAAGCGGAGATACCAATGACACCTGCACATCCTATCAGTATATACTCCTTTTGTGTTCGAATTAAATTGCGGGGGCTTACCGCAAGCAGGGCGGGCACCAGCGTTGCCGGTCTTCTTGGACTCCTCGTTTCCACCCTTGCCGAGGTCGTCGGTGCCGGCGTGGACGACGATGGTGCGCTATGTTTCATATCAGTTGCCGTGTGGGTACGGGGTAGAGGAGAGGAAGTCTTACGCCAACAACGCTATCGGGCCCAATCAACTTGATCAGCTTGTCCTGAACGCTTCCCTGGGCATTGCCCTGGCCGTCGGTCTTGAAGTTGCCCAAATCACCGACGTGGCGCTCCTCATCGGAGGGAGCGCCGTGGGTCTTGTTGTGGGGGTTGACTGTTGTATGTCAGCATCCTGCTGTTCATTCCCCTCTCCAGCGCTCCTCGCATCGGGAGGCATCGGATGAGGCGGAGACTCACAGTGCGGTCCAGCAGACGTGCAGCCATTGGTGTTGTCGCCGAAAGCGTGCACATGCATGCCGCGCTCAGCGTTGGCGTCGTGGCCCGTAATGTTCCATGACACAGTGGTGGGCGAGGAGTCGTTCGCCTGCTCAAAGGTGACGGTGCCCTTGATGTTGGAGTCTCCACGGAGGACGGCGACTGCAGTCCCTGAATTAGCCCGGTCTGTAAACATATATACGCCTCTGTGGTCTGTCATAGCCTGTCGCAGCCATCAGGGTGCCTGGGATGCGGGGCCCTGATAGGCGGGAGGCTGCGGACGCAGGAACAGAGCTCCAGCACCGTTCGTCTCTCCATCAGGGTGCCCAGATGGTTCAAAACTGCCCAATTGAGTCGCTGACATCGTTTCCAAACGCCCGTACCAGGTGCTCTTGGGCAACAATGTGCTCAATCTCGCGCAGGTGATACAGTGCTGGACCACTGACGATGCCCCGCTTCTCCACATGTGGCAAAGTGCGTCGAGGCAGACTTACCGGCTTTGACCATTGTGACGGTTGGAATGGTTTATGTAAGGCTTGGTGATGAACAGAGGTTGATATAAAGCGCTGGAGTAGTACCTGGGAGGGTTCTGGATGAGAAGTGAGAGATGAGGGAGCTCCCGATTTCTAGCACATGCGGGGCTCTCGGAGTGACGCAAGGAGCGAGATGCGGTAAGAGCAGTGCCCCCCGCTCTTAATTCCGAGTCTGGTCCTAGCAAATGATAAATCGAGCCCCTCTCTGACAAAGACGCCAGCCAATCACAGCTCTGCACCGTCGTGACATTATGACGTTCCCATTGTAATTCCATTGCAAGATTCACTATCAACCAGTTTTGTCTGTTTTGCTAACTACAGTGCCGGAGTCCAGTCTCATCAACGAGGTGAGGAGAGATCGAGAAAAGCACCTATGCAAACCGTGATATTCGTCCCGTCATTAACCCTAAGAAACGACCGGTATCGGAGCTTTTGTCTATGCCTCAATCTTCTTGCGGAGGATGTCCTTGAGCGTGACGGCGTCGGCCGCGAACTTGGAGATGCCCTCACGGAGCTTCTCGACCGCCATCTGCTCCTCGTTGAAGTCGAAGCGGAAGTCGGCCTCGCTGTTGATGTACGTCTTCTTCTCGAGGTTAAGCGCAGCGGCTCCCGAAGCGTCGAGCTTCTGGGGGACGGATGCGGTGGAGTTGTAGAGATCCTCAAGGAGATTGGGCTGGCGCAGTCGTTAGCTTTGCGCTTCATGGTGCAGTTCATTTAGTAGAACTTACAGAGATGGTCAGGTAATCGCAGCCGGCGAGCTCGGTAATCTCGCCGATGTTCCTGAACGAAGCGCCCATGACAATGGTCTTGTAGCCGAACTTCTTGTAGTAGTTGAAGATGCTCTGGACGCTCTTGACACCAGGATCCTCCTCTGCGGAGTAGTCCTTCTTGGTCGCCGCCTTGTACCAGTCAAGGATGCGGCCGACGAAGGGAGAGATGAGGTAGGCGCCGGCCTCAGCGGCGGCAATGGCCTGGACAAGCGAGAACATGAGCGTCAGGTTGCAGTTGACGCCATGCTGCGACTGCAGGATCTCGGCGGCCTTGATACCCTCCCATGTCGAGGCGACCTTGATGAGGATGCGCTCCTTGGGGACGCCAACCTCCTTATACAGCTGCTCTCCGTTAGTATCTGAACAATTACAGCTTCCATTGCCCAGAACGCACCTCGATGATATGCAGGGCCTTCTCCACTGACTTCTTTGTGTCGAACGAGAAGCGCGCATCCACCTCGGTCGAGACCTTGCCGGGGATGATGTTCAGGATCTCCTTGCCGAACTGCACCAGCAAGTTGTCCAATGTTGCATCGACCTGCTCGTTGGTGTTGCTTCCGTGCTTCTTGCCGTATTCCACCGCGGCGTCGATCAGTTTCGCGTACTCGGGCTTCTTGGACGCGGCGAGGATGAGCGAGGGGTTGGTGGTGGCATCTTGCGGCTTGTACTTGGCGATGGTCGCGAAGTCACCGGAGTCGCAGACAACGGTCTAGCAGAAGGAGTTACAGTCAGCTGCAATTCGATGCCAGAGGACAGCGCAGGGCGCCGCAGGGCCATCTCCGGCCTGTCCGGTGGGGTGACGGCGATGGCGGGGGGTTACTCACGGTGCCAGTAGCCTTCAATTGATCGAGCGAGGAGGACATTGTGTCTGTGGTTTCTGTAGCTGAAGTTGGCGAGGAAATGTACCGGTAGGCAGGTATATATAGGTTGGGGAGGCAGAGCGGTGTTGTTGGGAGTCTGTGGCGGGAGAGATGGGTTCAATGGCCGCGCCTGCCCCTCCATAAATAATAAAATGCTCCATCGTCGTCACAAGTGGCGACGCCGACACGGCCGGGAAAAACAACAACTGATAGGCCCGCTCGAGCACGCTCGCATCAATCAGCACCTGCGAAGCGTTGCAGTAAGCCAGACCCTGCTGCCTTGGGGCCTGTTCTCCCTGCGCTTCTGCCACAAGCGTACCTCCGTACCATTGCTGCCCCGCCTGTCAACCACACAGCAGCCCTCGCCTTGCAATACCCTATCTCGATGCCCGCCCAGTGATGCAATCCTGAGGCCAGTGAGCCTTACGCGGCTGGATACTCAACCCTGGATACCTGCCTAGGCAGGTACGCAGACCTCAGGTAATATTCCATCTCCTGACCGCGTCTCTGTTACACCTCGTCGCCCATGATTCAGAGTTTTCCATCATGCCATTCCACGCCAAGACATTCAATAGCCGCTTCTCCGGCATTTGAAGTTTGACATCACGCTTCAGCCTCACCGTGCCGGCCGCGCGCGAATCGGGCTGCTACTGTATATTGGATTCCACATGCTATACATCTCCGGAGTCAACCCGGTGGCTCTCGCTCCGCCAGCTCACCTCCGCGCACTACATCTCCGCACCAACCACCATTACAATCGCGCCTTCCCCCACCCTCCCTGCTTCAACCGCTTGTACACCTCCTTATACGTCTCGTCCATCCTGCTAACCGTATGCCCTTCTCCGCTCGGCCCCGGATCGTTGAATTGCTGCACCTCCCTCGTCTGATTATGACCAACCTCGAGGATTACGCCTCCTCCCAAATCGGGCTCCTCCAACAACCTGACCATGGCCTCCGCGACCTCTTCCGGCGTTGCCCAGACATCTTTCTTGGAGTCCAGCAACTCCATTTTGTCCGCGTTATCAGTCCAAAGCGGCGTCTTAACGACACCAGGCGCGACGCCGTTGACTCGAATGCCGAGCTCCTTGTCGAGCGAGCCCAGGGAGCGAACGAAGCCGCTCATTGCATGCTTGGCTGCTACGTAGATAGCGGCGTGCAGGTTGGAAGTTTGACCTGCTATGCTGCTGATTATGAGGACGCGCTTTGGGTTCGTAGTGCTGACCCTTACGCCGTTCTTTGGGTTCACAAACTCGCGTATGGCGAGCTGCGTCGTGCGGATAGGGTGAGTTACGTTGATGTCGATGCTGGTGTAGCGGTCGCCATCTGGAGCATCTCTCGACTTTGCCGTACCGGGCGGATGCCAAAAATTGGAAACTGAATTTGGCATCAGCAAGAGCCGCAGGGGCCAGATATCAGCCCATTCTTACAGTCCGGATCGAATATTCCAGCGCCGGGACATACGATGTCTACGCCGCCAAACTCCTTGTTCGCCACTTCGAACATGCGCTCCAGTTGATTCCACTTGGTCACATCCGTCTTCTGGAACACGGCGCGTGGCTGTGTCTGATACTCCTCGACGAGCTTCTGAGCTTCGGGCCGTAGCCCGAGATCCGCGATGAGGACATTGCAGCCGCGGGAGAGTAGCAGTTTTGCGAAGCAGTAGTTGATGCCTTTGAGCATTAGCAAGAGCGTGAACACCATCTCGAGCCTACGTACCGGAACCCGCGCCTGTCACGATGGCCGTCTTTCCCTTAACTGAGAACGGCTCGATATTCACCGTCACGTCCTGGAGACCCGGTTGACGTGCTGCCATGATACTAAAATGCGACGGATGAAGAGCTTCAAGTTTAATGCCCAAGTATATCAAGACACCCCAAGCTGACGAGGCACACACACCGTTTAAGTATCTACACTCCGGCCTTTGGAATCCTGACGTCCTGGCTTTGACGCGGCTCGACCATCGCTCATAGCCGCCGGCATGCCGCAATCGGTGAGGGGCGATGAGGGGTATCGTGAAGACCTCGCTCGGTGGTAATTGGCCCGCGCGAGAGGCTTACCAAGCTCCGCGGACGCTATCATACTCGTGTCGTCTCCTTTTCTATTATACGCGTAAGTACGTCCGCTCTTTTTCGATCAATTTCAAATGATTACACTACTGTCTTAATGGGAACGAGTTTGTTTTCCATACATTTCTCTTTCTCGACATCATCTTGCGCCTCCAGGGCCTTTCATCCATCATATTGCATCTTGCACCACGAGTTTAGTTTCGACCTAATTCCGCTCCTACCATTCCTCACGCGTGTATGTACATTCCCTAAATCCATCACCAGTCTCTCCTACTCACTCCAACAGCTATTCCAAGCCCGGCAACTTCCCCACAAAGTCCGCTACCCAACCGCCGGAGAAGAGCGCCCAGCGGGCAATAATAAAATCATCTTCCCTCCAATCGACATGTATGTAGAATGCCATCCGCACAATGCCCGTCTACATCTACGTCTACATCTCCTACGTGAATTATCCACATTGGATTCTGAAACGTATTCAACGCCGACGCCGGCATGGCTCGCCCTTCCCCTAGCACTCTCCGCGCGGGAAAGAAACATACATACAGACATCGTATCCCGGTATTCCCGTATGGGCCGGACGAGTCGTCCTCTCATAACACGAAGGCAACACACCACGTATCAAGTTCCATGCATTATCCGATTTTCTAGCACGATCATGACTTCGCTACTACCTACCCACCCAGCAGCAGTAGTAGCACATGCCCTGTTTTCCGCGGTAGGTAATTACTTAACACTCTTCTTCGTGTTCGTATTCACATGTTCTTATTCGTACAATACCCCCCCATCTAGACACGGAACCGCCTCCCAGTTGGACCAATGCAAGCAAGGTAAGCAAGCAGAGCAAGCATGTATTCCCCTCCCCTGCCCTCCGCCGATCTGCCAATAATGTCACCCCTCAAGGTTCTTCTGCATACATTGAAGCCTGTTCCGCTCGCGGGGTGGGTCGTCAAGCGTTGCCCGTCTGCCTGTCTGTCCGGGGCATCAAACCCCCCTGTTCCGCAGAAAAAAATATATAGGCAAGGCAGACTGCCCACGCCCACTTCAACGGTACAGCAGCGAACACAAGCAAGTAAGCAGGCCAGAAAAACAGGAGGAGGTTTCAATCCAAAACGCCGTCCCAGGATGCAGATGCTATTGCTACAGGAAAAGAGAAAGAGAGGAAAACAAGGGCTCCTTGCTTGCTCCCCCTCGCTCATATACTCCGGAAATGCATGCCGACGAAAGATAGGGTATAACGGTAATGGGCAGAAAGGTATGCGCAGCTGAAGGGGTATTCAGGACAGGACGCTAGTACAGTTGGTGCTCGGCGATGGTCGGCAGGATAGGCTTGAAAGAGGCTCGGGGTTGGAAGGTCGGATGTCCAGAGGCGTTGGCCGCGGTGGAAGGTCTTCGCTGCCGGCGGCGTCGTTGGGTGGGATATGAGCAATGGAGATGCCGAGAAGTTAGAATAGGATGTAGCTTTTCTATCACCTCTCGTCCCCGCTACTCCAATCCGCGTCATCATCCTCCCAGCTCTCCATAGCTTCTTTGATAACCGGCTGCGCCTTCGGGTCTAGATTTAACGCAATTGTGAAGTGCCGAACAGCGTCCGTCCTATTCTTCAACTTCTTGAACGCCCGAGCGAGCAAGAAGTGCACATTCGCGTCATCGGGCGCTGCGTCCTTGAGGAACATGAGCTCCTGGAGAGCCTCCTCCGGCGAGCCGATCTTGAGATGTATTTGCGCCTTTCGAAAGCGGGCGAGCGTTGACCGTGGATCGAGCCGTACTGCAGTTTCGTACTGCATCAGAGCGGGTTCGGTCTTCTTCATCCGATCAAGAACCTGTAGAACATTAGAATCCGTTCCTGACGTGATCTTAGATTAGCACTTACGTTTCCAATCCTGACTGCTAACAGAGGATTGTTTGGATTGATCATGAACGCGGCCCTGTAGTGCTTTTCCGCGACCTCGTACTTGCCCAGCTTTTCATATACAAGGCCCAGTCCGTACCACCCATTGTAGTGCCTATTATCAGCGCTGATGGCGCACCGATACGCGAACATCGCCTTGTCATACTCTTCGTTGGTGATGTGCTCATGACCTTGGAGCGTGAACGCATACGCAAACTTCGGATCTAGCTGGGTAGCTCGCGTGAAGCACTTTATCGCCTGGTCATGCTCGCGCTGCAGAGAGAAAGCATTTCCAAGAGCGCACCATGCTTGCGGTGAGAGTCGGTCCTGGTCGACCAGAGTGTGGGCTAGGTAAGCCAGTTCCGTCTCTTTCTTCAGCTGCCAAAGAGTATTTGAGAAGACCTCCATATCATCCGTGTATGAGGGAGCTTTGTCTCGTATGCGTTGGAACACCTTTTCGGCCTCGGCGTACTTGGAGCTCTCGTAGTAGGCCTTTCCGAGTTGTGCTAGTACCCAAGGAGTCTCGCGCTGCGGCGTGGATATTACGTTAAAGGCGTCAATGGCCTTACTACACTCGAATCGGCTCAGATATTTATATCCTAAACCGATCCTGAGGAGGAGTTCAAGAAGCCAGTTCAGCGCTTCCTGTTCTCTCAAAGGCTCTGGGGGTGCAGCCATTTTCGGTGGCGGTGCCGCTATGGCAGCTGCGCTTGCCGGGCGCGACTCCGGTTTTGAAGACTCCGAGATTTCAATGGTCGGCTTTCGATTACCACTCACTACTCTTCCCACAGTAGATACTGTGCTCGACTTCCCCTTCGTACCGGTAGCTTTCGCCTTCCTAAGCTCCCGACGCTCCCTGCCTTCCGGATCTCTACTTGCTGCATTGGCTAGCCTGCTACTTGATGGCCGTATTCCGCTTATTGAGTTCAGTAACCTCACGCTTCTCCTAGGTGGAGCCGCAGTGGGATCAGCTGTTGGTGCGTTTATTTGATGCACGTGTTGCATCGAGTGACCTGAGACGGTTCGCTTGTGGCCATTCTGCCAGCCGGCCGGCTGAGGAATTTCCGTTCGCTCGTTCGTTTCCGACGTCGTCTTCAGCCTCGTCCGTGTCGTAATTGGTCGCATCTTTGGTGGATCTTCCGTAGCGCTGAATGCCTGCATCCGTGGCTTTCGACCCGGAGCATGAAGAATCTCTGGGCAAGGCTCGTTTATGACGGGGCCTCCTGCTTCACCCATCATGACATCTTCATCGGGAATATTCTGGCCATTGGAAGTCGGTGTCTCGACATCCGGATACGACGAGCCAATGCCGTTGCTGTACGTGACAGGAATGCTGCCGTTAAGCTTCGATAGGAGATTAGAGCCTCCCAAATTAAGTCCAACATCGCCTCCAGGTCGCACAGACGGGTTGAAAGGGTCAATCTCAGGCGTCGATACGAACGGGTTCTTCCCGTCAAAATCGTCTTGAGAGTTGAAGGAAGTCGTACTGTGGCCGTTGGTCACGGAGTGCGATATGGATGCGAGCATCTCAGGAGTGATTTTGAAGATGTTCTGGGGGCGAACGACAGCGCCCATGTCGCAGAGACCGGTGAATGCGTCCCACATGAACGGGTTGATCTTGAGTGCTTCCACATAGTAGTCGATCGCCTTCTTCGTGTCGCCCCAGGCGGCGTACAGCTTTCCCAGGAGGCAATAGCAGGCGGCCGCATCTGGCACGGGTCGCCTCGACGTATCTGAGTGCTTGTCTAGAAGAAGCAGATGTTAGCAAAGACCTTAAGCGCCGGCCCACCATGGTATGCTTACTCCAGTGATTTCGACCTGCCCAAAGCCCGCGGGTCTTCTCCAGTGCCTGAGCTCCAACATCAAACCGCTCCAGGCCGAGGCAGGCCTGCGCAAACACGTATGCGCACCCCAGATGCGGTGGCTGATGTCCTTTCGGTTTGGCATAGTCAAACGCGGCCTTGTATCGACCCAATCGGAGGTTGCAGAGGGCTAGCAAATGCGTGGCGTCCGCGTTGCGAGGTTCGAGGGCCTGGAGGCGGCTTGCAAGAAATAGTGCGTTCTCGAGGAAGCCATTGTCTAGGTGGTAGTGTATGAGCTGTCGCAGCTGGGCGTTAACGCCGGCGGGCGGCGACATGGCGAGGGCGGTTGTCGTGTTTATGTCGGTGCCCGGAGCCAAAGGAGGTGTCGTCGAGAGAAATCAGGCTACGGAGGTGAGGTAGGCATGAAGGCGACGGTGGCGATGGTCCAGCGAGGTAGCGATGAGAGGTGAAAGGCGTTGTCGTGTTGTTGCTAGGTGACGCTTGTTCCGCGTGCTCGACAAAGCTAATTGGCAAACCGCGGGCGTGCAGCACGTGTTGGATCGGGTCTCAGCACGTCATTCCGGTAGCAGCTATCGTGTCGGACGGCCGCAGAGAGGAGCAAGAGCGGTCCGGGCGGTGCGGTGGGTGAGTGTAGGTTGGCGGCGGTGGTGAGCTCGAGCGTTTGTTGTGAGTGAATGGAGATGGCAGGGTTACCCGCTTCCGCACCCGAACTGCATTGCTTGGCTGACCACAACCATCACCCTTGGGACGAAAGCTGGCTCGCCTCCACGACCGCAAAGCCTAAACCATAGTCCATAATCGCCAGCATGGCGCAGGTACTACTCCCTTCCATCCCGGCCAAACATACATCCTAACTCTCCCCCAGAAAGCCACCAAAACCCTCGCCGCATCCAACGCGCGCCGCCTCAACCAAACCCTCTATGCAACCCTCTTCATCCACGGCCTCTTCTGGCTGCTGCGCGCCTTCGTCTTCCGCTCCAGCTTCACGCGCCGCTCGCTGATCCTCTACCTCGTCCTCTCCGCCCCGCAGCTCTTCATAAACTTCCAATTCGAGCGCATCGCACGCCCGGTCTACCACCCCGATGGCAGCATTAAGCGCGCGGGCGAGGATCTCGAAGCGAAGGGGCTGACCGAGTATATGTGGGATGTGATGTACTGGACGTACGGATGCATACTGCTGGCCAGTGTTCTGGGCGACTGGGCGTGGGTTTGGTGGGCGGTTGTTCCGCTGTACTCGGTGTATTTGGCGTACACGACGTATACGGGGATGAGGGGCGGATTTACGGACGCGGCGGGCGTGCCGCAGCCGGGCGCTGCGAGTAAGCGGCAGCAGAAAATGGAGAAGAGGGGTGGGCAGAAGGTCCAGTATCGATGAAGAGGGGAGCACCCGTGGACAGCAAACTTCACATGACGAGCCGCAACAGAAGACCAACACCCAGCGCTAGACGATTGGTAGAAAGGAGTGAATGCATTCAATGGAAACGGATGCACCCAGATGTTCCGCCCGTCTTCGCGTGGGGTTAAGGTGCGAAGGAGGGGAATGATGCCTGGATTCGCGCCATCTGGGGTTGGCATATCTGAGAACAGAAGCCAGAAAGTAGTGTAAATGCTTGCTTCTTCAGCATTCGGAGCGTGCGGCACCCAACGCAAAGACACCCGCTCCAGTATGCTACATGGAATATATGGAATATACACAATGATACATATCGTACAACATGTCCCGTCTTATGCCTCTACCTTGGTCGGGATCTTGACCTGTCCCTTCTTACGATCCTCATGCGGGAATCCGTATCTCCAACCAACGCCCTTGGGATCTCTTCCATTCCTACCGACACTATCCACACTAACGTCCTTGAAGACGAAATCCCATCTCCGCTGTGGAACCGTTTTCAGACTCGCTAGCTCAGCCTGCTTCCTCTCCTCTTCTTTCTTCTTCTTCTCTTGTTCTTTCGCTAACCGCTCCTCAGCGAGCTCTCTCCGCTTTTCGAAGCTAAGGCCGGCTGCTAGCTCACGTTCAACTTGTACCAGCTCAGGGTGTGGTATACGGTCGTCGGCAGGAAGGAGCTTGTTGTCGAAGGCTTTGCCAGCATCGACACGGGTGAAATGGCGGGATTCGGCAACGGGGACGAAGAGCTGTTGGCGGGTCGCGGGGTGAACAATGAGGTCGTTGATAGGCTCGTGGGTGATGGGGCGTTTGCCCTTGTTCTTAGGTAGTGACGGGTCGATGCGGGGCGTAGTAGGAAGCATTTCAAGGACAGCTTTCGAGTATGGAATAGCAAGAATTTTGCCCTGAACAATCTCAATCAGCGATTGCTACCTCGCAAATTCTACCGCTGCGAGATTGCCATTGGGGGATTTCAGAAAGAGCATAGTACTTTTTTTGTAACCATGTGGGAAGTCTTAAAGACTAATCGAATTTGAGATGTGTCTCATCATGTCACGAAGGAATGTAGAAGCATGAGCACGTACCTGGGCAATCCACTCCTTCTCCATCTGCTTCAACCGAACAACAGCGCCGACGCGCTCATTGCTCACACCAAACTCAACACTCGCAAGCGACACGGATGCGCCATCTCTCTTCACGCGCTGATATATCGCCTCCCGCAGCTCCTCGCTCAGCACGGGCTGACTCCGGAAATATTTGTTCAACGGAAACGGTCGCAGGTCCTCGACAGTCTCGGGCGGTAACCTATCCTCCTCCTCACCCTTCGCCTTCTTCTTCTTCTCCTTCTCTGCATTCTCCTGGCGACGAACGGCCATCTCCAAGTCATCTGCTGATTCCTGGCCCTCGGGCTTTTCCCCCTCGTTTTCCGCCTTCTCTGTCAGCCCAGACTCTTTGTCTGGATCTTGATTCCTCTTGGGCGTCCGCTTCGCTTGCCATCCTGGGCTGGCGCGCACCAAGTTCCCGTACCTATCGTACGCTCCCAGATAGTTTGTAGAGTTCGGCAGAGGTTGTTTCAACGCCCTGCCCGGGCCATTGAGCCATTCATAGAACTTCCTCCGCCGTAATGTGATTTGCCGACATGATGACTGGGAGAACTCGCGCGATATTCGTGCTGGCTGGGAGATGGACTGAGGACGGGCTGGGGGACAGGAGGCGACGGTCGGGGAGAGATTAGAGGACCGTAATCGTGGAGGCATGACGCAATTGCGACAGCGCTATCGCATTGCCCAGATATTTAATAGAGAATGAAAAGGAAAAGGCGGAGAGAGCGTCGGCGATGTGGATGTTGAACTGCTCAAAACCTCGTGCTTTCAGGAAAAATCTCGCTAAATCGGGACGCGCTAACCGGACCGCCAAGCCATCATCCCCGCGCCCGCAGAATGGCCATCACACTGCAGCGCATTGATTGCCCACCAGCCCTCTTTTTCTGGAACACATCGTGACTCCCGCGTGTTCCTGCTTCCAGAAAATGCCCCGGTAAGGATCTGCAGGCTTGGCCTCAGGAACGGTGTAAGCCCTGCAAGGCGTCGTCACTTCAGGTCTAGGAGGGGACTGCCTGTGTCACGCTACCCATGAAACTTGTGGACAAGACGGGGTGCGGCAATATCTTGCGTTACTTCGTCCAACTGTGACTGAATGTCCTAGAAGGGAAGTGCGTCGAAGGCGCGGTCTCATAGCTCTGGGAACGAGTAGTCACAGCGATGACACGACTTTTATTAGTGCTGTTTGGGTCCATCTATAGCACCGATTCACGCTCCGGAAAGTGCAGACAAACTGTTGTTGAACCGCGTCAAGGAAAAGGGGCCGTAGAAGGAAGCAGAAACAAGGCAGTCCGAGTAAATGCTAGCAAAACAGACGCTGTAAGGACAGGATATCGCCTAGCTCCTTGATGCCGTGGAGCACGAAACGAATCTAAAGAAGCCGTGACCCAAAGGAAAAATGAAACCTCGAACAGACGTGTGAGATAGGTATCCGGAACAAATAGCCTCCCCATGCAAAGAAACCCCCTACGACAGTGTATGTCTGCTCAACCCAAATGTAGCCCAGTCATGCTCATCCTAGAGTGATAGCGCCGTACCATGTCTGCAAGGCCGATGAATGATTAACCCCACCGAAACCGACAACCAAAAGAACACCGACTACGACCGGCTCTGCTACCACAGGTGGGGAGAAGAAGAGAATCAAAGAAACGAACCCAACGGTCCAGCACATTTCCGTCCAGACCGATCCATGCAAGCCTGCTTTTCCGAGTTCCCGACCAGTCCAGCAGGAAGAAGCGATGGGCAAATGCAACCTAAGACGGAGCAAAACGAGGATGATAAGAATAAACCCAATCCACTCCTGGCGCCCGCTCCTAGAAAATCCCGTAAACAACGCACAAGGGGGAATCATCGCTTGTATGCTGGAAATGGAGCCCGCACCCGACGGACGCTTCGGCCATGAAGGAGTTCCACGCCGGTACCCATGCCCTTGCTCAAATGAGAAACGAAGCCAAACAAAACGTAACACCGCGCAATGACAGAAATGACTGGATATAACGCAACAAGAGACGAAGAGAAGTCTGAACGTGCGCAGGGATGGTTGCTGCCCCGAACTCTTGAATCATCCCTCGTGACGGCATAGCAAGCTCAGCTCGTCAATCTTTCAACGCCCCATCATGTAGGACGAGTAGCCTCCACCCATGCTCCCAAAGCCATTGCCGGACACGCTGGTGGCCAGCCCGGCCGCCAGAGGTTGGGTGCGCATGGGGCTTGCCATGTCGTTTGGGCTCATTCCAAAGCTACCGCTTGAGTACATGCCGAATGGAGAAGAGCTATTGGTGTGGGGAGTGGAGAGACCTGGAGGAGCCGAGAGCCCAGGAGGCGGGCCTGTAGCCGTGGAGAACCCGGGAGGAGCGCCAACGCTGCTCCCGAACCCGGGCAAAGGTGTGGTGGGAGTTATGGCGGAAGAGGGTCCCATATTGGTCGACTGTCCAGTGCGCACACCTAGGGGGTTCTTAGAGAAGCTGAGCCGAATACCACCTTTGACGCTATTATGCAACGGATGCCCGTAAAGTTCGTTCAACGCCTTGGTAGCAAATGAGACGTCTTCGAATTCGACGAAGCACATGGGGCCATTCTGCTTGGTCCGGAAGCAGAGTCTCTTGTAGCCGCGCTGCTTGGAGAACACAGCCTTGAGTTCGTCCTCGGAGGTATCGATGGGTAGATTACCGACATACAAGGTATTACAGGGAGGGTTCTGGTCCGCCGGATTAACTGGAGGATAGGTAGGTCTAGTGAAATGCTGCTGATACTGCTGGTAGCTGGCGTTCGGTCCAAGATTACTCATCGCAGAAGGGATGGTGTGGGGAGACATGGCGGACAAGGCTGTACCGGGGGATTGCATGGTGGCGGCAGAGCGGGGAGACGCATAGTTGGCCATTGGCGGGGAGCTGATGCCGTTGACACCGTTCGTGTTCAGGGACAAAGAAGCGAATCGGGAGACCGGGAGCGGAGTGTTTGGATTCGTGGTCCTGCGCGGAAGCGTGGACTGAACGGGTGGGCCGCCGGTCGCATAGCCAATGGATTCGTTCAGCAGGCCATCATCGTCATCGGCTTCGTCGTTGATCACAGATTTCCCCAGATTGCGATGGGGGAAGGCGGTGCTCACAGGTGACGTCGGCGAGAACAAGTTCTGGACCGGAAATTCCCCGTTGCCAAGACCTGGGGTTCCATTAGGTGGGGACATCTTCTCGAAGGTCCCGTTATATCGCGATGATTGTCGTCCATTTGTCGTAGCACCGGAGATCCCAGTTGCAGTGGAGACGGACCCCTGTCGGACAGGTGCGCTGTCGACCGTGTTGCGCCTCGAGCCAATAGTGCCGGGGAGGCTGTCCTGGATCATTTCCACTATAAGAGTCGCATCTTTGGTAGCGTTGCGCTTTCCGTTCAGCAGATCTCGCGCCTCCTTTGCGCCCTCCAGGGTCCGGAATCTGGCGATGGCGGATGCGAAACCCTTGTCCTCGGGGTATCTCGTTGCGGAAACCAGCTCGCAATCAATGAGGTCCTTGGCGAAGAGAAGAATGTTGCGCACGGCGTCCCTGTCGCTGTTGCTCGGCAGCCGTCGCAGAAAAATGTCGTGGGTGCACTTGGGCTCAGGGCTGGTCTCGGCCTCGCTGAACGAAAGCAGCGTCAGGCCATGCTTGTCCAGGGCGCGGCGGTCGCCAATGGGCGCGGGCATGTTGTAGGTATGCGACGCGGAGAAGACGTCGGCGGTCATGGTGTTCTGCGACGGAAAGAGCTGCTTCGGTGGGGAGGACGACGTGGAGCTGCTCAGGGAGCCGTGGAGAAACGGACTGTTGGAGAGGTTGGAGGGACTGGTGCTGCTCGGGCTCGGCCCACCGGCCATGCTTCCCTTTGTCTGTTCGATATCGCGGTGGCCGTCTTGGAGACAAAGAGGTGCGGTCGGGACGAGTCGAGGCCTGCGAAACGAGCAAATGCGAGCACGCAGCGACAGCGAGCTAGACGCAAAGGGCTGCGGACCGTACGATGAGGGCGCGGGTGCAGAAGGCGACTCTGGGGGGTAAAACAGCTTCGAAACGTGGTTATGCCCGGGTCGAGGGTGGTGGGCGCCAGCAGAGAGCGGCAGTCGCAGGCGCACGGCGGGCGATTGGCGCGCGCCGCTAAAAACGAATTGGCGTTCTGGAAAAGTGGGTGCAGCCCTGCGCGGCGCCGCTGCAATGGCGAGGATGCAGCTGACCGACGCTGGGTGCGGGCGCGTTGAGCTGGGCGGGCGAGAGAGCGATGCGCGAGCGACGGGGGCGACGTCTGCGACTCGAGGTCGAGCCGTGAGCAGCGGGCTGGGCCTGATATGGGACCCAGGCAGAAGGCGACGCGGAAGGCAGTGGCCAGACGGGCGCTAGGGCGGTGGTGGGAGCGGTCGCGGGCGGTCAGGGAATGCGCGTACAGCGAGGGCTGCGACGAGTGGGAAATTTTTGGTGGAAAAAAACGGTCGCTGAGGCCAATGATGCGAGGATCCGGAGGGGGTTTTTGGGGGGTGGAGGCGGAGGGACTCGAGCGAGGGCTGCCAGCGCTCGGATCGCCCTCTTGTCGCGAGGGGCCTGAATGCGCTAGCCAATGATAAGGGCCGCCACAGCGATGCCGCCAGTCGGGCAGCGGGCGACGTGCAGCAGCAGCAGCAGCAGCAGCAGCAGAGGGCAGCGCGCGCGAGCAATGCGCATCGGCCGGCGTTGCTGGGAAGGGAGGGCTGCGGGCGGCACGGTACGCAGACAGAGAGGGGAGCGTCGTGGTGGTGGAGCGGTGGTGGTGGTGGTGGTGATGGTGTGCTGCGGCGGGCGGCGGACGAGGGCAGCAGCTAAAAGCGATAACAAGAACAAGCTCTGGCGGCGCGTTGGGACTGGCCTACGCCGGCGCGGACTAGGGACCGCTGCTCTCCTGGCGACGCAATTTGCTTGTGGGAGCCCTGGAGCCCTGGAGCCCTGGGAGTGTACCACCACGCGTCGCACAGCGGCCGTCTGGTCGCGCGATACCTGCGAGCACCGCGCAAACATGACGCTGCCCTGAGCGGTGCCGCCGTCCAGTGTCGCGCCTTGACTTCCACGGTTGCAACTTGCGCGCTCTACACGCCGTCAATCAACGGCACCGCCTGCGTCCTGCCGTGCGCTCCGTCCCAGACACGCCCGCACGCCTGCACTCTCTTCGAGACATGGACACAGGACTCGAGCGCTCGGCTCGGCCTTATACTTGGGCTGATATAGCTTGGCCACGTCGAGCGTTTTGGCCTCCCGCTGCCGCCGTCCCCCAGCCCATCGCGAGCCACACACAGCGCCGGCACGGACGCGGCCCCTCCTCACTGGCTGCCCGCCGCGGTACGTATCAGCCTCTGCCACAGCGCCGTGCCTCGAGTCACGGTTCGCGGGCGAGATCGCAGCGTGGGATGTGCCAGCCGCTCTGCAGTCTGTGTGCGCCCGCTGCGCTGCCGCTATCAATCGCCCGCTGCTCTGCTGCGCCGATACCTCAACCTCACCCGGAGCCTCCTCGCTCGAGAAACGCTGCAGCGCGCGCGCCGGGGTCGACGGTGATGGAGGGCAGCCCCCTGAGACGGCGCGCTCGCACGGCATGCGCCTTGCAAGGACGCGGAGCTCATCAGGCTATTGCAGGCGGCATATCCACAGCCTCCATGGGTTTGCTACGCGCAAGTCGGCCCTGCTCCGATTCCACCCAAAGAACGAGAGCACGGCGCTAGCGCACTCCTGCTCCACGCCGATGGATGTGGCTCCCTGGCCTGATTCTTGCGGCCGCCTTCGCGGCCTCACCAACCGTCCCAATCCCGGTCCTTTGGCGCTGATATGTACCGGCCCTGCAGCGAATCACGCCGGCTGCCCGCCTGCTCGAGCGATCCCCCTTCCCCAACGCCGCTCAGGAGGTGGGCCCTCCGGTCGCTCCCCCAGCTGATGCTCAGAGCCGTCGAACGCCCGTTCATCGACTATCGCTGCGCGTCGCCTCCAGACAAGCTTCGCCCATCTCTGACCGTCCTGCGCCCGCTGGACCGCCTTTCGTCAGTCCTCGTGTAGCCGAGGAGGGGCAGCCGTCCGACTTCTGTGCCCGTCCCCCGCCATGAGCTTGCATCAGTCCATCGGATTCCTTGCCGGTCCACCCTTCAGCTCCGTGATTCAGGTCAGCATTTAGATCAGACAGAGGACGCTGCGGGGCCCAACTGCGACCAATCGCCGCTCCTTTGGACAACTTTCGGCTTGCCGATGCCGCCCTCATCCGGTCACTGGCCAAAAAGGAACTTCATCCACTTCATTTCTCGCCGCCTCTCCAGAACAACACAGCGAGAGCCGCAGCGTATTGCCACTCTGAGAGGCACGTGGACACCGCCGTCATGTCCACAATACTTTTTGGCATCCCATGGTGATCTAGTGGGCCCTGCCCTCTACTCCCCCTGGCCTTCTCTGGCTTCCATCGCCTTGGCCTACCCAATCATCACGAGATACAGCTGGGTTAGGTGACGACCTTTGTTTCGACGACAAACGTGAATAGGAAGAAACTTGGAGTCGAGATCGTCAATTCGCCCTTCTCGCGCCTCGACGCCGCCGCCACGTGGATCCATCCAGGTCAACGGCAGTCCATCACTTCCTTCTTCTAGACCACAAGCCCGTGTAGCCGATGGTAGCCAGCTCATTGGCGCAGTCGACTGTTCTGATCCAGCCGGTGTGCCCTCGTGCAACGCCAGGCTCAAGCCCGATTTGTCGGTCGAATCCAGACAGCGCCTCTGAAAGAAGGAAAGACACGGCACTTCTCAAGTCACCACCATGCTGCCTGTGTCTCTTCCCGAAACAAGGCTACGAGGTGTATCACTCTCGCACTGTCCGTTAGTCGCTGCGACCATACGCTCGCACTTGCTCGTGACGAATGTCACCAAGCAGGATGGCGTTCTGCACCAGCCAGGCGTGCCCGTCCCATCTCCGCCCGGCTCGACTGCGAAGTTAATGGAAGTAGTCCATGGGAATGCAGTCAGGTCCGTGCGGTATCCCGTCAGACCCTGCAGAGGTTGTGCCGCCGTCTCTTGGTAGGAAAAGAGCAAACGAGGAGACTCCGCCAGCAGCGATCATCGACGATAAGAGCTAAACTTCCTTTTTAGATATCCAATCAGAGCGTCTACCGATAATCACAAGGTCTATACTTCGAGTCAGATCAAGGTCGCTGCCCTTCTACTAACAGCTGCCGGAATTGAGCCGTTTCGAGGGGATTTCAGTGACCGTCACAATGGGCCAAGCCTGTTGCGATCAAAAGCAGTCAAGATCTTTATGACGCATGGGAGAGTCCCTTCCGATCCTCGCTTCAGAACACTTTTTCAGCATTAATTGCAGCAGGGGCAGGGCTGAATGACGCTAATGCAGACGCATGCGGCAGAGGCAAAGTTCACCGTTCAAGCATGTTCAAGCATGTGACATGGATAAAAGGCATCATGCTCTTACAAACACAGTGCCAACCGCGTCTAGGCAACGTGTCCTATGTCGGCCGGCTCCTCCGCGTCAATCAGAACAGTTTTCTGAGCCTCAAAACCTCCATTCACCGGTTCCATGACTCGCGACGCCCTCCCAGATTGCTGGAATATAGGCGGCGTAAACGAGCCAGCCCTCTACCTCTGGTTTGGCTAGAATCGCTCTATTGCTCCGAAGCTTGGCTCGGACATTACCACCCTGGGTGCCACGACGTCTGGAATCGTTCGATGCAGAGAAGCGTGCGCCTTATACGCAACCACTACTCCCCGCAAGCCACACAATACGAAGGGTATTCTATACAGTCAATAACACCACGCCATTAGTTCGACTTATGTACACACCCTCAATCGGGGCGAACGGTTCTCGGCTGCTCATTCTAGCTTCTAGATGCTCTTTTCGAGGTTGAGAGTTTGACTTCGGCCGTTGATTTCCGAGCCATGCATCTCTTCCGAAGCTTGCCGCCTGTCAGTAATTTGCATTGTACCGAACGGCAATCCGGAGTGTCCGCCGAGTGGCTCTATTCTGATCCGAGTGACGGCCAGAGAAACGCCTAATCTTTCCACCTCTACCCCGACGTCCTTTAGCTTACGCAACTTAGTTCTAATTGAAGCCTCATGCCCAAGCGAACGATTTCAAGGTCCTCTGATGGCTCTCACGCGTACGAGACGTTCTAACTAACACGCTCGGCAACATTACTAGCGCATAAAATGCCATCCAACTAACGTTTGTGGGCTGGAAGCTTGTGTGCACCAGCAACTCACTGAATCTCCGAAGCGCCGCAGGACCTGCTCCGGTAGACGTCATTGGTCCATTGCCGGAAGCAGTTCACATCGATGCCCATCTGCGAGTAATGCGTTCTCCACAATTCCTCTGACGTAGAAAGCGGAGACGCGCTCCAGTCACACTGTTGGAGAAGAGAGACGCTAATATCTGACGTTGGGGAGAAGCTTACGCCGGCTCGCCCAGGCGCTTCGAAGAACAGAGACAAAGAACACCGACGCCACATCTAGCAAGCTCGCAAATTTACGAGGCCATTCGCGAGACTAGACGAGACATCCCGGATGGTACGCCCGTTATGCGGCCGAAGGTGCCAGGCGCTTGGGCTAGCTCCTTGCCTATGCATTGATCGACAAACGGTTGAGAGCTGTGGTGGGACGCCATGGCGGGGAGCAAACCTAAATTCCACAACGTTTCGTAATGTCGGTCTCTTTTTGGGTCGTGCTGGATTTTGGGCTCCGCAACGTCACCGGCCGTTGAAGGCTCATGTGATGATACCGGTATGCAATTGCAGAGGCCACCTGAGTGGAAAGTCTAGTGAAACACTCGACGACTAACTGAATACAGGCATAAGCTTTCTACTCTTCCTTGACTCAATACAACAGACTCCTCCTCCTGTCGCGGTCAAGGTCAGCTTCCACATACTCTCGGCCCGGATCCATGTTTCTAAAATTTCGCCTGTGGATTGAATCTCTCAAAGGCTCAATGCCTCAATTCCCAGCAATAGTCTTTCGACCGCTACATACGAATTCGTGCTGATCCAGATTCATCCATTCGCTCACCGGCACACATGTGCGTTCCCTGTGCTGTGAGATGAAGTGACTATTCTAGCATGTTAGATGATGAGATTAGGGTGAGGATGTGAATGCGTAGATGCTGGATCACAACCTGGGTCTAGGTCCGTACGAGGCAAGTAGCACCCCGTTTGGCCAAATAGTAGGACCAGGTGCAATCCTGCTTTGACATGTAAGTGTGTTGGGTTTGGACACTATTTACAGCTTCTCGGTCTGCAGTGGTAGGAGGCGAGCGATTGTGTTGGCTGATTACTGCTGGCTTGCTTTCGGTAACACACTTTGGAGGCTGCGCTCGAGCAGATTCGCGGCGAGAGTACAACGGCGAATGACCTTGGCTTTTACATCGCCTTTTCACTTCCGGCTTCATTTTTCCAATGCATCGAGGGAGAATGGAGACTTCCTTCGTTCTATATAACAGTCCGTCCGCACGACTGCAGAGCAATGCCTGAACGCACAGCGGTCGACCCACTCCACCATGCGATTCCGGTTGGCAACCCTGCTCAGCGCTGTCGTCGCCCTCGCTACAGCCTGTACCGTACCCTTTAACGATGTCCGCTTAATGCACAACGAGACCCTACTCCGCGAGGCTATTGATCAGTTCCATCAGTCAAACGGGACTCAAGGATGGGCCGACGCAGTTAAGCCGGGCAACCCGATCACCCCATGGCCCAGCGACATCGACAGGATGCACCGGATTCGATATTGCTTCCAGAACGCGAACGTCAAGGTGATTAGCCGCGTGCAGCTATCCTCTATGGGTAACGCAGACTAACAGTTGACATCAAGGTGAAAACCTGGGAATACATCAACAAAGCATGGGATCTATGGCTTGACAAAATCGGCAAACCGGGACCGGGCCGGTACAGCAGACACTTGCTCATGTGGCAGGAATACTCGTCCCACGAAGGGGTTCCGCTCTGCCGAGTGTACGGCGATGATTCAAAGTGGAATCCGGATGTGCCGCCAGAAACGGTGGAGATCCGACTCAGCACGAAGGCGAACTACGCGGCCCAAGCTACCGTTGGCTACATTCCTGAGTATTGGTGAGTATTTGTAACTCCCTTAGCGAACGCAGCATTGACTTGGTTGCAGGAACAACGAGCCCGGTCGCCACGTCATCTACATCAATGTCGGGCTGCTAGACAAATACCACCCGGAGACGGGGGCGACATTCATTGCCCACGAAATGGGACATATTTTTGGCCTCTGGCATGAACATCGTACGTCGCCTCCACCTCTGAACTGCTCTTCACGCAAGACTAACATATTGCCCAGAGCGACCCGATCGTACGCCTCTCCTCACTGTCCCTCCCTACAAGAAAGAAAGCTAACCCTCCGTCACCAGGCGACCACTACGTCCACTTCGCCTGCGAAAACCTCCCCGGCTACGCCGAGACCGCCCGCGCCGTCGAAAAAGACGGCCACTACTCCATGCAAGAAGTCTGCCGCTCCCCCGTCATCGGCATCCTGTTCGGCTTCCCCTCCAACGAGTACTCCACCGAGCCCTACTGGGACTGGCGCCACGACAAAGGCTACGAGCATCCGTGGAGGCTGCGCACCGCCGCCCGCTACGACCTCTTCTCTGTCATGCATTATGATAGCGGCTTTGCGCGGGTGGAGCGCGCGCCGCTGACGGCCTGGATTTATGGCGCCCCGGGCTTTGTGTCGCCCGACCCGCCGAATGTGTTGAACTCGGAGCGTATTCCGCTGAGGACGAGGGTTAGTGAGCGGGATGCCGAGGCGGTTAGGTTTCTTTATCCGTGGCGGAATGCGTGGCGTAGGAAGGGCGCGGGGGGATGGTGAGGGGATAGGGGCACGGCGAGGGAGAGATGAGCCTGGCTTCGTACGGCGATATGCAGGAGAGGTGAGGCATGTTGAGTGCTTCTCTCGCCGTCACTACGACACTGAAACCACGGGTTTGCGCTCCTCACCCAGTCCACAACTTTAGCCTTAACTTTGCCCCTCGAATCTTTTCCCACCTATCCATCTCCTCCGCATGCTAAAGACGCCGTCTCCTTCCATCAACTCACTGCACCACGGGGCTCAGGCTAGCAGTCTGCCTCCCCGACGCGTTCGCCGCTCTCGCTGCCGCCTGCACCGTGCCCTTCAACGACATCCACATGCTGGACAACGAGACGCTTCTCCACGAGGCCATCGACCAGTACTATCAAGCGGAATTGGCAACGGCACCCGAGGCTGCGCTGATGTCGTCTGGCTCGGCAATCCTATTCGACTGTGGCCCGCGGATATCGACGAATAACCCGAGGGAGGTACTGCTTCCGCAACGACGACGTCAACCTCGCCTTGTGGCAGTTGGTGCAGAAAGCATGGCGGCTTCGACAAGTCAAGATCAACCAACCTAGAATCCTTAGCGGTCACTCAGTCGACTGGATTCCGTGCTACAAGGGCTACTAAGTTTCTAGTGTCGCTGGCGTGGGAAGCGAAACCTCTGGAATCATGAGGTCCCGAGGAAGAGGCACTCTAAGGCCTTGCCCACGCTCCTTGACTGGCTGAGGGACTTGGAAAGCTGTATCATGGTAAGACCGGTGAGGTGTGCCCCCCAGATGACATACGAATGAGTACCTGTGCTCCCCTTACATCAATGCCCTGATACTTTCCTCTCGGGTTCTGTGTGCGAAATTACTGAGACGGACTGTTAAGGGCCTTGCAACGCTACTTCGCCCTTGCGATGTCGGTTTGTTGTGTCTGAAGTCCGACGGGATGGCTGCCATATACCTTCTGAGGAAAAGACACCGTCACGTACATATCTACGCTTCAGACAATTCAAGCTACAAGCCATAAGAGCAACGCGCCTTAATTCTTCCCGCGCCTTTCACTTTCACCAACGACACCGATACTAGGGTTCACTTCCTTCACTCGATCGAGCGCTTTGAGCTTTAAGCCCCACCTGCCGCGGCCCGTGAACTTCTCGCACGTACCTATCTAAAGTCATATCAATGTAAAATCTTAATCGCGCTCTAACCACGTCAACGCCTCCATCGACTCTCAACTGCACCATGCGGTTCCAGCTGACAGTCCTCCCCGGCGCCTTCGCCGCCCTCGCAGCAGCTTGCGCCGTGCCCTTCAACGACGTACGCCTCCTCCACAACAAGACCCTTCTCCACGAGGCCATCGAGCAGCACCGTCAAGCTCAAGCTCGACTACCCAACGGCCCACAAACAGGCTGGGCTCACGCCGTGCAGGCCGGCAACCCCTACCAGCCGTGGCCGGACGATCTCGACGGCATAGTGCGCGTGCGCTACTGCTACCGCAGCGCGAAGGTCGAAGCGGATCTAAAGCCGTCCGTGGACAAGGGATGGCGGCTTTGGCAAGACCGGCTCGGCGAGGCTGGAGCCGCGAGTGGGCACGCGCTCGAGTGGGTGCGGTATTCGAAAGATGGCCGCTTTCCGCCGTGTCGCGTTAACGATGAACCAGTCGATGCTTCCACCTGGAATCCAGAGGTCCCGTTTGAGATTGTGGAGGTTGCGTCGATAGAAGATGTGTTCTATGAGGGGAGGGCGACGGTGGGGTATCTGGCTCCGAAATGGTGGGTGCTTGTGGTCTTGCTGTGGGGATGTGGCTGACTTGGTTGAATGTAGGGAGATGTCTGATTCCTTGGCTGGAAGACATAATCTCTATCTTAACACTAAGCTGTTGAGCTCGTGGGTTGGAGAGCATGAGGATTATGCTGTGGCAACTGCTGCGCATGAGATGGGTCATATTTTTGGCTTGTGGTACGTCAACGCTTCGACTCGAAATGTATGCGTCTCGTCATGGTGTGCACGACGATATACTACTGAAGGCTCCTACAAGTGGCATTTCAGAAACGGCGAGCACCCACCTGAGGCATGAACGTACCTTCAATTCGAGAGCCACGCTGACTTCATACCCATCCTATAGGCACGAACATCAGCGAAGAGATCGTAGGTCTTTTCCCCGTCAACATCTCTTCCACTCACCACTAACCCCCCTCCCAGGCGACAAGTACATCTACTTCGAATGCGCCAACCTGCCCGGATACGACGAAGTCCGCAAAAAAGTCGAAGCAGAAGGAAAATACTCCATGAACACCATCTGCACCGACGCCACCCTGGGCTTCGACTACGACTTCCCGGCCTACGAATTCTCCACGCACCGCAGGGGCTATCTCGACCCGGAGTTAACATGGTATCCCAACCGCGTACGCAACTCCAAAGGCTACGATCTCGAGTCTATCATGCACTACAGTAGCATCGCACCGGGCTCCGGGGATGATGTTAATGCCGCGGTGCTGACCGCGTGGGTTAAGGATGGGCCGGATGTGGGTAGGGGCAGGATTATAAAAAGGAACACGAGGATTTCGGAGCTGGATCGGAGGGCGATTCAGATGATTTATCCTTGGAGGGATGGGCCGTTGCCGAGCGAACTGCCGGCTCCGGAATGTGAGGAAGTGTATTGTTGAGGGGAAGAGAGTGGAGGGGAGAGGGGTTTAAAGACGTTGGTCCAGATTTCTAGACTAGAATACTTCTTGGCTAGAAGTGAGCTTGGAAAAGTTTTGGATAATACGATAATACGATAATTATGCAATTGGTTCTTTTCAAGCTCTGGATGCCTTCCTTCCAATTAAATGGCTATACCTTTTAAGCACATCTCGAAAGTGTCTTTCTACAGTCGGGCGCGCTCCTAATGCAACCTCCCCATTGCTCCTTTATTCCGCACGCGCGTCTTCACCATCCCCACCGTATTCCCAAGTCGGAGAGATGACCACCTACTACCCTCCCCGTCCCAGCAGTCCAATCCCACAGCTCACTCCACCAATCACGCCATAATCCCCCCATCAATAATCTGCACAGTCCCCGTAATATACTGGCTCGCATCACACAGCAACCACGCAATCAGCGCTGCAACTTCTTCTGGGCGTCCTTTCCGCGGGATCTGGATCTTGTAATCACCTTCCTTGCCCCTTATCCTCACGGACTCGCGGTGCATCTCTGTGTCGATGATGCCCCTGTCCTGGTATCAGCTACGGGAAGGGGAATGGGAATGGGAATGGGATGGCGACTTACGGCGCAATACAATTGACCCTGATCTGTCTATCGCCCACCTCCTTCGCCGCTGTCTTCGTCAGCCCTACAACGCCGTGTTTCGCTACTGTATACGCTGCATTCTAGACACCAACGTTAGCAGCTACTCTCAACAAACAAGCCTCCACGACGAGCAAACGAAGAACGACACAGGCAAGCACTACTCCCTCTGACCCCGCGACACCCCCTCCCCTCAGCCCCCAACGCACTCACCTTCGGAAACCCGCCCAACCCCGCAATACTCGCCGCATTAACAATGCTCCCTTTCGTCTTCATCTCCCCAATCTGCTTGCGCATACACATCATCACGCCCGTAACATTAACATCCATCACAAACCGCCAGTCCTCATCATTCAACTCCTCCACGCGCTCGATATTAATGCTCTTCGGAATCACGCCCGCAAGGTTTGCCGCGCCGTCCAGCCTGCCGAACTTGCGCACCACCTCGTCGATCCACGCGTCGACCTGCGCGCGCTGCCGCACGTCGACACACGTGCTGAGCAGCTCCCCGCCCTGCTGGCACTGGGAGGACAGCGTGCTGCTGGCGCTGGAGAGCGCGGCGGCGTTGATGTCCGAGATGGCTACTTTGGCGCCTTGGGAGAGAAGCAGGGAGGCGGTGGCTAGGCCGATGCCAGCGCCGCCGCCGGTGATGGCGATTACTTTGCCAGCCATGTGGAAGAGGGGGGGTGTCATGGAGAAGGATTTTGAGGCTTCGGTTTCGGTGATGGGGATGCCGTTTATGGACATTTTGGCGGTGCTGGTGGCGGTGGTGTTGGATTGGTAGGTCGATATTTCTATGGAGGGATCAATGGATTATGTTCCTTTAGAGTCGAGTCGAGGAAGCTGGGATGGAGAAGGATAGACGGTAGAGCAAGGCTAGGCGGTTAAGAGGACTGAGGAAAACTTCAATATGAGCTGTGGGACGTTAGTTGTGTCCGTATGTTAGAGGTTCCCGTGATGTTCTTCCGGAAGTCTTCTGGCTGTGCACTTGCAAATGCGATTCGGGATCACCAACGACGTCGTGCAGCTCGAATACCCCACCTGCACGACCCCGCGTGCTCGTATTCAAATCCGATCTAACTTCGCGGGCTGTGGTTGGCTGAAGGCGTGGTCGGAGAGGTGGAGGATTGGGTTAGATGGCTGGATAAGGTTACCCGACCTAGGTCGGACCACGTGAGTGGCTGGCCAGTTAGCGGAGATCAAGGAATAGTGCTGAATGAATCTGCGCAGGAAGTATAGATCCCATATCTTAATGACGAGGTGTATACCTGCTAGCTAGATCCGTGATTTAGATTCGGCGGTGAATAAATAGTTGTATACGACGACACCGGCCCCATCAACGACCGTATAGATCAGCAAAAGCAACATCTAAGACAGGAACAGCAAAGCTGGGAAAGCGAGCCCACTCAAGATATCTGACGCCGAATACTGCCATCAACCATGTCCTTCTACGAAGCAACGCCCCACAACCGCGTGCTCAACCACATCGCCCTACACGTCCCCGACCTCGACGCCGCCGTGGAATGGTACACCAAACTCTTCGGCTTCCGCCGCCTCCGCAGCGCGCCCGTGTGCTGCGACCGATCCACCGACCCCTGCGCGCCCATCTTCCGTGTCTACGACAGCAAGCTCCACAAAGTAAAGCTCGCATTCATGTCCACGGGCAACGGGGTCGGCTTCGAACTCTTCCAATTCATCGATCCGCCTATGTCTGAACCCGCTTCCTTCGATTACACCAGGGGCGGTGTTTTCCATATCGCAGTCACGGACCCGGACCCGGAGGCATTACTCCAGAGAGCGGTCAAGGCGGGAGCGAAGCAGATTGGTGAGCCGGTTGTTCCGGCGTCTTGTGAGGGGGAGGCGGAGAAGCAGATCGCGCTGTACATGCAGGATCCATGGGGGAATGTGATTGAAGCGTGTAGTTGTAGCTTCGAGAAGATGATGGCGAACCGGGAAAAGTAGAGACTGGGGCGGAGGATTGAAGAGGGGTGCGTTGAGTTCGGAGGCGGGGTGTTCTCGCTATACATTTCTTTCGGCACGGAACGTTGGCGTCGCGTTTGGGTAGCCTGAAGTCCATGAGGCGCTTTGGAATAATCTATTGAGATCATTATGTAGGATACTCGTCCATTTTTCAGCATGTAAAGGGCGCTTCGTTCGTGGCATTTGATTTCATTATTGGACCATCCACTGACATCGACATGAGTTCCTGTAAGACATCTGTTGTCTCTTTCGCTTGCCTCGTTCTGAAAGCGCCTCTCCGCCGATTGTCTCGAGCGTGAAAGCAGGCTCAGCCAGACTGAGAACGTATTGTGTTGTGCCCGCTGAAACTAGATCTCCATTGTCTAAGACCATCTTCTGCTCGCAATACGGCGGTGTACTGTTTGCCGACCGCTGTTCGGTGAGCTTGACCACGTAGGGAAGAAAGGGCATCTGAGAGACTGTGGTGACATTTCCTAACGCGGAGGTAGTCATCCCTGCAGAAGTCGAGTTCTGCGAGACGTAGATGAAGCCTTCGATCGATGTGTTATTGAATGAGCAAAACCAAGGTCGATCACCTGGCTGTACGATGGTGCTGTTGGTATTTATCTGATCCGGCAGAGGGCCTTCAAGAGGTAGTTGGTCTTCTGGGATGATCACCGTGCGATTGTATGTTGCTCGAAAATAGTAGGCCGAGCCACTGTCGGGATTCTCGGAGTCCATGGACGTGGTGAGCTGGGCGGGTGTGATCTCCGGGGGTTGTTGCCCATATGCACATTGATTTAAATCGGCAAACGAGCCGAGGCCTACAAGCGTGTGGGATGCTTGTCCAGCCTGGGAAGGAAATAGATCGATTTGAAGTACCATGCCGTCCGCGCATGGCCATGCTGTCGACTCATTCATCTTTGCAAGGCAAGCAGAGCTCTGCTGTCGTGCGTTGCCAAGAGAAACAGCAAATGTTCCCCGTTGTATAGGAAGCATCGAGGGCGTGGGAGACGGAGTTCCAGAAGCGACAGATTGTGTGCGAAGTCTATCAGGCGCAAATCAGCGCAAGAGTCGAAGCGATATGAGAGGAGTTGTGCTTACTCGTGTGAACCTTTGCTATTTACGGACATCAAGCTCAAGCCAATTGTTAGTATCATGCTCAGCTGAACGCTGAGGATGGCCAGAATACGCCGTGACACCGGTAAACGATCCCATCGTGTCTTCGTCCTGGATAATCCATCCCATCTTGACCTTGGGAGGCTTGGTAGGGGCTTTCCAGAAATGCGCACGATTCCAATCGAAACGACCTCCTTCTCTTCATTGCCCGGTGAAAGGATCTTCCCACACGTGGTGTTTGACCGCTCGAGTGGAACAAGTTCTATCCCTTCCCCTACTTCGGCCGCAGAATAGTCACTTGGCGTTTCCTCCGTTCTGCTCCGGTGGCCGTTCACTGGAAATGTGGTGTGAATGCTGGGAAGTGCTTGATTCGGTATGCTCGCCAACGACCTGCGCGGGAGTCGCATGGATGGAGATGGGGTAGGGACCAATTAGAGGACGATGCATTAAAGAGATCGTAGATGACGGAATGAGCCAAAAGACTATTCTTGTCGTGATCTGTCCCACTGTCCAGCCGTGAGATCTATGAAAAGAACCAAATCACGACGAAGATAGTGACACCCGGACTGAAGGTCTTCCGAGCACTCTGAGCTATATGATGCTGGATCAAGCTCGTAACGGAAGGATTGCATATGCGGAGAGAGCCTCTAGCCGTCTCAACTGTGCTGTGCCGCTCCCTTGCTCTACGCCGCCGGCCAAGACCGAGGCGTGGCATTGGTGGTGGTAGCAAGCTTTCGCGTATTGAGAATACCGTTGTGGATCGCGGCTTCATGCTTTTGCGGCCTTTTTGCCTTTTGTGTCTGGATGACCAGAAAGTCCCGCAGCGGAGTTCAAAGAAGAGTGGAGAGGCGGAAACGATTGGTGTTTACGGTCATCTTCAGCGCGGATGTGGACCGTGCGCAGCCGCTGGTGATACCTCCACAACTTCTCTGATTGGACGGTGCTGATATCATCCTGCAACCTTGGTGCAAGGCACAAATCACCCGGCTTGCGATATTTGTTCGGATGGGTGCCGGGGACACATCGCTGCCTATCGTCGTTACTCCCTCAAGTTCGTACTATCGCATTTGGGAATTAATGGGCTAGAAGGTGGTCCCCGACCTCAAGCAACCGTATGCGCTGTGCTGTGAGAGCGGGGAACGGCCTCGGACGCGGAAGGTGTATGCAGTATGTTGCTCAACAGGGCAGTTCTTCTCAGTAGGGAGTGACCACAGGAGGTCCTGCTGCTGTTAGCTCGATCGCTTGTGGCCCGCCGCTTCGACGAGCGAGGCCGTGCGTTATCTATTGCAATATTGGCTACGAGATGTGAGATAGGTAGCGCTCAACGGTTCTTGGTCTTCTCGGTCGCAGCTTCGGTCGTTGCTTGAGGGACGGCATTGAGCTTCATGCGTGTGACAGGACATTAGCACGTCTCAACGAGTCCGGGTCCCATCTCTCAAACAACCGTGCCGTATGTTGTTTGATGACGATGTTGGCGAGGATCCAACGTCCTGGATATGGTTGCAGAGCATGATTGACGTGCGAAAGCTGTCGCAGAGCGTAGGCTCGAGGGCTTTGAAGATACGGGCGAAGTCCAGTTGGGCCCGCAAAGGGGGTAGAACTGTACCAAGAAGGGGCCTAGAAACGATGTTGAGACCGACGAGCAAACGTGATTATGAGAGAGAGGTGGTCTGGTGGTGTTGAAAGGAAGGTCCCAGACAGTTTCTCATGTTCCGAGGTTCTTAGGCAGGCATGTTAAGACCTTGCCGTATACAGCTAGCGTACTGATACCGGTAAGAAATCTCCAGCTCTTGCGCGGTCTGCTTCTTCGCACCTCCGTCTCTTCTGCAACACATAGCATTTCACAATTCAAAAGATCTTGGGGGCAAGTATGACATCTTCATTATTCTCTTCTGACGAGATGGCGTGGTTTAGCTTCATGGGTATCAAGACAACGCTGAGAGAAAAGCCTCTCACCGTCGGCGAAGTATCCCCAGAAGATAGCACCTTGAGTCTAGACGAAAGACTGGAGGCATCTACACCTCTCCGTCTGCCGTCTGCTCGCGGAGCTTCTGCATCCTTGCCTCTGCGTCCGCCGCAACCCACGTATGGTACTCTTCTTCTAGCTGGGACCGGTTTGGCTTCTTGCCGAAGACATTGACCATGTCAAGCACCTTGCGCTTCGGCCGGGGAACCGTGGGCGCCTCGGATTCGTCTCTGCATGGCTTGCAACGAGCATCGCGATCGGATTCCTTGCTCTGAGTATGGCATCGAACAGGGTCGTGGTGAAACCAGCATGACGGGCACTTGTCGAAGGCTCCGTCCGGGTTCCGGTAGATCTTCTTGTCGCCTTGAATGCGTCAGTGCTGGGGTTCGACTGTAAGAGGAAGATCATGCGGTATGGTGCACTTACATCGACAGCAGAGGTAGAATTTGATGTCGGAATCGGCGACCACGAGGGAGTCGCGCTGGCTTGTGGGATCTGATGTGCCTGGGGCCATTTGCACCGGTGACGGGCGCGGCGGTGAGATTTGGTGTCCGAATGAAGGTCGTCGGTCGCAAAATCAAGTCTGAGGTTGACAGCAGCTGCTCCGCGTGCGGATGGAGCTCTCGCGTTTGTCGATAGCGGGACGCTCCTTGGACGCGTCGTTTGAGTGAAAAAGCTTATCGAAGGAATACAGCTACGGCCTTAACACTGCTCACATTGACAGCCCACCTTCACTGTGAGTCTGCCGTATGAACGACCTGAGTGAAAGAGACGACATATAGTCAATGCAGGGGTATACCTGAGCAGGACCGCATCGCGAAGTAGATGAGGACTATGAGTAATGTCGCGTGGCAGTGCGTGGACCACGATGAGCCTAGAAGAAGACTAGCAGCTTTTCCGGGTGCAATTGCTCTTTTGTCCAAAGTTTAAGGAAAGAGCATTTCGCCAAATGAGGGAGTGCCGCGGCTGATCTCTTGCGGGCGAGGCTGCGACGCGGCCAATGCTTCGTCCTCGCGTGTACCGCGTCGGCGAGTTTGCCATGTAATCAACGAACATTCAGTATCGTTCGCATTCCGCTGGCCTCCACTCCAGCAACACGCGAAACGACACAGGCACAATGGCAACGCCAGCACCGCGCGGATTCGTCGTCGACGCGGAAGTCGACCCATTCGTGCCCGAGGCCGATAGCGACTTCTTCGACTACCGTATGTACACACACTCCCTTGCCCGATGCTCCGACACCACCTCTCGTTACATGTCACTGACCCCATCATTATATAGCTCCCTATGCCGTGTGCATTGGAAAGCACGCCAAAGATGCATTTTCCCCTCCCGCCGTTACCAAACGAGACCCCAGCACATACAAGGGCAAGTGGGCCCAGCGCGAATGGGGCGAATGGAGTGAGCTCATATCGGACACGGCTATCATGTACAAAGGTCAATATTACGCGCTCTGGGATATGGTTGAGGTGTCCGACCACAAGGTCCGCGTTCGGGGTCGTGGACGCAAGCGTAAGCGTACGATATACCATGTGCCGGCCTATGCTGTTATTGCCGAAATCCGCCCACCATTGTGTCTCTTTGTCTGGTTCTACACTAGGAAAGACGCGAAGCAGTTCCATATTTCTACCAAAAAGTGGCAAGCTGCGGCTGGTCCGGACCGCCTAATGCTCTCCGCGCACGCTGACATCTGCCCAATCTGCGATATCACTGGCCCGATGTCTAAGATCAAACGCGGAGAAGTACACTTGGACCATATCCTCCACTTCAACCCGCCTCAGGCTATTATGACGAACGATCTCTCCGACACGTGCTACATGCGGGCTCTTATTCGGCATGTCCAGGAGACGTCTACGGACTTGCAGGGCCCGGACGCTACCGAGCAGCCAAAACCGTCCGCGAGTCCCGCTAGAAAGTGCATCAAAATCAAAAAGGAAAAGCAGGACGAATAACCTAACAATCAACATCTTCTGAGAGTTCAACTACGCGTTTCGGAGAATCAGTTACGGCGCAGCTGTGACTCGTTGACATGACCGACTCTATTCTGTCAGAGAGACGGATATAGCAATGCAAGAAGGGTTCACAGGAGAGACGTGGAAGCCCGGCAACGCCGCCAAGCTGCTCGATCGTAGCTGAGGGGGCCAGAGAGAGACAGTAATTTCTATAGGTAAACATGCGTCTGTAAATGAGGGGCCACACGTCTAGAGGATGGGATGCCGTGATTCGAAGGTGGAGGTCGCCTTCAGGCCTTTCCCAATGCAGCCAATTAGCCGAGCACTAATAACGATTCCGATCTCCGCTCCGCTTGCATGCAGCCTCTGAGCCTCCAACCGTTCCCTTACTCATCTTCGAATGAGCTTGAGCACACATGTCAGCTATCTTTTAGTAGCACCGCCCGAATTGCGAACCAGAGATCGGCTGCTAAATGCGACCCTGGCCTCGTCAGTCGCCTCCAACACAGCCATGCTTCGACATGCCGCGAGCTTCTCAAATGACAAGTCAAGTCAAACGAAAGAGGCATTTGACATCTATGCCTCTTTTCCTTCCTTCTGATACATTCGCATATCAGGCTGCGTGCCCTGCCACGTTGCCTTACAGTTCGACATCAGCATGCAACATCAAGGCAGGCCGCCTCCCAGAATATGTTTCGTTTTTCCGATTGCCTACTAAGGCTGTTTCGGCCCCGCACTCTGAACACTCAGCTCGAAGCATTCGCCACAGGAAAGCTGCTGAAGAGCCCTAAGCGAGATTCAGCCGTCTAGAGTGCTCCGCCGTGTCGTGAGTATGCGGTACGCTCTCGCCTACAGCGCGTTAGTCTAGAATCCCAACTCCACGGAGGCGGAGGAGCCGAGCGGGTTGGGCGGTGATCAAGGCTGGAGGTTCGAGATGGCCATGGCTGAGCTGACTTAACAGGAAACATTTCAGCCCCAGGCCACTAGCCTCCTCTATGCTAAGCTTGCATCTGGCACCCCTCCGCGCGTCCACTATGGGATTTACTACACAGGTGGCGTGCATAAGCCTCAATTAGTCCTCTGCGCATTGGTCTATAGAAGGCTTCGCCTACACTAAACATTCTGCTGATGACCGGTCAGGTTGAAGGGCTAGCTGAAATCGGGCTGATATCATCAGTCAGCTCGAACGTAAGTGCCATCGCTGGAAGATTTGCGGACGTGCATATAACTATTTTCGACCCCCCGGATTTCTCATCAGCGATTACTTTCAATATCATTTCTTTTCGTCGCCCGAAGGAATCTCCAACTGCAACTTTCCGACTCCTTTCACGCGAAAGGAAATCGACGGCGAGCAACCACGCCGGCATCATGGCCTTCCTTCCTATTTTCCTGTCGAGCGCGCTTCTATCTGCTCTGTCGATATCCAATCTCGGCTTGATTTCGTCGATGGTCGGCTTTCTCCACAAGCAAAAGGATGACATTGGAACCTACCAAATAAATTGGCCCGGTAACACTGTGCAGCTGGTAGTGGAGCCACAGCATCTCTGGGTCGATCAGGGTCACACTAGCAATGGAGTCGCGGGATACGGTTTCTTTCTGGGGCTCTTCGGCCTGTATGTAGCATGGAGGCAGAGGAAACGGCAAGGAAGGGTATGTCTTCTCGTCCTCAGGGGTGGCTTTCTCTCTGACCTTTTAGCAGGCTCCTTCGAAGACGCTGCTCGCGCTCTTCATCCTCCAGCTCCTAGCTGTGCTCTTCACATTATCCGCCCTCATCTTCGTTTTCGTCGTCACCAACCAAACCAAAGGGCAGCACATCTCCGAGTCCATCGCACGATCGAATATCGCCTACCCTGCCGACAAGTGGACACCCGAAACCTGGTTCACAGCCGTGCTGGAACTTCCCATGGATGACCATCATCACCATGACAACATCCACTCGAAGGTCGTGAACATGCGCGCTTGGAGGTGGATGCTCATCCCAATCTTCCTCACCGACATCCTCGCGTTCGGGTTCACCACGGCGGAGCTGGCCCGGCAAAGGAAGGGTACGAAGCAGCCCGAATATTCTGCGGAAAAATAAAGGCATGCGCTTACTGCTCCTGCAGACCACGACGGCGACGCAGAGCAGAAAGTGCATCTGATGCCTTACAAGAGTCAGTTCATGAGTCCTCAGCCGAGTCCACGGCTAGAAGACAGTTACGGCCAACCTTATGCGGATAGTCTTCACCATCCTCGCCATCGTCGTTTAGAGAGCGGATCATAGCGTTTACTTTCAGATACCCTTCGTTTCTCCCTGCATTCGTCCGGCGTTCAGTCGCTCTTTGGGAAAGGAATAGGAAACCACATGGGATTTGTATGTCTCTTCTTGATAGCGCCTGACCTTGATTAGCGCGTAAATTATAGTATCGTAATGCTGCGCTTTTCAAAGATTTTTTTATACCTAAATGATCAAGAGAACCTCGTAATGCAGACTAGATGCCGTGTTGTAATAGCTCTGTGGTCTTCCTGCGTCCAAACGCTTAGAAGGAAATGGAGGTGTGAGAGTACTCCACGCCATCTGAAACAGTCCCGCGGCGCAGGGATCTATTCCGAGAAACGTATCAGTCGCAGTCGGGAAAATGACGTCCACATGCGATCCCAGCAGCGATTTTCGTCTCCGCGATTTGCATGTCACGCGTGCACCTACATGATGCCGGCGGAGGCATGGGACCAGCTCCCCACAATGATTTTGGTCGCCTGAACGATTTCAACCCAAGGTATAGCCCTGCTCTTAGATCATCATCTGGAAGCCCTTCAAGGCCCGTTGAGAAAATTCAACTTTGGTATTTCAGCTCGTCGATAAGCTCAACACAAGTCGTCGGGCGCACCCTTGCTTGCGGGATCGGGAACAACTCTTAGCGAGCACCCAACCTCGGCGCCTCAACCTCAGGCGAGAGTCGAAAAAAAGTACAAACCCCACCACTTATTCGACCTCCAAACTTCCCATCTCCTCACATATCCGCCTTCCTACCCCGGAATTTCCTCCCCTGCAGCTTCACAGTTCTAAGAGCAATAGATCTAGTGCCTCACGAAGCCCTACCCCATCGAATGCGCGCAACCGCTTGATCCCCGAGTACCGGCCGCAACCTCACAGCTCCACGACGACCGCAATGAGCTGGCTCCTCAACATCATGGCCGGCCCGCCGCTCCTGATAATATTCCTCCGCACCATCTCCATCATCCTGCCACGCAGGCTCGCGCAGCTTGCGTCCTTCGCCGCCTTTTTCCTCGCGTCCATGATCATGTTGGGCATCTGCGCCATGTACGGCGTCTTCGCCAGTATATTTCTGCGGATAATTGGATACGGGGGCCTTTCCCAGTGGACTGTGGCTCGCGCGTTCAAGTGGACAATGTGGCTGTCAACCGGCGTGTCTTTCGTTGTGACAGACAGCGGGAAGATCGAGGGCGGGCGCAGAGGTGGTGAGGAGGCATTGCAGACCCGGCCCGCCGTCTTCGTGGGCAACCATCAGACGTGAGTGCTCCTGTTATAATTTGGAATGAAACGCCCGCAGACATGACGCCTTTGGAGCGTTCAAGTCGAGCATCGGCCTACGAAGCTCTCGCAAAGCTACAAACAACCGTTTGGACCTGGAATCGAGAGCACGATACTAACGATACACCAGGGAACTCGACGTCCTCATGCTCGGCTGCGTCTTCCCCAAGTACATTTCCGTGACCGCAAAGAAGTCCCTCCAGTGGACGCCGGTCCTCGGCTGGTTCAGTGCGCTCTCCCTCACTCCCATGCCCGTATTACCCCGGCTAATCCCGTCTAGTGGCCCTGTCCAAGACCGTCTTCATCGACCGGGCGAACCGCACGACCGCGCGCGCAGCCTTCGACGGCGCCGCCAAGACCATGCACTCGGAGCGCCAATCCGTCTTCATCTTCCCCGAAGGCACGCGCTCCTACGCCGAGAAGCCCGAACTGCTGCCCTTCAAGAAGGGCGCCTTCCATCTCGCCATCCAGGCCCAGGTGCCCATCGTGCCCATCGTCACCGCCAACTACAGCCATGTGCTCAACGTCAAGAAGAAGATCTTCAACCCCGGCGCCGTGGACGTTAGCGTGCTGCCGCCGATTCCGACAAAGGGATTGACAACTGCGGACGTGGATGCGCTGGTGAAGAGGACGAGGGATGCTATGTTGGACGAGCTGATTCGGCTCTCGCATGTTTCGGGCACGGGGAATGGCGTGCCGCTTCCGAGGGCGTCGGGGAGAGACGAAGACGAGAAGGCTGAGCTGAGGAAGAGGTATTGATCTTGCATGGCGAGGCGTCGCGGGATGGGATTCGGAGTATGCGGCGTTCAGAACGGCACTATGGGAGATATCCATGGAGATGGTAGGACGGCGTTGTCTCGACTAGCATGTAGACTTGCAGCCCTGAGCAGCTTTGAGAGAAAACTCGGCATCGATAACTATATGTCGCAATGAAAGCATTTCCGTAGCTGGTACATCATGATGATGATGATGTTTTGATTTTCTCCGTCGTGACCGATGCTTCATCGATCCTAGATTCCCTTCTCCCTGCATCACCACCCACATACTTCCCACCTCCACAGGTTCAACGCCACACAACGCATCGCATACCCACACGCCTCCCTCCCACCAAAACCCACTCACTCACTCACTCACCCCGTTCTCCGCACTTATCTCGCTCCGCTTTCCTCCCCGCTCCCAGCGCCACCGCACGCCCTCAGCGCCGCCAGGCGTCCAGCTGCTTCTCCTCTACCCCAGCTCCCAGCATCTCTTTTGCTAGCGTGTCGCGGCCACCTTCTAATCCTCGCGCACTTCAACAGCTATTTCAACATCCAGAATCCCCACCCCCCGCCCCTCCACTCTTTCTCCAAGCCCAGCGCTTGCCTGTGCCTCGGATGGCCGGGCTGCGTGTGATCTGTACGTCGGTCAGGCAGTTGGGCTGGGCTGGCGATGATGCGTTGAGCATCGCAGCATCCCATGTATGAAGTGCGTCTTTGATTTGGACTGTACGGATTGCGCTGGACATGGTATGCTGCTTCATGGTGTTGTCGATATGCATGGGCTAGGTTGGGTTGGGTTGGGCTGCGTGATAGTCTTGTATTGTAGTCCTGCGGCTCCTTGCGCTCGTCGATCGACGGGCTGGCTGGCTGGCTGTAGAAAGGGGCGCCGCGAGCACGGAGAGCAGAGAGATGCTCGGGCTCTCGTAGAGCTCCAGCGCCTCTTGGCCCACTGGGGGTGGATGGGGCGGTTGGGCGTGGAGAGTAGGTAGCTGGAGGGAATGTGGACATGTGCTGTGCTGTGCTGGGCACTTGGGGTGTTGGACATGGCTTGCTTGCTTGAATTTGTGTCTGTGTCTGCTGGCGGGAGTGGCGAGATTTGTGGTGGGTTGGATAGATGGAGAGAAGTCTGCTTTTTTGATGCGTTTTGAGTGCCTGGCGAGAGCTGCGTGCTGCTTGCTTGTGCGTGCATGCGTGCATCACGTTGCCTTGCCTTGGGAAAGGTTCTCACTGAGCTGGTCTGGTCTGGTCTGGTCTGGTCTTTTCGTTTGCTAGATAGCTACCTGCATGGCTATGGCCTCGTGAGGGGGGTAGCTAATCTCTCTCTTTCTGTGTGATGTGCCGGAGGCAGGTCTGGGGAGCGGGGGGATTGAATAAGATCGCGGACGATATGGAGAGGGAAAGGAGAGTTTGAATAAAGCGTGGGTTGGGGTTGAAGATGCGGTGGGGGCCGTTGTAGAGGACGAATACTGGAGAGAAGAAGAATGATGGATTGATGGTTAGATTAGAATAGGCTGCAGGCGACGAGTTGAGCGAGCGACGCGCGCTATACTTTTTCCTTCACGACTTGTTACCGGTTGCTGGCTGGCGAAATGAGTTTTAAGCTGCATTTCCTGCGTTGGAAAGGAGACTCTCTTATGTGGTGTGCTGTCAATGCTCGTGAGGTATGCGTAGAGATTGAGAAAATGACTAGAGCCTGCATGCAGAACTTCTCCAACGGCGTTTGCAAACCGGTCACGCAGAACTCACATGACAGCCCTACAGCTCTCTCTCTCTCGAATTAGAACCCCCGTGCTTCTCTGTTCAAAGATAAGGAAAGGAAAGCATGCCGCCCTCCCCCTCGCCCCGTGACAAGCTCCCACGCACGCCGCTCCGTCACCGCGAGGTGCAGCAAACGCAAGCCCTCAGGTACAAAAGCTAAAGGTTTCCGGCGCAGTAGCTCAGTACCACCGCTTGGAGACAGGTAAGCGCCCTCCACTATGTCACCACCGAAGAAGAAGTCCCAGCCCAAGCCGGCTCCCAAGTCCACGGCGACGCGCGAGTACTACTCGGGCCAGGATCGACCGCTGGAAGGCGACGCGCATATCACTGCTCTGTCAGACTCCTCGCCGGAAAGAACGAAGAGCTTCCCCGCCTCTGGCTCGAAGACCACTGCCGCAGGTAAGGAGGATGACTTCGGCGTGGTGGCTGTCGACGAGGCGGAAGCGAGGGAGCAGGAGAAGGAGCGACGAGCCAGCCATCTCATTGTCGAGGAGGAGGATCTGGAGATTTCGCAAGCGATGATGGATCTGGACAGGGAGATGCGGCAGCAGGGGCTGAGCAATGAGGAGAGGGTGAAGCGGTTGGTGGAGTTGCGGGAGCAGATGGCGGGGAAGAAGCAGGAGGAGAGGGACAGGGAGATGAGGGAGAAGGGCAAGGAGTACGATAAGGAGTTCGATGAGATGGTGGGGAAGGGGAAGGGGAAGAAGATTTAGGAGATAGATGGGGAATTGGGGATACAGGTGGGGATAGATAGCTTGGCAGTGAATAGACACGGACGGCTCTAAGCCTAGGCTTAGGGCGTGCTCATTCCCAAACTGACCCTTGCGGACTAGGCGGAGAGTGGTGATGGAGTCGAATTGACGTTTGATGCAGTCACTTGAGTGGTGTATGGCAAACATCGCTGCGATGCTTCAACAAGCTCCCGGAGGATATAATTAAAGTTCGTAGTTTCCAGGTGGATGTAGGAGCTCATCGCTGCTCGCCAGAGCTAAACGGTAGCTAGTGGATATTTGGTGCGGGCTGGTTGTCCCGACCTGCATGGAGGTTGCGTATTGATGTGAATGAAGTCACTGTGCAGTTGTCGTACCAGAGTCCAAACGCACGGTGGAAGATCGAGACGAAGAATGAAGAAAAGGTGGGACCTAGACCGTCGTAAATTTAGCTCGATCCAATGCATCCCTCAGGCAATTCGCATCATCTTCCACATGCGTAACGAAATGCGAAACTTTCTTCTACTTCTTTCTCAGCCAGCATTGAAATCGCGCTGCTGCCTTGTCTCCTTAGGCCGAGCTAGACGCCATCTGCACGCGTCGTCACACCGCGTAAAGCACCTCGTATCAAAGCACGCAGTCACGGTATCAGGCGACACCGTGCCGGTTTCGTGTTCTGAGTCACTGGGCTAGGCGCGTCGCCAACCGAGCGCCACTGCGACGGTTCGGCCGTATCTCCAAAGAAACGCGAGAACATCGAGAGGGGTATAGAAGCCATTGAGACATATGGCTGAGGTCGATTAGTGATACGAGAGATTGAGGGGAATGCGGCGTTGGCCTGAGGGTGTATAAAGAGGGACAAAGAAGTCGGGCTGGGAACAGTCGTTTCTGAGCATCAGACCGTGATCTTGAGAAGCAATCTTCATCTTCCATCTCTTGTATGCTACTTTGCTGGTTTAGAGCCTCTTTTGCTGATACCACTGTTGACGGTCCCCTGCAGAAGCACCAACTTCACCGGCTGAGAGTAGTCATCCAAAGCGCCTCTCACACCAACATGTCCAACGAAGCGTCCGAGACTGGAGCCAAGATGCCGCCCACTCCGCAGGGCGCTCCTTGCTGGATTGAGATTCCGTCCGTGGAGCCAAAGAAGCTCAAGGCAAGTCCGCTCTCTTGATCGAGCGTCTGCAGCTGACGATGCAAAGGAATTCTATGCTGCCCTCTTTCCCGCGTGGAACTTCAGGAGTGCGGCTGAGGAGGATCCTGTGGTCCACTATACCTTCGCGCAGCCATCTGGTAAGTGATGTTTTTCTCTCTCCATTGTGTCCGGGATAGGGCTAAGGAAAGACAGGCCTCTCCGGAGGGATAATTAAGTTGCCGGAGGGCTGCACTCGCAGCGAGCATCCGATGGGCGTCGTAAGTGTTGCGTCCTCTGCCGAGTGACGTAGCGTGTGAGCTGACTGATGGGGAAGGGCTTCACCGTCTATTACTTCGTGGAGTCCGTTGATGAGGTATGTTGAAGAAGCGCTCTTGCTTCCTAAAGGTATGCTAACGTGCTATGTTCAGATTGAGAAGAAGATCTCTGAGCTCGGCGGTAAGAAGGTCTTGGACAAGACGGCTGAGCGGACCCATGGATGGTTTGCCAATTATGTTGACCCGGAGGGCAACAGGTTCGGCGTGTTTGAGGTCAATCAGGCAGATTCTGGGGCTATGTGAAGGTCATTAGTAGTAGGACTGCCCATGTGTGTATCGGCTGGGCGTGCGGGTCTGGATTGCTCGTTGTGCGCTGATGTGTGATGCGAGAGGACGGGCTTGGGTGTTTGCCGTTCAGATATGCAACAAATTGAGTCCAGCTATACTTTGCCGATGCGCCCCTCCCTTCATTCAACGTCATCTGTGAAGAATTGCGACAGTGGGCCGAAGGATGGTGATGCACGGAAGGCGGAAGATCCCCGCCAGATCTCATCCAGGATTGCCTTTCCCAAAGCGTGCACCAAGTCCGTGTCAAACAGCCTTCTCAGCGCCCTCGGATCCTTCAATATCCAGCAAAGGGTATTAATCTGCGCGTAGTTGCATATCTCTTTAACGCTCACAGCCCTCGCCTCTAAAAAGCACGGAATTCACTGCCTTTCCCAGGTGTTGAGTTGGGCCCTGCCGAGCCTCGGCATAGCAGCCAATCAGCGATCCCGGCGCCGCGGTGGTGGTTCGATGATCGGGTGGGAATTTTTTGGTGAGCACCGACCAAAAGCCGAAGAAGCACCTCTAACATACCCCACAGCCCCGACATCGTTCCGCACTCTGCGACCGTATATTTTGAGCGCGGGGCCCCAATTGGCACTGGAAGCACGCTGATATCAACCGCTTGATTGCTGTCGCGGCTTCCGCTCCTCCTCGAAAATGGTGTCTCCTACGGGCCCCGAAATGGTGCAGGGAGTCTACATCCCCTCCGCGCTGCTCCTGGTGGGAACGGCGATTGTGAAGAAGGAATGGCTACCATTCGCTGTGGTGCTCGCCGCGGTGTTGGGAGGCTGGAAGGTCTTCAGCAATGGTATGGAATCCTCGTCTGTCTTGCCTTAGGCGTCGCATCTGACACTCCTCTAGCTCCCCGCAAAGTGCTCAAGCCCAACGACTTCCAGCAATTCGAGCTGAAGGAGAAGACGATCCTCTCACATAATACCGCAATGTACGCCCCTCGCGATAACTAAGTTCAAGCCCAGATCTGACAACTCCCAGCTACCGCTTCAAGCTCCCGCGAGCCACCGACATCCTCGGCCTCCCCATCGGCCAGCACATCTCCCTCGCCGCCACCATAGCCGGCCAGCCGAAAGAAGTCGTCCGCTCCTACACCCCGATATCCTCCGACGAAGACAAGGGTTACTTCGACCTCCTCATCAAATCATACCCCACCGGCAACATCTCCAAGCATGTCGCGGGACTCATGGTCGGCCAGACAATGAAGGTCAAGGGACCCAAGGGCGCTATGGTATATAACCCGAATATGGTCAGGCATTTTGGCATGATTGCTGGGGGTACTGGCATCACGCCCATGCTGCAGATTATCAAGGCCATTATCCGCGGACGAGAGGCGGGCGATGCAACCGAGGTGGATCTGCTTTTCGCAAACGTCAACCCGGAAGACATCCTGCTGAAGGAGGACCTGGATACACTTGCAGCGAAGGATCCTAAGTTCAGGGTGCACTACGTGCTCAACAACCCGCCTGACAAGTGGGACGGCGGCGTTGGCTTCGTTACAGCTGACCTGATTAAGACGAAGCTTCCTGCTCCTGCGAAGGACGTCAAGATCCTCGTTTGCGGTCCTCCGCCTATGGTCTCTGCTATGAAGAAGGCAACTGAGAGCCTGGGCTATACAAAGGCACGCCCCGTCAGCAAGCTCGAGGACCAGGTCTTCTGCTTCTAAGCGTTAGGCAGTTGTGGCGAACTGAGAAGGAGATCTGGGGTTCCCGCTTCGGCTGTAAAGAGATAAAGAGGTGCCCTCAAATCATATGTCGACGGCATAAAACTTAGACTTCTGGTACGTTTGGTTTGCTACGGTAAAGGCTGCATGGAATGCGCCGGTTCCAGCATCATAGCGAAATACCATTTATAATTCATGAAATGTATTCCCAATTACTCCAGGCCCTTTTCCGATGAACGCCCGTTCAGCCCGGAACACCGCCCCACGCTGTTCTTCCCTCTCGGAACCTACTGCGGAAACATTCCGCCATCCACCGCGATGACCTTATTCGTCACATACGACGTCTTGATCATCCACAGCACCGTCTCAGCAACCTCATCCGGAGTACCCAGCCTCCCAACTGGAATTTCTACACCAACATTAGCAATTGAGCATCCAGGCTTCGCGACTAAAATGCACGTACTCTGCGCAAGCTCCTCCGAAGTCCCCGGCAGCATCTTCGTCTGCTCAATCAACGCAGGCGCCACCCCATTCACCGTCACCCCCTTCCTTGCATATGTCATCGCCAGCCAGTGAATCAGCCCATGCAGCGCGCTCTTCGAGCTCGCATAGTGCGGTCCGATGATGCCGCCCGTGATGCCAGCAACGCTGCTGATGAACACAACCCGGCCCCAGCCCTCGCCTTCCATGGCCGGCATGCACAGCTGGGTTAGCAGGTACGCGGAGCCGCAGTTGATGCGCCACGTGCGCTCGAAGTCCTCGATGGGCACGGCGTCGACGCTGTCGACGCCTGATTTCGCGGCGTATGTGCCTGCGTTGTTGACCAGGATGTTGGGCGGCCCCAGGAGCGAGACGATGTGCTCGTGCAGTTCGCGCACCTTGTTTTTATATCAGCTGGTGCTTCTGCTCCTGCCTCGTGAATCACGAATCATGAATCATCCGTCCTGAATGCGACGCTTCTCCTACGTCCTCAATCCCAAAGATATATCTCTTGCAGCAACACGCAACACGCAACAGCTGCTTTGAAAACTCTAAGGAAAAAAGATAGTACGAGTATCCGGTCCACGCACCTCATCGTAGTTCCCCAGATCCGCCCCATAGCACACGAACTTGCTCCCGAACACCGACACGTAGTCCTCCTTGAACTCCTCCAGCAGCGCCAGCGCAGCGTCCTGGTCCCACGCGTAGTGGATCCCGAGCGAGCAGCCCAACGCGGCGAGCTGGCGGCAAATGGCGGTGCCAATGCCGCCCGTCGCGCCGGTCACGAGGGCGATCTTGCCGCTGAGCGGGCCTTTGGCGTGGTCCATTGGGGGTTGGTTGGGGGTGGGTGTGCAGTGGGTGGGTGAGGCTGGGGGTTCAAGTAGTGGGTGAGGCTGGAGATGCGGCGGGGGCTGGGGTTAGTATGTACTTTGTTTGTTTGGTTGGTAGTGCTGGTTGGTGGTTCGATGGAGGTCACTTGATCTGATGCGATTGCGGGGTGGAGTGAGGGAAGGTTTAGCCGAGTGCGTGATAGGAGCTTCCCCGCTTTGATTGGCGGTTTGAGGGCTGGAAGGGGATGGCGTGCGGCGATATCTTACTGTCACGTGGAGAGAAGTATAAGGCGTTCATGCGACGTGGGTTGGCTTGGAGTCAGCAATTCTGACTCTGCTTGAGGCGGTTTTGTCGAAGTGGATTGTTTGAAGACGGCGACGTCGGGCTTCTGACGTCATACGAACTGGCTGGAGGAGTCTCGTATATCAATCCATTAGGACGAGCGAGCAATCGAGTCCCATACACCTTTGTAGTGGTTCTAAAGAGAAACTTTGGAAGGAATCTGGTGTATCGTGAACCCAAGCCAACATGGCCCATCTCACGCGGGAAGAAGTGCTTCGGACGGGCGCGCCCGCCCCAGAATACCGAAAGGTGAACATGTCCCTACCGCACGCCTCATTTATCAAGCAATCCCCCTTCCCATCCGCTAATCTTCCATACCCATCCATACTTACTAACATCTACCAGGCCTATGAAGCGCGCCCCATAGACCTCCAGGGGAAAAACATCTTCGAGACCCGCGCCAACCGCGCAGCGCACCTCCAGAAACTACGCCATCTGTATCCGATCCCGGGTCCTATTCCTGATGAAGTTGTCGAGACGATGCATGATGTGCCCACACGAGATGGCTCGTCTATCCGTGTCAGGGTCTATCAGCCTGTGAGGGGCCCGCCGGATGGAGGAAGCCCGCTGGTTATGATGTATCATGAGGGAGGGTGGAGCATGGGCGATCTTACGGATGAGGATCTGAATTGTAGGATGTTTGCGCGGGATTTGGGATGCGTTTGTGTGAATGTAGAGTACCGGTATATATGCAGCACGCCGCACTCTTGGTCACAGGTCACATAAGGGACTAACTGCCAGCAGACTCGCCCCCGAGCACAAATTCCCCACCGGCGTAAACGACTGCTGGGACGCCCTCAAATGGGCAACCGCCAACGCCCCAACCCTCAAAGCAACACCCACGCGCGGCCTCATCGTCGGCGGCGCCTCAGCCGGCGGCAACATCGCCGCCGTCCTTGCCCTCCACTCCCGCGACACCCACCTCTCGCCCCCCATAACCGGGCAATATCTCTGTGTCCCCGCGCTGCTCCCGCACGAAAAGGTCCCCGCGCGCTTCGCCCACCTCTACAAGTCGCGCTTCGAAAGCACATCCGATCCCGTGCTCAAGCGCCTCAATGCGTCCGCTATCGTTGAGATCTACGGCCCGGATAGCAATTCGCCGCTCTGGGACCCGTTTAATCATCCTAAGGGCCATGCGGGCGCGCCGAAGGCTTTTTTTCAGGTTGGCGGGCTGGATCCGCTGAGGGATGAGGCGGTGCTGTATGATCGGGTGTTGAGGGAGAGTGGGGTGTTGACGAGGTTTGAGTTGTATGGTGGGTATGGGCATATGTGGTGGACTAATTATCCGACGCTGGACAGTAGTAAGAGGTTTGTGGAGGATACGTTGAGGGGGATGAAGTGGCTGCTTGAGGATTGAGAGCGGTGGGGCGGGTATTAGTCCCTGGGGTAGAGGAAAACAGAGAGTTTTGCTGCAGACCGTATCTGCAGAAGAGTGACTCGGTAGATCGGGTAGCGGCAGACAAGTGAGCTCCTATTTCAGTCTCAAATCGGCACGGCGTAGTTTTGAGTCCGGGCTTCTGGGTCTAGCGCTCCCATTGCTTCAAGCTTCCAAATATGCCACCTCCTAGACTACTGACTGAATCTCAAACGCGGTACTGCGGCATAGCACAGGAGGCACAGCACACCCAAGCTGACTTGGTATTCCGGATGAATCGACGTCGCTGTGCCGCATCCAAAGGCGCTCGACAACATGAATCCGCCTTAAAACCATATCAAGCCACCTCCCCCGCGCACCTTCCTTGGAGTTCAGCTTTCTCTTTCCTCCTACATCATGGCGTCGGACGGCCAATCCGAACTTTTGAGGCTCGCCCAAGAAGTCCACAACCTCACCTCCTCCCTCGTCACCCATCTTTCCCAATCCAACCTCCCCGAACCCAACTTCACGCCCTCCTCCCCCGAAATCCCCCACTCGTCGACCTACAAAGCGCTCCGTGCCCAGCTAAACGACGCCGCCTCTGACCTTCTCCTGCTCGTGAACGGCCCGCGCATCGAAGCCTGCAGATTCGTGTGCTCGCACAACGACCTCGGAGCCTACCAGCTCGCCTTCGAGTTCGACCTCATCCGCAAGATCCCCCAGGAAGGCAGTATCAGCCTGGCCGAACTGTCCGGGCAAACCGGGGTCGATGAAGATCGCCTTGGACGCATCCTACATCTGCTGTGCAGCAGGCGGCTGTTCGCGGAGCCGGAACCTAACCGCTTCGCGCACACGAGCATGACGGTTATCTACGCGCGCGACGAGAATGTCAGAGCTGCAGGGGCGTACCAGTTGGACGAGCAGATGAAGGGCTCGGTGGAAGCGGCGCGGAGTTTTCAGGAGGGGGCGAAGAGTGCGTTTGAGCAGAGGCATGGCGGGCCGATGTTTGAGTATTATCAGAGGTTTCCTGAGAAGGGGGCGAGGTTTGCTTCGGCTATGAGGGGGATTAGCAAGTGTGAGTTTGTCTGGAGGCGGTTTTTGACTGGTGGGAGAGAGAGAGGGAGATTGACTGACTGACTGGTGCAGTGCATAGGCAGATCACTGAGCTGGAGAATGGGTATGCGTGGGGTGATTTGAAGGACAAGAAGTTGGTTGATATAGGCGGAGGTAGTGGGCATGTGAGCATTGCGCTTGCGCGGGTGAGTAATGCGCTCCTTTGCATATATGCTTTTATCTTCTCTACCATTCTCAATGGCTTGATCACAGAAAACTGACCAACCAGCCAGGCCTTCCCCAACCTGCACGTCGTGGTACAAGACAGCAACGCCGCCATGCTCCAGCAAGCCCAAGCCACCCAAGACCTCAGCGACATCAAGTCCCGCATCTCCTTCGCCGAGTACGACTTCTTCACGCCCCAGCCCATCGCCAACGCAGGCGCGTATCTCCTGCGCCAGGTGCTCCACAACTGGGGCGGCGACGACTGCGTCCGCATCCTCCAATCCATTATACCAGCCCTGGAGAAAAGCGCCCCGGGCACGCCGCTCCTTATCAACGATAGCATTATCCCCGCGCCGGGCACGACGACGCGGTTTGAGGAGCATGTTATTAGGCAGATTGATGTGTTGATGATGTTTTCGCTCGGGGCGAAACAACGGACTGAGGCGGAGTTCCGGCGGTTGCTGGAGAGAGCGGATTCGAGGTTTGAGGTATGCTGCATGATTCGAGCCACCGTGTAATTGATCTTGCTAATTGCTTTTCGTGCAGATTGTGAGAGTCCATATGGGGCCGATGGCTTTGCTCGAAGTCCATCTCAAGACATAGGGCAGGCCGGTAGTAATGTGTGAACAGCTGAATGGCGATGGTTCTGCTCTCTGTGGGGGTTGTAGAGTGGCTGCGGCACTACGCGTAATAGAAGACCTAGGTCGGACTCACAAATTCGTCCGCAGACAGCTCTATCCTACAGGGGACGAAATTGTTCTCATTCTCATTCTCATAACACTGGGTTGGGTTTCCAGTCAGGATCCGTCTTCAGCGACTCTGCAGTCTCCTTATACACGTCGTACGCATGCTTCTCACAATCAAAGTTCAGTATCCAGTCCAACCGCGGCAGCTTCACGCTCTCCGGGTTCTTCCGCACGTAGTCAAAATCCGCCTTGTGCCATGCATCGCGGTTCGTAACGCCTGTTCTCTGCGTTGCTAGCACGCGCGGGTATCGTATCTTCTCGTACGCGCGAATCGCTTCGGGCACGTTGTCCTTGCCCGCGAGTTCAAGACAGACGGCGGCTGTCACGCCGTCTTCCATGGATTGCGAGGCGCCTTGGATGGAGGTCGGTAGGAAGGGGTGCGCGGCATCGCCAATGAGTGCGATGCGTCGCTTGGGGCCTATCCAGGTAGGGAGAGGGTCGCGGAAGACGAGCTTCCAGTCCACGAGACGGTCTTCGGGCGTCGCCCGGATAATGGCGTGGCAGATGGGTGCCCAGTTGGGGATGGCTTTCACGGCTTCCTCGATGTAGCCTGGCGCGGACCAGCTTTCTTCTACGTCGGCTTCGTCCTATCTCAAGTTAGCCGGTCGGGCTCTGCAAAAGAACACATGAGGATCCGTACCTTGTGCGTCAGGACCCAGCTCATAGCGGTCCCATTCTGCAGCGTCGCAACGAGGAAGTGGACATCCGGACCCAGCCATCCGACATGGTGGTCGGTGTTCGGATCGGCTAACCACGCAGTCAAAGGATCCTCCTTCAACTTCTCGGTCCCCATCCACGCCCTGTACACCGCATACCCGGAGCTCTTCGGCTTATCTTCGAAGCCCAGCACGATCGTCCTCGCCAGACTCCTCACTCCGTCTCCGGCGAGCACCACATCGCCCGCGATTTTCTCCCCATTGACCACAACGCCGGCTTCCGTGTCCGTCTCGAAGTACTCTTGCACCTTGGAGCTCAGTCGGATGTCCACGCCTACGCTCAACGCATGGTCCCACACCACCCCGTGGATCTCCCCACGATGGCCGTTGAAGCGCTTCCCCCATTCCGCCTCCGCATCCCACACCTGCCGGCACAGAAACTCATCGTCGTAGGTGCGGAAGTCGAGACCTGATCAGAGTATCAGTTCCCCATGAAAGCTGTGATACGAAAAGTTGTCATTTACGAACCGTCAGAATGGTGGCACTTGGGGTCCAGCTTCTCCTCGACGCCCGGCCATGAGCGGAAGATGCGCCCGCTGTTCGAGCCGAAGGAGATGATGTCGCCGAGCTGCCGACGCGAGCTGTTGCCTTCGAAAAGAATCACGTCGAAGCCTCGCTTGCGGCATTCGATGGCGGCCGTGAGCCCCGCGAAGCCGGCGCCCACGATGAGGACTTTGAGAGGCCTGCTGGAGTCTTCCACGGAGCTCATGCTGGGAGAGGAAACTGGACGGGGGGCGAGATGTGTGACAAGCGCTTTTTGGAACTGCGTGTTGCGTTTATTAACCCCGCGCTTTTATCCTGGGACGATGCTGTGGATGACCTGGTTCGGGAAGATGATCTGCTGCATGCAACGAAGGGTAATCCGACATTGATCCATGGTCAATGCCGAGTACATATAGCTATACGATCTGAATGGCCCCAGAGCAGTCGGCTGAGTGGTCGTCCGATGCTTGTGGAGGTGTGGAGGCGCGGTCGTCCCTGCCCAGACTGCCCCGCGCAATTGCCGAACGCGTCGGCTATTATCACTCCGACTATGCTAGCGACCACAACCAGACATGATATTGAAGAATCATGAAACCCATTCAATTCTCTATACATAGTTCGTTTGGAGGCTTCTCAGTATGACAGCATAGCCGACAAGACTTCAGCGAGTCGTTCTGTTCTGCCCACACCGGCCCTTCATGGCGGACGAACCTCCTCCCGCCCTGCGTCTACCCCACATCGCCATCGCGACGCAACGCGGAAAAGGGCGCCGCCATCTCAGCCCGTAGCGCGTCTGCGCAACTGCCGAGCGTCACGTTGAGCTCGGCTCGGTCGCCGGACGTCTATGCGCCCGCGTGAAGAAATGTGTAAGTTGCAGCATCTCCCCTGGGTTCTTTCGTCCAGTCTCGTATCGTTCCCCAACTCACAACATGGCTCTAGAATCAATCCTCCACTGGCCGCCGTACGTGTGGCTATCACTCCTCCTCGCCATCCCCGCCGTTACGCTCCTCCATGATGTCTGGGTATGGATGAGGATGCCCCCCGGCCCGACCCCGCTTCCGTTCGTTGGCAACAAGCTGCAGCTGCCGAAATCGCGGCCGTGGATACAGTTCCAGAAGTGGTCGAAGGCCTATGGACCTATCTACACCATATGGATTGGCAGGAAGCCGACCGTGATCGTCTCCGATCCCGTCGTTGCGGTCGACCTGATGGAGAAGAGGAGCACCAAATACTCCTCGAGACCGCGCATGGTCGCCATGGGAGAGATCCTGTGGGACGGGGCTACCGTGCTGGTGCAGCCATATGGCAAGGAGTGGACAGTTCGACGGAAGCTGCTGCACCAAGCTTTGACTCCCAAGGCGCTCAGACTGTACAAGCCTGTGCAGACCGCGGAAGCGTCGCGACTGTGCTACCAGCTTCTCCAAACCCCGGCCGACTGGGAGAAGCTACTGGAGCGGTTTACCTCGAGCATTGTTTTCTCCGTCGCCTACGGCCACCGCATCGATTCTCTGAACGCCGAGGTCATCCACCAGAGATTCAAATTGATGCATTATTCAGCATCCTTGAACGTACCGGGCAAATACATGGTTGAATCCTTCCCGATCCTAAAGCATGTTCCGGATGCCCTTGCCCCCTGGAAAGCTGAGATCAAGGCCCACGGAAGGGAAGAGGCGGCCGCGAACATGGCCCTGGTCGACGTTGTACGCTCCGATATTGCTCGAGCCAAGACCCGCGGCGATGACATCCCCGACTCCCTATGCAAGCTTCTTCTGGAGCTGCGAGAGAAGGAGCACATTCCCCTATCAGAGCGTGACTTCTCTTTCATCCCAGCGTCTCTCTTTGGTGCCGGCTCAGATACCACCGCATCTACGCTCTGTACGGCCTTCCTCGCTTTGACTACGCATCCGGAGACTCTACATGCCGCACATGAGGAGCTAGACGCCATTATTGGGAATTCGAGGACCCCTACCTTCGACGACGAATCCCGTTTGCCGTATCTCCGCGCCCTGGTCAAGGAAGTGTTGCGCTGGCGTCCGGTCGCCGTGCTTGGAGGGACACCGCATGCTTCCACGGAAGACGACTACTATGAAGGCTACTACATCCCCGCCGGCACCACTATTCTCGGGAACTCGTGGGCTATCAACCTCAATGAGGAGTACTATCCCAATCCCCATCACTTCAATCCCGCCCGATTTCTCGATACCGTTCTTGCCGAGAAGGCGAAATCGCCAACGCCCGAATCTGGCAAGCCGCACCCAGCCAAATCAGGCCACTCATCCTTTGGATGGGGAAGAAGGATCTGTCCGGGCGCCGACCTGGCTGCGAATAGTCTGTTCATAGCGCTCTCGAAGCTTCTGTGGGCTTTTGATATTCTGCCGCTGAAGGGCGTCAGATACGATATATTTGCATATACCGAGGGTTTCAATATCCGTCCGAGGAAGTTCGAGTGTGAGATCAGAGTTAGGAGTGAGGCGCACAGGGAGGTTCTGGAGAGAGAGCTGAAGGAGGCGGAAGCGGTTTTGGAGAGGTTCACACCGTTTGGCGAGTAGACGCTTCGTCTAGAGATTTAGCAGGTACGCACATAAGAATCGATACGTTTCAGGCTTTGCTGATGGGTGCCGTACGAGGCTGTTTAGCGTGCGGTTCGCACTGACTTCCCCAATGCGTCATGATCGAAATTAGCATTCTTCCGAAGGCCTTTACTCAAGGTAAATGCCAGCTGTTAGTGCTTACGAGATGAAGTAACCCCCTCAGCTATGAATAAGCACTGCTTAGTTAGCCACTGTCCGCCTAATGCCTGCTGGTCTAACGAGAGATTATGGGTCTTTGACACTCGGAACCGCGAGTAGAGTCGATCGTCGGATATCCGGAGAACAGGACGCAGTGGGAGAGTTCTACATATCTATTCGGTATTCCGCTTCACGACTGATACCCCGGACCAATATGAACCTTGCAGTTCTAGACCTCGTTGGTGGGTTTTGTTTTGGAATCGTTCTTAGGACCCTGCGGCATAGTGACGGATCGTGCTCATGTTTGTGTCTGACTCGCATAGACTACACCGACTACACCGCTGTCTATCACGGCTACAGCTGGCCACCACATAGAAAGAGCTACGCCATATTCTGTACACTTGGAGGTCCTCGAGTGTATTGTCCTCATATCTCCGCCTTCCCGCGCGGGTGAGGCACAGCTTACTTCGACCAACATGTCCCGCTCGTGCAACCTTGGACAACATTGCACCTACCGTTGAAACGGCGCAGTCCGTTATTAGCGGCTCGACTACCCGAAAGTTGATTCCTCTCTCCTCTTGTCTCACCTTTACCTTCGTCCACCGTCTCTCCTCACTCACACTATATTTATCACATCTTGAACTCCAAAACTCGGGCCCAAAAGGTCTAACCTTTGCACCACCTTGGACTACTGCGCACCTCTCATCTGCAAGTCTAAAGCTTGTGAACTTTACACTACACCTACCACCGACAGCGACATATCATAATGGCAGCAAACACCAACACCAAGACGCCCAACCAAGCCAATCCCTTCTCCCTCCCGCCACGCTACGAGATCCGCAAGCTCGGCCCCGAGCACTTCCCATGGGCCAACGCCATCGTCGTCCACAGCAACCTCTTCCACTCCCCGGTCTGGCCGAACCTCTACCCGGACAAGCTCACCGAGCGCGCCCACGCCGCCTACGAAGCCGGCGAGTATCTCTGGATGCATCAGATCAACAGCGGCATGTCCTTCGGCGTCTTCGACACCGCGTACACGTTCAAGTGCGCCGAGAGCAAGGCCGCAGGCGGCAAGCTGTACTGGGACAAGCGTGAGCCGGGCATCCAAGACACCCAGGGACTGAAGGCCGAGGGAATGCGACTGCTTGAGCAGATGGACTTCCCGCTCGTCAGCGTCGCGCTGGCCTACGACGCCGCAAACCCGCTCGACATGGAGAAAATGGGCCCGCTGATGGCGGCCATCCCGCACTTTGGCCTCCTGTACCACATTCTCGCCACGCGCGACACGCGGGACCCCGCCTCCTGGCAGCCCAAGGCGCACGGCGAGGTGCTCCTCCGCAACGCGACGTCAACGCGTCACGACTACGAGGGCGAGGGGTTGATGGCTGGACTGGCGCGCTGGCTGATGCGCGAGTCGGACGCGAGGGGCTACCGCGGCATTCAGATCGAGTGTGTGAACGATGCGGTGGACCATGTCTGGTCGAAACCGCCGAGCCCGTACGAGGGCATCTTGGTCAGCGAGTTCCACACGGGGACCTGGAAGGATGAGGAGGGCAATTTGGCGTTCGCGCCGACGTCGCAGCGGGTCACTAAGGTGTACGTGGACCTGAAGCCGAAGGCTTGAGGAGTGTGTGAGGGTTTGTGGAGTGCGGCGATGCTCGAGGCATGCAATGGGAAGGGTGGGTTGGACTACTCGAATGCTCTCCTCTCGTTGGGCGAAATGGTCTAACAGCCCTCACAAATTTAGCAATAGGATTCCGATGCACCAATGAAATCAAAACCCGCTACCAACATACCCTATCGCATTCATCGTAAAAATGCCATCACAGCGATAGTAGTCGCACAATTACATACACGGCTAGCCCACATTCCATTGCGCAGTAAGTGGCGCGAAACCACGTCTCAAAACCCGAGCCCTCGTACCACAACTCTCCGCCGCCTTCTCCATCCGGTTACCCACCCAAGACACGCCGAGCCCATCCGTACCTGGCTCGTCCACGAATAGCAAGGCCATGACGCTCGAACACGAGGCGATCTGCAAGGAAGACCGCAGATCGGGATATAACGCGGGAGGAGCCGCGTGTGGGAATACGGATGCGGTTGGAAACGACCTTCCTTGTTTCAAGACCGTGCTGGTATCGGGGACGATTATTCGAACAGGATGGGGAGATTGAGCGCCTTGGTTGCCTGCGCCGAGAACGCGTGGTACTGTTGGATACCTATACGGGGGCGCCGAGCGAGCTATACGGAGCCGTTGACCTCATCTCTACGGAGGCGGTGATGAAACGGTTGGGGCGAGTGCATCGGCGTAGGCAGGCTGTGCTCTTTGGACTGGACTGGCTCGTATTGTTTGGGTATAAAGACGCTGCATCATTCCAATCTGTGAGTGCTTCCACGCTTGAGATTACCCCGTAGTTTTGCATTGAATCGTCTCAAGCACTCTCACTATGCAACTCCACTCCATCTTCCTCACGCTCCTTGCCTTGAAAGGCGTCAAAGCAGCTGTGGACGAGCCTTGCTACGGCGCGAATGGAGTAGCCGGTCAGTTCAGTCACTCTCCACACAACCATCCTTTTCCATAGCAAACAAACAAACATGCCCTCGCTCACACCAGCAAAACAAACAGGCGTCTGTCTCTCCTCCTCAGCCTGCTCCGCCTCGGGCGGCACCAGCATCAGCGGCGCCTGCCCCGCCGACCCCGCCGACGTAAAGTGCTGCAGCAAGCCGTCCTGCGGCTCCAGCCCTGGCAACTGCCGCTGGAGCAGCGACTGCGCCGGCAGCTCGCTGTCGAACCTCTGCCCCGGCCCCGGCGGCTTCAAGTGTTGCCAGTCCAGCGCGCAAGGCTTTGGTGGCTACGCCGCGCCCGCAATCCCCGCCGTTGGATCTTGCACGCAGACGGCCGTTGATGGCGCGAAGAAAATCGTTGCTGCGTTCCCGGGACGCGTGCGCCAGGTATATTGTATCCGCGACTGTGCGTGCGGATCTGGCAGTGATCATTGCTGCGGGAAGGCGACGGATATGATGTGCTCAGATGCCGGTGGTGTATGTCCTGCCCTACATGCTAACCCCCTTGCCTTCCTTCCTTCCTTCCCTCTCCGCTGTTCTCTGCAGAGCGCTTGAACTAACACTCCGCTACTCTCTCCAGACGCCCACCATCTCCGGCCGCGAGATCGCAGAGTGGGTCATGAACAACCGGGGCTCGCTGAACCTCAAGTATGTCATCTGGGGCCAGCGCATCTGGAACCCCTCGCAGGACGGCGTCAAGGCCTGGACGTCGTGGAGGGCGATGGAGGATAGGGGTGATGTGACGCAGAACCACTGGTGAGTTGAGACTTCGAGGCCTGCGGCGAGAGAAGTGTTGGATTGAGCTGACGGTTATGTGTAGGGATCATGTGCATGTTAGTTATAACTAAGTGGAAGGGGATAGGGGAGGGGTAGTAGCGGATGTGGTCGTGGAGCTAGGTTTGAAGCAACGCGGTTATGTTTTATGAAATAGTTGTTGACTTACGTAGCTGCTGCAGAGTATAGACACTCCTTTATGGCTGTGACTCCCGATCGCGGCTATTCTCCATACCATCATCGCGCTCTTCAATACCTGGAAGCACGCACATATCACTGTCCTCGGACCCATTATCGTGTGCACGCTACCGGTCGCTTTAGCCCGCCGTCAGTACTCTACGAAAGCGTTGAACGGCTTCGGTGGTATAAACCGTCGCCTCACTGAGATTTCCGTTGCTACGCCGCACCATGTGCTCAGTCAATCGGTGATTCGAAGGTATGACTACGCAGGTGACCTACTCAGAGTCAGCCATCAGTTATAATCACTCAACTGCTTCCTTTACACACCGAGGCGCAGAGACTCCGTTTCCGAAGACTGCTGCATGTTCTCGTAGACGGGCATTAAACAACTTCTCGATCGCGTCCTCCCAACCTCTCATCTTTCATACTCTTCTCGCGCAATCGCACACTTGCTAAAATCCGATGGAATCAGAAACACAGTTTCTTTTGTGTCGCCTCACACATCACGGTTCGTGCTTCCAGGGCATCCGTTCCCACTGACTGTATAAGATGCGTAGCATAGCACTCACACCCCGACTCTTCCTCCTCCGCGAGCGACCCGGCCATAACTCTCAAATGACGCTTCCAATGGCTCTGAGCCATAGCGTACGCAAAGGGTATAAATACCTTACTCTGCATCTCCCTTCTTCTTTGCAATGCCCTCCATCCACAACTCTCAACAAGCAAGCTACCCACCCAGACACCAAGCAATACTCTAGCTAGCAAGATTCCAAACTCCATTCCCCAGCCAAAGCCAGCGACAGCATCCTCCCAAGCCAGCCCATCCACCTATCCGCAAACCACGCGCACACCCAGACAGACAGACACGGCTCCCCTGCCTTCCCCTCCAGCCAGCCAGCCCGCCCAAGCCCGCCAACTCCCACCAACCCCCAGCCAAGCCCAACAAACAGCATGTGCACCCACTACGTCCGGGCCTGCAAAACCTGCAGCTACCACGCAGAACTCTGGGGCCTGTGCCCCAAAGCAATGCACTGGGACGACCTCTGCAAACCTGCCAACAGATGCGATATACCGTGTACGACGGAACAGCCCTGTCGGTATTACCACGATGAGACGCCGCTTGAAGCGGAAATCGAGAAGAAGAACAAAGAGGCGGGTACTACGGTCGAGACGCCGACGACGCCGCCTGCGTCTGCGTCTAAATAGTAGCCAGCCGGGGGTTTGGGAGATTTCCTGAGGAAGAGGGGGGGGGGGGAAGAGAGAGTGGTAACGGACGGGTTGGGCGGAGCGAGCGGCTTTCGGTTTCTTCTTGAGAGCATTTGGTTTGGCGATTTCAGGGTGCAAACGTAGTGATAGACGGGTTAGGAGTAGAGTAGAGTAGAGTAGAGTAGCGGCCTGCGGTTTCTTTCGTTGTAACTTTAGATAGTACTCAGTAGTTCTCTAGGTAGCTTTTGCCACCTGTCCTGTGTTGCAGTTAATAAATCTCCACTTCTTCTCATACTATCCCTACTCCGACCTATGCTCACGTACCTAAGCAAGAGTGGATTACTATAGCAGCTAGCGCATGTAATAGAAGGGTAAAGAGAATTATAGTAAGCTCTAAACTTTACCTAATTTTTGTACAATATGTTTAGTGTAATTACTTTTCCCCCTTTCTCCGCTATAAGCTATAGCAAAACCGAGACAATTATGCGCTGAGAGCAACGGAGGTGTCGTAATAGCTGCTATACTGGCGGGAATATGTAATTTGTATTAATGAGAGTATAGGAAAGTATTGGGTATGTATACGCTTTTAGTGAGTTAGATGGGGAGGTTTATGGGGAGGCAGAATGGGGTAGGAGGGAAACCGCGGTAAGGGCGGTGGCGAAGTCGGAGATAAGGTACTATTGATGGACTGGTCAAAGATGGAGATAGGATGGAGAGATGTACTGGGCTGGGTTAGCGCATTCGGCAATAGAGTATGCTATATCGACTTTCATCGGGAGGGTCCAAGAAACCTTGGAAGGCTCGAGTGGACAAAGTAAAACATTACTCACCTGACAGCAGCGAAACTTCATGTTCAATCTACACCAACGACATGGCCACGCTGCTTGCAATCGTAATGAGCGTACGTTAACATCACACTTCTGCACAGGATTTTCCGACCGCAGTCAAACATTCATAGACATTATCATTACATGTCAGCCAGTAGCCATCATCCAGCTACCGCAGCTCAAGCTCATTCGCCTCTCCGATAGATCGTCCCATTCCCCGTAAAGTTCCCCGACTGCGTCGTAAATGCCTCCGTGCTACTAAAGTCCTTCACGCGGCCGAGCAGAATCTCCAGCATGCGGTACGCAGTCCCCGCCGTGTATCCAGGGAGCTCGTGGCCGGCCAGATGCGCGGTGTAGAACATGAGCCCGCGCTCAGAGTGCCAGACGCCCGACACACCCGCGCCGGCCAGCGCGCCGCCGTTATACTCGGGGTGGTACGGCGTGTAAGCTGTCTTATTGGGATACGTCTGGAAGCCTTGCACGCCGTTCCAGGTCATGTTCTGGATGGCGAACAGGGTGCCGTTGGTGGTGAGGATCATGTCCAGGTCGCCGGAGCCGATGATGGTGTTGTTCGTGTGCTCTATGACGCGCTGGAGGGAGCCGTCGCGCGCGGGGCCCGGCGACGTGTCGCCGGCGTCGCTCGAGGCGTTGCCGTTGCCGAACACGTTGATGTCGGTGCACTGCATCCAGTTGGTGCCCACGACGGCGTGGAGCGCTTCCTGCACGTCGGTGCGGTTGAAGTAGACCTGGGCGCCGGGCGGCTGGTAGTCGCCTGTGTTGATTATGCCGAGCTGGGAGAAGGGGTGCGGGCATGTTTCGGTGATGTGGTAGATGTTGAAGCAGGGGTTCACCTCGAGAAGACCGCTGTAGAAGTTGTCGAACATGTCGCAGGTATAATTCGGCTGGTAGTACGGATCGGGAAGTACTGGGAAGGGACCTGCGGGAGGAGGGAATTGGAAGTATGTGTCCCAGTAGTCGGCGTAGCCGCACTCTTGTTGACGCTGGCGCATCTGCTCCATGAAGGTGTCGTTCAGGAAAGTGAGCGCTTGCCAGTACTCGACGAAAGGGAGAATGACGACTGAGCACGGTTAGCGTCTGTGCTAATACTGGTGTGTGACTACATACCTTGCTGCTGCATGGTCTCATCGCCAATGATGGGGTCGTTGATGGAGATACCAGCAAGATTGAAGTATTCGGTATCGTTCGCCTGGATAAAGCCGTCCGCGATATACGGAACGTAGTACCCTGCGTACGATTCGCCAGTCACATACGTCTTCCAATTTTGCATCTCGAATGTGGATATAAACTGTTTCCAGAAGCCCCGGAATTCGGTTGCCAACTCGACTTCGTCGGTGATGTTCGGAGTCCCTTGAGAATAGCCAACTCCAACGGGCTGCTCGACCCAGATCATGTTCGTCAAGTTTGTCCAGCTGTATGGATTCTGGACAGGCGCAGCGGTTCCTGACATCCAGGTGAAGGGGCCATTTTCCGTGAGGAGACCGCTCAAGGAGCTGCAACCGGGGCCACCGTTGAGCCTGAGGCTGTTAGCATGAGAATTACAGGACGGCTCTTGAGAAACATTACCAGATAACGACCTCCTCGGGAGTCTCAGATAGGGTTGACGGAAAGAACCTTCAACTATTAGCCGCTAATTCAATCCTAATCGCTCCGACATTACGTACCAAAAGAAAAGCTTGCGAGTCTCATCAGGGTCGTCCGAAATGGGCAGTAATCCTGCGTACGACTCGCCGACATCAAACGGAACTTCAGGGATACCGCTGCCATTAACGGCGAATGCTATAGAAGCGTCAGCGGGATTCTCAGGCCATTGAAGCTTCACATACCCTCGGTCTTGTCGGTCAGGAAGCGAGACGCCCGCTTCTGAAGCTCTGGATGCTGGAAAGGTTGCCTCGCCAGACGCTTCTCGATCGTTGGCCTGGCTTTGTTGAAGACATTGCGCTTGTGAGGAGAGCTACCGGCCAAAGCCGTAGAAGCGCACAGCAGCGAGCTGAGGAGCGTCAGTGAGAGCTTCATCGTGCAATTGACCAGACGAAAGCAGGCAGCGACAGACCGGCAAAAAAAACTGGGTGCCCATCCGTATTTCAAGAGCTACATGACGGCATTGATTCACGAGGGATCCCTAGCTCTTTACCAGGAACAGCAGGTGTTTTTGGCTGAATAGCGGCGAAGCTCCGGCCGGCGGGGATAGGAGCAAGCTTAGGACGCTTAACGGCTATGCGGGAGGCGGACTCGTGTTGATGACCAGCAGAAGAGGCAAGTAGACGAGGAGCGGCCAGTAAATGCTGGTACCGCTGTGTGATGACGAAGCGCAGGTACCGATGAAGGGCCATACACCTTCCTCGCAGAGTATAGCGCATCCGTGATATCAATGCCCCAAACACCCGACACCCTTGCCTCGTCGGCGGGGGAGTTTGTAAAAGCCGCAGCCCCATTTGATAAAGCCCGAACTAGGCGTTTCTCCGTGCGGGATACTGAAGATCAAGCTCGATAAGCCTCGGTTGCAGGACGCTTGTCAGTGCTTGTTTCCCAGTGTTTCCTTTCGCTTCCTGGTGGAGGGGTGAGATATGGAATCACCAAGCGCAAAGAGGAAGGCAGCAAGTATAATGGAAGACAGTAGGAATGACGTGGAAGCACGCGAGTTATGCTCGGGCTGCAGATGCTGGTATCAAATTGGATGACTGCGTTACCACCCACGAAAACGACGACGCAGGATCTGACTCGGAGGAGCTATTCGCGCGAAACATCAACTGCCGTGCGAGTGAACTGGTGATTGCGAGGGGTAGAAAGCGGGAAAGAAGGCGAGATCTAGGCGGCCCTCAATGTTTGCGCGTTGTGAGGAGAGACACTGTTGGGGACGTTGAAGATGATGGCATCCACAAGTCCGCGTGGGAGAACGTGCACCGTGGCGCACACGTGCGGCCCATTTCGAGCCACCAGCCTCACGAGCGCTCAATAGCAACCGTAACGGCAACAGCACTCAATTGAACGCGAGTTGTACTGTTTAACAGCGAATTCTTAGATTATGAAGAAACCAGCAGAGGAATTTCCGCCCGATTCTTTACCTGCGATCGTGCCACGCGTGCTTCCCTCCCTCTCGTCCCATGCGCTCCTCCTGTCGATCTAAATGTAACAGCTCGGAACATCTTATCACCCCAGAAGCATGACACCGCTACACCTTTCCGATCAAGCAGACCTCAGCTGGCCAGTAATACGACGGAAGCGATGATCTCATAAGGCTGTGGCTCACCGGGCAGTGGGCTGACGCGGCCGCCGACACAGCCGCACTGGAACCCTCATCATCAGATACCGCGACGCTCAAGAGCAGCGCATCTCCACACCCAAGACTGACATCCAAGACTAACGTCAGCGAATACTGAACCACACGCCCCGCTGTCTCATCCCTTACAGTAGAAAGCCACAATGGGCCTACCCACAACCCCGCAAGACGCAGCCCCGGCCTACGACGACGTCGTGCACGACCACCCCGTCAACCAATTCCCGCCCTCCGGATCATCATCAGGCGTAAGTCAGCACTCACTCTCATATTCTCCGTGCGCCCCGGCTAATGCGCATTGCGTGCCCAGTACGCCGTCGTACCGCAGGACGACGACCTCGAGCAAAACGCCGGGTCGCACAACCACACCTCGCGCGGCGCTACGCCCGCACCACCGCAGGGCGGCAGCGGCTTTTCCCACGCTCTGACGCGCATCTTCGAGCCAAAGCCGCACACGCACTGCGAGCAATGCGACGCGCAGCAGGCCGCGAGGGAGCGGCGCGAGAATGAGCGGCATTGCTGCGCTATGGTCGCCGCGACGTTCATGATGGCGTTTATCTGCACCATGATCCTTGGGATTGTTGTCGCGAGCGCCATGGCGAAGGCGAGGAGGCATATGCACGACGATTGAACGACGTTGAGGTCAGTCCGATAGCGAGGCGTTGGACGGTGGTTGTTGGCGTAGCGCGCGTGCGTCCGTGGCGGCTAGCTTTCGCTCTGCGAGAGGAGGGCATGGTGTACGCTGAAGCTCTATGATAGAGTGAGCTCCGATTGTCTGCTTGAGAGAGGTTACCGTGTTTTTCTTGGATTGGCGTCTTTGCAATGGGTCACTGATACCAGCTGGGTAGCACATTCTCTTCGTTTAGAACGTCTCTGTTTAGTCAACCTCTCAGGCTTTACATCATCACGTCGAGTCCTGCTCAATCACTTCCTATCATTATCCATCGCGCTCCTCGTGCCATTCCTCATATCTCCAAACTACCGGCCATCAGCAGTAGTGCTACCTACCCACCAACAACCATCCAGAACTCCTTCCCAATCCAGCGCCCACCAGCACGAACGAACGCAGAACCACACTTCACCCGATAAGCAAGCACATCTCGGCAAACCCCTTCTCGGCCCTTTCGGCATCGATCCTCTCTCGCCGTTATTGCGCTCCCCACACTGCCGCGGTGCAGAGCCCTGGTTTCTGGGGTTCGGAACGTCAATCTACCGGAAATGCAATATCGCGATGCACGTTCCATTCGTCCACCACACTTTTCCACTGCCGAGTTTGTGCTCTGCGGTTATCGCACTGCTTCATATACAGTGAGTACATGAATGGGGGGGCTTAGAAATACGGTAGGGGAAAGGGTATGCTGGATGGTTCAGGCTGAATGAGCCGAGGGGGGGTTTAAAGAAAGGCGTTTTCTTCCCCTTTCTTTAGGAGAGAAGCAGTGTGTGGCTTTTATTTCAGAGATCCGCATCTCTCCGGAAATTCTCTGCTCTCGTTGTCTCGTCTCTCTACTCTACACTCCTGCTACTCCAGCACACCCACACCGTCAAGATGCACTTCGCCGCCGCGGCTGCCGCCCTCCTAACCCTCCTCCCCGCCGCCCTCTCCCACGGCATCATAACGCAGCCCCCCTCGCGCGCCATCGGCCCCGCCATAACCGCCGCCTGCGGCCAGCCCATCACGACTGCGATCCAGCAAGACAACACCTCGTACGTCGAACAACTCACCAAGCTCGCCGCGTCCTCCAGCTCGGGCTACAACGCTGCCGCCTGCAACCTCTATCTGTGCAAGGGCCTGCAGTTCGCGGACAACAGCGCGAACACGCAGACCTGGACCGCCGGGCAGGTCGTCCCGGTCAAGATCTGGCTGCGCATTCCGCACGAGGGGATTGCGAATGTGAGTATTGTGGATACGAAGAGTAATACGGTCGTGGGCGAGATGTTGAAGGTGTGGACGAAGGGGTATGCGCCCGGGAGGACGGAGGGCGATGTGCCCAAGGAGCAAAAGGAGTTTAGTGTCACCGTGCCGGCGGGGCTGGAGGAGAAGTGTGCTGTGGGTGGGGATTGTGTAAGTTGTTCCCTAGATCAGGGGCGCGGATGAAGAATTGGGTTGCTAATTGATGCGATTTAGGTTCTCCAGTGGTGGTGGCTGGGCACTGCGGCGAAGCAGACGTATGAGTCGTGCGTGGACTTTAAGATTGCGAAGCCGGCTGCTAGGGCGATGGCGTTTACGTCGTAAAGGTATCTGGAGTTGTTTTTGGGAGATTATGAGGCGGCTACTATGCGCGGAGGACGGGCGCTGTACTGCGAGAAACATCACTACCAAAAACTGCGATATTTCTCGAGCCCTTCTCTTCTGTTCTGTGATGTACCAATCGGTCAATACGGAGTACGGAATCTCGACCTGCCGTCTGACGATTGTTGATGTTGAGGGAGGGCCTTGTTCGTTGACCGCAGGAAGCGACGAAGTGTTTAATATGCGGAAGCGAATCAGAAGCGTGCCGAGCTGTACCCGTGCTGATTGCTTCATATAGTGCAATAAAGCCTCGCGTGGGTCGGAGAGTAGAGTTTCCCATGTGCGGGAGCCAGAATTCCAAATCATAGATAGATCTGCTGGGGGAAAGCTTAGTAGTGGGATGGGATGCGTGGGTGGGTGTAATAGCCCGGAAATAAGCACGTTCTTGAGGACACCTGCAAGGAAGGATATAGCCCGTACTCTGCAATACTGACTTGCTGACCGCTGCTAAGCCGCTGTTAACAGTAGCCAAGATACTCAGCGTCCTCCTCACCCATCCCCATCCCTCCTCCCTCCTCCCTCACTCCCAGCAATCCCCCATCCCACTCAAACCGAATCCGCATACATAGTCGTGACACTCGTATCCCCCCTCGCATCCTCATGATAATGCGCCCCGGCTCCATTCCCACTCGTATCCAGCTCATTGCATCTGCGCAGCTCGACCGGCTTCTCCAGCAGCTGATTCACCTCGGGGTCGAACGTCTTCCAGTAGGGGTTCTGTTTCTTGTGTGTCAGCTTAGCTATAGCTGTCCAACGAATAGGTGATGGGTGTTCTGTGGAGAGTCGGCGTTCCGCGGAATCGAATCGATCTTCGAAAGAATGACTTTTAAGAATCGAAAGGAAAGGTGCATGCTGAGACCTTAAAGGGACAGTTACGGTGCCGAGGGACGCGCTTTTGACCCGATTCCCACCCGCACCTCCCCCGAAACGACCTTTACATACCTCGACATGATACCTATGACTCTGCCTCACTTGTCAGCTTTCATCCTCTCCCCTCTCCCCTCTCCCCTCTTCCCTCTTCCCCCCTCTCCCATCTCCCCTCCCCTCTCAAACAAAACCCAAAAAATCACACTCACACTCTCATCCCGATACCTCTCCACAACCGTAAACCGCCTCCGATCCACCGCATCCTGCATAGGAATCCACGCCAGCGTCTCGCGATCTTTGCCAAACACAGCGCTAGCCTCGACGAGCTTGCTCTTCAGCTTATCAATCGCGTCGGGGGAGTCTTTGGCCGTGAGGTGCTGGATGATTGTGTAGACCATTTTCTTGGGGGGGTTCGTGTTGGGTGGACGGGGCGCTCTGGTTGGCGGTGAGGTTTCGTAGTCGAAAAGGTAGGATGTAGATTGCCGTTTCTTAATTGAGACGTACAAAGAAAGAACGTCAAAGCCGGGTTGGGGGTGTTGAGGTGCAACACTGCCCTTTGATCATCATTTCGGAACGGTGACGTATGATCGTCCCCGCCCACCAACTGCGCATCCGCACCCACCGGCGATCTCCCATCTCCTCTAGCCCAACCATGCTTCAGGACCCCATAACCACATCTAGCAAGAACCTCCTCCCGTCCTCCAATCAAGCCCTTTGCCTGTGGTAAAGCTTGCTTTTCACACACGATTCTGCAGGTTAGCCGGCCTTGCTTTTAGCGCCGATCGAAGAGAAGCACCGTGAGAGCTTATGAAGTAACAGCGGGAGGAATCTCATTAATCTACGTACTAATCGACAGAGTCCTTAAAAAGAAGAATACCTGAAGAATAAAATAAGAACATCCCTTTCTTTTGAGCAAAGAAAAAGCCGCGAACATCAACAGATGCGCAACGAGGCAAAAGCAACACTATACCCAACTCCGCCCCAAAGCAGCATCGCAATGAATATGTAAAAGCCCAGACAAACACCCACAAATGCCCACATTAGTGAAAGTCATCGGACAGACTGAAAGAGAAAAGAAATATTTTACAGACTAACAGAGCAAGCCTAAGCCCTGCTCAGCATCCTTAGCACCTCCTCCTTCTCCGTCGTCGGCAGCGTCGACAGGAGAGTCACAACTCCCTTCAGACCGCCCTCGCGATCCTTCCTCATCAGCTGCGCCACCTCCATGGCAATACCCTCGCGCTTGAGCAGCTCAACGCGCTCGTGCACGGTCTTCCTGTTCTCCTCGTACCACACCGCAACGCTCATGTCGTCCTGCTCGAACTTGGCAACGTTGGACCACGCCTTGAGCATGTCCAGGCCCTTGCGGCGCGTGATGGTGTCTGGCTTGGCATCCTCTGCAGCAGGAGCAGCGGCGGCTGCCATCTTCTTGAGAATGTACTCCTCGTTGAGTCTACGGCGCAAGCGCCAGTAGAAGAAGCGGCGGGCATTCTGCCAGCGCAGCGAGGATCGGATGACACCCTTGGCCTGCATGCGGCCGGAGCGGTCGTGCAGATCGGCAAACTGGAGCGCAATCTGGGTGTAGACGGGCAATAGCTGCTTCTCGCGTTCGGTCATCTCGGCCTTGATGCTCTGGAGCTGGTCTTTGGGCGTGGATGGGTCGTTCAGCTTGCGCTTGAGGGCGCCGTAAGTAGGGTCGAGGCGGGCCATGGTCTCGAGTTGGCGGTCCTTGCGGTATTTGATGCCGACGATGCCCTCCGGCTCAAGGACACCACCGCGCGAATCCTCATCGGCATACATTTCCATGAATTGCGGGTTGATGGTCGGATCGACGACGACCCAAGAGCCACCACGGAGCTCGCCGAGCGGAGGAATGTAGACGAAGATGGGCTGCTCGTATTTGACCAGAGCATCGACAATGTAGGAACCGTACTTGAGAACCTCGTTGTACATGTCGCGCTGACCACCGGAGAAACCACGCCAGTTGGCAAGGATCATCAGCGGCAGTTGCTCGCCGTTGTTGAAATCCTTGATGGCCTGAGCAGTCTTGAAGGCGGAGTTCGGGTACCACACCCCGCCGGCCTCCGACGTGACCTGTTCAATGGAGTCGGGGTTGGCGGGATCAGCAGGCGTGACGTTCTCGACCGAGCGGACTTCAACTCCAATGACGCCAACAGGAATGCCACCAAGACGAGCACGGCCTACGACGACAGTCTTCGCCCAGCCACCAAGGGCCTCCTCGAAGGAGCCTCGGTCAAAGAGACCAGACTGGAAGCCATCTTCGTCCTCCTTACCAGCGATGAGGTGCCGGACGTCGTAGGCGGACTTGCCAGGAGGATAGAAGGTGATGTCGCGGTCCCACTCATCGGCGGTCGGGGAGACGGGCACTGGGTTGCCCTTCTTGTCAGGCACGTAGGCCATCCACTTGACGATCTTAGAGACACCCTCAAAGTCGTCGTCGGCAGTCATGTGGGAGACACCATTCCTGTACATGATCTGGGTGCCGCCTAGCTGCAGGTTGGATGTGTAGACTTCGCGACCCAGCAGCTTGTTGATAGCCTGGGCACCTGTGAGGATGATCGGCTGGCCCTCGATCTGGATGGCACGCTGGCCGAGGCGGACGAGGTAGGCACCGATACCTAAGCACTGTTAGTTGTTGCGGGAAAAGTCTAGATAAGAATACATACCAACTGATCGGCAAGTGACCAACGTGATGGTGAAAATGTCCTCGTAAGCCCTTGATGTCTCACCGGCAATCAAACCAGAGCCGCGGAGAGACTCAACACCAAGACCGTCCTCAGCACCGATGACAGTGATGACCTTGTAGCGCTCTTCGCCATCAGCCTTGACCTTCTCGCAGATGACGTCCTGGCGCTTGCCGTCGACAAAGTGCTTGTACTTCTCAGGAGTCAGGTAGAGATAGTCGAAACCAGCGTCCGGCTTCGCAGGATCTTTCCAGGCGACAGAGAAGTGAGGGATGAGTTCCTCAGCAAGACCAATGCGAGCGCCAGAGTTAGCAGACAGATAGATTCGGGGAATGCCAAGCTTGCGAGCAAGCTCCGAGCATTTGTGGAAGAAGTTGTCTTCCTGGGGTCCGAAGCTACCAATCTTGTAGGTGATGTCGTTGGCGATGATGATGAAGCGGCGGCCGCGAGGATACTCAGGAGTCTTCGCAGTAACGATCCAACCAACCATGCCGATGATGTTCGATCCAGGGTCACGGTTGACCTCAGCCAGGTTGTCGTTGTCATCAAGGACCAACTCGTAGTACTCAATGCACTCTCCCTTGGGCGGCTGCTTCTCTCGGAGGTACGGGTGCTTGGCCACAGCCGCATGCCAGCTGTTCTCGGTAGCCTGGCGGAAAAGCTCGGGGAAGTCATACACGTATTGAGTACCCATAAGGTGAGCCTTGTACCTCTTCGGCTGCAGGGCACCCTTGGTCGGGTAGGGAGTCGAGACTGGCTGCAGGTGAAGAGAGCCAATCTTGGTGGTGCCACCGATGCTGTGGAAGACCCACTTGCTGGCCTTCTCAGACTTCCGCTCCGCATACATCTCAACGTTGATGACATATCCGGAAGTGTTGGTGATGATAACGCGCAGAGGATAAGGCATGCCGGTAGCCGGGTCGGTGACGATGATGCGAATCTCAGCACCAGTAACGCGGAGACGCCAGAGTCGTCGACCGAAGCGGTCCAAGAAGCCGCCGATAGCCTCTTCGACTTCTGACGGTGAGAGAGGGAAGACGTGGGAGAAGTTGATGAAGATGTGGTTCATGTCAGCCTGGGAGGTGCCAACAATCTCCAAAGCATCCAGAATGTCGGTCATCAACCTGTCGGTCTCAGAAACCATGTATTCCGCAGTAGGAATGTCCTCCCGCAGACGCCCAGATCGGACGACTGCTCTCAGGAAGTAGCGCTTGTCGCTCTCAGCGCCCTTGCCGACAGCTTCGTAAATGTGGATATTCCGATTTTCAGTGAAAACCGGCTTGATGTTGAACTTCGACAGACGCCCAAGTTCAAGCTGGAAGGCAAGAGCAGGCTCAACGTGACGGATGCTGTCGTCCTCGACATAGGTAGGACCGCGGAAGGTGTAATAGCCGGGGTAGGTTCCGTCCTTGTGGCCACAGATGAAAGTCAAACGGCGGATGCGGCGTGCATAAAGCTCGTCCTTGTAATCCTTGACGATAGGAAGGATGCGCTCAAGAATCTCGGAGTCGTCGAAGCTCTCAACATCGCGGACGGCAACGTTCAGCACACCAGTGAGCTCATCTGAGCTCTGGATGTTGAGGCCGTTGCCACTCGTAGGAGTGCGCTTCATGGTCAAACCATCCCTTAGGCTGATGCCACCCTTCTTCGCGGTGCCCACCATAGGGAAGATCTCCAAGGCCTTGCCAAGAGACTCATCAGCATCATCTAGATACTCTACCGGCACGACGACACCCTTCCTGGTGGGTTCTCCCTCGACCCTGGAGTTGAGGTAGGACATGTCGCTGATGGAGTGGATGCGCGGCGGGCGTTCAAAGCCGGGAGTTCCTGGTGTAGAAGGCTGCGAGGACTCTACAGGCAGGCCGAACTCCTGCTCGCCAACCTTGCGGAGGATGAAGTCCCAAGAAAGGATATAAGGTTGGTCTGCATCCGTGTGGTATTCGATATCCTTGAGCTGGTAGGCACGGTATGCGCGACGAGTGTACACTTCCAAGGCAGCAAGAGCAACCCACGGATCTTGGTGGACGAAGAACTGCGGCAGAACGTCGAACACGGTGTATCTAGAGTCAACAACTTCTTTGATGACGTCAAAGTTGGGCTCACGGTGGTCCCATCCGCTTTCGCCATATCGCGACTCAACGACAGCGGAGCGAAGGATGTGTTCCATCTGGGACGTGCGCTCCTCAAGAGAGGGCATGGCGCACTGGATCAGCACCTCACGTGCCTTGAGGGAGACCTTGGCAGTCTGCCTCGACTCCAGCTCAGTGATCTTCTTGAGAGCGCCCTTGAAGTACTTGGCAACGTTGCCAGCTCCGGGCTTGTTGGGGCGGTAGAGGTCAAGGATGGAAATGATGAGGTTGTTCTTGGAGTTGACCCTGGCATGCGAGAGGACTTGGTGGACAACGCTGGTGATGTTGTCTCGGTTCTCGTCACGAAGCTTGAGAACCACTTCCTCGTCTCGGCCAGCCCGGTTAGAGAAGAGATTCTCCACGCTCCAATACATCTCCAAGAGCTTGATCATGACGCCATATTCGTGCGCCTTGAGACCCTCTGAGTAACGGGAGATGACGTCTGTGAGTGGCGCCAGCGACGCCTTCAAGATCTCAGCGTCGGTTTTTGCAACGTTCTCGTCCAGGAATCGCTGGAAGGCCTTGTTGAGCTGTTTAGCAGGGAATTCCAGGTTGCGGCTGTGCGCACGGTCGACGACTTGGGAGAGGGTGGTGTCCAGTTTCTGCGGCATACGAGCGTGCAGAGCAGATGCTTGCGCATTCCACTCTCCATACGGAAGCTCAGAATCACGAAGAACCTCCACGAGCTCCTTGAGCGTGCTCTGCATGATGACCTGGTTGTCAAAACCCTGGAGAATGTGCTGGAGAATATTGAGGAGGTAAGCAAACCTCTGGGGAGGCTTATTGCCCATGACCTGTGGCGGGCCAAGGTCGGGAAGGAGGCCCAAGAAGGGCTGGGCGGACTTGACCTTGGTGGGGTCATCCAGAGCGAGTATACCAAGAATGTCACCAGCTTCAAGAGTGGCTCCCGGCTGCTTGATGAGGTTGACAACACCGTCTTCCTGCGCGATCAGGGGCATGTACATCTTCATGACCTCGACTTCGGCGAAAGCCTGGCCCTTTTTGATGTGGTCGCCGTTCTCTACGGTGAACTTGACGAGTTTACCGGGGGAGGGCGTCCTGAGCTGGGTGGGGTCATTCTCCTGCTCCAGGAGGCAGGTCTTGCCGTCGACGGAGAGACGAGTCGCGCCCACCTCCTCCTTCCAGTAAACGTTGTGAGATTTACCGCTCAGCAAAATCAAAAGACCGCCGTCAGCAAGCGCCCTAACGCCAACAGAGCACTTTGAGCCGTTGATGAAGAGGGTGAAGCTGTCAACGCTCGACCTCGTCGCTGTAAACTTGTAGCGGTAGCCTTCGTAGATGAAGTCGATGGGGAAAACGGTCTTGAGCACATCTTTGGAAGGCACCTGACCCTTCTCCAAGCTGGTCTTGTACTCGCTGATACAAGCCTCGCTTGCGACATGAGCCTTGGTGACGGCGCCGCAAATGACAGCGATCATGGGGTCAGGGCGCTCAGCAGTCAGCTTCTTCGAGATGAGCTCGTCTAGCCAGCCGGTGGTGATGGTGTTGTCCTCGAAAGCGGGCGTTTCAAGCAGCTTGATGAGGTATTCGACCGTCGTTCGGAAGTCACCGCGGATGCTCAATTCCTTGAGCGCGACAACCATGTGTTTCCGTGATGCTTGTCGATTCTCGCCGTACGCGAAAATGTGGCCGAACTGCGAGTCGGAAAAGCTGTGGATACCACCAGCGGTACCGACGGAGAAGTAACCCCAGACGTTGGAGCTACTCCTGAAGTTCAGATCGTGCATAGTACCGCCAGAGGGCTTAAAGCCCTCATCCGGATCTTCCGAGGTGATACGGCAGGCCGTGCAGTGGCCCTTAGGAGTTGGCCGTCGCTGGTTCTGTGCGCTGCCCTCCTTGGAGAAGTCGAAATCGATTTGAGTGGCAGTGTGAGGATCAGCGCCATACAGCAACCGAATATCTCGGATTCTGTGCAGCGGGAGACCCATGGCGATCTGGAGCTGAGCAGCTGGCAGGTTGACACCGGTCACCATCTCAGTGGTAGGGTGCTCGACCTGGAGACGGGGGTTCAGTTCCAGGAAGTAGAACTTGTCGTCGGCGTGCGAGTAGAGGTACTCAACCGTACCGGCAGATACGTAGCCGACGAGCCTGCCGAGCGAGACGGCAGCCTTCTCCATCTCGTGGAACGTCTTCGGCGTAGCGACCGTTACGGGCGCCTCCTCGATAATCTTCTGGTGTCGTCGCTGCACGGAACAGTCACGACCGAAGAGAGAGATGTTGTTGCCGTACTGGTCAGCGAGCAGCTGCACCTCCAAATGTCGTGCGCTTCCGGCCAGCTTCATGATGAAGATGGGCGAGCCAGGAATTTCCGACGCAGCCGCCTTGTACAGCTGCACGAAGTCTTCCTCGCGGTCGACCTTTCGGATACCCTTGCCGCCACCACCCTCGGATGCCTTCACCATGACCGGGAAGCCGATCTTCTTGGCCACCTCAAGACCCTCTTCAGGCGACTTTGTGCAGCCCTTGTCGTAGATGTGGTCCTCGACGGTCACGATGCCATTGTTGTCGACCTTGACCTGGTCGACGCCCTCTCCCGACCACGGGATGCAGGGCACCTTTGCGTGCTGTGCGACGATTGTGGAGGAAATCTTGTCACCAAGCGAGCGCATAGCGGACCCCGGGGGACCGATGAAGACGATCTTCTTCGGCGAGGCGGCGAGCGATTCGGGCAGTTTGGGGTTCTCGGAGGCGTGGCCCCTGGGTAGGTGTCAGCAAAAGTCACCAGAGCTCAATGAAGGCCAAAACGTACCATCCTGCCCACACGGCGTGGACGTTCATACGCTCCGCAACATCGACAATGAGCTCGACATTGGCGTAGTTGTTGTTGTTGGTACCTCCGGGCACCTGAATGCTGCGTTAGCAACTGCCTCCGCTCACCGCACATCTTCCAAGCGTACGCACCTCAACATACTGGTCCGCCATGCGGATGTACTCAGCGTTCGCCTGGAGATCCTCGGGCGTGGCCATGACGGTGAACTGGATCGCCCGCTCGTCGCCAAACGTCTCGTATGCCCATTTCCGCACCGAGCGGATCTCTTTGACCGCTGCAATACCGTTGTTCGCGATGAGCACCTGCAGAGCACGGTAACGTCAGCACTCGCCCCTCACGCATCGCCGAAACCGCTCAATAAGGGTGGAACTGGGTTTCTTACACTTGTGATGACGGTGTGGCCATCGTGGGCGGCCACAAAATCCTTCACCTTGCCCGGCGCTGCTGTGTTAAGATGGTTGCCGCCGATGAAGTGCGGCGCCAGGTTGTGCTTCGCGGCCCACGAGCTCGGGGCGCCGTTGGCCGTGCCATTGGCGCCGTTCTTGGAAGCTCCGGCCATTCTGTCTGTCGGAAGTCCCATGCACGGAGTGTGGTGGAGGAGAGAGGGCGGGCGGGCGGCGGTGAATTTTCTAACAAGGGCGCTCTGGGCGGCGTATCCTGCGGTTCGGGTGTGCCAGAATGACGATGGCTGACCGCAATAAGCACCAATTGCACTCTGGGGCGCGCGAGATTCCAGAAGCTGCCGGTGGGAGTCGCCGGAGCAGATATATTAGTAGTGGGAAGCGTGCTATGGGCCGTCGGGCAGCGCTGGGGGCCTCAGTGCCTGCGCATCCAAAAAGTTTATTGATGAGTTGCAGCAGCAACAAAGAGCGCAGGTAGGAGAAAGGTAGGGGCGGGGAAGGCGCGCAGGGTATCGCGGCGGGTATATGGGAAAGTGGGAGCAGACGGGGGCCCAGAAACGAGGGCGCGGGCAGAAGTATGTATTAAAATTTGTGGTTGCGGCGGACACCCCAAGCTCATCCCGAGCTGTTGAGCTGAGGCCGGGCTTGAGCATCGCCAACGATGCCGAACCGGGCTAAGCATGCCCCCAAAATTGCCCCTGCCATCGCCGAAGCCTCCGTGCGCCCACCGCCGCCGCTCAGGAACCGATATTGATGCCATCGGAACCCGAGAGGCGCGGTCCAGCAAGAGCCTCTCTTTCTCTCCCATATCAAGCGCGCAGAGCGTCGCACGCCGCGGGGCCTCGTCTGGGGTGCAGCGCTGGGTGCCTGGCCGCCCGTCTGGAGCACCTTGCGAGCGTTGAGGTGTCATGAGGCGTGGGAGGGAATGTTGAGAGCATTCCGCATTAGTCTGCCCTTGCGAGGGCCAACACGAATATCTTCGGGTTGAGGGCGCCGCTGATGCGCTCAACCGCAAACCAGCAGTTCATCGACGATAAAGTCCCGCTAGCTGCTCTCTGTCCATCGCTCTGCGGATCGCCTAGATACACCTTGGATACCTAGACTGCACCTCAGCCATCCCCAAGGCCGACCGCGCTGTGACCTCCCTCACACACCGGCGGCCTCCCCCTCCGCAGCCCCGAGTCTTCGCTCTGCGATCAATAATAAGCCAGCGCGCGCCAAAACGTACGTCTTGATGCTTACCACAGACGTCTGAAGTCTTCCAGGAGCCACTCGGGTCTCCACTCAGCGCCTTCGGAGTCCGTCTCCAACTCCCCCATCCCGCCCAATCAGCAGGCCCGCCCGCCAGACCTGCGTCTGCCCGTCATCCAGCAGGCACCGCAGCATGACGCCTAAAATAATTTCCATCCCAGCGCCGTGCCAGCCTCGGCTGTGTCTGCGCTCCGGTTTCTCAATTTCCTCATCAGGCGGTGGGTGCCATTGACTCTGCCGTCGCGTGCCCGTCTTACGCATCAATGAACAGACCTGCGCCAAAGAATTGTCTAGTATGGTAACTCCATGGTGAAGCGCACTCTCGATTCCGAGGGCATTCCGATTTCCAGGATCGCGGTCCGAGCCATCGCTCAGTGGTGTGCCCTCTGTCGTCAGAATCGTACGATTTCCGATGGCTCCAGATGCAACACCACGCGCCCGTGCACTACTGGCGTTATCCACATTTCCCGAAAAAGCTACCTTCCCGCGTGGCAGGACGGGGCCGACAGATCACTTTCTGCATGTAAATGCGAGGGAAATAAGGACTGCAGATGTGGAAATGCCCGGAATGTAAATCGCTTTCTCCTGAATCAAATTTCCTCTAGCTTCTACGTCACTGCTTTCGGGTATCTCTTGCTTTGAACAAATGAAATGATTGAGTATGTGACTGAGATAAGAATGGCTACCTCAAGTGTTTCGCAAGGCGAACATCCGCCGTCTGCTCCTCCTATGTGCAATGTCATCCAGGATGCCCGAGCGGGAGCAAATTCTACGGGGAGGATCCACAATGCTGGCGATTGTCATCAAGCCCTGATCGACCTGACGGTTGCCCCAACTCCAAGCCCATGCTAAAGACCGTAAGGTATAAGGCCCGTCGAATCATATACCAAGAAGAAATGCGTATTCACATGCAGGAACCCGCCCCAATCACCCTCTGCCGGGCCGCTCAGAAACTCTCCTGTACCTCACTCATCTTGCGCGGCCGTGCAGGTGGACCCATGTCGCCTTCTAGGCCTGAGCTTGTCCTCCGCCCCGCGCTCTGCCGCCGAGGGATTCCGCTCGGTGTGGGGATGCCAGACTTGTCCAATGTCATCCGCCGAGCCACTGGAGTGACAGAGCTGCTACCGTCACTGTGGGTGTCCGCCTCTGCGTCCCGCAAGTTGCTCGACAGGGATATAGAATGGGAGTGACTGTATCCGCCGGACTGTCCGCTCATGGAGCTCCGCGGGCGTGGGAGCCGCCCTTCCACTCCGCTGATTGAAGATGTCGAGTAGTGGCCCAATGGCGTCCGCACGCTGCTCCTGCTGCCTGGTCTTTGCAGCCCGGACTGAGACGTCACTGAGGCTCGACTGCTGGGCCGGCTGCTGCTGGGTTCCCGCGAGCCGCCCGCTATACCGAAAGAGAGCCGGCTGACACCAGAATCGCCTATGCCGCTCATAGAAGAGGCTACCGACGCCTGGGATGCTCGTTTTCTGTTGCTTCTGACGGTCACGGTGTTCGGTATATGATGCCCAAGAGCGCTTCCGTTTCGGGGACTCGCACGCGGCGGGGTGTTTGTCGGAGCCGGGAGTTTCGATCTTGCAGAATATACTCGTTCCTCTAGCTTCTGCATCTTGCCAATCAGCCCTCGAATCTGGTACAGAGAGCCAGACCTCGGCAGACCACCCGCAGGAGCATTTCCTCCCACACTCGGCCTGGGACCCCTTTGCGCTGGAGCAGTTGTCCGAATTGAAGGCGTGGCACGACTACTAGTTGTACTTGCTGCCTTGGCCGACATGGGAATGCTTGGCCCCCTTGAGTGCCGCGGCGGCCTCGACTGGTAAAAGCCTGGACGAGGTGTGGTAGAGGGGTCAAGCGCGATCGAGCTTTTCCGAGAAGGCATGGGTGTGGAAGGTACGCGCTTCGCGGTGACGGAGGCTTCCGATAAAGGCGGGGATGGCGGCGTCGCATCTGGATGCACTGTGTCGGACTTCGAGTGGGGTGGGGTGGACGCGGTCGTGGGTGATGAGAGGGTTGTGGCGGAGGTGGACGCTTCTGAGACTGGTGAGCGAGGCCGCAAAGAATCACCTGCGAGCAGATTTGAGGTCTTGCGTTGATGATGCCTCTCGATCGTCTCTTCTGCGATGCGCAGCTTCTCCTGCACAATTTCGGCCTCGATCCTGAGATCGGACAGCTCGTCTCGCAGTCGCTGGTTCTCTATCCTCAGCGCCTCTCGTTCCTGTTCGCCGATCTTGATCTCCTCGTCGAGCATCACCGTGCGCTCGATGGCCACGTTGTATTTGGATTCTAGGTCTTCCAGCGACGAAGTTGTGTTGCGCGCCTGGCGCTCGAAGTCGTCGTTCTGCACTTCGATGTCCCGCAGCTTAAGCTGTAGTGTCCGCTGGGAGTCGCGCAGGGTTGTGATTTCCTTCTGCAGCGTATTCTGCGCATTATTGGCTTCGGTCTTGCTCTGCTTGTATTTTGTCTGTGGATATAGGTCAGCGTCCAGCCGGTGGGATGGCACAAAGCGGCTCCAGAGCAGCACGTCTCGCGGAAAGAAGAGGCACATACCTTCCATTCGTCAACCTCAAATCCAAGCCCTTCCACTTTCTCCTGCAGTTTGCGCTCCCGCTTCTCGCTCTCATCTATGTCCCTTTCCAGCTCCGCCTCCAGCTCCTTGCTCGAGGCCTGGAATTCCTGCAGCTCGACCTCGAGCGTCTCGTACTGGGACTTGTAGTAGGCCAGCTCTTCCTCCATGCTGCTCCATCCGCCGCTCGGAGGGGAAGAGGGTGTGTCGTCTGCCATGGCGGCGGGGCGGGGGCTGCGACGTGAGCCACTGCAGGAGTCAGGAGAAGGCGCGGCGGTCGCAGTGCGGGGTGCGGGCGGTCAAGGACGAAATAATACAGGTCGCTGGTGAGAGAGGCTACAGCCCGCGCGCGTGGTGCGCTCTCTGGCGGTGTGCGGCGCTGCGGTATGGTGCCTGGTGCCTTCTGCCTTCTTCCGTCCACGGTCGCTGTTTCACTTCCGGAGCATGCGGTGTGTTGACAGCAATCATGCGCCGGCTGCTCCTATTCTGCCGGGCGCCTCTCTCTCGTGGTTAGGTCCCCGTAACAATGCGGGTGCTGTCCCTGTGCTGGTTAGTAGTTAGTACTCGCACAATTTTCTGCGGGGGTGCGGTGGTGTCAAGGTCGTGGTGTTGTTATGCCCCAGCCCTCCACATTTGGGTGGCTGAAGGCGGTTGGCCCGGTTTCGGGAAAGCGCGCTAAACCCGACGTGTGACAACCAGCACCCCCATACATGACACGCGCATGCTGCGAACACCTATACAATGGAAACATATATGCTCTGCAATTTTCACGTTAATTATGACATGTATTGCTCCTCTAGCTCAAGCTGCACAGACTGGGCTCAACAAAGCCACTGTGGCGAACACGACCTGAAACATCCGAGGAGACGCGTCCGCGTTCATCCAATTTGCCATAACGAGTAACTATATACGCCGGCATATATGTACAGTGGAAGCATTAAGAACCCGGTTCACATACAATTTACACGTTGTTGCCTTTTGGGTCGCCACCGCTCGATACTCAATCCACGACCATACCCCGCTTCGACTGGTTGACCTCAGTCCCCGTCCACGTCCTTTACCTGCTTCGACGCATAACTTGCCGCCTCCCTACCCCTCCTAAAGAGCTCCCCAGCCTGTTGCGATCCGTTCGCCATCGCCTCTGCACCTCTCGCATATGCATCCCCGAGCTGATCCTTCCCCTGCTCATACGCATTCTTTGCCTGTTCAGACGCCATGCTCGCCAGCTCTTCCCGGCTCGGATACTTCTTCAATGCCTTCAGGATGAGGTAGTACAAGTTGATGACGAGAGTGTGGATCCGGTCTTTCATAAGCATCGTGATGCCGTGCGAGAAGAAGCCCTTCAGTACTTCGGCGCCTAGCCCATCGTACAGACCCTGCAGTCCTTCCGTCTTCGCGATGCGAAGAATGGTGCTGAAGACGGTTCGTTGCCTTGCTTGCGCAACCTTTGCCTTGATCACATCCTCCGTTTTCTCGGTCTCTGGCGCGGGAGCCGTGGGTTGAGATGGCTTCTGCGAGGAGACCTGCGCTCGCGTCTTTGCGAGTGAGAAGGGGTATGTGACGGTCGATGCCAGCGCCTTGCTTATTGCAGCCAGCAGGAACGTAATTCGGGCTCCTGGATCAGACCGCCGATCGCGAGGTACTAGTACCCGTAGAAGGACCTTATGGAGCAGGAATGTGATGGCCGGATTCAAGGTGAGGATCAAGCTCGCAGAATAGCCCGACCAGAAGCCTTGCAGTCCCTTCTCATGCCGGATCTGGAGCGCAATATCCTTTGCGCTGAGGTCTGGGGAGGTCGAAGACGTTGGGTCTCTGGATGCGACCATGGCTGCCGTCTGTTTCCTTGTCACGACGTTCTGTATCGGCGTCGTCCAGAATTTCGAGAAAGCGCCCGCTATCACACCTACGCTGATTTCTTCCAGCATTGACAGCTTACTCGAGCCCAGGGATATCTGTCGCTTTTGCCTGACGTAGTTATATGCGAAGAAGAACAGAAAGCTGTCCGCGACCCCTTTCAACGTCTCTGGGAGCACCCCGCTGTAGAATGCCTTGATGCCTCCTTCCTCTTTGTATATCTTCTCTACCGCATCACGGATGCCCTTATAATCTGCATCTTTGTCGTCGGGGTGGATCTGTCTCTGTACTTGCAGGCGGGTTATGACAAGGTCAAGAGGGTACGTGAGGAGCTTCGAGATGGCCGTTCCAGCTGCGCCGGAGGTTGCATGGCCGAGAGCTGGAAGTGCGGGTCCGGCTACGTCTCTGCGCGCCTCTACCTCGTTGGTGATATGGTAGAGGGTGAATGCATCCTATCCAAATATCAGCAAAGCTCTCGAAATGGCGGCGCGAAGCTTACAAGTTGCGAAATGTAGACGTATGTCATTGCGCCTGTTTTGCGATTCAGTCGCGAGCCCGTCTCAAAAAGCTCAGTGAGCTACTACAGAAAGAAAAGAGAAAGGGCATTTCATAGTGGTGATGTAGGAAAACGCGGGGTTTGTGTTGAAGACGGATCCGCTCTGTGGCACCTGCACAGACGTCATCTAACGCTCAGAGCACGTGAAAGCATCCACGCCAACGCCTCATGCAGTTACTTACTGATGAGCTGAAATTGTGACATACTCCATCGCTTTGGAAGCCTTCGGAGCTAGCATTCTAACTCATTTGGGACTTTCATGCGGATGGATGAGGTTTGCGACTGTGGAGATCACCAGCCTCCTCGATTTCTACGGCGGGCCTGTTCTTCCATTCGGCAACTTCTCCTCACTTTATTTTATCTTCCGCATTACCGGTAGTAGACATCATAGGCACAACCTCGGGCGCATCTCTGTGCTGCGGCGCTTCGAATTCCTCCTTTTGCTCTCCCCACATCTTCCCCGCGTCTTATGATGTCCGGAGAAATTTCGACAACACTGGTTGCCTGTTTCGGCGCCTGCTAAGTATCTGAACACTCCCTAGCTACGGCTACGGGAACCCTGATCGGTACGTCTAATGCGCTCATCTCTTATTTTTGCTCTGTCAAGTTCATGAGTCGTAAAGGCGAGAAGGACCGATCCATGAGGCCGTAGATATATAAGTATCTCTCCCAGAACTGCCCAATAATAAACGAAGCACATATTCTTATCGCCATGTTGTTCTCGTTCTGTATCATCACAGCTCTGCTTTCCTTATTCATTGCCCCCAGCGACGGCCAGGCCGGCCAATGCCGGCCATGGACAGTCGACAAAAAGAACCGCATCTTCGTCCTGACCGACATCGCCAACGAGCCCGATGACACCATGTCTATGGTCCGACTACTAACCCACTCCGACCTGTACCATGTGGAGGCCTTAGTGGCCATTACCTCGTTCTGGCTGCCCAATGTCACTCGACCGGATCAGATCCACACGCTTGTCGATGCGTACGGTGAAGTCAGGGGCAATCTCCAATCACACAGCAACTCCTCGTTTCCAACGACGGAGTACCTGAAGGCCAGGATAGCGAGTGGCCCGCCTGTCTACGGTTCTCAAGCGATCAGCGAGCTGGAAGCGGGCGGGAACCTTACGTCCGGCGCACAAATGCTGGTAGAGACTGTCGACGCGAGTAGCGATCCTTTGTACGTCCAGATCTGGGGTGGTTCCAACACGCTTGCCACCGCGTTGTGGTACGTGAATCGCACTCGCTCTGCCGACGAGCTCAGCAGTTTCGTGTCTAAGCTCCGCGTCTATTCGATTTCCGATCAAGACGACACGGGCCCTTGGATCAGACAACGGTTCCCGGATATGCGATTTATAGCAAGCAGAGATGGCTTCAATCAGTATGAAACATCCGCATGGCGAGGGATCAGCGGGTCCGTCGACGCAGGAGGTCCCGACGATACGATCGTTCACAACGCGTGGCTGCACGAGAACATCCAACTCGGGCCGCTTGGGAAACATTATCCAGATATCGCGTTTATCATGGAAGGCGATTCTCCCTCGCTGATGTACAACTTTCAAAATGGCCTCGGCAACCCTGAGTACCCAAGCTGGGGCAGCTGGGGAGGGCGCTATGTGGAAAATCCTCTACACAGCACCTCGCAGTTCGCCGACGCAGTCGATGTCGTCGTGGGGCTTAACAACGAGACGTACACCTCGAATCACGCCACCATATGGCGATGGCGTGATGCTTTTCAGAACGAGTTCGCCGCGCGCATTCAGTGGACGCTCGCTCCAAACTCCCGAGCTTCAAACGCAACGCATCCTCCCATCGTCGTCGTAAACGGATCCTGCGGCTCTTCCCACCTTGAATACAGCGTGAAAGTCGGCGACACGATCACCCTCGACGCTTCGCCGTCGTACTCTCCGGACTCCAATGCGGACCTCAGCTTCACCTGGTTCCAGTATCTCGAACCGTCTTCATATCGGGTCACCAACAACGTGCCTGCTCTGAATTTCACGTATCCCGGGGGTTCGGGTGGACGCATAGCGCAGTTCGAGATTCCGGAGCCGGAATCTGGGTATTGTGTGGATCCGCAGAGTGTCTCTGGCGGCGGTGTTTACAGCGAGGCGATGAAGTGTACGACGTTGCATGTCGTTGTTAGGGTGAAGGATATGAACGCGAAGTATCCCATTGAAAGGTACAGGAGGGTACTGTTGCATATGCAACCCTACAGTGGAGTGTGATGTTCTTAGCCTAAATACAATCTTCCCTTCGTGCATGAGCACAGAAAGAATAGTAAATACCATATCGCGCTCACGCAAGCGGCGTAGCCTGCTATCTAGGGAACCTATCCGTGGAGTATTAGCTCAAGTTCAACACATTCCTCTACTCTCACTATTATCTATTGTCGTAATTTGTCGTTTTTCATCTGAACGCGAACATGATTTCTTGGACGGGCTGCGAGAGTACCATGGCAGCCTTATATCCGCGCAAGAGAGCTGCTTCCGAGGCGCCGGCTGATGCGGCTGAGAATGCCAGGAAGGTGAAGGCCTTGAACCAAGATGCTTTAGACGCATCTCTGACGAACGCCGCTCGGGCAGTCCATGGATCAATTCGACGAGGCTGTCGAGCGGGCCGACGGCGATAGCAGCAAGAATTCTCTGCTCTGGCAAGATGACGCGAGCGATTCTGATGATAGAGCGGCGACGGCGAAGGAGAAGCGGGAGCGGATCGAGAGAGCAGTTGATGAGGAGTTTGAATGCTGGTGGGGATGGTGGGTTTGGTGATGAGCATGATGATTAATGGTGGAGGTTGAGGCGCATGATTGATCGGGGCCTGGAATTGGGTAGGCGCTAACTTTCCTTTTCGTGTAGTATGCGTGTTTTAGAGTATTCGGGAGGAGAGAGCACGGCGTTCTTTCCAAGGTAGCAGGGTGGTTCCCGGGGGCCGATCTCGAAAGGCGTTGGTATGTACCGTTTCTTGAAGGCTGGAGTCTACCAACCTCAACAGACGTTGTTCCATCGGATGTGGGAAGGCCCTGAATGCATATTCCGCCTTGGATTCTTCAGCGCTCCTGGCTTCCACTGGTGGATTGTATTCTCCTCGAGACCGGATTTGGAAACACATTGGAGCCTTGGGAAGTAAACTGGGCGTCTGCGAATTCCGCTCCAGATGCACGAATTCTTAGGAAGGCTGTTGTTGCTCCTTGTACGGGCACTACTTGCCTACCATTAGGCGAGCACGAGGCTCTAAGCGGAAGACTCTCTTCGACGTTCTCTGTGGTCAGTACGGGCATTGTTATAGGTGCCGCAAGGCTGAATTTCTTCAAGCCTGCGAAAAGCGCCAAGTCATCGTCAAATCATCTCAACTAGTAGACAGGATCGAACAGCTACAGTTTGCTCACCGATCAGGCCACTTGCACCATCTCGAAAGAAAGCGTGCATATGCGAAGCATGAATGGGGTATAGGCGCTGGGGCGGAGTATCGGGCTGTGCAGCCGAGCCCAACGCCTCGCAGCCCTGTCGCTTTTCTTCTCGAGAACAGCGCCGTAGTTCCTGAACCAACTCTCTACTTGCATGTTCGAGGAGATATAGCCTTCATTGTCCACTTTCATGCGTTATATTCGTCCCTTCCACGTCCGCAATCCCTCGAATCGGCCTCCCAACGCGTTAGCGTAGCGACAACGAGCCTTGAATCCTACCCCGCGAATCAGCCTTGCGAATCTCCAAGGATCCATTCTACGTATTTGGAAAGACACAAGAGATGTTGTCTGGGTTAGAGGAGCCAGATTGGGTTCGTTTTGGGGTGGAGATTATGCCTATATCAGCCACGAATGCAAAAGTAAGGTCTAGGAGGCGATCCGCCATCCCCGAACCTGATCAAGTCCGTGGAGAACGGTATTACAATGAGGGGAAATACAAAGACGCGGAACGTCTCTTCCGACGGGTAGCGGGGACACGAAAGAAAGAGCGCGGCAGACTCCATGAAGCAACTCTGTACACTCAGCACTGGCTAGCGTGCAGCCTTTTCGGGAAGAAGTCTTATGAAGAAGCTGAAGAGCTAGCACGAGTGCTGGCTCAAAACAGAGAAGATACGTTTGGCAAAGAAGATAAGGGCGCTCGTAGAGTAAGAGCCCTCCTGGCGTACTCGCTATTCATGCAGGGGAAGTATACAGAGGTAAAATCTGGATGGGGGAAAGTTGTTCGGCGGCACTCTAGGGTACTTGGGAAGACACATGAAGAGACTCTCAGCGGCAAGATCTTGCTGGGAGCGACACTTAGGGGGCTGGAGGAGTTCCAGGAAGCAGAAATTGTTCTACGAGAGGTGAAGGAAGAAAGTGAAAACGCTTTCGGAAAGCAGAGCGTCTACGCGAAGAGGAGCAATTTCCAGTTAGGCTTAGTGTTATTAGATCGAGAGCAATGGCAAGAAGCAGAAGCGATATTCCGAGAACTTGCCATCGACGTAGGGGGAGGGAGCCGGACCGGGCTTGAACTTTTCAACGGCCTTGCAAGGTCTCTCCTGGGCCAACGAAATTACGGAGAGGCAGAGGAGATCTTCCGAGAACTAGTGGGGTTTTGGGATAAGTGGCACAATGATCGTTCTTGGTCGGACCATAACAAACTATGGCTAGCTGACGCACTCTGGGCGCAACGTCGGTACAAAGAAGCAAAATCACTCTGCCGCGAAGTCCTAGAGCAGGACATGGAAGAAACCTACCACAATCCCTACGATAAGGGAGAAGCGATGGCCGAGAACAGAGCGCGGGCCGATAAACTCCTGCAAAGAGTCCTAGAGGGGGAGAGAATTTCAAACATTACACTTAAGCCATCTTCCCTTGTCGGAGGTCCGGACGCCGCCACTCAAATTATAGAAGGCAGATTACGAAGTCTGTGCCTCGAAGCAGAAGATGCGGGCACCTACACCGACGCCCAGATACTCGAGGTATCTTCTCTCCTGGAGCGCTTCAACATGCACTGGAGCTCGACCCCTAGAACATACATCATCCTTTGGAAACTTGGCCTGCTAAACCTTATCGACGACGTGATTGATACTGGGTTCTCGGACTTCCACCTCCCCGTCACTGAAAGGGGCCTGCCGTCCTTCATCGCCCCGAATGATCGGCGTAGATTTGTGGCTACGCAAGGTCTCGTCCTGACACAGTCTATGGACCTTGAGAAAGGCAAGAACAGCGACCATTGCCGTTTTGAAGAGCAGACACTGGTCCCTTTTGAAAGACTAGCACTGTTGGGGAGAGGCGGCGACGGGGAAGTAGATAAAGTGCTGAGTCGTAACACCGCGAGGGTGTATGCTCGCAAAATAATCCCCCGAAGGAAGGTATTCAGGAAGAAAAAGGATGTGGAAGAGATAATCCGATTTGAGGAAGAGATCCGGATATTAAAACGTCTGAGTCACCATCATGTGGTGCAATTCGTTGGCAGCTATACGGACCCAAAGTTCCTAGGCCTCATCATGACGCCAGTAGCGGAAATGGATCTCTCAAAGTATCTCTCAGAAGCTAATTCATCCAAATACTCAGAACTCCGAACCTTCTTCGGTTGTCTCGCTCACGGCCTCGAGTACCTACACTATCAAAACGTACGGCACAAAGACATCAAGCCCCAGAACATACTTGTGCACCAGGGGCGCATTCTCTTCACGGACTTTGGACTCTCTTTCGATTTCACCGACGCCACCGGCAGTACGACCGTAAGCATGGTGAATGGCATGACACCACGGTATTGCGCCCCCGAGGTAGCTGAAAGAGATCCCAGGAACACATCCTCAGATATTTGGAGCTTGGGCTCGGTATTCCTTGACATGGTGGTTGCCCTTAAGGGTCGTACGATCCGGGCCATGGAAGAGTACCTCCTACAGAGTGGGACTCAATACCCTTACGTCCGCATGAACCGTCCGGCCTTCCTGATGTACCTTACAGACCTCAGAGGGGATGGGGATGTGGACGATAATATCGCCACTGAATGGATCGAGAAGATGCTCGATCCAACGCCCTCCGCCCGTCCGACTGCAGCGTCGCTGGTGGGAAGTATTGAAGACTGTCCAAAGTTCTACGGCGTATGTTGCGCCGCTTGGGAAGACGAAGGATCGATTATCGGTTGATTGCGTGGGGTAGGGATGCAGAAGAACATTTGCTTGCCCCTTTCGAAACACGGATCCCAAAGTTGGTAGGGATAAGATATTATGATATCCGGAATTTTCCTTGGATTGCGGAGACGTTGGGGTCGCGGCGGAACTATGAGCAGTGTTTGATAGATTTGGGGAGCATTTTTCATCTAAACCCTTCTGGATATCCATATCCTGCGGAACAACCGAGAATGATGATGCCATAGGGGTCTTTCTGATTTATTACAACCAGACTTGGGATGGAAGAGAGCCCGTTTTCTGTAGACTAGAGGATATAATGGCCGTGCTCATTGCGGAGGTTCCTTCGCGCGAAACGCAATGGCATGGATGCGCGTAGAGACAATGTAGCTGGATTTCGTTCTTCCTATTGATTCTCGGACTATGGCTTTCACATTCCTGCTCGCGACCAACCCCGGTAGCTTCCTCCCCTTCTGTGCTGTATCTTACGCCCCTATCCTGTAGTACGTTTCTGTCGTCTTCGGAAGATTACTTATGTAATCGTCTGTTTCCAATTGAGATGAGCTATCTTTGAATGGCAGGGCAAGTTGGGTTGGGGGGGCCTGAAATTGCATTGTGCTTATGGCATCTTTCAATTGAGGAGTGATATTATCCGTTGGCTGCGCACCATTCCTGAGTAGCTGGATCACGGCGTTGTGTGAGCGCCGTGCAACTGGACCAGGCTTGCGCAATCGATTCGTGGCGTAGTCCAGTAATCTCATAGTCGATTTCAGTGAACGGGCTGTAAGTTCCGGTGGACTCTTCCCGTTTCGGGAACGGTCAAACATCTTAGCGGCGTAATCCAGTGCGGTGAAGCCCTTGCAGTCCCGATGGTCTACGTTTGCGGCCTTATCCAGGGCTAGCTCGATCAGTTCCGGAAGAGCGCTCTTAGCCGCGAAGTGAAGCATCGTACTACCACCTCGCGAGCGAGCGTCTAGGTTGACTCCCCAGGGTATTAGCATGCGAACGGTCGCAACTATAGACTCTTCGGCGACCAGATCCTTTATTGCTTGATTAAGGTACCTCATAAGTGGCGTTCGACCTAAGCAATCATACTTGTTGATATCATTTCGATACTCGGGGTTGTTGAGATACAGAAGAATGCGTTGGTGCGCCAAACAATTGCTCTCAAGGACTGTGTGGAGAGCTGTTTCTCCAGTCTCGAGCTCGCTTGCAAGTGCTCTGGACATGACACGGCTGGACGGACCTTGCCTGAATCGAGGCCGAAAGCGCGATATTGTGGCTTCACTGAGTTCTCCGAAGCGGGGATGGACGGCGATGTAGTCGATCAGGAAGCATCCAGAAGAGTCTCGCAGTTGTGATAGAGCACGGATTCTATGGTCCCACTCTAGACTGTTCGACATGATCAGAGTCAACCATTCAAGGTTGAACTCAGGCGAGGCGCATAGGAATGATAGAAAATGTCGACCCTCATGGTCAACCTGATCGAAATTGAAGCGTTCCTGCTCTAGGTGGCGAACGAGACAGTCGAATTTTGATGAATGTGGCCCCCTTTGGATCCAGGTATAGGGAGAGGAAGGGAATTTCGACTGCCACGGGGAAGCGTAACACGTGCAACTCACGTCTTGGAATCCGGCAGGATCAAGGTAGAATAGGAATGTCTGCCCATCTGGGTTGGTCGAGTTGATTGTGTTGTAACATGCTCTGCATAGGAGGGCCATGATTACGTCCGCAGGGGCCCCTGACATAGCAGCAAAGAACATGATATTGCTCTTGCAGTCTTGCAGGCAGTCGAGCTGGAGGTTCCTTGCGAAGGTTGATGCCGGAGTTCCCGAGACGATCACGTCCTTGATAAGCCGATGGGTGCAATCCACGTTCTGGGAACAGCACGTGTCAATTACCTCGGTATTGACGTTCTCCATCTTATTCCTTTGGGTCTTCAAGGCCCGCCTGACCCTTGCCGAAAAATCAAATAGGTCGGGTTGCTTCTCCGGAATTGAATCTGTGTAGAAGGAAAGCTCACTTCCCGTTGTGAGACTGCTCATCGATAATCTCATGCGTAAAAGGCTCCACATCTCAGACGCCATGGACGAGCTGTAACTGTCTCGTCGCAATAGAGCTCTTATCTTCGACTTTGAAGTACTGCCGGACATGAATGACTGGCGGTCTCTATCTTCGTGACACAGGATCTTGTTTTCGGTTGCTGATCGTTGATCGTAGTTTGGTGGAGTAGCTATGGCCTTGGAGCCGGACCTATAGCACGATAAGTCGCCCCGTGTGCTGTTTTCTGTGGCGTTCGCATGGCTTAGGATGCTTTTACCCTTCCAAGCATCATCTGCGGGGGTGGTTTCCAGGCTCTGGCCTTCAGGAAGCGTGGCGAGGCATTGCGATGGAGTTTTCGGGCGTGATCTTATATAGATGTTTGGCTGTGCGGCGGCGGGTTGGGGTAATGTCCGTTTCTCCGTGAGGCCCTTCAGTCTCAGTGACTTTAGGAAAGTAATCCGCTTCCGCGCTTGCAATTTGTCTCGTGGGCAATCTCGATGGTAGTGTTTGGTGAGAGTGTCGACCAGTATCTGCTGCGCTCGACGAACCCTAGAGAGCATTTAGCTAACCTTACTTTTAGCGAAGAGAAACATCACACTTACTTTGCATTGAACGTGCCTTCGTTGAGAATGTTGAGAATCGCTACTGTTGTATCAAGCCGCAAGCCGCATAGTCGGAGAAGCACGAGTCTTTTCCGCCACGAGCTCGACCAAGCTTGTGGCCGACCTCTGCCCCTCTTCGACCCTGCATCTTGGATGAATCTTCGTTTCTCTACTCTATAATGAGAAGGCATTTCGAAGTGATGGTGATCGTGAAGCAATCGCACGTTGATATTCGGAGAAAAGGGCAGCCCACCGGGGGTCGTCGTCACCCCGCCAAGCCAAGAATACGAGGGCTGGCACTGGACATGCTAGGCCCATAAGCACAGCGCAATAAATCCGACGAGCGTATTGGGTCCTTTTATTGCGGTGGCGTTTCATACCCGCAAGGCTGAAGCAGGTGGCGCTGGGGAGGGCCTGCTGACCACGCACGCTAGATATGCATGGTCGTTAGCACCAGAGGCGAAATAAATAACAACCTATTGACAGAGAAAAGCTAGCCCCACGAGCCTCCAGGAGGACATGAATACTTAGGCTGCGGGTGGCTTTAACTCGAAAGATGTTCCTGAAATCCTTTCACCGGAAAGGGGCTTATCGCAACATGGAAACGCAAAAATCAAAAGTATGAAGTATACAACGCAAAAAATGGTGGGAGCGAAAAAGGTGCATTAAAAGGTCCAAGTCGTCATGGACCTACTCACATCAGTGCATCTCAAAACCCACGCTCTCCAACTATGGCGACCAACTCTGGTATGTACCTCGATGAGGCACGATCAGCAGGCTGACACCACCTCAGACTCACGACCAATGGCAGCCGCCTCCCTGACGTCCAACATAATGCAAGCCGTCCTCCAGTTGATCATCCTAGTGATGTTCTACTGCAACCGCCGTCGATACGCCGGGAGTCAGGAGCGAGGTATGGCGACCGTTCTATCCATTTGTGATTGGGATGCTAAACAGAGCAGAGGTTGCTGCGGGCTGATGGCGTCGAGGTGGATCCGGTACAGACGTGGAGTTTGCGCGAGAAGACTCAATTGGATGGGATATGCCCTTCTTCTGGTGTGTTGTTCCTAGGTAGGACCCGAAAGCTCAAAGCACCCGTGGGCGAAATTAGGGTCTGTTCTACGCTAGGCTGTATCCGATCTAGCTTGCTTTTCTTGAGAGAACGATCCATCCATCCATCTGCTAGAACAACTTGCTTGCATCTACAGGACGGACTTAGATTGTATACCCCTTTGCCACAAGTTTCCACAGCCTTCTCATGAGCTTCCGACTCCCCACCTGGGCGCCCTCTTGCTGTCGGCCTCCAACAAGCGATGACGTCACCCCTCTCAACCGTCACAACCCTCAAAAGTTCCCCCTCCCACAAAAGTCCAGACCTTCAGCCTGCAGCGGGCCTCCCGTTCCACCGCCTCCAAACCGTTGTCGCAGGGTCCGAAACACCCGTCAAGCCTCCCTCATGACATCAGTGGCTCCGCGGCTGTGCGTCTCAGCTGAGGCGCTCACCCACAACACCAAGCCCCACACTCGCGATACCTGCAAGGGCGGCGGTCTAGAATGCGGGCCTGCGCGTGCGATGATGTCGATGTGGGCTTATACGCTTAAGGCAACTATGCTTCTACTCTTGTTCTGATGCCCGGCCTTGTAGAGTCAGAAGTCAGATGCTGCGGGTGCGTAGGTGGGAGGGCTTGTATGGGGGTCTGGACTTTTTGATGCGCTGTATGATGAGGGGGAAGGCAGATGTGCTGATGGGAGCTGAGAGTTGGAAGGCTGGGCTTTTTGGAGGAGAGATGTAGAGGTAGGTGTATAAAGGCGAGGTTATCTCGTTGCATCTCCGATTTCATTCCCGTATTCATATCCATATTCAGCATACACATCACAACCCCAAAAGCTCCGCATACATATCTCCAAGACTCTCATCAAAACATATCCATCGCTGCGCCCTACATCCCTCAACATGCGCTTCTCCACCTCCATCCAAACATCATCCACAACCCCCAAGCCCTCCAACGACGTCACGCTCGACGACTCCCGCCTCAGCATAACCATGACCATCGAGCCCTCCAAGCCGCGCAAGAAACCCACATACCGCGCCATCCAACGCCCCGACGGCGTCATCGTAGAGAAGCCGCGATACCGCCCCTCCTCACTCACCGCCTCCACAAAGTTCAAGTTCGAGCAGCGCCGCACCGTCCTCGATATTCCTCGGGATAGGGAGCAGGACATGCATCCGAGAAAGGAGAAGAGAATGGATGACGATCTGCGTGGGCTGAGAGTCCTGGAAGAAGGATTGGCAAGGCCGTATGAGAATGATGCGGGTGAAGAAGTAGTTGAGAGAGGACGCAGCGGATACAATGGCCCGTATGATGAGGCGATGGTGGAGTTACAGCTTGAAGTCCCCTTGCGCCGCTTCCTTCGGAGTTCGGATCCTTGGAGTCCTTACAATCGGCGCGCTGAATATGCTTCGAACAACTCGACATGCCACTGAGCAGCCCACATGGCCAAACACCGTTGAGGTACATTCATCTTCTTCCTCGCAGAGAATGGAGGACGTTAATTGGCGCGCCACGGAGTGGAACATTAGGCCTCGCTTCGCCGCTTCGCTGCCGGCAGAGGACGAAGCAAGACGAGATTGCTCGGAGAGGTATCAGGGGTGCCGGAGGAGGACATTGCGCGACGAGCATGCCTGCAGCGCTTCTAATCCTCAGCGAGGATAGGTTTCCTTTCTCTTTTCCTCAGCGCACTTTCTTGCCTGCATAATTATTAATATACTCTACATCACTGCCGTGCTTTCATCGCGTATGCGCACCAGCAGCCACCCGCACCTCTCGCGCCCACTGCACACCACCTCCGCATCCCCACACTAATTACCCCACCACTCTGAATGTGTCCCCAAAGCCTCGTCTACGTCTTCATTCGTACCTGTGCAACATCGCGTATCTCCCTCCACCCAAACCGCCACTCCTCATGCAAGCCACCCGACCCGACGATAACACCCACCCCGAACATGCCTTCCTTTCAATCAGTCTCTGCATTCCCCATTCTCTTGAAAACTGCGTTCTCGTCCCGGGAACCATGGTACAGGGAGCGCCACGCGCTGCCGCCGCTTTCGTCTACGTGCGTAGCGGTCGCGATTGGGTTTCTCGGTGCGAGAATAAGCGTTGCATCTACGCAGTGCGCGCGGATAATGGCCTGATAGTTATAGAGCTCGGTAGAGGGTTTACTGTGAATCGGGCTGGTAGGTGGTGCTGCGAGGACCCCGTCATGAGTGTTCGATTAGTGAGAAGCTACGAGCACAAGGCGAGTCGACGCAAGGAAACACGACTGTCCACGTAAGTGTGAAGTGAATTTGGAAAATTGCGAATCGTAACTGTATTGGGTATTTTAGATGGTGGGAAGTGCCAGTGTACTTCCGAAGTAGACCACGGTGCCGTGGTCTACTGAACGCCATTATGGCTTCTCTATTACGCCGGAACCATCCGAGGTTCTTTCCATTGCCTTGCCTTTTATATGCGTGGGGTCTCCGTGGGAGAGATGATGCATGGGGACCATCTACTTCTCACGTGGCGTGACCTTGAGCAGCTGCGGGACCTTCGGCTTGTGCGCGGAGTGACCGTTGAAATCGACCTTGGGCGGGATGGTGAGTTTGTTGCCTGCCTTGTCGACGAGATGGAAGTCGAATGAAGCCAGGAAATACGCCGTGATGATGTTCTGCTCGAGCTTGGCGAAGCGCATGCCAACTAGCTGCCGGTTAGTCGCTGAGTCAGACGGCCATGAATCGAGGACTTACGACATGGATGTCTGGCCACACCCCATCCAACAAAGCCATGGACGACCTTCTTGTCCTCAGCCTTCTCCGGCAGGTACCGGCTCGGATCCCACTTCTCGGGTTCTGGGTAGATGTCCGGATTCAGATGGACGTCACCTGTAGCGTAAGTCACAAACGCATTAGGCGGGATCACCTCGCCATTGCCGATGGGAATCTCCCTTCCACTGATATTCTTCCTGAAAGCAGTGCCGAGCAGGTTGAGACGGATTGAGTCACGCAGACACATATCCACAATGGGGAATTCCGACTCCCACGCTTCGAGAGGTACGTCATCTAGCTGGTGACGCAGGGGCGCATTGGGATTGGTGGCGTACTTCGCGGCGGTAGTACCTACCTCCTCGCGTGCTTTGTTGAGCCATTCAGGATTGGTGGCGAGGTAGCACATAACCCAAGCGGCGTTGATTCCGCTGTTGAGCAAACCCGCAAAGAGGGCTCCCACGACGAACTCGATGATCTTGAAGGTGCGGTCTCCCTGGTCGAGCATGTACTGAAGCGCATCGTCGTACTTCTCTCCGCTCTCGGCCCGCTGTTTGACGAGTTTCTCCACCATCATGTATAGACGTGCGCCGGCATATGTGCGCTTGATGACGGCAGGCGAGGGGAATTTGGGAAACATGACGGCGGCGGCGGTCGCGCTCTGGTCGATCATCTCGAACAGCTTGAGGGTCGATTCGGACAGCTCGGGGTCCTCTGCAATCTCGTCGGCGCCGACCATTCGGATCGTGAGACGGAACACAATGCGGTAGATCGACTCGAAGGGGTTGGTGATGCCGCGCGGGTCGTTTTTGATGGCTTCAATGCCTTCCTGGACATCAGAGATCAGAGTTGGTAGCTTCTTGCGGAATTGCTCGTTCTTCAGGAGGTGCGCGAGACGGCGGCTGAAGTGGTTGGACATTTCCTCGCGCTGCCCAGCGCTGTCGGGGTCCTTGATCTGCGGTGACGAGCCGAACAGCACCGCATAGCTGTAGCGCCGTGTTAGCACCTTCCGCTTTCAAGCACGTAACACGTTGGACACACCCTTCAGCGAAGCCAAGCTCACGACTCTCGAAGAACAGTCGTCGCCCCTTCTCGCCGGACAGTCCCACAATGGCGTTTGGGCCTGCGTGGAAACTGAAGCTGCCCGTCGGCGCACGGCCCATCGCATGTCTGTAGAAGTCCCATCGCCGCGTCCAGAAGCTAATTGACCCAGCCAGGGGGAAGTTGCCGCTGACCGTGGGCGGGGCGTTTGGTGGTAGCCGTCGAATGAAGGTATGCACTAGAACAAAGGCAGTGAGGAGGACGGAAGAGGACACGAGGAGGAAGAGGGTGGGCGATGTGGTGACGCGATCGAAGCGCTCGAGGAGAGACATGACTGCTGCTTGCCAGACCGCGGGCAGCGAGCTGAACAGAAGAGAGGAATCGCAAGATCAGAGCGAAGTTAGCAGTGGAAGATCAAAAGATGGAGTGGATGGTACATATAAGTACCAGTGATTGGCCGTCTGCCAATTTACCCCTACTCTGGCGTGCAGGCGGTTGCAGCTGCGGTGCGCCTTCCCTGCCTCGACGCGAACCCGCTGGCCTGCGGATGAAACGCCAGCCGGCCGTGCAGCGTCCAGCGGCTCGTGTGTCTTTGTAAGGCCGGGCTGCTCCTTGCATGACGGGCGTTGAGCGTCGCAATTGGCCCCCGCCGTTGCGTCGTCGTAGGAGATGTGGGAGGTGATGACGAGGGCTTGCGGAAACGTTCCTTCCGAGACTGGCGTCGCGCTATTCTGGTCACGTGCGGAGGATCGCCGACCAGTGACCACCCTCGGCTCGCGAGAACACCACCTGGGCAAGGAGTACTGTATTGATCACCATTTTCTTCTTTCGCTTGCGGCGCCATCCTGTCTTCCATACTGATAGACGTGCTGCCTGCATGCCGCATCAGGTAAATAATTCTAGACTTCCGCCACTACAGCCCACTAGAGGTTGACAGATCCGCCCGACCTTCTGCATCCGATGCGCCATCTCGTCTGCCGCAATCATCGACATCGCTTACGCACCTTTCGATTTGTACCCATGCGGAACGAGCTCGGTTGCGTCTCTTGTGCAATCATCTCGCGGCCTGGCGGTCCATCGTGTCCTCGCGACGGCAATTCCTCGCTTCCTCCCCGCCTCTCGTGGCTCGCCGGCAAGACTTGCCTTCGTTCCCGGCGTGAAGCCAAAGTGCTCACATCAGATCTGATTCCTTCTTGACCCGCCGATCTGATGGTTGGTATTGATTCTCGCGGAAGCAGAACACAGAGCGTTACGAAGGAGCACCCCGCTGGAGAAACCTAGAAACGAAATCATGCTACTGGGAACGTTTCCATCCGAAGTCTGCACACTGAATTCCCCTGGTCCTAGTAGCGCTGTCTCCAAGCAATCATCTCTTTCGCAACCTTATCTCGCCATCCTCACTCCTTCGGAACCTCGATCTCCGGGAAGACGGCGTCCACTCTACCCTCTACTAATGCACTGTTCATCGTGCGGATCATTGGCTACCGCCTAAAGGGGGTTGAGCAAATTGGGGCCTCAAGACGGGCTCCTGAGTGCTCCAAGCGGTCGTTCAGCTTTTGCGTGCCGTTGTATGCAGCTGTACGCGACCTGACTACCGCCCGGGCGAAGGCCTTCCACTCAGCTGGCCTTGGCGGATACCAATGACATGGTAAGCTATCTTCGCCCTACTTTCTCCGCACATGCTGGGGCCAAAATGTCGCACGAGACATTTGCTGCTGTGCTACATGTGCTGATGCGTCAGCGCATGCGGAGCAAGGAACGCTTAGTAAATACTTGTAGCCGAAGCAAACACCAACTATGTTACACCCTTACACGGCTTTTCCATGTTGGTCGAGTCAGAGACAGTGATTTGGCTGACTACAACACTGCGCACAGTCACTTCAAGTGGAACTTCATTTCTCCACTTTGTATTCTGGCGGGAGCCTGGCTCTCGCGCGAAAATTCTACCGACGGCTTGCTTCCACGCCTGGTGGAAGGACTTCAAGAGACCGGCTACGTGCGAGCACTCACAACACCACCGTTTCTTCGGACGTGGGAGGGCATGCAGTTTCCTTAGGAGACGCTATACACCCGAAGAAGGCCCCCGAATCCGCATCTCACATCCAAGGGACGCTACCTTCGGTCCAGCCGCCATCGTGGAACCAAGTCGCCTTCGTAACGTAGCTGCTTTCGTCGCCAAGCAAGAACGCAATAGAAGCTGCGATCTCCCACGGTTCCGCCATATTGCGCTTGAGAATGCGTGGCATCGTCTGCGCAGACAAGTAAAACTCCCCGGCTGGAGAATGGTATGCCCCCGCCATCATATCCGTGTTGATTAAGCCCCTGTGTCTTAAAGTAAGTGTAACGCTCACGGTCATGGGCGCAATGGCACTTACGGACAGAGTGCGTTCACGCGGACGCGCCTCGGTGCGCCTTCGAAAGCAGCAACCTTGGTCAGGCCGATTAGCGCATGCTTTGAGGAGATGTATCCGGCGGCTCCTGCGCTAGCGTAGCTGCTTGCGACACTCCCAACGTTCACGATGGAGCCTCCGTCTTTAATGACCTTCATCTCTTCCTTCAGGCAGTTGGAGGTGCCCACGACGTTAACGTTGAGGAGTTTGACGAAGGTTCCGGGATCCAGGTCTGTGATTGGGAAAATATCCCGCTGCACCATGCCTGTATATCGTTACTTCCTCGTTCCTTGTACGAGTAGATGGTGCCGCAGCGTAAATCCTCACCTGCTACATTGGCACACCCGTCCAGATTCCCGAATCTCGCTACCGTCTGTTCGATCCACGCCTTGACGTTGTCCAATTTGGAGATATCGGCGACACAAGTCCAATATCGGCCCTTGGCTTCTGGAAACTCTCTCTCGATCTCTTCCACTGCATTGGCCAGGTTTTCGGCGGAAGTAGCACACCCGGAAACCGTCGCTCCTCTAGCTAGCAGATACTTGCACAATGCCAGCCCGACACCACGACTGGCTCCGGTGACGGCAATCACTTTGCTAGCAAACGGCTGCGGGTCGACTGCGTACGGGCTTGCCATTGAGAGCGGAAAGAATGGGCTTCGTTAGAGATGGAGGTTCCGGGAAAAGCTGGCGGACGAGGCTGGGGATAACTGGCGTCTCGTCAGGATTCGCGGGGCCATCGATATCTCACCAGATCTTCACACCTTCCTCCATGGCCTTGGCGCGCAGCTGTAGAACCTTTTTTACAGGATACCCATGCTTGAACAAAGAGGCTGGTTCGCTGGAGTATATTGCTGGAACCGATGCGTTGGAACCGAACTCGGCGTCGAACGTTCTACGTACGTATACCCGCAAAGCTTTACCATCGGCCAACTCACGAACGCTTCGCAATCAGCTCGTTTTCTTCTGGTAGAAAGAGTGCTCTCGCGCATTTCTAGCAGCGTTTCAGCGACTTCGGGGAGGCTCAAAGCTTACGGGAATAGTGGACAGAGCTCTATCTACTAGAACAGGTACATTCGAGCTTGCATGCGGTGAGGGATTTGCGCTGGTTCACGTTTCATGCTTTGGTACCTTTCCTGGGACTTGTCTCGCGCGACGTTACGTTACTGTCAAACGCCTCGGTAGAGTTCAAGTAGGCCTGATCTATTCGAATAGTGGAGAGAGGGCGGAAATCAACTCTCACGCTTCTCTCGCCTAGCATTCAGCCCTGCGACGCGAGCATGGCATGATGTCTTTCTTACTCCATGCAGCCGCCAACATTGAGAGCCAGTACCTCGTTTATATCTGCTTTGCTCGGCGCTGCATATTTATTAGGAATGTTAGCTGCTTGAACCAAGCTTTGCAAGGTGCCCCTGCTTCGTGAGATCCTTGTTTTCCTGAGGCTGGGACCTATAATTTGCTTGCAACCGCTCTTCGTAACGATGTCGCGGCCAAAAGCCTTGAGTATAGACATGTTAAAAGCACGATATTTATTGCGGTGAAGTGTAGATTTAGAGCTTGGTTTGGCGATAATTTTGCAACTCGTGATTGGACCTGCCTCCTACGCGGCTTGGCCACGTGCGCCTGCCTGCCCGCGCTACACTGAACCCAGCCTTCCGCAACCTCAACACCACGAAGCTACAACATCGTCTTCACGTCAGGCGGCCGCGCCGTCTCTACTTATCTGTCTGTCCGTCGCGGGGGCCATCTCGGGTTATCGCGGCGGTCGCGCAAAGTGAGGCATTCACTCACGCTGTCACGCCAAGACCGGGCCAGCTCATTGAGCATACCGCACCCCTCCCCCGCAGTACGCCCCATCTGCACATTAGCACGAACAACAACCGCGGGCGCGCTATTCCGTCCGCTTTAATGGCCCGGCAAGCTTCAGAAGCTGCGCCGCCCGAAACACGCACATGTCACTCATTGTGGTACCTTGACTATTACGACGTGCCTCACCACCTCAAGCCGCCGCCGCGCATATTCGAGCTTCCCGACGAACTCCTTCTCAGTATCGTCTCGAATCTTTCGAAAAATAGCGACCTTTGCCGGCTCTCGCTCGTCAGCCGGAAGTTGAGGGACATCGCTCAAGAAGCACTCGTGAAAGAGGCTATCCTCCCAGAAAACGGCATTCGCAAGTTCCTTGACGTGCTATGCAGTCGGTCGGATCTAGCGTTCAAGATCAAGAGCGTGGATTTGGGCGACTATCAGTCGGGTGGAAGTCCCGGTAAGATATTCGACTTGGACAGAGATAATCTATTCCGCAAATGCCGCAGGCTCGTGGACTCGATCAACGGCGCGGGGCACTTCAGCAAGATCCTCAAGGCCATTGGAAAGGGCGATGACACGTTCTGGACGACGAATCGCCAGTACTTTCTCGACGTCCTGGTAGCTGTGGCCCCGAACCTTAGGGAATTGACGTTGGAATTACCGGGCATGAGCGCACTACAGGTTCTCCGAATTCTGACTGCACAAGATGATTCTGAGCCACAAACCCTGGTAAGCCCTTTTCAAGGGCCTGCTTTGCAGTTGCTGAGAGAGAGGCTGCGCGTTCTCACCATCTCAGAGATGTCAGCCTGGAAAGGTCTCAGGGTACATAATGTCACGTTTCGGGGGCTCTCTCAACTTGCGCGACTGACTTTGCCACTGAATACGCTCATCAGCCCGGAAATTGATCCACCGGACGCAGTCGAGGCGTTGCCTCCCAATATAGAGCGCCTTCAGATTCGGCCCTGCAACCGCCATATTCTCCGCTGGCTTCTCAAATTTGGAGACTCTTATGTGGATCGAAGGTTCCCAAAACTACGCCGGATCGAGCTGTTCTTCAAATCTTGCCTGAGAACCAGTCTTCTTCTAGTCGATCAAGGCCGCGGCGTATTAAAGCTCTTCCATGAGCTCGTCCAACTCATGAGCCGAGCGGGCTTGACTATCACTGCTTATTCGGGGAAAGATGGAAACCGCAACGGCTTACTTGAAGAGCTAGATGCATGGTCCCATCTCTCCGAGTTCGAAACATGGTTGGCTGCCACGAAGGGCCAGCAATTCTCTGCGGCGGTGGCTAGGTTTGAGGATGGCGTTCCGCGGCGTAGGACTAAGGAGGAAACTCGTCTTTTCCTGAGGGGCCATAGACCCCCAGCGAACCTTCGCACGAGCTGTGAATTCAAACCGAAGATTTCCCTGGAAGGCATACCGTCTCTAAAGTTCGACAAAGACATGGAGCCCGCAACCGATAAAGCTACCTGTTCCCTTGACGATCAAGCTTGGAAGAAGATATGCTCCTTCTATGATATCAAGGAGATGAATAACAGCACTTCGTCAAAGCCGGGCCAGACACAGGCAACAGACGAGAGTGAAAAATCAACCAACAGCCTTCCACCCGTCGCGGCCCTCTTTCCTTCCCAGATTGAACCCTGTTTGGGTTCTCAGTTCAACGCCAACGAGTGGCTCGGTGTGACCTTCTTCACTGCCTCGAAGCCAGCACCGAAGTGGAGCTCGAAGCGGCCAAAGCAGGCGAGAGGCCGCATTAGCAAGACCTCCAAGGTGCCCGATCAGAGATCGCCGACACCGCGGCCACGGCGACTGAAGGAAGTCGGATAGGACTGGCTACGTTCTAACATGAGGATTAGGGGATGCACTGGCCTCAACGCACGGCCGCGGAGGATAGCATCATAACTCAGGACTTCCTCTACAATGGGAGCATCAATCCAAGAAGGTCCGCCGAGGGGAGCATGAGCACTGGCTGCGTCCAATGTCAGATGATGTAGGGGTGGACGGGCTCTATAACTTTGGGGGTAATGTCTTATGTGCATCTATGTCCACAGGGCGTATCAGCGTGGGCAGTTCATAGCGGTACTGCAGGGATATGGGGGTTACGGTGGAGAGTGGATCACGATATCATATGCGTAATTTAGGAAGGTGCCCCACTTCTCTCCTCTTCGCGTGAATTTAAGACTGAGTTTCACCTAGCAAACACAACACGAAGAGACCACGAAAACTTAGCGCCCCTCCACCTGAAGTAACAGTGCCATGTGACACCGCGCTGACGCGCGAACCAGGTTTAAACCCCCGCGCACCCCAGGTTGCCCACTCCACCGCCTGGCTAGGCAGCCACTTCCATCGCACTCCACGCCGCTCATCTCATCCCGACCCCGCAACCCTCACAACGCCTAACCCAGCCCGGCATGCCGCTCATCTACACCCTCCCGAACGAGCTTCTCCTCGAAATCGGCTCCCACATCCACGGCCGACACCGAAACACAGACCTCGCGAGTCTGTGTCTCGTCTCCCAGCGCCTCCGACCCGTCGGCCAGGAGCACTTGCTGCGCGAACCGACCTTCCACCTCGACCAGATCCACAACTTCCTCTGGGAGCTCGGCCACCGCTCCTGGGTCATCCCCAAGATCCGCCGCCTGGAGATCAAAAGCACGCGCAAGAGCAGAGTCGACGCCGCCGACGAAAGAGACGCCTCCCGCTACATCCGCTATCCAGCGCTCGCCTGCCCGCCCCAGATCGCCCAGAGCACAGAGTTCCTGCACCGCTGCAACGCGCTCATCGCCTTCTACGCGCGGCACCCCAAGCACCAGGCGCAATGGCAGACCGCCCTGCACACGGACGTCGTCGCCGCGCTGCTCGGCATCGCACTCGTCGTGCTGCCCAACCTGCAGCAACTCCACCTCGCCGCGACATGGCTGATGGACTTCCCCGTCTTCGCGCCGCTGCTAGCAGCCAACGTCACAGCGCGGCCCTCCATGGACTGGAAGCACGACTTCCTCGCCGGCGCGCTCGCCGCGCTGCGCGACAACCTGCGCGTCCTGCACGTCCCGACCGACCTGCGCGGCATGCAGTTCGCGCCGCGGTGCCGCGCGCTGTTCGACTTCCGCGCCTTCACCCGCCTGCGCGAGCTCAGTCTCCCCATGGACGCGCTCTCCTACGGCTTGTACCACCGCGTGCGGCCGCCCGCGGAGCCGCGCGCTATCCTCCCGCAGTCGCTGGAGGTCCTGAGGATTAGTGAGGCGACGGAGACGACGGCGAACTTCGTCAACAATCTCTGTCTGGCGAAGAAGCGCGCGAGCTTCCCTGGCCTGCGCCGCGTGGAGGTCATCTACTGCACGCATCGCGGGCGTATACTGACGCGCGCGTACACCATGCGGTGTCCGCATCCGGTGCGGGATGTCGTGAGCATGTGTACGGATGCTGGGCTGGGCGTGTGGCTGTACTTTCCAGGGTCGCTGATGTGTACCGCGGATGCGGGGGCGTCGCTGTGGGGACTGAGGGACGCTGGCCTGTTGAGGGAGGTGGAGGAAGAGGTGTGGGCGAAGAGAATGGGGGTGTTTGGCGTTCCGGAGCCGAGATGGGAGGTTTTTGAATTGGGGATTGATGCGGATGGGGATGTGGAGATGGAGTGAGAGGTGGAACTGAGGATGACAGACTCCAGCCTCGGTGCCAATTGCCAGGCGATGCTTCGGAACTAATAATCGGGAGACGGTGTCGGATTCTTCCCATCCCCGTGGTTGCGAGCATGTGGCTTCTAGATACGACTATTGCCCGTCGTTCGGAAGGCATACACGACTATCTCTCTTGATCTCGTTAGCGAAGCACTTGCTCCCTCTACAAGGGTTGCAGTTCTCCCAAGTCGCGGAAGGAAAACCAACGCGTACCAGTACCACGCCCAGCACACCACGTGTTTATCCGTATAAACATCCCGTGCGCATATGCATATAGACTCCGCATTAGAAACGACAGAGTCGAAGAAAGATCTTTGATTGAAAAAGCACCGGATCCACCAGCCCGCGAATCGAAGGATAAATATATACAATAGAAGACACACCCGCTAAGCCGCGCGCAATGCCAAAGGAATGCTTTTGAAGAACCTCATCGGCAAAGATCCTCGCCTCAATTCACCGCCCTCCTTCCCCCTTCTACCACTGCTCAGCAAGCAGAGATATCTGCATCGGTATAGATACAATAGTCGCTGGGACCGGAGCTAATCTTCGTCGGCTCATCGCCGGTGTCGTTGCCCTCATACTCGGTGCAGATAGTATCCGTGTTCGTAATGCACGAGTTCGTAATCGTCGCCGTATCGCCATAGTTGCTGTTAATGCCGACGAAAGACGAAGTTCCACCATCGGCGATAACACCATCAATAGTGACATGGCGCTCGTACATAGTATCGCAGTTCCCGCAGCTGCGGTACAGCTTGCCAAAGTCCTCGACGTAGAAGCCGCTGATCGACACAGTGCCGCCGCCATTGTGCTGGATGACCTTGTCGTCTGCGCCCTTGGCACCGCCGCCAATCACGTACGAGGTACCGGACTCTTGCTTGATCGTCAGCGCGTCTTCGCACACGGCCTCCCACCACACGTTCTCGATGGTGCAGCTGCCCATGCAGTGGATGCCCTCGCTCTGGTCCGCGCCGATGATGACGTTTTTGAGCGTGCCGCCCTCCTCGATCTGGAAGACGGCGTCCGAGTCGCCGCCCTCGGATTGCCCGGTGCAGGAGACGCCGCGGTCGAAGCGCACCATGCCGCCGTCGAATTCGCCCGTGACGACCATAGGCTCGCTGAGACTGCTTGAGCCGGCGGCTTCGGGGAAGGTGGTGGTTGCGGTTGCGCTGCCGGAGCTAGAGCCGGTCGAGTTGCTGCCGCTCGTGGGAGAGGAGGTCACGGTAGGGGAGGCAGAAGCGACGGCGGTTGACTCGGAATCATCATTGTCGTCATCGTCGTCGTCATCGTCCTCTTGGGTCTGGGTGTTTTCGGAGGTCAAAGTAGTGGAGGGGAATACGAAGGAGACTAAAAGAGCATACAGTTAGTGAAAGTCTCGGAGTACGAGGAGGGAGAGAGCATTAGAGGGACATCCACGTACCAGTGCTCAAGTTGTCAGCACCAGTAGGGAGAGCGGTAGGCTCGGTAGGAACTGGGCCAGAAACTTCGCCTGAAGGAGCTCCCATGCTTGGGACGCCGCTGAAGCCGCCCGTGGGAAATGGGGCACCGCCGCTGGGGAACGCTCCTGATGGAGAGCCGCCGCTGGGAAAGGGCAGATCGGATGGGATGTCCGTTCCGAACGGAGCCTCAGAGCCACCGTGATGGCCGTGGCCGTGGCCGAAACCGCCAGATGCAGCTGCAGAGGGGAAGCCTTCGGACGGGAAAGCGCCGCCCGTAGGCGTTGGCATGCTGGTGCCAAACGGAGCGCCAGAGCCTCCATGGCCGTGACCATGGCCATGACCCCCAAAGCCACCAGACGGCATTGGCATGCCTCCAGAGCCCGACGGGAAGCCGGAAAAGGAGTGCTCGGCGCCTCCCGACGGGAATTGGCGCTTAACCGGAGCGGCGCCCGTCGGTGTTGGCATGGCGCCGGAACCAAACGGCATGCCGGATCCGTGACCGTGACCGTGGCCCCCGAATCCGCCTGATGGCATGGGCATACCCCCAGAACCGAAAGGCATTCCAGACGGTCGACCGCCTGAGGGCATTGGGAAGCCAGATCCAAAGGGCATACCAGATGGTTGGCCGCCTGAGGGCATGGGGAACTCGCCGGACGGGAAAGGCGCGCCAGACGGCGATGAGCCCTCGCCCGGAGCGCCAGTAGCGAGAGCGGCGGCGGCGGAGAAGTCTCCAGTTGGGAACGCGCCGCCGGAAGGTTGAGGACGGCCGCTGCCCCGGGGTTCGCCTCCTTCGGTGCCATTTCGTCCTCCCGGACCGTGGTGATGGCCCTCGCCGCCGAAAGAGCCTGTTGGGCGAGCGGATCCTGCACCAGTACCGTGCGCGCCGCTGTGATGACGACCCGCGGGAGCAGCCTCAGCAGCCGCGAAGATGAGCGCCGCAGCGGCGATGGTTGAGAGGGAGAAACGCATCGTTGCAATCGCAAGGGGTTTGCACAGCAAAAGAAGGACGAGAAAACAAAAAGATTGTGGCTAGCACAGGGCTAAAAAAAGTTTTACGAGTTCAAGAAAAGAACTGTACAGGAACGAATGAAGGGAAGGTCGCTGACGAGGGTGAAGAAGGAAAGCAACGTGATGTCGTTATGTTCTTTATACCAAGCCCATCTGATAATCCATCATCATGGAATCATGAGATGCGGATCCTAGGACTAGGGTTACGTACACCACCCCTCGGAATAAACATCAAACAAACAGGCGCCACAAGTGGACCGTCAGGCTGGAGAAACATCGGTCTGGAAGCCCGGCTGCTTCGGTGGCGGCCGTCATCGCGGGAGCTATACTCACGCAACACATGGATCGATCACGCTCTATCCAGCCTTGCGTTTCAAAAGACGCCCGTTTCCGTCGCTAAAGAGATCGCCGTCAGGGCGGAACAATATATGAGAGGAGGCGCCATGTTTCAACGGCGGGTTAGGCTCTTGGCGCGGTGCCTCAGGAAAATGATAGGAAGCAGTGATGACGAGTCCACGGGATGTTTCCTCGTCCCACAGAAATGGATGGCGGATCTCGAAGTTTGGGTTCTGGACGTTTCGAACTGGGATGTGATCGGAGAAACTCATCCTTGGAGGAACAACTCTTGGGGCGGCGTTTAGGCGTGCTGAAACAACGCACAACCCGGCACATCCCGTGCGGAAGGTCGAATGATTCGCTTCGGCGATTCTCCACTGGTAATTGTTGGTTGACTCGGGGAAATTCAGGCGGTCGCAGTAGTTTACAACGCGCGACGGCGGTTGTACAAAGAGGCCAACATTATGCTTCCGGACGTCATCCTTTGATGATGGCGCTGCCGTGAAAGACTTGTCCCGCCCCAAGAATGCTTGTCCCTACGTCCTCTTTCCTGAGCAAGGTGTTTCTAGTAGCTACTGATCCGTAGTGATTGAGATGTAAGTCATGGCACTGTCGCGATCCGATGGAAGAGGTGGCGCTTTTGTCAACATTCTGAAGCCAGCAAACCAAGATGTAGTATCGGAGCCGATGGGCTGCGATACACACCGCTTGTGCGGGCAACTTAGCGACTTATGGAAGCCCGCAAAGGGGACAACGTCTTCCCGGGTATAGAGCACGGCCGAATGACACGGGAAACGGAAGACATGTCGCCTTCTGATCGTGTCGAGGGTGACGGAGCGTGGGATCTCCTCTGCGCGCTCAGCCCAGGGCCACGGCTTGTTTTCTCTCGCCAAGCTACCATGCCAAATGGTGCCATTCCGCCAAAGAGTGTGTTATATAAACGCCACACGCCCTACCCACTACCATTGTATCCTGACCGCCGGCCTCTAGTATTGGGCGTGGAGTCGGCGTTCGATCGTCGGGACGGCGGAGACGTAGGCGGTTGTGCTTGAGGGAATGTCGCGTACGGCTAACGATCACTATGATATGGTCAACTGTCACGGAGCTTGCGTTCTTGCAGGAAGAAGGCGCATTTCGTGAACGTGGTGTTGAGCCACTGGGTGAGTCGGATGACGCTAGTTACTAAGCAAGGTCAACCAATCACACGACATCTTCGAACTTCCATCTCGCCAGCCCTCATGACGTTGCTCGGCAGATCGTCAGTTTGCTGATTCCCCTCTCGCAAAACAATCTCAATCACCCTCTTGGGATATTTGCTGCGGATCGGTCCCAAATTGCCTCCGTATTTGCGAATTAGGATGGCCTCGCTTGGCAAGGCCACCAACCTTGGAACCACCATGGCAGAGTAAGGCACCATAAGCACGCCCCGCCGCCCTCCACTCCACTCAATTTGTCTGCTCGCCCTCAAGCACATATACGGCCAAGCCAAGAACTCCCAGATAACAGCCAGCCATAAACCACTGCCACTATGACCGTCACGTCGATCGCCGAGGCAAAGAAAGAGTACACCGTCATCCAGGCCTCTCTCCTCATCCCGGGTCGCGGCGATCCCTTAAAAGACGGCGCCGTTGTCATCTCAGAAGATAAGAAGATTCATTTCGTCGGACCGGGGTCATCAATTCCCGAAGAATACGCCAACTGTCCCAGGCACAATGTCCCCACTCTCCTTCCCGGTTTGTGGGACTGCCATGTTCACTTTGCTGGTGCGACCAGCTTCAATCTTTCCCAGATACCCTTGATCCATCCTGCCACCGCCGGCGCGCGCCTTGCACGCTCAGCAGCGGACACTCTGAATGCAGGCTTCACCAGCGTCCGGGACCTTGGGGGATGGGCTCCCGAGCTGTCGCTGGCGATTGAGGAGGGAACGATCATCGGTCCGCACATTTACGCCGCTGGAGCAGCCATCAGTCAAACCGCGGGACATGGCGACCTGTGGGACCTTCCACATGGCTGGGTCCGGCAATGCTGCGGAATTACTGAGCCCTCTCACAATCAGAATACCGGAGTAATCCCTTTCTGCATCGCTGATGGCGTGGACGAATGCCGAAGGGCCGTACGCTTGCAGCTCCGAAGAGGTGCGAAGGTCATCAAGATATTCGCAAGCGGTGGGGTTACCAGCCTTGGGGATAATCCCCTATATCAACAATTCTCGGATGAGGAATTGAAAACTATTGTGGAGGAAGCTGGACGTGCCCATAGAGCCGTCGCAGCTCATGTTCATGGCAAGGAGGGCATCATGGCGGCGCTGAGGGCTGGCTGCAAGACGCTTGAGCATGGCACATACCTGGACGATGAGTGCTTTGCGCTAATGAAAGAGAAAGACGTAATCCTTGTACCTACGAGCACCGTGGTGCACGAAGCACAGAAGAATGCGGACCTTCTCAGCCCAGAATCGCGCCTCAAGGTGGTTGAACTTGGCAAAGTCGCGGCAGGGATGTACCGGAGCGCTGTCAAGTCGGGCGTCAAGATAGCCTTGGGGACAGATCTCATTGTTTCGATTCCAGGTGGCGGACTTAGTCATGGGAACAACGGAGCAGAGCTGGGGTATGCAGTCGAAGCTGGGATGACACCACTGCAAGCCATCGAAGCCGCCACAGCGACAGCTCCGGAGACGCTAGGTCCGCAGGCTCCTATGAGCGGACAGCTCAAGGAAGGCTATGATGCTGACCTTATTGCTCTGGATGGGGATCCTCTTGAAGACATCACTTTGGTGAATAAACCTGATCGGATCACCCACGTTTGGAAGAGCGGCAAGCTGTTCAAGCAGCCGAAAGCATAGAGGACGATGGACGCAAACACCAATCATTCTTTCTTATGAGTTCTTTCCGAAATGTACAGGCAAATTACCAGAGCACTGTTATCATCCCTGCCATATCCGGCATAAGTCAAGCGGTGTCGTCCTACTAACTACCAGCTCGATACGCCCACAGGCGCCAAAACCACGGGGATCTCAAGTGTCCTTAGAGAACCGCCCATTTCCCGTAACAACAAAGTCCACTGCGTTGGACGCGCCAGATTCCACGCGCCGCAAATCACCGCAGTCCTCCACGTTGTCAATCACTCGCTCCGCCCATCCGAAAGGGTATTTTGGCGGCAAGTTCCCGACGTACAGACGCAAATACTCTAGGCTCCTAGGAAGTGCCTTGCACACAGTTATATGCGGGCCAGGAGTGTTGCTTCTAGGCCGAGGCACGACGCTTCCCATAGGCAGATGTAGCCGCTTCAGCTTTCGAAAGCGGTGGAATCGTAGATGCATTCCCTGGGCGAACATCAACTTCTTGTACTCGCTATCATCTACGATATCCAGCACCTCCAGCCTCTCACAGAGGGACGAGAGAGCTTGGTGGTGCCACTTGAGATGGATCACGCCCATCATTTCGTCGCCCGAGCGGAGCAAGTTTGCCAGCAGCGGCAGGTATATGATAGTGCTGGCGCCAATGGACAAACTCGTCAGATTGGATGCCATGGCCAGGATTAGCGACAGACCGGTTGAGGCGAAGCTGTCTTCGAGCATGACGGCGCATTCCCAGGCCTTCGTGTTCTCCCCTGGACGGGCCTTGCGGATGATGTCGCAACATATGGCGTAGTCCTCCTCGGTGATGCGGATTCGCTTCTCGTCGTCGGACTGTTCCAGCTCGCGACTCGACCGGACATCCAACGAAGTCAAACGCAGCTGGGTTATGGCTTCCGCCAACGAGGGGTTCGGGAGCAGCGCCTGGACGAGCACCCAGATGTTCCTCGGTTCGAGAAGGCCGCCGGGCTGTAAGGCGACTTCTTGTACGATGCCACGGAAGCGTCGACAGACGACAGCCAGGGTCAAGAGATCGGTGTCGCAGTGCTGAGAGCTGAGGGCCTTAGCGGTATTGAGGAGGAGCTCGTCCGGGAGCGAAATAAGGGAGACTTTTGGGACAGGGCCTGGCGCTAGGGCTCTCTCTTTGTCCTTTGCAGGAGCGACTGAATGTTCTGGATCTCCGGGAGCGTGCTCCTTGGACGGGTGAGCGGAGTCGCCGACCTCGACCGCCAATCGATGTTTCTTTAGAGTTTGACCATGCTGGCCATTACTGGACTTGGCTCGCTTACGGTTGTCCGACATGCTTTGTGTGTTGCCTGCACGGTCTTCGGTGATGTTATGGTCGAACTTGAGCTGTGCGCGGGTGTTTTTGAAAAGTTTAGATTTAGGAATGGGCGGAGGATACTCGTACTTGCCCCAAGCGGCTAAGGCTATTCACCACGGGGTGACTTCGGAGGGTAAAGGTACCCCCTGCGTTATCTGCTCGTGTCACGGTTCACTTCGCCGGAAGCCCAGAGTGGCTTGGGTAGCGGTTGCGGTTGCGGCATGTTGCCCGATCGGCTACGCTCTATGGTGAGTCTCCCTTTGGACAAACTGGGAATGGGAGCAAGAGAGGTTGATATCTGAGGCCTTGGTACAGTGTTGAGCAGCTCTGTCATGCTTTCACTAAGAAAAGGCTACCCCGGCAAGTTGTGGCGCTATGTGTGCTCGCAACCTCACAAAATGCAGGCAATACGGCTCTACCGCAGGCAAGTAAACAGTGCAAGTTTCACTCGTAACATGGCTAAATTGTGGATGCAGATTTGGCCTCGTTCCATTAACGCCGTCGCCGAGTGTGCCACCAGTAAATAATTCCTCCGACGCTCGAGCTGGCTTAAGAATCTTCATCCCTTCAATAAGCAGGCATTCCGAATAAGCCTAAAGTCCATGGAATTATCGCGCTCGGCACGAACGTGTACAGCTAGATGGTCAGTCAGCATATCGAGCCAGAGCCTTACCGAGTATGTCGCATTTTCTCTCCCTAAGCCTGTTAAATACGCGTGTCGCATTCACAACAGCTCATCGCCCTCGGGCATAGCCAGGCTTGACGACCTAACGAAAGCTGTAGAAGTCTGTAGATTAGACTCACAAACCTCGCTCTCCTCCGCAAGCATGTCGCTCAGCTCCTCAGTATGCTCGTCGAGCCCACGAATCGCCTTCATAAGCGTTAGTGTACGGAAGTTCTGCGGCTCATCTCCATCGCTCTTGCGCTTCAACCTGTAGAAGGAGATGCTAAGTGAGATGGAGGATGCTGCGAACTTCTTCAGCACCGCTTCAACGAGACCTCGCTTGTCACCGCTTGGGCTCAGGTCTGGCACCACATCCTTGCCGTTCTCCTTGAGATGAAGGCTCGTCGGAGTGTGTTCAATATACAGGTCTGCTAGAAATGGGCGCAAGAGAGAGTGGAAGCAGACCTGGATGTGTGTGAGGGAGGGGAATGTGGAATTCCTGAGAGCCAGGAGGGTGGTTAGCCAGGTGAAGATATGGAAGTCGAGCGGGATGTAGATACGCAGTGATTGAGCGTTTTCGGGGAGGATAATAGTAGGGTCCTTGAGGGGCGCTTCACCAGGCTTGGTGTTGGGCATGAGGAGGCCTTCGTAACCGAGCTCGAAGACTTGCGGTGCAGCCTGGTTCAGGCCAGTCGCTCGCTTCTTGGTCAAGCATGGAGCATGCTCGATTGCGGGAGCCATAACTCCTTGGCGACCTCCGGTCGGTGCAGTTGTGCCCATAACATCGGAGTCATGTCGACTGGCCAAAGCACCCGAATCGGTGTTATCAGAAGTCGCGGAATCTTCAATGGCTCGGAATGACCAAGACGCGGCGAAGTCGTCGGCTGGCGAGACGATCGGGAAGGAAAATAGAGAGGGGGCCATATTTCTGATATTATTGGTTGCAGTTATGAGCTGTGTCCGTTGGAGGTTGTGGTATGATTATGCGTTGGGTCGGAGCGGAGGAAGCTAGGGAGCTTCTTCATGCACATGAGTTGCACGCGCCAAGTAATCGGCTAACTTGCGCAGGTGATGTCGATGAGTCGGCGAATATCTAGGAAGGGTCGTTCACCGGTTTTCGTGATTGCAGGATGGGTCGGGGAAAGTGTTCGACCGGCCGAAAGAGTCAAGCGTGATGAGTCCTCTCTTCCGTTCGCTTTATGACTCACGAACTCCTCTTTTTCTTATAAACCACTTGGCCTAATAGTCTCACCGCTCTACTCCACACCCTCTCCACTCTCTCATCATGCGTCTGCCATTGGAGCTTGTCCGTATCATCCTCGCCTATGTTGAGAGCGACTCCACGCGGGCTGAATTGCTCCGCTTTCGCCTTGTAAGCTGTACGTATACCATTCTTTGCTCTCCCGTCGCACACTCACAATTGCAGCCACTTTCGATCAGGAGATGCTCTCATTTCTCTTCTCAAACACCAAACCCGTCAACGAACCGCGCCTCATCAACGGAACTTTCTGGGCGACTACCTCAAGCAACCTCCAACAGAAACACCTTCGCTTCATCTTGAAGTGGAATCGCGTCGAGCCAAATCTTTTCGCCCATCTGTTCCTGCCCGTCCTCGAGCGCCGCTTTGCCGAGCTAGGTATTAAGGACCATGAGGAAATCAAGAAAGAAGAATGCTTGACCGAGCTGCTTCGCATTCCCATGCATGATATGAGTAATGCCTGGGTTGTCGCTCATAAGAGGGAGAAGTTCGACTCATCCATGGCGCGCATCTTCGGAGACGAAGGCAATGAGTCACTAAAGGAAGACGACGAAGACGAACCGAGGTCCGCCATCTTGTCTCGAAAACAACAAATCGAAGATGACTACCACTTCGCTCAGACTTGTTGCGCCATACTTAATAATGACGACGATCATCTTCTTCGCACGCTCAAAAACGGCACCATCGAGATTAGTCGACCCAATCTATGCTTTGGAACGACTCTACTAAAGGTCGCCCTCAAGCACAGCAAAATAAGGACCCTACGTCTTGTCCTCGAGCTCGGCCAGCTTGCTGGAGATGAGAAAGTCTACGAGTTACTCCGCATGGCCATGCTAAGAGACCAAGATAACAAGGAGGCAATCAGTCTTCTCATATATGTTCTCATAGCTTCTAAGGACAACTGGGACCTGGCGCCCAAAGACTCCATCCACTTCATCTTCTCGAAGGCAATCCTGGAAGACCATCTTCCAATCTTCGACTGCGTACTTGAGTGGGTGCACAGCAACTGGCACTCCGAGAGCGTTAAGTGGGTTCTATATCAGGGAAGTCTTGAAGCTCTCTACGCAGGCAATCTCGTCATCCTTGATCGCCTATGCACCGAGCTTACAGGGCTTTATGAATCGCGCCGGATTCAACACGTGCTTCATGCGGCATTGAGGTTGGAACAGTGCGACGTCACCATCTTGACGTTGCTAATGAAATATGGCGCCAGCATCGACGAAAATCACCCCGAAAGCAAGAAACGGCCGCCCTCACCGCTTCGTCCCACCGCAGAACCAGGCCAGGAAGGCCAGGTCGAGGCGTTATTGCGGGCGGGTGCAAACCCGAGGAATCGCATTCGAGAAACTTGGGCTGGCCGTGGATGTGGTGCCTTGATGCGGGCAATTAACCGGGTTTTTCGATAACTTGGAGAACTTCAGGCCATGACTCTTTATAAGTGTAAGCTATAGCCGTAGTAGCTAGGGTAAATATAAGGTAACACTCCTCTAAAAGGCAGCACAGGCTTAAGTACTCTGGGGTTCGAGGAAGGACATTGCAGTGACTCGAGCAAGAAGTCTCGCCATTGCCGGGGTGACTCGGAAAGCATCCAGCCCGAAGGGCTCGTAGGTTACTCTGTTCATGGGAACTGACAAACGTAGGTTTTTGAAAGTGGCCGAATCGCAGGCAAGGTCCATGAACCTGGGCGCGGGGGGGCTGGTATTGGGGGCTGTCTCGAAAACTTGATCGTGTCATTTGGAGTGAAGTCAAACGTCCAATGGGCTGTAGTTCTACACATTACCGCACTGCTATCCAATGCCAGGGGCTTTAGGTCTACCGTCTTAAGCAGCAAAGATGGGCAGACTGATTGAGATGAAGTCATTACACCGTAGGAGAGCAGCTTCCCACACCTTCAGTCGGCGTAGTCGTGCCCGCAATACTGGAGTCGCGTAGACTGGCCCAAGTACTCTAAGCAGCGTTGTCGGAAGTCGAATTCGCGTTCATTGAGTTCTCAGCCCGCATTCTGAGCCTTCGACCACTTTACTGGTTAGTGCGGACGGTAACGGCATCTCGTGCAATGTGGTAGTCCCATCACATTTATGGCCGAGGTGTTTCCTTTATTCAGTTCTGCAACATACCAATCAATAGGATCAATTTCATATCGCAGGACTACCCAAGGAAACATATCAATTCCAAGCGGGCCAACACATCATCCCCAGGTTCTCCACAACTCCCCTCCCCAAATCAAGCCTTCACACACTCAAACCCCTTCCAAGTATCCAGCGCATTGCGAATCTCAACGGCATAGTTCGGAATCCCTCCGGCATAATTGACCTGCTCGTACGCCTTCCCAGGAATGCTGCCACCCATGTACGTGCTCCTCGTGGTCGGGAACAGAGTCGCATCACTGAGCGCATTGATGCGCTTTTTCCACTCTAGGGTAGCTTGCTCCGTTGGGTTGATGTACTTTAGACCTTGGCGCGTAGCCTTCTTGATACAGTCGACGACCCATCGGCCTTGGACCTCGACGGTCGATGGGCCATTGGATAGTAGCGTTGGGCCATGGGGACCGTATAGGTGGAACATGTTTGGATAACCTGGTGGAGAGTGGAGTTAGTGATGGTGGAAGCGATGTTAAAAGGGATGGCTTACCGGAGACGGTTGTTCCCAGATAGGTGTAAGCGGCCTTTTTCCATTCGTCGTTGAGCGCAGTGTTTTTGATGGAGACGAGGCCCATGTTCGTCATGCTACCAGTCGTGATGTCCTAGCACCTGTGAGCCCATGTAGTTTTCTTTACGTAGATCGAGCGGGGCATACAAATCCGGTCGCGACCACAATCACATCGAACTCGTAATGGTCGCCATTCTCGAGCTTGATCCCGGTTTCGGTGAACTCAGCGATAGCATTGTTACTGATGTCAACAACATCGACGTTGGGGCGGTTGAACTGCTCGTAGTAGTTCTGTTCTAGGCAAGGACGCTTCACGCCGAAGTAATGCGGCATCTTGAGCGGCGCGAGAATGTCGCGCTTGCGAGGATCGCCGATACGGTTGCGCACGTTCTTGACCCAGAAGTTGTATGCTTCATGGTTGGCTTTCGCATCGATGAGCATCTATCTCTGTTAGTCAATCAAATGATAAGAAGCGAATAAGGACGTACGTCTTTGTAGTTGCCCAACCAGAATCTAAACCCTCCGTAATCCCATAACTTGTGATAGAACGCCTCCCGCTCCTCTGGGGTGTCATCGAATGTGTTCTTCTCAGACATGGGGTACAAGAAGCCACCAAAGCTCTTCTCTCGGTAATCGTACAGCATGTGATACCCGACTTTCTCGCGATTCTGCTCCTCGGGGGTGAGGTTGCGCTTGCCCATCGGAATTGCGAGGTTGGGCGTGCGCTGAAAGACTTTGGTCTCTGCCGCCACAGGTGCAACTTCCTGGACGATTTGGACACCGGAGGCACCAGTGCCAATGACTGCTACCCGCTTGTCCTTAAGATCAACACCTAAAAAACTTCAGTGTAAGCCGTCTCGTCAATGCAAGAGAACATACCTTCTTCAGGCCAGAACGACGAATGATGCATGACGCCCTTGAACTTGTCCAAGCCTTTGAAGTTCGGGATATAGCGCTTGCTGGCAAAGCCCGCAGCGACTATTAAAAACTTGCTCTTGGCCAAACGCCCATCTTCAGTTTTGACATGCCACTTCCCCTCCTCTACGTTGAACTGTGCACCAGTAACTACTGTCTCAAATGAGCAGTCTTTGCTGAGGTTGAGGACGTTGTCGACGTGGTCGAAATAGGCGCGAAGCTCCTTGTAATCTGGGTAGTTGGTAGACCAGCACCAGTCCTTGTACGTCTCAGGCCAGGAAAACTGATACTCGGGGACTTCGGAGTCAACACGAGCCTGATGTAGAATGAGAATTAGCGAAGGCGAATTAGGTAGATGGCGGAGGGAGATTCACTTACACCTGGGTAGCGATTCCAGCGCCAGGTCCCACCGAAGGATTCACCGGCCTCGTAAATGACAGCCTTAAAGCCCTGCTCCCGGAGCGTCTTGAGGCAAAACACCCCTCCTAGACACGATCAGTCCGGTAATTCCTTGCATGAAGGCAGAGCGCCCACCGAATCCAGCGCCAACGATCAAGACATCGACATCCAAGTCGCCATTGTAAGGATACTCAGTCCCGCGGCGATGAGAATACTCCTTGAGCTCAGAGTGCATAGAAGGTGGCAGGGTCGGGGTCTCCGCGAGTGATGAGTTGTTGCCGTTCATGATGACGATACTGAAGGGCGACATGCAAAAGCAAACAGTGTCTAAAGTACCATGATCGCTCCATGGCGATGTATTTATCTATCCGTAGTTGATGTCTAATGTTCTGGTGGTTCGAATGATGGAAGATGCCTGATAGTAGCAAAGAAGTGGCCCGGAACCGGTGCGGACTACGGAACCGCTATGCGGACGCGTCCGTGGACTGGACAGGCGTGCAGTCTCAGAGACACCCCATTCGACCTGTTCATCCCGTAACACCTAGATGTCACTCGCCGTACGTTTGGGTGTAGTACGCTAAGTGGCCGGATTGGGCAAGACGTTGTTTCCCCGCATCACCGCGCACCTCGCTACGGATCCGCTCGGAGCCGCGACGGTCCCGTCTGGGAGCTAGCGAACCGCGTCCTTCCAAGATTCCAATTGAGTCCTCCACGGGAAAGGAGCTAGGGAAGGCTAATCCCCACTTGCAGCATCCGTGGGTCTGCGAGCTCGAGCTATTAGTAGATGCTTGTCCCCACCTTTCCGTGATGCATGCCTAGGTACTAATCCACAGCAGCTTGCGCACCACAACAATGCCGCTCTCTCCAGAATCCACAAAGAAATTGCAACAGACAGTCGAAGCCGCGTGCGCGAACCCCACGAACGACATTCCAGGACTGAGCGTCGTCGTCGTAGATAAAGATGGAAAGGAGCTGTTCGCGCACGCTGCTGGGAAGCGCGGGGTTAGCAGCTCTGAGCCGATGGGGCTAGGAAACGTATTCTGGATCGCTTCGTGCACAAAGATGGTCGCTGGAATTGCCTGCATGCAACTTGTCGAGCAGGGTAAGCTTCATCTGGATGATGGGGATGAGCTGGAGCGGCTCTGTCCCGAGTTGAAGAGCATCAAGGTGCTGCAGAAGGATGGAACACTGGTAGAAAAGAATAAGAAGATCACGCTAAGGATGCTTTTGACTCACACGGGTATGCTGTCCCTAATTAGTTGGTCGTTTCGCATGCTAACGCCCGTTAGCTGGCTTCGGCTACACCTTCTTCAACGACAGACTCCGCGACTTCTCGGCGCCCATTGGGTTCGACGAATTCTCCGGGCACATCAAAGACATGATGCAGCCGTTGGTCCACCAGCCGGGCGCAGGATGGGAATACGGGGTAAACATTGACTTCGCTGGGCTGGCGCTGCAGAGAGCAACCGGCATGTCACTCAATGATTACATGCACAAGAATATATTCCAGCCGCTCGGTTTGAAGAACATCTCGATGTTCCCGACAGAAAGCATGAAGCAGAAGCTGGCGCACATGCACCAGCGAAAGGCCGACGGCTCATTGATCCCGCGAGACCATTTACTGAGGAAGCCGTTGGTGGTTGAGGCTTCTGAGGCCTCAGATGTTTTCAACAGCGGAGGGGCAGGATGCTTTTCAACCCCCTCGGATTATTGCCGTAAGTATACGAGGAATGCACGCTGCCTACGTCGGTACTAATTGTTCAAAGAAATAATCGCAACCCTTTTGAACGACGGCACGTCCCCAACTACTGGCGCCCGAATTCTCTCTAAAGCCACCGTCGACGAGATGTTCACCAACCAAATCCCGGAATTCCCCGACTTCGCGCGGCAGGGCATCCCAGACGCAAAGCCCGACCTGACGAACCCCATTCCACAGATATATCCTGTACCGGGCGACCCTCCGCAGGGCTGGGGTCTGACATTCATGCTCAGCAATGGTGGTATAACGGGGCGGTCCAAAAGCACTGGCTTCTGGGCGGGCCTTCCGAACTGTTGGTGGTGGTGTGATCGAGAGAAAGGCGTTGGCGGGTTGGTTTGCAGCCAGATTTTGCCATTCGCCGATGCGAAGGTGCTGGGCGCGTGGTTTGATATTGAGGCGCAAATTTATAAGGCTCTGTGATTCTCTACGGTTTGATTTGGGAGTTTCTTATTGGTCGATTTTTTCACTCTGCTATCCAGGCTCCTTCTAATGGAGTAACGCTGGCAGACACGCAGGACGGGCTGTAGAGAGTGGAGAAGTACGTTGAGGCTACCGGACCATAGTGAACACGCTGAACCGAAACCAAATGACAGATCTAGCAGTGCTATTATTACCTTACGTGTTCCGAAAGCTCCGGCATGCAGTCGAACGCGCGACCGGAAGCTGAACATTCATAGGGGGATTGGATCGGGTAGAATTGGGTAGCTACATATGTACCCCGCATTTCAGACGTCGGTCCCAGTGGAGCGATCAACACATGCGGGGTGCATATAACGAACCTTGTCGTCGGTGTTATTAGCTTTCGTGGTTCCATTCATTCCAACTTCTCTTCCTTTATCGCACATTCCTCGCGTGCTCAAGAGTGCAGCCATGGACCCTGTCGACGTGCAACCCAGCCTAGCCCCGTTCCTTGACTACACGTGGACGACTCCGGACCATGCGAGACGTTCTCAACCACGACCGAGCAGAAAGCAAAACAGATGTTGCGATCAGTGTCGGAAGGGTAAGCGGGCGTGCGATGCTACGGTGCTCGAAGATGGGCTGCTTGACCCTCACGCGGTAACCCCGACTATCTTCCATTACAGCGGTAAGTCCGGATCCCGGAGACGTGTAGAGGCTTGAATTACTGGTCACTGACTGTTTCAGATGCTTTCGGCGCCCTGGCCCGGTGCGGAAATTGCCAAAAGACGCGGAAGCGATGTACCTTCGAGTGGCTGCAGTCACAGCGGGTAGCGCAAGCCACACCATTAAACTTCGCACCACAAGCGAAGGAGGCTCGAGCATCGATCGGCAATATCCAGCAACAACAAAGCGGGCTCGGATTTGATATGACCTTCTCGTCTCCTTGGGGGAGCTTTTCCTCTCCATACTTGGGGATCGAACCGAGTGTTAGCCCAGGGGTGACGGCGATAGAGGGGAACTTTGAGCAGGCCGACGACTCATCAGATCCTGACCTTGGGCGCAACTCTTTCTGGAACACTAGGTCATCCGCATCCGCATCCGAATCTATGTTTGAAGGTCTTGGAACCGAAGAATCGAGCATCGGAGGGGGCCTTCCGATCGCTCATGACGGTGTAAGCACGAACGGTGCCTTGTGCGAATTGCCCCGAAAACGACGGCGCCTTGAACCGATCGGACGCGTGTCCGATGGCTGCACTGCTTCCTCATCTCTATCCATGGCACACAAACTCCTTTCGTCGACGAACAATGTCTTCCTCACCGAAGGGTTGCTGAAAATTTACCACGATACATTCGAAAATGCGTTATCCTGCTGGTTGATCGAGAAAACATGCCCATACAGCAAAGAATCCGACCCTTCCGATATGCATCAATCTGGGCCGAATTGCACGTGGAATCGAATATACCATCGAGTCTTCCGGCTTGATCGGTTAGCCTCTCCCGCGGTAAGAGGAAGAAAGCTTAGCTGGAGCGAAGAAAAGGCTGCATCCAAAGCAATCAACCTAGCCGTATTCTCCTTTGCAACGCAATGGGCGCAATCGAGCAAGCGCAGCAAGGCCATGTATACGAATAGAGAGGGAACAACGAATAATATCTCCGAGGGCGACATCGACTCTTCGGAGACAAATGAGGATTTTGACCGTGCGCTACAAATTGCGGCCTGGCACGAAGCTCGCTCTGCCTTGCGCAATGCCTCAGAGATCGAATCATTCCGTGTAGTCCTCGCGCACATCGTCTTTTCCTTGACGCAGAAGCCGTGCGGAGCCGGGACTGAATCTCCTAGTCTCGGAACCCGGGGATCACACGAAGAGGATCTGGACCAACGCGAGGATCTGCTGTCCAAGCTGGAAATAGCAATCGATGGGGAGGGACCACCAATCCATCTCGAGCAAGGTCTCCGGCTTATTCATTCTTTGAGGTCTCGGATGGCTATATCCGAAGCCGCAGAGACTGCCACGCGTCGTCTTGACGCCGCTGATAAAGATACGGTTGATCTCCTTTTCTGGCTAGGCGTTATGTTCGACACGCTTTCGTCCGCAATGCATAAACGGCCATTAGTCGTGTCAGACGAGGACAGTGATGTCTACGCGCACGGCGAAAGGCCTGACGATGGCGTATTAGACGGAAACTGCAGGGGCTATTTCGAAGATGAACCGACTATGCCTCCTGTGGGCGCCGGAGGGCTTTGGGGCAATTACATCTTCGCCCGTCAGCATACACGGCTTCAAGATTCACCAGTGCGGTGGCCCTGCACCTACGATCAGGCCGCTTCCGTGCTTCGCGACGCTGCGCCGGTCAAAGTGCTCTTGTTCCGGAAACTGACCCGAATTCAAACGCTCCTAGGACGAGGCGCTCGGGCATATGCCATGGAAAAAGCCATCGCAGAAGCAATGGAGGTGTACCGCAGGTGGGGTGCTGTCTTTGCACCTTTCATGCAAGACTGCATTGATAACCATGACGATCTGCCTGCTCAGATTCAGTCCTGGTACATATGCCTTACAGGACATTGGCATCTCGGAACCCTACTGTTGGCCGATCTGCTCGATGTGATCGACAACTCTTCTCCACCGCTGAGTGAGCCTTCTCTCAGTGAAGAGCGCAAGACGACTAATTTTGTGGCAACATTTCGGAGAAAGAACTGCTGCGCACTTTCTGACCTTGCGAGATGTGCGTGTCCTCGAGAGGATACATCCTTTTCTAAATCACATGAGTTCCATTTTGCTGTAAACCAGGGGGCACTACTTACAGAACCCTGGACTGCGGTGTTGATTCGTGCTTTCGCAAAAGCAGGCGCCATCCTGTTGGAAACAGCATCGAAAGGTTGTAATTCGCCCGACGCAGAGGCTTTCCGTCGAGCAGAGGATTGTTCCGAGGCCCTCTTCTACCTTGGAAGAAAAAGCGATCAGGCTCTAGCAGCAGCGCGAATTCTAGGTGATGCCTTGCAGCAAAGGCCAAGGGGGGTTGAGAAAAACGCTCGCAATTGCAATAATCTCCTGGAGACCGAGCTTTGGAGCGAATTCGATGACTTGAATGGGGTGCACGGTTGGATTACGGTGTAATGGCACATCAAAAGGTGTCTTGTTGGAGCTTTCTAGGTTGAGGTCGGGTTCTTTTCTCGTTAAGGCCGTGGAATGCTTTTTATTAATTCCGGCCGGTCTTGACGTCTTTCTAAAACCTTCCTAATTTGGCAATTATCTACAAAGAGTACTTCCAAGGAAGCCAGCGAGTGATAAAGACTATGTAACTGCCTGACGGATACACCGTTACCCACCCTTTCTCGCAGTGAATGCGGTCGCGCAGTTACGTCACAGGCAACAAATTACGTGGAAAACTTCCAGACCACTTCCTCCAGCCCCACTCTCGGAACCACATCGACCATCACCTTCCGAAGTGGAGGGGTGTTCTCTCTTGCCATGTTACTCTCATCCTGTCCCGGCTCTGCCCATTTTCCCTCAACAGGTCTCAGATCAAACCTAGTCACCAGCAGGGCCACCAGCGCGGCAATTTCTGCAGTCGCAAACCCCTTTCCAGGGCACATATTCGCTCCACCACCAAAGCCACGGAAGGCGTTGGCAGGGATCTTGTTTCCAGGAAGGAAACGGTCCGCAACGAAAGTGTCTGCATTCGGACCCCAGACAGCTTTGTTGTGGTGCATGCCTTCGTGGGCGAGGATGAGTGCTGAACCCTTCTCGATGTGGTACTCGCACTCGTCGCCTGAAAGAGTTACGTCCTCTAGGATCATGCGGGGACCGGTTCCTCGAGCTCGGAATCTGAGGGTTTCTTGGATGACGGCGAAGAGGAAGTGAGCTTCTTTCAAACGGCTCATATCAACAATGCGGGTTTGGACTCCCTCGGTTGAAGGCTCTCCGACGGCTGTGAATGATTCGACTTCATCGCGAACTCGGGATAGGACGGCACGATCGGAAAATACGTGCCAGACGGTCCAGAATGCTGCTGGTACGGAGTTCGTAATAATGGCAAGTCCATGGACGCATTCCGATCGCGCGATATCCGAGATGTTCATGGTACCTTTGAGTGCTGTATACCTCGCCATAGTAAGCTGTGATGCATGGTGGTGTCCACCAGACGCATAGTACTGGTTCATGGCTCGGACAACAGCCTCTCGACCTGCAACTGCCCTCGGCGCTAGGATACTCGGCAAGATGCCAGGGAGAGCAACGAACATGGTCGCGTTCGCGAATTTCCTGAAAAATATTACACCCAGGAACTCTCGATGCAGCAGTGGACTCACCAGAATGCGGCTTCGATCTTAGGATCGCGATAGGGATTGCCAGCGCCGTATACCGCATCAGTGGTCGCCATCATGACCTCGTGCTGTATCCAAGTCTCGAGATCGGTTGGGGATCCACTCTCTTGCGCCAGATTTTGAAGGCCCTCATACATGACCCTTGTGGCCACTTCGATCATCCTGTTGAGATCGCCTTGAGGAGACATAGCCGCCTTCGTACCTTTCAAACAATCGATGAGAGGGCACTCATCGGTTGATTCAGGCGTGACTCCTTGGAAGCATCCGTTTGCAGCCGTTTGGGAGAGTCCACCCAGTTTGGCTGTAAAATGCGCTTCAAAGTACCAAAATGAAAGTACCTTTGGTTGACGCTGAACTGAATAGATCAGTTCGGGCGACTTCGTTACGTACACATTGCCGCCGAACATGGGAAGCGAAACAATACGAAGATTCCATTGCTGGCTGTCACGCTGTTAGACGAGCTTGTTTGGGGTCCGTTTGGGGACTGTCTTGCTACCTGATTTTGGTATAATAATGGTTGCGATAGATCAAGAGGCCGAGGACGTGTCCAATAAATGGTATCGGTATCGTTGCAGGCACCTGCTTTGGTTGACGAGGGTCGCGTGGCTTCTTCAATCTTCTGTGGAGAAAAAGGCACAGAATTATGACTGCTGCGCCGCAGAAGCTTGCGTGCGAAAGCGCTGGCGCCATGAGCGCGGTTTCGCACAATTCGGCAGTGTCCCACGAGCTCTACGGAAAATAACAAGTGCGATTACCGCGTGACACTGCAGTAGTCGATTTACCGGCGCTGGAGTACTTCGTTCGTCTGCTCGCGTCTTAAGACTGGGCTGAAATGAAAAGGGAGCCAAGAGGCGAACGGACAAAGGATGAGGCACAGCTGCAGGGGCGGGGCTCCAACAACGCCCCAGACATGGTACCGAGCTGGCGGGTAAACGGACCCTGTGTCCATCGATTGAGGTGCCAAATATGGGCAGTATACACACACACACACACATATATATATATATATATATATACTCAAGATCACGTCAGTTAAGCACGTGATCTGGCACGGGGGTAATTTTCTACAATGCCAACCTACTGGCCCTGCTAGGCTTCCTTATCACCGAACTTTCACTTCGCATGCACAAGAAACATGCTCCAAGGAATTGCTCTATTGGATTGAAGGCAACCGAATCCATGCGTAATGATGGGGCCATACTCGTTTAGCTGATCAACTGTGCCTCAGATTCGCAAGGCATATTCAACATCCGCGCAAAGCTTACAGGTTCCGGCTCAGCTGGGCTTATTATTGAAGTGGAAAGTTGAGTGTAACATTGATGGATTGAGAAGAGCTGAGAGCTCTGAGTATATACGTTAGGGTAACGCAATCACGTGATCAAAACTTGATCTTCAACAGTAAACAATACTCCGGTCCTCCCGCCAGGTACCTCACGGCCACTTCTGTCAACACTTATAGCCGGACCAAATTTTAACTCCCTTGTATCGAGTTGTGCGGGTCAACGACTTCAATCCCAAAATGGAGGAAAGTATCTTATTTGTTGCCAGATATGGTTACTGCTACACGTGACTTAGGTCATATATATAGTCATATTTCTCGTATTCTCCATCAATCGACTCATGTCACAATACTTACCACTTCCCCTAGAGTTATTGGATTCTCCAAAACTACTGGTTCTCCCCTTCTTGATTGTTGTTTCGATTTTACTCTTCCGGTTTGGACAAAGCTCAGTATGCTCTACTTTTACCTATGTATACAGCTCCGTCTAAACACAAGTGCAGGCTTCTCAAGGAGGAATCTTCTTCAAGTGCGTTCGCACGTTATGACAACGATACCGTTTTCTTTTACGAGGCCCGGATATCCTCATCGACGGCGACAAGCGCGCCAATGGCGAACCATGTCTTCTTCTAGACCCGGAACGAACAACAACCATGATCACATCACGTCATCATATCCGGGAGCTTGAGGAAGCTCCATGACACATGGTCTCTCTGCATGTGGTAGCTAAAGGTGTAAATTTCCTACACTATCATCCACAGACATGAAATACAGACTGAACCCAAGCTCATCAGTTCATCCAACTCAAATATACCTTAAATGGGTTCGAGTCACTACAGTCACAATTACCCCTAATTTAGGGAATTTGCCAAAGAGTACCCCTAAAAAGACCCTTATTTTAGGGGCAATTTCCTAAAAGTCTCTCTAATTGAGGGATCGACGAACCGTAGTAGTGCAAGGATCAACGAGGAGTCAAAGGGACCGCGTATGTCGTTGCGCTCCACAATCTACTCACTGATCGTCTGCAAGAATTAGTGCTGAAAGCCCCCGCGATTCTCCGCGAGACACTCCAGGCTGAGATAGAGAAGTTAGGAACGGGGAACAATAAACGGAACCTCTTGCCCGTCTACGCTTCGCTGTCGTATGGCTAATGAACGTAAGTGTCGACGCCGAGATGTTACAGTTGCTTCCTCGTGGAATAGAGCCGTAAGAAGACATCCCACTAGATTACGACTTGCCAGTTGCTAAGTGAGCATACGCAGACTTATCGGGAAACTGCTCACGCAAAACCACGGATAATCGAGAGCAGTGTGAAGCTAAGCGATGGGCAATGACGTACCGAGGCCGTCCGGTCAGCCTCCGCGATGAGGCAGACAGAGTCTCCATTGTTGTGAAAGCACTAGAGCAGTTCATATTATGCTGATCTAGATATGAATTGGGCATAGGAGACGTACATGGACAACCTCATATTAATAATTGCAAAGAGACGGCAGCTCTCTCCGAGCACTACAACGAGATCCATCTAGTAGAGCTTATGACTAATGGTCGCCCTTATGGGAATGGATCGTATTCTCGTATTCCCAGACATACTCCATCCACCTCGACACCGTCGATATGCTGCGATACTTTCCCATCGGCGCCGAAGCGGATGAGATCCCCACCATGCGGGTCACTGGCAATCATCGGCTTCCAGCCCATGGTTTTCTGCGGGCCATGGTACGGATCCTTGACGAAGGCGAGAATATGGTCTTGCATCGACTGGCTGACGTCGACTTCGAACTGTGTGGTGTTCGCCACGTGGTCCAGGAGATGATATGTCCCAAAGGAGATGGGAATGTCGCTGGCGTGGTACGCCCCGAGCCACTTGTACTTATTCAAATTAGGAAACGTGCCCGCATGCTGGAACCGGAAGACGGGAACGTCGGCGCCCATCCGATTGCGATACACGGTCGAGTTGAACGTCGGGCACACGAAGCCTAAAATGTCGTAGGCGGTCACCAGTGGCTGGTACGGGCCCGCAGTCAGGTTGTCCACCGGCCACGGGACCAGCGACGAGAACTCGTTGGCCGCATTGGAGATGAGGAACGGCACGCGCGCGATGAGGCCGGCCTCGGACCGCGCCTTGTAGTCGGCGAAGACGATGCGGTCGTCGACGACCGGTTTGAAGGTCAGCGCGGGCGTCGCGCCCCGATCGCCGTACTGGCCGATGAAGTTCTCGATCATCGCGAACGGCACCTGGCGCATGCAGTCGAGCTCCGCTGCGCCGTCGTCATCGTCGTCATCGTCGCAGGCGGCCGCGCACCCAACGTTGCGCGCCACGAAGCTGAAGTTGGAATACGCCGGAGTCTCGGGCAGCGAGGAGCTGAAGATGGTCCCTGATTGTAGATAGTAGCCCTGGGCGATGGGGTCCTCGCGGAAAGCATAGGCATGGATATCAGTGGCCGCGGACCCCGCCGACCGCCCCCACTGCGTGATGCGGCCTGGGTTGCCGCCGAAGGCTGCAATGTTGTCCCGAGCCCATTCGAGCGCGGCGCGCTGGTCGAGGATGCCAAGGTTCTGATGGCCGTCGGGCAGCCCGCGCGCGTTTGGGAAGCCGAAGATGTTGACGCGGTAGTTGATGGTCACGACGATGTGTGACTGCGACCGCTCGACCCACGACGTCGGCATCTGCCACGGGATATCGATGCCGCCGATCTGCCAGCCGCCGCCCGTCACGAAGAAGAGGACGGGGAATCCACCGGCGGGTGGCGGCGCCGTTGGCGTCCACACGGCCACGTACAGGCAGTCCTCGGACGTGGCCTCGCCCACCAGCCCCGACGAGTCATTCTGGTGGCCGTTGTAAATGAGGTTGCCCTTGGTCAGATCCGTGTTGAAGAGCGAGATCACGGCCGTGACGAACTGCGGGCACGACGGTGGAAACCGCGTCGCATAGTGATGCTCGCTTGGCGACGGCGAGAGCTTCTGCGGCGGCAACCAGCGGCGCGACGCGATGGGCGGTTTCGCGAACGGGATGGCGCGGAATTGGCGCGTCTTTGGAAACTCGGGATCGATGAGCCCTGTGTAAGTGCCCGTGGAGGTTTCGACAGTGAGATCGCCGGAGCTCGGGCACGTGGCCTCTCGGCCGAGAACGCCGTCGGTCGCCAGCGCGAGGAGAGACAGCATCGCGAGCTTCATCTTGAGCAGTTTGCGGGCATCGAAGCGCGTTCGTCGCTCCCAAAGTGCTTCAATCGTAGCGAAAAATCAGGCGTCGATTTCTGGCGTCGGTGGATTTCCCTCTCCTTACATACTGATCTGCCTCGATCGCCCCTAGAGGCGCATCCGGTCGGTTCCTGGCAGGTTAGAGTTAGGCTGTCCCGCCCAACAGTTGGTATAATCTGTGCATGGGGAACCGGGCTGGGTTCTGTTATCGCGCAAATGAGAGACGATTCTAGAAAATTAGTAGAGCGCGAAGGAATTAGTAGCAGCAGGGGTAGAGTATATTTTGAGGCTATACTTATTTACCTAGCGCGAAAATTTCTTTAGTAAGTATCCATGGATTCTTAAATATATCTAGCGTGTATACTCAAGTACATACTAAGCGCTCTAGAAATGTCCCGACTGCTCAGGAGATGGGTGACGGGTGACTACTGATTCAAATTCGCTATGTTTCCGTCATCCCACCTATCCCCCCGAAGTAACGGGGACCCAGATAGGATAGGCAAGGCTCGGTCGTTCTGAGTTCTTACCTGCCGATTCTCCCCCATACGGCCCAGTCCAAACGGGAGCCTCCGGTTCCCTTCGAGCTCTGAAGTCATGGCTAAACAACAGGGCCTACGATATCGGGAACACACAAAGAATAAGCGCAGTCAGCACAGGGATTCCTCAGTGTAGGAAAATGTCTAGGCAAGCGTCTGATTGTCACTCCTTTTCGTCCTCCCCCGCGTCTTAACCGGACGCTTGCGTACGCCCTGAGAATTCGCTGAGTCCGCGGACTTCTGTTTTCGCGCAACAGTTCGCTTCGGCCTTGATTGGGCTGTAGCTTTGGGTGAGTCTCCAGAAGCAATCCGGGTCGACTCCTTAGCCATGCCAGATTTCGTGGACTGTATCCGTTTGCTTCTACGTGGAGGCATGTTAGAATTCTGTTGTGGCGATTCAGGGATGTGCGCTCGAGCTAACAATGGTGCATCGTCGGGGCTCACTTCTTGGGGGTCGCTCGGTCGTCGCCGAAGTCCAGGCCTCCTCCTTCTGGTCGCTTTGGACACCTTTGATGAACGGACTGGACCAAGAGATGTACTTGTTTCTGGCTCGTTCAGGCCATCTGCATGCGAAGGTCTGGTCTGATTTCGCGGTGGCATCGGCCTCGTCATGGAATGAATAGCACCTCCACTTCTCTCGTGGCGACGTGAATTCGACGCGGCGCGAGAGTGTCCGCCGCCACCGTTCTCTAATCCGTCCGAGTCATCGTCCGCCGACGGTCCTCGCTGAGACGCGTTTACGGTGCCAGACGGGTGGGGATGATCTGACTCAACGGGAGAGGGCGACCCAAAAACACGCCTTGGTGGTGCTTCCACGTCATGCATGCCGTTCTCAACATGGTTCGCCTGAGCAGCAGCGGAATCATTGTCGGCTTCCTCTTCCAGAGGCTCTTCATGCTTCCACGACATCCCGGGCAGTATATTCCATTTCCAGTTCCATATCCCTCGCTCGCACCAGGTGCTCTTGACAGCCTCGTAGGCCTTGGTATTGATGTCTGCAGCGGCATAGGCAGCGGCAGTTGCTTCGCCACTCGTCGATTCGCCCTGGATTCGTTCGCGCTCTTTGGAGATCTGATAGACAAACTGGTGGAACGGGCGAGAAGCCTCGCGTTCACGTTCGCGTATGACTCGTCGCTCCGCAGTCTGTCGCTTTTCGTCGTCGCTCTTTGGTCTCGGTTTCCGCTCGTAAAAGGAAAACGGAACCGATGTGCAATCTGGTTGTGCATCGGTCTCGGTCTCCGACTCAAGCTCAAGCGGCTCTTCATGCTTCCATAAATCACCAGAGATGGCTCCACGATTACTCCCATCCCCCCACTTGTCCTTCCAGATGCCTTGCTCGACCCAACGGTCTCTGACCAGCTTTTCCGCATCTTGATCATAGAGCCCGATAGGCATAATCCCCCGGGAACTGACACGTGGATCTGCCTTCCAAGCGCGAGTCATTTCCTCCTTCCGCTGAGCCATGAATTGTCGGTAAGGTTGTGAAGCCTCGCGCTCCCTTACTAGTCGCCCTAGTCGCTGCGCACGGCGCTGCTGCTCGTCGCTGGGGGGCTCGGGGGTGTCGAAGACAGTCGATGCGTGCGAGTGATTAGATGTATATGGCGGTGGGGAATCGCTGAACCGTCTTCTCGCGCGCTCAAGCAGCTGCGGATCGTCCTCGAGCCCTGCTAGAGCTCTATGAGCCCTGATGAGCCCATCCCCTCGAATGGTTTCGAAGCCGGCCATGAGTGTCGCGTGGTAGGTAAAGGGCGACGTCGCGGGGTGGAGGTCAAGAGCGAAGAGGACGCCGCGAAGTTATGATCTGGGCTCTGCCAAGAAAACGAGTGGCGGAGGTTGCCGTGTTTTGAGCTTGGCGCCAGGCAACCTTGGAACGACAGTGCGACTCACAGTGTGGCTCGAATCATATTGGCTCTGTGTCCTTGTGTATGTGACAGCATGTCTCCGCGGCAGCACCCTACGATTCATTGGCTGCGTGGGTTGTACTGGCTCGCTGGCAACCGTCGCCGGTTGCCTGTTCTCCCCGCCGTATGACTACAGAGATGACTCTGTACTCTTTTACAGGCTCGCCAGCCTCCTCCAAGCGCTCTGCCCCTTATTGAGACGCCCCCTCTTCCAGCTTTCCTCGAATATTTGCCTCATTCACTTGTTCCAAACATGCCTAGTCGTCGTCGTGAGGGTCATCCCCTCGCTCTATTTTATCTCGTAGCCTACGACAACAACCAGAATGCCAAAGACGCCCTGGCTCATTCGGACAACAGGCACCACGTCTGGATGAGGGAGGATGGCACTCTCGCGCTTGATATCGGCTTCAACATCCGCTCAAGGTCAAGCGCAATTCTGGCCACAATAGGACGCAATGATACGGATATACGTCTGCACCGTCCCAGCATCTCGAAGCTCCACTGCTCTTTTGAGATCGACTTACACACCAACGTCGTTATGCTACACGACAGATCGTTCCATGGCACAACTCAAGTTTACGGTGAAAATGCCACGCCCTTCGAGCACCAACGCCAGCGTCAGGTTGTTGTACAGGAAGACCTGAACACCGTCATTGGCATGGGTGGTGCAAGGCGGAACCTCTACCAGTTTGAGCTGATATGGTATCGTAAGCCTGCAGAGTCGATGGAGATGGTCAAGAATCGACAAGAAATTTCTCGCGGGTATGAAGACCCACCCTCCCTCATTCGGACCGTCTTCGACGAAGGGGACACCGAGCCACCATCTCGACGAGAGACCAGGCCACACACGGCTGGTCCCCGGCAGAAGATGAGGTATGCGACAATAGGACCTCCACTTGGATCCGGCCAGTTTGGAACCGTTCACAAAGCCGTCGATGCAGACACCGGCAAGCTCATGGCCGTCAAGATATTGCGGAGACCGGTGGCAGCATCTGGACAAGACAACTGGACGCCCTCACAGTACCACGCATTGAAGCGCGAAGTAGAACATCTCTCTGAACTTGACCACGTGAGTCAGTCTACAGATCCCCAGTAGAGATGAGACTAATAAATCCTTCAGCCTAATATCGTTGACTACATCACGTCCCAAGGCTGGGACGGGCCAGAAGTGGAGATATTCATGGGCCTAAAGGCAGGGACCTTGAAGTCGCTACTCGAAAGTGGGAACTGTCCTACTGTTGCGGAGTCTGTTTTCCACCACATACTCCAGGCGCTCGACTGTCTTGCAATGAAGGATATCATTCATCGAGACGTGAAGCCAGAGAACATCCTCTGGGTACTGCTGCCGGACGGCCAACATCAATTTCAGCTCGGAGATTTCGGTCTCTGCAACCGCGCTGTCACCGCGTTTACCACTGTTGGCAGCCCAATTTTTATGGCTCCAGAGATGCTTTGGAAAGGCGAACAGACACACAAGGTAGATGTATGGTCGCTTTTCGTCACGATGTTGTGGACACTAGATGCAGGAGGGTTCCGACACATGTCAAGGAAGTTCAAATCTGTCGGGGAAACTCAGGAGGCCGTCCAGGCGGCAGCCTCCAATTTGGACGTGGTTTCAAAGATTCAAGAGATGGCAGTCGTCAACCCGTTAGAGCGTGCTTCTGCTGCGCAGATGCTGGTCAAGTGCTTCAATGGGGCAGGGCTTAGCACCCCCAGGAATCGGGTTCCGGCTCTCATCAGCACTCCGGCGGTAGCTGCAGCAGAAAGATCTCCTTCTCCGGTGTCTTCTTCCTTGGCGGGTCGATCTGCACCCAAAAATCTAAGGCGTCCAGAGAAGAATGCGAATATGTGGACGGCTCAGAAACGGATCGAGAAAGCGCGGTATCCTCCTCGGGCCCAATCACCGGGCCTGCGGTCTATCCGGATGGGCGAGGGTAATGCCTCTGGGTGACGAGCCACGGTACTATTCGGTGTAATTCATTGCGGTTCACCGCAAGCTTGAGGAATTTATTTTCCCCTTTGTCTGAATGCGAGCGCCCTGATTGGTTAAAATAATTTTCCGCCCGAAGTTTGCCCGCCCCCAAGATGCGAGCTCTCCGAGCGGCACTGCGCCGTTGTGAGATGAGGCGCGAAGGGATGCAGCTTGCCCGTCCGATTCGAAGCTCCGTCGCAGACATGGTGTGAATTCTCGAGCATTTTTCCTGAGATGTGGTTTCACAGTTGTAGAGACTTCTGCCGTGGCTTGAATGGAGATGCAGCAGTTGGTACAGCTGTAGTGACTTCAGGGTGAAGTTCGGATTGGCGTGCCTGGTTGATTCTGTCAGTTCATACGAACGACGACACTAGACTAGCACCCAGCCGATTGCGACGCAGCTCAGCGGTCGGTTCACTCATCTAGTTCTGGATGCGGCCTTACTCTGGATTGACCTCGACCTGGGGAGTGATGGCGACGTACCTTCGAGTCCAGGCTTACCAAACTGGATTTTGAGTCTAGCTTCATTTAAAAGCAAACAGACAACTGGAAAGCAGGGAAACTCAATGTTTGCGCTAGTTTCACAATGCGCTGTCTGTCAAACTTGAGTATGAAGATTCCCCACATCTCGAACGGCATGGAAGCGTTCCTAGTTACATCTTACGCTCACAATACCGATACTTCCAATAACGAACATTTGGGAGAAGCTTGGCGCCATGGATTCCTGGGATGTAAGGCCACAACCTCTAAATGCTTCTGACTTCTTAAGTGAGGAGCATAATTCTCACATAACTCTCTCACTCTGGTCCGCACCTTCGCCACGCTTAATCACTTCAACACTCTCAATATCTTCAACCTTTTCGAATCCCTCAACTCCTTTGAGGCCCTCAACCGAGTCCTCGACCACTTCTCCCAGTCCTTCATCTACTACTACCCCGGCTTCACCCACTATCTACGGCATGGATCCTTCAAGTCAGCCAACAGATAAGACCAAGGACATTCTCCCAGGACAACATTACCTTGCCACCCCTACAAAGATGGAGGATCAAGAAGAAATCATCGAAGATGCAGCCACCCAGCATGCTCGCTGCTTAGAGCCCGATGCACAGCCTAAGCACAAAGACCCCACATACTACTTTGACGCGGTATCCCACCTGATGTCATACGAATTCAGCGGATGCGAAGACAGAGACGGATTCGCAAAGGCTTGGGCAAAGCTTTCACCCCCCAACCTGCCAATTCCACGCTACGAGGTGTATCTTGATTGGTGCAGGGAGTTTAGCGAACAGAGGTTGCAAGAGTGGAAATCACGCCTGCCAGCCCAGTCATATTCGAGATCATCCGGCCAGAAGGAGGAAATTCTTAATGCGCTCCACGAAACTCAAACGATGAAGATGCTCAAGTGGTCCAAATTCTACAACCTCTATGACTTCCACTACGGGCGCCAACAATCTCCATATGACCTTGGTCAGATTGGGGAGGCGGAATATCGCATTGCATTCCACCTCTACAACTTCGTGGCCGATGAGGATGAGGATGAGGATGAGGATGAGGATGAGGATGAGGATGAGGATGAGGAAGAGGAAGATGATGACGCAACATGGGAGATGGACATTCCCCCAGCTGCTGTACCAGCTGCTGTACACTGGCTGGCTCCTGCGGACGATGACGACTGCCAAAAGCCCAGCAAGAACACAATGCTCCGGACGTACTTCGCCCTGCAGAACCCCACTTCCCCAGAAGGAACGTTATTCGGGATGCAACTTGGGTACCTTGAGCGGCGCAAAGACACTACGTGGACTGCTACCACCATCGTCGTCTTTGTCAAGGTCGATCCTGAGACCTTGATGTCCGATGGTATATTCTACCTAGATCCTTCTGTGGTAGATGGGTGTTCAGGATGGACTCAAAATGACTCTGAAGTGCTTCAAGACTTAGGCAGTGGAAGCAAGTTCAGCTACGGTCCCATTGAGGTACCGGACGTGTGCGGTGTGGACAAAGATGCGGAGCAGGGTGTCCTTGTAGCAAAGCTTGTCGCTTCTCGGATTGCTACAGACAAGCAAGAAATATGGGTCGCCAAACCTCAAATTAACTAGACAATTGTCCTCTGCAGTCAGCCGGTGCAGCTGGGGCTCACAAATATGGAGTGAATATAGAATTGGTTATAATGGCTTCGTAGTCTAGTAGTCTGGCCAGTCAGTTTCGTCAGCAATACAATGTCCTCCCCAGAGGACCGTGAATTTCTCTACACAACTCGGTGGAAGCATCATACTTTCCCCCTCTCCGAAAAACGCTTCGATGAAATGTCACCCACATATGACCATGAGCTCTCTCAACTCCGGCTCAGGATGGACTGGCTAAGGACTTGGCTAGACGAGGCGCAAGAGAACCTAAGTGTATTCGAAACCTTCGGTCATGGCATATTCAATATCTCACAAAGTAAGTAGTACTGGATCTCCCCCCTTGCAAATTAAGCTAACTTCTTTCAGGCGCGGCAAGGAGGTTTATCCTTCGAGCTTCTTGGGAGGTTGAGGTTATCTTCAAGCCTATGCTTCGCGGGATCCAATCCATCTCCGACAAGTTCCCAAAGATCGCTACCGAGCTTCAGAACCAAGGTTTGGAGCTGTTTCACCAGACGAATAAGGCCCTAGACACAAGGTTGAGACCACAAAGGGATGTTGCTCAAGTTCGCAACACTTTCGCGCCAAACACGACAGAAATTCCTACGCAGACTCAACTGGAACTGCTCTTGGAGCTATGCGTCCATGAAGCCCAGAAAGGTACGTGTTCAGACAGGGACATTATAGCATATGCTGACGGAAGATAGACCTATTGGAAGGTGATACAAACCTCGCCCATGAAAGACTCTGGGAGCTCATTCAACAAAGTCTTCAACAAAAATTTCCCCGTCGTTGGCAATTGGACGAATCTCCGGAGTATTCATACGAGCCGAATATGCTGCTTATTTGCTTGGGATGCGGCATTACCGGCGCTACCATGCCATTCGGAGCAAACCGGAAGGAGATTAAAAGTCTCGAGTCCATGTGGAAAGCCCGTCGACCAGGGAATCATGAACTTGCAGAAGGGGCCTGGAGGGCATTCAAGAAATGCCACATATTGGCGATATGTACAGCGGAGAAGAGAGAACTCACTGATGCAGAAGTGGAGAGTCTTCCAGCCATACCGAGGTACATGAGGGGCCACTATGGGCAGGCCATTAGAAACTACTGGTCCAGTCAAGAAGCCTGTCCAACGTGTAAGGTTATTTGGGGTTACACGGAACTTCACATCCGTCAGTATCGTACACCCCATAACCCCAATATATGTGCGGAACCTATAGCGGCAATGCGTTGTCATGCTCTGGACCCAGATGGAGATGTGGTCAGCGGTAATGAGGCTTTTCTGCAGAGGGTCAAGGATGCCGTTAAGAACCGAGGATCAAGCAACGCCAAATCAGCATCATCGGCTTAGAGGCACCTGCTGGACTTCCCAAACAGGTTTCAAGGAAAGCCGACCGAAGAAGTATCCCCTGTGGAAAGGTTTTCCGCACTGTTACTGGTCATAGAATCTCTAGTCACATATGCTTATTGGATTCTCCTGCAATAGTGCACCTCGCTGACTAAGGATGGCAAAAGCTGCCACTAGTGGGTTTGCAGCTCCGCGCTAGACCCAGGAGAGAACCGCTGGAGTACCAGCGGCCGCGGCTTGCATCTCCACACACGCAACCTCCCATGGACTACAACACTTGTAACCACATTATCACATATGCTAACTGCCCCCGTTGCAACCCATCCAGGCCCACGCAAGGCGGCACTCTGCATCCACCCGCTTCCCGTCTGTTCTTGGAGGCCTGGAGTGGCATGCGCTGCCATCCCAAACGGCATACAGTTCAGACGCGGAGTGGGAGGTATTTGGGCTGCAACTTCGCTGGCTGGTATTGAGCACCACTTTCATACGGCGAATTTTCATGGACAGTTCTCATCTGTCGTAGATAAGCCTTCCGAATGCAATGTCTTAGCACAGCCACCCATGTCCAGACCTAGAGCGCGTTCAAAAACACATCGGGCTTGCTGCCAACACCTAAGAAGTAAGCGCCCTTTGCCTCCTAGCTGAATAACGGGCCGAAGGCCTTCCAAAAGATCTAGAGCCTACCATCCTGGAGATGGGAGCAAATTAAAACAGATACCTACATCCTCATTCATGCACCCAAGCCGAAACGGCAGCCGATCAACGAGAAGGGAGCCCAAGCCCAAAATCTCCAATGACCAATGCCCGCCCTTGTCGCCAGACTCGCAGCGGCCCTCTCCTCGTAAAAATCGCCAATTCGTTCCATGTAGCTTCAACAGAGCGATGCTGCAGTTGTTTGGAAGCTATCTATCTATATCTTTATGTAAGCCTATCTTTATCTAGCTTATAATCTCTACTATTCTAGAAACTCTTCTAATCTCTCTAGCTATATTCTAGCTTCTCTAGTTCTCGGTATAGTGTATTAACTCGCTCGGCTTTATTAAGTTGGAAACGCGAGTATCCTTTAGCTTGCAGTCTCCCTCAGCGGTCCCTTGAAGTGATGCCTTGCGACGAGTAAATACCACCCTATACAAACTATAACAACCGCGCCAAATATAACGGGACTAAAGTTCACCTTCTCTACCGGTGTTGGCGTCTGAGGCGGCCAGAAGCTCCAAAAGAGCACAAAGAGCAGGTAGAGGCACGATAGGAGATTGTTTGCGAAGCCTAGCAACCCAGGTATCCTCCATGGGCCCCATGTCAAGCCGGTGTAGGTGATAGAATAGGCCTCCAGATGGCGAATATCGCCCTTCGCATGCCGATAGAGCAAAAGGGCACAGACAAGAATGTAGGTGCTGTAAAGTCCAGCGACAGTAAGACCAATGAGTGCATTAAAGGAGACCGTGGAGCCGAGAATAAGGAGGGGCAGGAGGACAGTAGTAACAACAGTTGTTGAAATGGCATTGATCGGAGTTGATTGCGAAGTGAGCTGTGTTTCACGCCTTGTCAGATTGCTATTCTTTCCGTTGTGCGCGTCAACATACCTGAACGAGGCGCTTATGGCTAGGCATTCCTGCATCTCGCGAGAAGGCCCACAGCATTCTAGATGCAGAGGCGTAGACCCCAATGCCGCTCATAAGTCCCATGAACAGAACAATGGCGGCAAGCACACATGCTGTGGTGGCTGATCGCAGGACGGAGTGGAAGATGTGAAGAAACGGGTAATATAATGTCTCTTCTGTATCGAGCGTGCGTTGCAAGTCGTCCATGCAGAACAGCATGGCAATGGCCATGGCGAAGCCAAGGGTGCCGTTGATGACTACCGTGGACATAAGTGCACGGGAGACGACTTTGGGAGCGGACTGAATCTCCTCAGATATCTAGAAAATCTTTGTCAGCGAGGGCAGAGGAAGTGTGAGGCCAAATGGTTACGAACATGCACGCCGCTATCTGCCCCAAGAAGACTCATAGCCGTCGCAGGCAGCCCCACACCCAGTGAGAGAGCTTGACTGCTCCAACCACCCTCATTCAGGAAAACTTCAAAGACGAACGCAACATCCCGGTGCTCAGCTAGATAGACGAGCGGAATCATGACTATGAAGAAGCCAAGTATGTGGAAAATGAGGATGCCGCCCTCTAGCTTGGCCAATGTGCGCGACGTAGTGGAATTGATGAACCCAGCGAAGGCCACGACTGCCCAAATGAGAAGCATCGTGTGCCAGGGCTGCGGACGGTACGCCGACGTGGCGACTACGACGATGCCTTGGAGCAGCGTAGCGACGAGGAATCCTGTGGTAGCTGTGAAAGCCTGCCAGGCTAGCACAGTGAGTCATGCTAGAAGCGCTGTAAGTGATATATTCCCAATGTCTCTCTTCGCCGTCTCATATGGGTCAAGACCTACCCGTCAGATAGGTTAGAAACGGTCTACACCGCTTTGGTGCCATCATGGCAACCCAGTGATATTGGCCAGCCGACGTCGGCGCCATGCTGGCGAGCTCTGCGAGAGTGCCAAAAATACATAGCATTCCAAGCCAATTAAAAAGAAAGCCCCAAACAACTCCCACAGAACCGCCATTACGTAGCGCACCAACGGAAGTGACAAGAATACCCTCCCAAGAGATTAGTGATAAAGAGGAGAAACCTAATAGGGACATGAAGCCGAACGTGCGTGGGAGGCGGGACTGCTTGCCTAGACGGGCGAGGTATGCCGTGTCAGTCAAGGGTCGACTGCTTGATTGCACGTGATCCGATGTCATGGCGCGGTTGGTTTTGTGGATGTTTAGAAGGGTTCGTGGCTCCAAACTCAAGTTTGAGTTGTAGAAAGTTGATGGCGAAGGCAGGGCAACGAACGGGAGGGACCGGACAAGGTAAATGGTGGCTATAATCAGGGCTCCAAGTGTTACCGGCAGCAGAGGGCGCAGACGGGGTATAAGATACCCTTGTGCTAACGTTGTGCGTTGTGATGCGGGCTATGTCTGACGTGCGTTGTGACGCAGGTTGCACCGGCGCGTTGGCCTGGAGCGGCACCTGATTTTCTCCACAACCTATCAACCTTCTGACTCTTTCCAGCCTCGTGAGATCACTGCTTCGAATACCGACGCCTTGAACACCCCCTGCGCAGGGGCATCAACAAACACACAATCGCGTCAGACGTGTGTAAGAAGACATGCATTTGAAAGAGGTCCCTGATGTCCTCTCTGGACAGCGTATATTAGGGCGGCTGTGAAAGCATCAAACGGATCTTTCCAAAGCAAAAATGTCGGCGCAGTTCGGCCTTCCAAATGCTGCACACCTTACATCTTCGGCTCGAAGTTCCCCTAACCAAATTGTGGCCTGGCTTGTTCTACCAATCATTTCGTGTTTCCTGTTCTCTAGGATTCTTGCCCGCACATGCTTGAGGTCTCGTGAGGGGCATCGGCCATGTGTAGGATGTGGTTGGGATGATATGCTGTTACTCTTAGCTGGTGTAGGTAGTGGCGTCTTCTTCTATTTGCTCTCTGTATAGGCAGAAATATATGCTAATCAAAGTGTTCTAAGGTTGCAGTATCGGCGTCTCGATATCCCTATTGCTGTCTCCAAGCAAGTTTCTGGGGAAGAAACCGGAGGTAGTGGCTGCATCTAAGGCAGGTCTCCTCTCTATGTGCACACAGTTAGCACAGCTCAGGGCATTGTCTAGCTAGATCACCCCTAGGTCATATATGCGGCGACAATCTGCTTCATCTTCTCCCTTGGGTTTAGCAAACTCTCGCTCTTAGCTACCTTCTTCGCCCTCTCTCTCTTCGAGTCACATCGCATAACAGTCTCCATGCTCGCAATTTTGGTGTCGTTGTGGACCTTGATTTCCGCCTTCACTATTATTGCTCCATGCGGACAATCGCTACACTTAGCGTTTGAGCGAAGTTCTGCGTATGCAAACGCCGCTATCGAGGGTCTAATCATTTGCATGGCGAGCTGAATCGTGTTTCCCTTGAAGATGCCCCTTCGAAGACGATGTTCGACCATGTTGGTCTTCTAATTGCGGTCAGTGTACGTGCTCCATGCTATTGCTGGCTCACGTGGGCTTAGTGAATTTGTTAATGGTATCTGTAGAGTCATCGGCGGAGCTATTCTGCAAGCAAATTGGACGACTCGACTTGGGCATAAGCACTGGAGCTCCATTGCCCCACACTACTTTGTCTGCGTGCAGTGTGTCCACTGCGCTGGCGTCGTTACGGCATGCTGTATCGGTTTTCCGAGGCTGATGAAGAGTCTGAGATCTGGGCTCATGCAGGCGAGAGGTGGAGGATTTGTAGGCCGCGAGCGTTCGTGAGAGGGCACCAGGACCGATGAGAGTAGTAAGGTTAACCCTCTACTGCAGCTCGGGACCGCAGCTGAGCAAGCATACCATCAAGGCATGCGCATTTCTGACTGATATTGTCATTTCGTCGTTCTTTGACTTGCACTATCTGGCCTCATCCCACGAACCACACGTGTGATTGCATTTGGCCGTGCTCTGATGTCCTTGTAGTCCCTGCGGATGCTGTGTCTGCATGGCCCCTAATCCATAAGGAAGGATCCACAGATCTCCATGTATCGCACCCTCTCTTCATAGTGGCTGAGATGGCTGGAACTATCCAGTGTAATCCACTTGACCTTGGGGATGCGCTTGAACCACGGCTGTATACAGAGGTCCTGCATCTCATCGTACTTGCCGTTAATCAGCAGAACCTCCGCAGTGATGGCGGTGGCTTCAGCAGATGCATCCCAGTCCTTGAGCCAACCAACGATGCGGAACTCCGATGGGCCCTGACTACACATTAGTTAGTACCAGAGATATCCTCAGCAGAGAGTACATTGTACTTACACCGTGTTGTAGCTGGTTGGATCCTCCTCCAGGTTCTTGAAGGCTTTGAGGATGTCGTCAGGGAAAGGATCGAGTCGACACATATGCTGCTTCAAGAATACCATGCTAGCTTCGTGATACTCGGGGCTCTCGTAGTCTCCTCTGCCCTCGCAGTCCTCAAGTGTCTCCCGGACCGCCTTGGGAAGGTTGGACAGCAGGATGTTGGCAGACTCCTGGTAGAGGGCACCAGAGGCAGGCCCGCTGGAGATTATGACCTTGCGCAAGCCAACAGGGTTCGTCGCTGCGTATGAGCCAACCAACATGCCGCCCCAGCTCTGGCCAAGCAGATGGTATCCCTTCTCGCGCAGGTTGAAGAAGTCGATGAGATTGTCCAGCTCGGCCCAGTACAGCTTAATGCCCCAGAAACCTTCGTCACCCATCTTCTCAGGATAGTGGGTGGATTTGCCGCAGCCAACTTGGTCGTAGAAAATGACGGGAATACCGAAACGATCGTGAAGGTCGGTGAGCGAGCCTAGACTCTCATGGCCGGCTCCCGGGCCACCGTGGCAGAGGATGAGAGGAGGCGGCGAAGGTTGGGTGAGGTCCCCCACAACCTTGTACCAGGTCCAGGTAGGCTTATCGGTGCCGGGCCCGTTGAAGATGATCTTTCCCTCTGAGCTGTGCTCTTGAGCCATGGTCAGGAGTCACTGGGTTTGACTTGACGACTGTGTAGAGGGTGCGCTGGTGGGTGAGGGGATGAGCGTGGGCTACGACCAAGAAATAGACGGTGTTGTGGTGAGCTGCGGGGCTGAACCGGTGACGTGGGACGAGCTCGAAGCACGTGACTTTTACGCTAGCTACGCTAGGGCTTGTGGTGAAACGAAGGGTTGATTGATTGTTTTTCTCTTGTTTTAAGTCACCAACCTATAGAGGTTATGCTGACTACGCCAACGCACAAAAGGACTCAAAAGACGCCAATATTAAGAGAAGAGAACAGGGTATCACAGAACCACGGGCAAGTGGCATGAGTTCGACAGAAAATAACGGTTCGGGCGAAGGGCTCAGGTCACCTAGGTGTCGCTACATCACTTTGTAGGGGCTCAGCGGGGGTAAAAACGGGTGAAACGGAAGTGAAAGAAAAAGGCGTGCGTTGCCCAGTAGGCCTGAGTTTGCGCGTTTGCCTGCCACGCTGCCTGCCTTCATCCCGGCCGCTGATAACGCGCGTGGTCTCGGTCGATTGCGAGCTCAATTGCCCACTGGTCCAGCCACGACCAGTCTACACACTTGTGCACCGCATGCCGGGTAAGCCCCAGGTCAGCTTTGAGTCCGGTCTCCGATTGGACCCATCTGGCCGGGTAGAAGGCCGTGTTGGCGTGGCACATGAGGGCCTGTCGCAAAGCATCGATGCAGTGGTCTTCCGTTGCACTTAGTTCGCTACATCCATCGCGGAACCATATCGGTGTGGACTAAATACATAACTTCTCATCTTTTCCAAAGCTCTTTATATTACCGTTCGTCCGCCTCGTTAAGCAGATAGCTGCGACGCGGGTCTATTATGCATGCTGAGAGGGCGTTCGTTGTTACGGATGGGGTTACGGATAAGGCGAAGTTGTAATTGCGGAGTATGTGGAAGGGCCATCTCAGGCCAGTCGGAACGGGTTTGTCATTACAAGAGGCTGTTCCAAAGCTCCGATTTCTCCTCACTACCCCGTCAAAATTTCGGCCGTCACCGCACACTGGAACACAATCCCCCAAAGCCTATCTCGATTCAGAACCCACACTCCTTCGTCCCAATATCATCAACCCCATAACTCCACTCATCATCCTCCTGAATCCAAAACGCCTTACCGTTACACTGCGTTCTCCACACATTCTCAAGTAGCTTACGCTTATCCGCGCCGAGCGAAATGCACCTGGCCTCCTTTGCGTTATTACAAACATAGAACTTGGTCACACCGTCGGCGCTGGCCTGGGCGCTCTTCCGACCGCCGATGGTCAGCTGAGGCGCCACAACGCCACCACAAAGCCCTCCTGAGCTGTGCTGCGCCATAGTGTCGAAGTCCGCCAAGATGGCATTGATGTCGATGCTGGGAGAGAGGTTGCAGTGGATTTTGTTGCCTGCGAGAGCGGGATTGGAGTCCGAGAGGACGACTTCGGTGTGGACTTCGACAATTGGGGAGGAACGGGCTGGTAGCACGCCGAGAGAGAGGACGGCGGCGACGAGTGCTGCGGAGAGCATTTTGAAAAGACAAAGAGTGATCGAGATGACTGATTGTGACTGATTGAGGGTGATGGAAAGCTAGTTAAGGTAAAATATGATAAGATTTGGGCCTGGTGGACTTTATGTGCAAGTCTAAGGGAAATCAAGTCTCTTAGAAAGCTGACCACAAACCAGTGTCGGTGAAGCTGACTTCTCTTATCAAGGTTCTTTTTTGCAACAGCCGTACGGACTCCTTGAATATCCTCCATTCACGCATGGCTTTGGCGTTCGTGTAGTCAAGTTGTGCTGACGCGGTGAAGTTGCTGATGAGCTGAAGTTGCTAATGCGCTGAAGTTGCTGACGCGCTGAAGTTGCTTACGCCCATGACAACCGAATTGGACAATAGAACCCTGATCGTTTAAGCCAACAGAGGTGCCGACAACATCCTCGAATGAAAATTCATCCAATGCAAAAGCCTTCGTGTGAGCATTTGCAGGTGCAGTACTGCACTTATATTGTATGACGAGCCCTGGCGATGATACATTGACCTCGACGTAAACACGTGCATCCAAACGAACTCGGTATTAAGGGTGGCGTGCACAATGAGGGCAGCTGAAGCATTGTTGCAATATATGGACTGGTAGAAGCACCGTGGCGCCTGTGATGATGTTACCCGAAGAATGTGATGACGAGGGTTCCTTGTTAGCGATGCCTGTACTCTAGTTAACGGAACCTGAGGTTGGTCGTTAGCTGCAGCGTGCCCTAATCCATTGCTTTGCTCGATGGAAGGCATGGCTATCTGCCCATCGAGATTCCCACTCCGAAGTCAGGATGAAAATTGGGTAAGCAGGTGGTTTGAGTGGCTGCAGTCGAGCTTTTGGTTCCATCGTGACGACAGCGGTGTACTCTTCAGTCCCCATCAATCGCTTCTCTGCCACGATCCCGGAGTACGTCTATCCAGCGGCGTCTGGCCTGCCTTCTAGCCCCCTTCCAGCGCTGGTCGTAGGTGTCCAGGGTGAGGGTGAAGGTCGGCTTGATGTGAGCGCACTTCCTGGGTTGACAGCTGCAATCAGAGCCTCGACAGTGAATGGGTACGCGCATGCAGCAGCGGCGGCTTTCAGCACTGTTTTCTATGTTTACTTTATGTTCGGCGGTATTAGAATGATGAACGATTCTCGCTTTCTTTGTCGCAAACATTGACGCGAGTACGAATAAGTATGTTGCGGGATATATTTACGATGGCAAGATTGTATTAATTAAGGCAAAGAGCGTGGAGGAAAAAGAAGACGCTGTGGTGTAAGGAGCGGGTGAAAAAGTTGATATTGGATTCGAACGAACAAATTCATCTAAAAGAGGAGCTATGAGGAATTCGAAGCTATGAAAACTACTTCCCCCAGTGTGTTGCAAATCTCGCGGTCGAAATAGGCGCCAAGCGTCTGCTTGTCCGACTCGCCCAGAGTAACCTCCAAGCCGGTCACGCAGGTGCGTTGAGTAGATAGGGCGTTGTTTAAATCTCCAAGCTCCCAGTGCAAGGACGACATCAGGCCGAGAGTGCGCATCTCCTGCAATCTTGCCTCCGGATCATTGCAGCGACGTAGTCCGGCTAGTGTTCCCTCAGTCCAGCGCAGTGCTTCCTTGGTATTGCCGATCCGCAGATAAAGCGACCCAATTTTCCGTGCCGTACAGAGCACGTCGATCGTGTCGACTCCAGACTTACGCTCCTCTTCCCGTCGCACCTGCTTCCAAAGTTCGATGGCTTGCTCGAACTCTCCCCCCTGTTCTAAGGCACCTGCCATACGTATCATCGCACCAGCTTTCCATCCTGCATCTTCCTCGCTGTCCACAAGAATTCGGAGATACGTCAATGCCGCTTGATTGTTGTATAGTTTGAGGTGGGCATCCGCTATACCAGAGATAGCATTGCGTTTGAGAGAGATGAGCTCGGAGTCGGGAGGGAGACATTGGATGGCTTCCAGTGCTTCCTCAAGAAGGCTCAAGGCCTCATGTTGCATACGTTGCCGCGCGTAAACATGACCCAGCTGGTGGAGAAGGATCGCCCCCGCTCGGGGATCAGAATCGAGAACCTGAGAAATCATCTCGCGCTGCCTTTGCAGATCTTGAATAGCTTCGTTGTCGCCATCCATTTCTGCGTATAGCCTGTGAATGTCGTAAACAACGCTGCTATGCAGCCTATGCAGCCAATGATCCTGGTCGAGGAACTTCGTATCACTCAGCACTTCCAGATACAAATCCAACGCCTCCGAGTGCTGTTTGTTCTTAGCATGAATGTTTCCCATTCCCTTCTTCACAATAAGACGTTTTTCTAGGTCGCTTGTCTCGCCTACGGCGACGAAACGTCTCCCCCAAACCATTGCCTTCTCGTTTTGTCCACTCTTCGAAGTGCACGGAAACAATTGAAAAATCAAAAGAATGACTGTTTCGTCGGAATCTGGTAAGATTTGCTCTTTTGTGGTCAACATACGGCGGTAGTGCCCGATGGCTTCGTCGAACATGTCGCAAGCGAAATATTGACGTGCAACGTGCATCAACGCCGAGATAGTCTTCTCATGATCTCTACCGAACTCAGTCTCGTAGAGTTTCAAAGCTTTCTCAAACCACGAGATAGCCTCTTCGTGCATCTCGAGCTGAGCATAACACATCGCGATGTTGTGCATGGTGACCGAACCGGCAGTTGGACCTGCGTCATGTCCGTTCTGCAATCCCTCTAGGACGATAAGGTAGAAGCCAAGGGCTTGTTGTCACTTTTCGGTTTCCCAATATATCATCGCAAGGTCATGTGCACTACCCGTGGTGAGGGAATTAAGCTGCCCAAAGGTGGTTTTCTGGCCTTCGTAGGCATCGAGCAGAATCGCGGTAGCTTTCTCGTATGCTTTAAGTTCTCGGTAAGCTTGTCCCAATTCGACCTTGGAAGCCAAGACCTGCGGGTGAACGGGTGGATTCATGGCTTCTCGATCGCGCAGCACGCTTTCGTGCACTCTCTGTGCAGCTGTAAGGGCGCCTTTGTTGTGCAATATCTTGCCACGTTGAAATGCAGCCGATAGGGTCTTCGGATGCTTCGCGCCATACCTCTCGGTATAGCCCGCAATAGCTCGGTCGATCAAGTCGAGGGCCTTGGTGTATTCACCTAGCGCTCGATACACTGTCGCTAGTTGAACGATGCTTATGATCGTGTCAGGATGGTTCTTAGCCAGTTTCCACGTCCGCCCAGTAACTGCGCTTTCGAGGTACTTTAGAGCTGCAGCGTTGTCTTTGGTGCTGGCGTAGCAGATCCCCAGGTTATGAAGTGTGGCCAAGGTTTTAGGATGCTTCTCCCCAAAAGTAATTTCTTGGCCCCGTAAAGCTTCGTGAAGCCATGATACCGCCGCCTCGTATTGTTCATGGGATGCATATGCATCTGCGAGGCTGCACATTAGCTGCAGTGTCTCGGGGTGATTATTTCCATTAATAAGTCGCACACGCTCAAGCTTTGCTTCATACTCCGCAATCTCAGGCGCCCAAACAGTCGGGGATGACCCTTGAGTGGGAATGCATCTAGCCATCTCGTTTGTATTACTCTTTAAGCTCGATGGGATCATGAAGGGAGATCCACCGTTCGGCGTGGGAGCTGTCGGTGCTAGTGCCGAGCTAGCCGCCGGTGCAGAAGAGGTGCCTTGAGCAATCTGAGCATCTTACAGTGCATCTTTCATCGACTCGAGCGCCGTGCGGGCTTCGGTGATTAGGTGATGGCCTGGTGGGAAATTGGCCTCTCTGGTTTGGAGCTACTTTTGGTATTCGGAAATGGCCGCTTCAGCACTCCGGGAACCCTCCGCAAATTCACCCCGTTGAAGACGCACTGTTGCGATATCCGCCCTAACAGCCATGGCAGCTACACCTCCCTTACCCGCCATAGTATAGTACTGGTCAAGAATTGATGCATACTGTTGAAGCGCCAACTCGGATTCATCCATTTGTTTGTACATCCGCCCGATGCGTGTAGCGATTGGCAAGTACGTGGGGTGCGTTCTGCCGATATTCGGGTTGCTGGCCCGTCCAGTAAGTGAACGCTGGTAGTATTCCAATGCATCTGGCCACCGAGATTGAAGCTCGAGGAGCCCCGCAATGAGGTCCATGGTTGTAAGGGTTGACAGATGCGTCGGACCCAGCAGTGATTCTCTTGCCAAGAGATCTAGATGGTAATACTCCAAAGCCGACTCGAAGTCCTCCACTTCTTGGTATGCTTTAGCGAGAGCCTGAGCTGCTGCGGCGCTCTCATTGCTCCATAATCCCGAAGCGTTCGCTTCTTTAGATGCCAGGCTCCGGGCTAACGTCCGGATCTTGTTCGTATCTGGAGATTTTCCTTTCCTTGGGTTCGCAGTCGATGTAACTGGGCGAGCTGCTTTGGAAATGGAGGCTCCAACCGCGGACGACTTAGTCGCGTTCAATTGCGCGATGCGACGCCTGATATTTTCTCCTTGGGGACCATTCTGGCGGCCGGTATTTAGAGCCCGATCGAACCTTCGGTCTAGGTCCAAGACCGGGTGGCCGTTTAGTGCCATCTCGCTGATGCTAGTAGCGGTATCAGCCCGACTGCCTAATGAGATGCTGGAGCGATGCGAGCTCCATTCATTGACTTCACTGGCGTCGGACACTGGAGATAGCGGTCCAGAAGTTGCAGGAGCCACAGAAGCCCCTCGTATACTGAAGAGGCATGATTCCAAGCTCAGCCTGATACTGTCGAGCTGCTTTCTCATTTCCTGGGCGTCCGCACTGGGTTGTGTCAGCGATACCTTGATGATACGAACACAGTGATACCGACCTAGACCACATGTTGAGCATTAGTGTTAATGAATCCCGACGGGCTTGAACGCGAGCCATGATCGCCTGGATTGTGCGTTCCTTCCAGAAATACTTGTATCGCATCTGGAAAGCTGCCCGCTTTCCGGCGCGAAATCCGCTCGGCTGGATAGCTGAGAGTGCGGTTTGAAGCTCGTCAAGCGTCTTCCCTGTATCACCAACGACAGTGTTGACCTGCTCAACGAAGCTCGAGCTTGGATTGTCGCCATCTTGAGATGTACTGGATCAGATTGCCAAGGCATTCGAGCGTAGCTGTCAAGGAGTCGTGTTCCCTGCGCAGATTCTCGATCTCCTTGGGGCACTCGCGCACGGCGGCAACCAGGTTGAATGCGGTGGAAATGGTGCGACCAGTTGCCACTATGCTTGTCAGAACAATTCAGAGGCCACCAGTAACGGAGACTCGACTCACCCAGCGTGACAATGGAAGCCGTTACGCCCATGATTTCGGCCATTGTGCCTACGACTTCCACGAGCGATACAACGGTTCATCGGGGCAGCTCGTCATCAAAAGCGGGGTCATTGCTCAGCCTGACGTGAAAGGTTGGGCGGGGACATCGTCGAACGACCTGCGAGCACCACCTCCACCGGCTGTACAAGCAGGCTTATCATCAATCTCCAAGATGTATCCATGCGGCGTTTGGATTCGGCCTTGCAGCAGGAGTTATTCAATGAGCAGGTGCGGCCTGTTCCGGACAACAAGGCAACCGGTAGACGAGTCGGAACATAGCGAGCGCATGCATATACCTCGACAATGGCGCCTTCCTAGGCTGATTTGGCTCGTCATCCGGCGGAACCTCGTATTTCAGAGAGGGTGTTGAGGGAGGGCGGACGGCGGAGAGATGTGGGTGGGAGTGGCGATTCTCGACTATGAAGCGCGGTAACGTACTATAGCCTATAGTACGAATATTTATTATGTATTAAATAACGTACTTTACAAGCGAACCGCCCACACAAGCGAACCGCCTAAAAATGCTAAGCCTTAACTAAAAAGCTACTATCTTAGTTAGATTACTCTAACTCTAAGCTACTTAAGATAAATCTAGATAATATACTTTATAAATAAAAGCTTTATATAAATAAAAGCTCTAAAAATACTAAGTCTAAGAATTAATAAGTATTTCTTAAATAACTAAGTAAAACCTTAATATTTTTCTATAAAAATTTAAATATATATAGATCTATACTAATATACTTAATAAATAAACTCTCTAGATAAATAAACTCTCTATAATTTCTTAGTAAGAAAAATTAATAAAAATTAATAGGTTTTTCTTAAATAACTAAGTAAGATATTAATATTTTTCTATAATAATTTATATATATCTTCTTTATAGTATATTATACCTTATATTAAAGTTATACTAAGATATATTATATAATTAAAAAGCTATATATATTTAACTAGCTTTTAAGAAAATATCTAGTTTTCTTCTAGTTAGTACTATTATATCTCTATAATAATATATAAAACTTATAGTATATAGTATTTATAACTAAATAAAGGTTTCTAGAAAACTTCTATAGCGCTAGCTCTTCTAGGTATAGCGTAATAAGAGATAGAAGTTAGAAAATTTCTTTCTAGAGTTTTCTTCTCTAACTATATATATCTTAATAATCTAGCTATATAAAGTTATATATTATAAGATTATATATACTATAAGCCTATAATATATTTAGAAGTAATAATTTAAGATAGTTTTAGTATCTTTCTATCTTTCTATACTATACTACTAAAAAAACTTTACTTTTAAATAACTACTTAAAGCTACTATATTATTAGTTAATAAGCTCTATATAGTTAAAGTCTACTATAATTTATATAATAATAAGTTTATAGAGCTAGATTAACTATATATATATATAGTTAGAAGAAGAAAGCTTTAAAAAGAAATTTTTCTAACTTCTATCTCTTATTATACTATACTTAGAAGAGCTAGCGCTATAGAAGTTTTCTAGAAACCTTTATTATATTATAAATACTATATACTATAAGTTTTATATATTATTATATAGATATAATAGTACTAACTAGAAGTAAACTAGATTTTTTCTTAAAAGTTAGTTAAATACGTATAGCTTTTTAATTACGTAATATATCTTAGTATAACTTTTATATAAGGTATAATATACTATAAAAAATATATAGTATTAGTAGCTTAAGGTTAGATTTAGGTAGTAGTTTAATGTTATAGATATTAGATAAGTAAGATTAAGTAAGGCGCACTATACCTAAATTAAGTTTTTTCTAATACTTCTCTAGGCTAGTAAATAGCGCTATACTTTATTAGAGTTTTTTTCTAATATTCTACTACTAGCTACTACGCGTAGCTACTCTAGTAGAATATTAGAGAAAAATAGCTATACTACTACTACTAGTAGTAGCTAGTAGTAGAATATTAGAAAAAAATAGCTATATTACTACTACTAGTAGTAGCTAGTAGTAGAATATTAGAAAAAAA